GGTTTGATTTTGACTTGTGGTCCCATCTTGAATAAACAAACATGACCAAAGTCTGGAATTCCTGTTTCTTTTCCATACACACCTACCCATCTAATAATGACTTATTTTAAATTTCCTTAAACCGAGGACACAGGGGCTAAATGGGATCTTGCTGTGAATATGTTGCAACCATCTAACCATCCATTATTCTTTCAATTATCCATGTCAGGTTTGGGATGGTAGCGGCTAAGTAAGCTGCCTCAGATATTCCTCTCCCTCACAGTGCTTTCCAACTCCTCCTGGGGGATTCTGAGGTATTGACATGCAAGTCGGGACATGTCACTCCTCCAGCATGTTTTGGGTCTACCAAGGTCTACCCTAGTCGGATGTGCCCAGGAAACCTCCAAAGGGAGGTGCACAGGAGGCATCTTTCTCAGATGCTGGCTCCTTGACCTCAACCGGTTCCTTTTAATGCAAATTTAAAGGAACCAGTTGAGGTCCAATGAATGTTCCTCACAGATTTCACAGCTTCAGACCTTATCTACAAAACCTGAGCCAAGGTGCTCTCCAGAGGAAACTCATTTCGGCATTCTCATTTTTCCGCAATCTCATATTTTTGGTCACTACCCACAAGTCATTACCACAGGTGAGGGTTGAAACATAGATTGAAAGCTTTGCCCTCAGGCCCAGTTACCTCTCCCCTGCAACAGGCTGGTGCAACACCCAACTACTGCTACAGCTGCACAGACACATCAATCAAACTCACAGTACATTATACACATGAACAAGATCCCTGATACACTCCTTCATTTAGAGTCAGGACTCTCGACGCACAAAGAAGGCAATGCACGGTTTCCTGGCAGAGAACCGTGGTTGCTTTGCAATCAGCTGCAACCACCGTGGTGCCCTCTGGAGGTCCCAGCCTAGCATAACTTATGGGACTGCCTCATCTGCAAAAAGCAGAGATGAGAGTCTAAGATCCTGTAGCGGGAAACCATCTTTCCCTAAGGTGAGTCTTCAGATCTCATCCAAACAGCACTGAATACCTTGAGGTTCTGCATGCAACAAGAAATATAAAAAAACTGAACCTCAAAGTATAAAACATTGACATACGTTTTTATATTAGATATTTATTCCAGGAAACATCAGAGAATAATTAACATTTATAACCTAATTGGTGAGAGCAAAGTCTCAAAGTTTTAAGTCCAACTACCTTTACTACCTGTTGTTCGTGACAGATAACACACCCTGTATATTACCTCTATCTTGTGTTTGAAAAACATATACTCACCATCAGCAAGTCAACAAGAGCAGACAGTGAAGAGCTACGGGACTGTTTCTACCAAGAGACAGAGGTGAAATGGCTCAGAGGGGAAACCAAAAGGACAAAGAGAAATTCTGCTGTTCCATTTGTTTGGATCTACTGACTGATCCAGTGACAACCTCTTGTGGACACAACTACTGCAGGAACTGTATCCAAAGACACTGGGATGGAGAGGATGAGAGGGGAATCTACAGCTGTCCTCAGTGCAGACAGGTCTTCGTACCGAGGCCTGTCCTGAAGAAAAACACCATGTTAGCAGATTTAGTGGAGGATCTGAAGAAGACTGGACGCCAAGATGCTCCTACAGACCACTGCTATGCTGAACCTGAAGATGTGGCCTGTGATGTCTGCACTGGTAACAAACTGAAAGCCATGAAATCGTGTCTGCAGTGTCTGATTTCTTACTGTGAAAATCACCTCCAGCCTCATTTGGACTTACCTGCGTTTAAAAATCACAAGCTGGTGGAGCCGTCCAAGAACCTCCAGGAGACCATCTGCTCTCTTCACAATGAAGTGATGAAGATGTTCTGCCGTACCGATCAGAAGTCCATCTGTATTCTCTGCTCTGTGGATGAACATAAAGCCCATGATACGGTTACAGCTGCAACAGAAAGAGCTGAGAAGCAGAACGATCTGGAGGTGAGTCGAAGAAACATCCAGAAGAGAGTCCAGGACAGAGAGAATGATGTGAAGCTGCTTCAAAAGGAGGTGGACGTTATCAATTATTTTGCTGATAAAGCTGTGGACCACAGTGAGAAGATCTTCACGGAGCTGACCCACCTCATGGAGAAAAGACGCTCTGATGTGAAGCAGCAGGTCAGATCCCAGCAGGAAACTGAAGTGGGTCAAGTCAAAAAGCTTCAGAAGAAACTGGAGCAGGAGATCATTGAGCTGAAGGGGAAAGATGCTGATCTGCAGAAGCTCTCACTCATAGAGGACCACAACCAGTTTCTACAAAACTATCCCTCACTGTCAGGACTCAGTAAATCTACACATTCACCCATCAATGAAATAAAAAATCTGAGGTACTTTGAGGACGTGACAGCAGCTGTGAGAGAAGTCAGAAACAAAGTGCAAGATGTTCTCAGAGAGAAATGGAGAAACATCTCAAAGACTGTGGCTGAAGTGGATGTTTTACTGTCACGACTCGTGACCAGAGCTGACTTCTTAAGATATTCATGCAACATCACACTGGATCCAAACACTGCACATGCACGTATAATATTATCTAATGAGAACAGAAAAGCTGCATTTATAAGTAGAGTACAGGATTACTCTGTTCACCCAGACAGATTCACTGATTGTCCTCAGGTCCTGAGTGAAGAGAGTCTGACTGGACGTTACTGGGAGGTGGAGTGGAGAGGGGTGGGAGGAGTTTCTGTAGCAGTTTCATACAAGAGTATCAACAAACAGGTGTCATCTATATTTAGGACACACAAATGACACACAGTTTATCTATAGCTGCGTGTTGTGTAACACTCATCCTCTCCTTTACATGAAAGTGTGGACTTGGACCTGTTATAAAATGTCTGAACAACTCACACATCTGAGGGGTGTAGTTTTGATCAAACTTCTTAAAGTGTACGATTAAAAATACTTCTGCTACTGCTTATGTTGATCTGGTGAATTTGTTCAAACAGATTTATGTGAAATAAAATCATATCTCACATTTCTACTTTGATTTGTTATTATTTTCTTTGACATGGAGAGATATTGGTCAAACAAACTGGTTGTGTAAATCAATTGAAACATGAGAGTTCATCTCAGTTTAAGTGTACGCTCTACTTAGAGACCTTTCAGATCTTTACTATCAGAAAGTTCATTTGTTTTTTGATGTGTCAAACACATCCGGAAGAAACAGACAAAAACTTCCTTTAAACATACACTTCTATTTGACTTTTATGATGTTTGTGATTTAACTCCATCTGTGACAAACGGTGATTGATGTGTTGCTAGAAAGCAGGCGGTAAACAAAATCTACACAGACGAAGAAAGGAGGGGCATGTCGCCACCTACAGGGGCAGGGGTGGACATGCTTCTGACAATAATTCAACTGTCCTGATTTCTGAGGACAAAGTAAGTGACTAAAATGATTCTCAGACTGTGAATATGGGCAGACTAATCTGTTAGCTACTTCAGGAAGCACAGTGACATCTGGTGGTCTGTTTGAGTCATAGCAGCTCTTCCTGACAGCAAAGGACCAGCAAACTACACTGATACTAGACCCATTGTGGGTCAAAGGAGAAAAAGAATTAACACATGGAATAATGTTTCCACAATTCTGAACACACGTGTTTTGCGGCAATTCATTGCCCCTCGCGGTTTGCAACAGCTTCACTTGTTTGACAGCTTTAGCATCAGCGAGCTCGCTGTAGTCAGAATGGATGCTTCAGTTTATCACCAGCCCTACGCTTTTCTTTATCTCCTGAACAGAGTGCTGCCCCCGACACAAGCAGAGCACCGGAAAGTCAAAAGAATGGCGCCCAGTTTAACGATTAAAGGTTCCTACTCCAGCGAAATTGTAAAATTGCAATGTAGTTATAAAAGGGTTGAATGAATGTGAATATTTCAGTGTTGAAATTGTACGCTGTATAAAAACGCTGACATTCATTGTCCATATTGTGTAGGCTTCTCACTATATTTAATTTATGAAATAAAGCCCTCCTTGATACTGTGAAAAGTCAGAGAACCACAATTTTGGCCTGGTGGTGGCACTCTCTGTGGCCCAAAGGGTCTCATCGTGCTGGGCCAGGAGCTTTGGCGAATGCCTCTGCATTAGCTCTGGAGCCGCCTGCTAGCTAGCCTGTCCCGCCTCCTTCGCCTCTGATTGGCTAGAAACGCTGGAAACATCATCACACACTCAAACCAAACGCGGGCTGTTGGCTCTGTACATCGAACAGAACGTTACAGAACATTATCGCACTTCTGAATCTCCTAACCATAGGCTGTATATTAAATGGACACCGTGGTTCCGCCTTCCGCCTGTATACGGATTTGAAGCCAAAAAACTCTCGGTAATTCCGGGTTTTTCTCCACTTCCTTGAAACCAGAGCTGTGCAGTAGCGTTGCGCGCATTCGGCCACGCAGTCACCATGAGTCCCTGTGATGACGCTCGGGTCAAACAGCGTATTCCCCCTGAAGAGCTACGCAATCCCTGAACGCCCATAGGCTGTACCAGGTGTTAATCATAGAAAACATGAACCCCCTAATAACTTTAAAAAACGGAGCTGCACAGAAAAAAAAGGACTTGGGCACAAACCAGTCTTACTGTAACTATACCGTATGTCAACATCACAACCAGGGGGGAGAAAAAATTATGTTCTGTGTAATAAATTCCTATAGTTTGTCCACAGTCCCATAAGCTTTGCTGGCGGAGGCGGGATTTATGACCTGTACTGCAGCCCACCATCAGAGGGTGCTGTTCTCGGAGTGGCTTCACCCAGCGAAGAGGCAGACTCTGTCCATCTTATATACAGTCTATGCTCCTAACCCTAACCCTTACCCTTAGCCTAACCCTAACCTGACAGCCAATGACGTTTCACACAGCCGTTAGGAATAACGAATCGGAGCCCAGCACTTCTAGCCAATGGAATGAAGGAGGGCGGGACCGTCCCCACCAATCAACAAAACATAAATAAAAATAGCTTCCGGGACGGATCGGGTAGAGGCAGGGTTTATTTTGAAAGAGGAATAGCGGAAGTCGATCAACGTCACTGCGAGGAGGAGACATCACACTGATAACAAACAACTATCCTCAACCGTAGCATCTCCCCTTTTCTCCGTTAACTGACCCTCAATATTTGGGTTTAAAGAAAGGTTCACTAATCACCTCCAGACTTTAAACCGGACTTTAATCTCTGTCCCACCGCTTTCGCTGATGGTAGTTTGATCACCGGTTGTTGTCGATAAAACGTCGGTTAGAGATGACGAGCTACCAGACGTTTCATTCCCAGCTGACGTCCATCATGGATGCTCTGGCGAAAACAGCGGTGGTGGAGATCTGCGGGCTGGTGGACAGCAGCTACGCCGTGCTTCAGCTGGAGATCAGCCGCAGCCGCGAGGAGAACGAGGCGCTGAGGAGGAAGCTGGGGCTGATCGAGACCATCATCGCGCGAGGGAACGGGACCAACGGTGGGCTGATGGACTTCACTGTCGGTGAGTTACCGATGCTGTGGAGGGTTTTATCCTCTAAAAACGTTTCAAAACATTCTTTAAGGGGACAGGAAATGAATGAAGCCCCTTCATGACCGCTTTTAAAAGCGCCGAATCAGAATAGTGGTGGGAATTCCGTCTCACTTTGATGATCGGACCATTTGACTCGGCTCAGCAAACTGACAACTCTTTAAAAACAGAATCGACTTTAGTGTCCAATTACATGGACCGTATTTTAATCCAGGTGTGACAGCTCCAGTGAGTGTTGTTTGAACCTTTTAGAGTTTTTCCTCTCAACTCAGCAGAGATGAGGTCCTAAGTCTTCCATGTTAAAGGGATATTCTGGGGTAAGATTAATTTAGGATAGCGATACACAGCAGTCTGCCATCAACAAACCTCAACCAAAAAGCCACAAATAATGCTCAGAACAGCACGTAACTTCATCAACAGGACATATAGGGTCCCATCCATAGTACTAGCCACCAAACATCTTTTTAACTTTGCCTAATTTCTTTTGCAAAGAGACTAAACACAACTCGCCTTCTCTCTTCCAGCAGCCGCTTGTTTGTACAGAGACCTCGGGCAAGTCCGTTACAGACTGCAGCGGGGTGACGCAGCTCAAGGAAGAACATTTATGATCATTTCTTCATGGAAATGCAATCAGACCGAGACACTAAGGCAGAAGAACTACCATGTCGGCTGTGAAAAATGATTAATATGGTGATTATTACTTCAAGGAAATGAGAAAGATAGAAACCCTATATGTCCTGTTGATGAAGTTAGGTGCTGTTCTGATCATTATTTGTGGCTATAGAGTGGCGTTTTGGTTGAGGTTTGTTTATGGCTCCTCAGACCACTGTGTATTGCTATCCTGCAGTCGTTACTAAAGTTGGTATAAGTAGAGAAGCAAGCAGTCGGCAACATCCATCTCTCAAGGGGGTGTCTAACTTGGTGCTACGGTGTTTTTGACCCTAAATTAATTTTATGCTGGAATATCCCTTTAATAGATTGCAGAATCGATCAAATTTTAATGTAAAGATAAACCTTAACTTCCCTTTTTTTGGACAAATTTGTTTACTTTTTATGTTTAGGGATCACGAACAATATCAAGCAAATATCTGCAGTGCTTATGTGGTGGTAATGGCAGACAACACAAACTCAGGATGTCAGCAGTCCACTCTTATGCCAAACCGCTCTCTCTGAAACCCACAGAGAAGTGTTCGTTATAATTGTCTTTTACTTTGTTTACTTCAGATTTGTACTTTTCCACTGTACATGTAACTGTTTCCACTTAACTCATAGATTGTTTTCATCTAATCAGAACAATGTGACATTTAGCTTGATAAGCAGGAAGTTGATGAACCACAAGACTCTCATTATTCTGCCGTACAGGTTAGCTACAGTAGATACTCGCCTCAAGGTCAGCACTCACGTTTTATGGCACATTTTAGTGAAACCACTTGAACAGTAGCTGGCCCGTTCACGTCAAAGATAACTGGCAAATGAGACTTGGTTGCGTGTAAGTCCAACTTCAGTCTAGGGCAACTCCTGCCCAAGAAGAGGATGTGAATTACATCTGGAAATAGGCACGCATTGTGATGGAAAGCCTAGAAGCTCTTTCATTACGAGTCCAGCACTGTTCTACTTTACATGAGATCAAAATAAATGTTTTTCTGGAGCTTCCAACTAAAGAATCTGATTAACATATTCAAACACTTTTTGGCCTCTTAAAGTCCACCCCAGGAAACAGTGTAGTGACTGTCTTTTCATGTTTCATCCAGAACGTGCCTTACCGACCGGAGCTGTGTCCAAACTACCAGAAGCAAGTCGTTCAAGAAGTGGAAGGATCCCCGTGTCGGAGGCGACCACAGAGCTGAGCCCTGCAACCCAAGAGGTAAGAGGTTACAGCTACTTCAAGTCAGGATCTTGGTAGAAGATGAATGAAAAACTTGTACAGAGCAGTCTGTTTTTGCACACTTGATCTTGAAGAGAGACATTGAAGTCAGTTTTGAATTTTCTCAAAGGATTCTTCAGGAGCAGCTGCAGAGGAGGCGTGCGATCATGTCGTCGTTTTGATCAAAGAGGAGACGACAAAAGAGGAGGTGAACGGTGACGACACGCAAGAGTTGCTCCTCGAGGAAGATGGTAAGAGAGTAGGTGCATTAATTTAGGCGATGTGTAAAGAAATGATTTTGACGTTCTGTCTTTGTGGCTCCAGATCACAGGTTGTGTTTCTGTGTATTTGTGTGTCTGAAGGGGCGGAGCAGCCGCTGATGGTAGCAGAGGACAGTGAAGAAGGTCCGTCTGGGAGGATGACCTCAGACTCTGCTGCAGACACAAGGCCGTGGGATCCGAACAGTGACAGACCATCAGAATCCCACCCTGGCTCTCCTGGTCCTGCAGGCGGCACTGACAGTAGCTCAGATGTAGTGTTGGACTTGGCCTCTGAGTTGGACTGTGACGCTCCGCCTACAGTCCAGACAAGGAGGCAGTTTCTCCTCAGGTCTGGTGTGGGCCCCTCCCCCCTGTCCTCTGAGCGGAAGCAGGGAGCATCTCTGATTGGCTCCCTCCCCTACGACACAGAACTGGATCCGTGCCCCTCCTGGACTAATCAGTGCCTGCCGAGCATGATGCCCATCCCTCACAGGACAGGACCAACGCTTCTGGACAAGGCATCAGACCTGAGTGCTGCAGCTTTCCCCTTGACACTCGGTCTCAGTGGATCCAGAATGGACTCGTTGGACTCAAACACATACTGCAGAAGGCGGTTCGTCTGCAGCTACTGCGGGAAGTGCTTCACATCGTCTCGAAGCCTGGAGACGCACGTACGCGTCCACACAGGGGAGCGACCGTACAGCTGCGCACAGTGCGGAAAGCGCTTCACACAGGCGGGACACCTTAAGACGCATCAGAGCGTCCACACGGGTGAGCGGCCGTTCGCCTGCGAAGTCTGTGGGAGACGATTTGCCGGGAAGCAGAACCTGAGGATCCATCAAAATAAACACCACCAGATGGATGTTTAGCTGAACATTACGCTGAGCGCAGCTGAAGAACCTGCACTCATGGGACTTAAAGACGGAAACTGTGATGGACTAGAGCCTTACTGAACTATTTATTACATTTTCTAAGTTTGGGACCTTTTCGATAACGTGATAACGAGATATGTGGATGCTTTTTCATGACTTTTTAAACTTTTCAAGCCTTATCTACTTTTTACCTTCAGACCTCTTTTGGTAGATACCGGACTGAAAATGGGGCTTCAAACAGGTTCTCATTTATCCTTACCTCAAAAAGAGCGTGGGCCGCCTCGGTCCACCTCAGCGCTTCGAGCTCGAGCATGACAATGATTCCTGTAGAAAGCCAACATCCGTGAGAAGCATGCAAGTGTTTGTTGCTTGATGTTAAACTCAAATTAAAAAGCTGCAATCATTGATGAACAGTTTGTCTTGTCTTTAATGTTTCGGACCACGTTTAAGGACCAGAATATAAGAAGTTTAGAAACCAAGCCGGAGTTGAATGTTGGGTGTCATGATGGTGAGGTATCTGCAGTAAAATAACATGAGGAGAAGTTTATGATGCCTTGAGGTGTTTCCCAAGAATCCCCCGGAAAATTTGCACGGAAAAAAAGTCAAAACCAAACACCGATAAAGAAAACTCATAGAATATTCTCATGTACTGAAGAATCAAGAAAATGTTTGACATTTTTGATTAAAAAGAAAATGCTATCAGAATTCTAAAAAAGTTTGAGAAGATTTCAAAGTTTGTCAGATTTCTGGGTTTCCATCTCATCTGAGAAAATTTTTTTTTAAAAATTAAAAAATTAAAAATTCAGACTTTTATAAAATTTGCCTTTTGGGATCAAAAAATTCTCATCTTGTCCTCGATCTCAAAAAACTGATGATTGAGTCAAAATTCTGGCTGTGATCTTAAAATTATAAGAAAAAAACAATTTTTCCAACTGATCTCAGAAATCTGTGTTTTAAAAAAAATTAATTCTGACTAACTTCAAAATTCTTGGTGGAAAAAAAGTTCTGAATTCAGATACCAGATTTCTTAACGTTGTCTGAAATCAGTTTGATCAGAAAATTTCCAGAAAAGGTAAAAATCGGATTTTTTTTTTTCCTTTTTGAAAAGGTCAGAGATTTTATTTTGAGCGAATTCTTGCAAAATAAAAGAGAATTGTTATTTTTAGTCAGAGTTTTGGGTAAAGAAAAAAAAATTCTTACTTTTACGTAAAAGTTCTGAGAAAACAGACACATTACTATCTTTAATGTCAGAGCTATTTAAAAAAAGTGCGTAAAGCATAGACTGAATATAGAATGGACAGCGTCTGCCTCCCTGCGAGAACAGCACCCTCTGGTGACGGGCTGCAGCATAGGTCATAAATCCCGCCTTGTCCAGCCATCCCTATGGGGCTGTGAACAAACTTTAGAAACTTATTACACAGAACATAATTTTTTTTCCCCTCTGGTTGCGATGTTGACATGTAGTTACTGTAAGACTGTTATGTGCTCAAATCCTCTTTTTTCTGTACAGCTCCATTTTTAAAAGTTATTAGCGGGTTCACATTTTCTATGCTTGACACTTGATATAGCCTATAGGCGTACGAAGATTGCATAGCTCACCCGGAGGATACACTGTTTGAGTCGAGCGTCATCACAGCGACTCTCATGGACTCTACTCCTGAATGCGTACAATGCTACTGCGGAACGTCGGTTCCAGGAAGTGGAGAAAAAACGTTTGGTTACCAAGAGCTTGAAGCTTTGAAACTAGAAAAGTCAGACAATTAGAATGGGTTTGACTGCAAAAAAATCTAAGTAAATGTTTAATGTCATAAAATTTTATTTATTGATTGATTTTTAATGTCAGATTTAGTCAAAAAAAAGTGGCTAAAACTTGAAAAGTCAGACAATTGGAAAGGGTTAGACCGCAAAAAATCCAAGTATTATTTCTTTTTTCTTTGTAACCGGCTCTTATTTTGAAGTTCACCGGAAGTTGCAGCGGGCAGGGAAGTAGACTCCGTTCTTCTTTGTAATAAACGACGGGCACCTTAAACGTCCAAACAGATCCACTCCACGGAGACGTTACCGACTCCACTCGTTTCAGAGCCTGTCGGGGCTCGGTTGGTTCCGTCAGGAGGGGTTTCAGTCCGGTCCGGTTTCCCTCTCGAGCGCTGAGATGTCCGTGTTAACCAGCAGGGCTCTGCACGAGCAGCTGACCGTCATCATGGGCGCGTTAACCAAAGCGGCGGTGGCGGAGATTTGCGAGGTGGTGGACGAAGGCTACGCGGTGCTGCAGCTGGAGATCACCCGCAGCCACAAGGAGAACGAGGACCTGAAGAAGAAGCTGCACCTCATCGAGTCCATAGTGGTCCGCGGGAGCAGCGGAGGACAGGCGGCGGAACCGGGGGTCGCGCCTACCGCGGAGGTCGCGCAGCAGGCGACGACACCGCAGGAGCAGCAGATGCGGGACAGCGGCGGCGGAGACGCGGCTGCCGCTCCCGTAGAAGAGGCAGCAGCTGCGGTGAAGCTACGAGAGGAGGTAAACAAACAGTGCGGTGTCAGTTTACAGACCGACAATTAATCCGACGACTTTAATTCTAAGTAAACTGATCGATCATTTGACTCTTTATTGGTTTTATAATCAATAAATTAGGAGATAGTCATCGTTGTTGACGCTTTCAGGACTACAGAAGCCGCGTGCAGACATCCATCCATACAGTTACTCGATCTCCCTGAGATAGTTTTATGTCAGCTGTTTTTTCAGAGATGGAAAAACTCAAACCCGATACAAAAACGCCGAGCTACCACCTCAAATGACTTTTAATCACATGTTTAGAAATAATTAAACTGCATTTCGAAACAGTCAATACTATGGAGTCCCTTTGTGGGCATTGGATTTTAAAGTACTGCATGGTCACGAGATAAATATGAAAGCGATTGTGACTCATATTTCAAATTCAAAAGCATTAGCAGAAATGGTTTTTCATTTCAAAGTCATGGCTGCACTATTTGATTCAGAAATAAAAATAAAAAGCAATTTTCCAAAATGCATTTTCATTTTCTTCTTCAAGACTGCTCATTCTGTGACCAAATTAAAAAGAAAAGCTTAAGTCAGAAATGCTTTTTCATTCATTCATTCAATGCTTTTGAGTTTTCAAATTGAATTTTGTTACCTTTTTGCTGGTGAATATTTTGAAAATTAAATGTTGAATGTTTTTTGCTTTTGCTTTTTAATTCGGTCACAAAATGAGCAGTCTTGAAGAAAATGAAAATGCATTTTGGAAAATTGCTTTTTATTTTTATTTCTGAGTCAGATAGTGCAGCCATGACTTTGAAATGAAAAAGCTTTTCGGCTAATGCTTTAATAGTCATGCTATGATGGGCTGGAGGAGCTCATCTACATGTCAGTGTTGGTCATTCTGAATAAAAGAGGGTAGGATCTCTTCAAAATTTGATAAATTTGGTCAGTGCCACACACAGCATTTGTGCTTTTCAGGAGTCTCAGTTTGGTTACTTTCTCTCTTTTATACAGGAATGTTGACACCTGTCATCTCTCTCTTTCTCTCCATGTTTCTGCTTTTACGGAAAAACGACATTACTTCATAATTGGTTTTCAGGTCTTAATCAAACGCTGTGGTTGCTGTTATATTAAATCCCACATGATCTCGAGACTGAATTTAATTATCTCCTTATCTCTGCTAAAGATTCTGCACATGCTCAGTACACACCGCAGATTCCTTTATCCGAAATAACCCTCTTTTTTTTTTTTTCATCACTTTTATCTCAGCCTCGTCACCTGGGGACCATGTCTTGTTTTTGCTGATAACATGTTAATTATCGTCTTATCTTGGAAAAACTCAAACGTCTGAGTTTTTCAGGCAATTTGAAAAGAAGATAGGAAGATAATGAGATAATGAGATTAAAAACAAACTGTAACAGCGGCTGCTCTCAGGTTTCAGAGATTAAACTCAAACACTGATGTTTTTTACATTTAAACACGGTTGAAGCTAGAGCTACATCACCAGGGCTTGACACTAACTTTTTTCACAAGGACAAAAGAAATAAAAAGTTGAAAATGTTCGGAGCACACGAATAACTTTAGGGGCACAATGAAATTTGATCAAATAATATGTGTTTTATTATTTAAGAACTACTAGCAGTGTTAGTAAATCACACTGCTGAAGCTAGAGCATATCAATATCTTTTTTTTTACATCACTTTAAATAACTTAAAATGAGTTAACCAATCAGAAATCAGGAAACATCTCCTAATTATTTTGCTCATTATCTGTTGTATAAAAATGTCTCAAACTTATTATCGTATCGCATCATCTGGCTGCTAATTAAACTGGAGAGTTTTAGAGTAAGAGGCTGTTTGAATGTTGCAGAAGAGCTCATGTATATTTGATTTTTTTCAGCTTCCTGACGTGGTGTTGATCAAAGATGAGGACTCTGACAGCAGTGAAACGTTTGAGGAAGGTAAGTGGAAACAGGCCCTTAAACACCACCTGTCATGTCTTATCTGGAGGTGACCACAGAGAGGTTGTAGCAACATATTCATTCAACGTAGCAAGAAGCAAAGAGGTGGAGTTGAGGTATTCAGCCTCCTTGCCAACAGTGTGTTTTTGTCTTTTTTTTTAGATAACAAAACACCGACTGACGGAGGCACAGCTGCAGCCAGAGACAGCGTCACGTCAACTCCGATCAGCCGCTGTATGAAGAGAGTCTGGCCAGGAGGGGAAGAGGCTGAGAGGAAGCTGTCCTCCGAGCAGCTCACGCTGAAAGCACCTCCAGTGACAGCAGGGTCGCAGAAGAAGAGTGTCACCGTCTTCACTCTCGACTCTCCTCGCAGCGAGCCCGGCTGCTCCGTCCAGCTCAGTGGGAATGAAATGGACGCCGGAGAGTCGGTGTGTTCCTTCTCCTCACAGATGGACCCGGACGTCCAGCTGGTCCACCAGGAGTGTTCGATGGTCCCCCCGAGCACTAACAGACAAACTGTGTACTTTGGAAACAGCGCTCTGATGGAGTCTCAGTCGCCGTCAAACAGAGCAGAACTGGACCTCAGCCTGACGTGGACCAAACAGTCCAAAGGTCAGATGAGTTACACTCAGTTTCATCAAAATGAAAACATGGACAGTGACGCTTTCGGGCTCAAACTGGTCAGCGTCTCAGGCTCCACGTCCACAGACTGCCAGCTGTCCGAGAGCAGCAACTCTGCGTTTGAGTACGACGAAGCCGACATGATGAACTACGGCCTCTACAGGGACCAGTCGGGGCGATCTCAGACAAGCACCAGAGGAAAGCGCTTCATGTGCTCCATCTGCAGCAGGACCTACGCCACATCCCAGAACCTGGAGGTTCACATGCGGATCCACACGGGAGAGAGACCGTTCAGCTGCACTCAGTGCGGGAAGAAGTTCACCCAGTCGGCTCACCTGAAGTCGCACCAGAGCGTCCACACCGGAGAGCGGCCGTACATCTGCCCACACTGCTCCAGGAGCTTCATCGTCAAGTACAGCCTCAAGTTACACATGAAGAAATGCCACCTGAGCGTCTGAGTGACTGAACATCTAACGGTTTTTATGATCCGCTCTGTGAATATTCCGCTTTTTATACGAGGAAACGTTTACGAAATAAGTCCAGCTCTGAAATTTCTAAAAGGTGAAGAAGAAGAAATATTTGGTTTAAAGCTTTAAAAATATCTGAAGAGTCATTTTACTTTCCCTTTTGTCAGTTTGTTTATCAACACTTCATCTATCAATCGGTTTAATTAGAGAGGATAGCAGCCTGCTGAGCGTGGTCATCGGCCTGAATGCTGCAGAAATAAAGAATAAAATGGGCAGTTTGGATTTTAAGATGATAATGTTGAAATACAGAAACATTTGGAGCCACAACATTATATTTATGAAACACAGAAGAGTATGAGGTGGGGATTAAAACAGTTCTTTAAATTATCAAATTTTATTTATGTAACGGTATTTCACAACAGTCATCATCCTAAGATGCTTTCCAAAGATAAAGAGCAGGTGTAGACCACGCTCATTGTTTGATGAATTATCAAGACCCAACCTAAGATAGGACAGATCATCTAACATGAGTAGAGGTCCTTACAAACCGGGGCCAACGCGAATATAGAACGCGAAATTAAAAAATATTCTGAGGTGAATTTTGACGGGCCTGACTTAACACATCAAGCCCAATGCGATTTTACTACTTCCCGTGGGAGACTTTGCCTCCTTTGCCTCTGATTGGCTAGAAAAGCTGGAAACGTCATCACACGCTTAAGCTAAACGGTCAGCACTTAAACGGTCAGCACTTCAGAGGCAAACTGTTAAAGCACACAAACCATCGTCATATGAGAAATCTGACGCTATGACTCTCCACAAGTTGTCCTTCAGGTCGTTATCTTTGTAATATTTGTGTCTTTTATCAAAAATCACTTTGTTCTGACACGTTAACAATCAGCCGGTCGGCTGTGTTGGAGATACCGGTGAATCTGATGTCGCAACAACACGCAATCTGATTGGTCAGGAGTGGATACACAGTATGCGAAACTTTAGAAAAATCGACTGTAATACGAAAAAATAAATGCCGCAATATCGCAGGACGGGAAAACGTTGCTGATGTGAACACTTTTGACGTCTGAAATAATCGCATGACAAAAACGGTCCTGGTGTGTAAGGACCTTAACAGTGGTGAGGAAAAACTTCCCTTTAACAGGCAGAAACCTTGAGGAGGACCAGAAAATTTGCCTTTAAATTTTTTTAGAGGAGAAATTTGAGAAATAAAGAGGTGTGTCTTAATCCGACCTTAGTACTATTATTTGAAATAATAAAAAAAAAAAATCAACTGGTAATTTACTGATGGTCCCTTATTCAACACCTGATGTTGACAGCGAGGATGCCGAGTAGATTTAACCGCGCTGCTGTTGTTATTCCTGGTTATGGAGAGTGAGAAGACACCGGTAGAGCCGCAGTGAATGTCCGTCAAATATCCTAAAACTAACTTCCAAGACCCAGTCTAAGATGGGACAGATTTAACCCATCTCAGCTCTTATAGAGAAGGATTCACTGACTGGTTGATGATAAATAAATGCTAAAGGTTGTTTTAATCAAAATTAAATCACTAAACTTGTTTTTTAATGCTCTTTAAAACTAAACATCTTTGAGTTTTGTTGTGGTGACCTCTTCAAACAAGACTCAGTCAACTTTGAACCAGAAAATTGAGGGTGTACCAAAGTTTGAGCAGCTGATTTTGAGGTGAACCCTAACGTTTGATGATGTCTGTCTCTGCTGTTTTAGTTTTCAGTGTTCAGAAAAACGAACATTTCATCAAACCTGTGTAAAAATTCAACACCCAGTTTGAGTCGCATACAGTTTGTGTGTTTTTCCTTGTGAATAAAACTTTTTATTTTGAAAATGGTTTTGTTTCCTTTGTTGAGACAGGTTTATATTTGATTTATTGCAATTAATTTGTTTTCATCCAAAAGGAAAACAGTTCAGCGCTTAAGTGGAGAGCAGCTTTGGCAGCAACTTTATTCAAGAAGGAAAATAAAGGTCTTTTTTGTGTTAACCTCTGTTTGTTTTGTATGTTTTGGTGTCATTCTAACTGACAGGTTTCAGGTCCCAATTACTGTTATATAGCCAGTGTGTTATCAGTACAACAGTCAGAAATGTGACCACTGTATCATGTTGATTTTTTGCCAAACCATTTTACTTACACTAAACTTTGAAATTACATCTGAATTATTTTGAAATATGGTTTGTGGGAGTTTTCAGCAGACATTACATCCAAATTATTTTAACCAAAATGACTAAGTGGCTCAAAATACTACAGAATGATGCCATTCAGCAAAAGAGACAAAAAAGTTCAGGCTTGATTTTAAGGTTATTTTTTATCAGTTTTTAGATGTATTAATGGTCTTGGCCCATCTTATTTATCTGACTTACTTTTATCATATCAACCCTCGCGGACCCTGAGGTCCTCCGGCACAGGCCTTTTAACCTTTTAACCCAAAGTCAAAACAGACACACGGGGAGGGAGGCGGCGTTCAGTTTTTATGGTCTCCGGTTGTGGAACAACCTACCGGAGAGCCTCAGGGTCGCAGAGACTGTTGAGGCTCAGACTCCCCTTTTTAACCAGGCTTTTCATTAACTGCCTTTTTATATTTCTCTTATTGCAAATGTTTGTTTTAATCAAAGTTCTTATTGTTCATTTTATGTCATTTTATTAATTATCTCTGTTCTTTGTCCTTTTCTAAACTCACATCTTAGAGGTTTTTACGTCTTTTACCCCCATTTTATTCTGTAAAGAGCTCTTACTTATCTGTTCATTTAGTATTATTTTCTTGTTTTAGTCCATCAGGCTTTAGTCTCTTTTTACCTTTTTTTTTTATCTTTTATCTTCAGTGTTTCCCAAAGGTTTCTCTTTCCTCACATTAGGTCTCAGTGTCAGGCCATGTCTCTCAAACAATGAACAAGTGCCATGAAAATAGCAAAACCATCAACATTAAATTCGATATTTACAGATAAAAATAATGTTAGTAAAGTTAAGATTATCCTGTAACTTTTTAGACTTGTGTTCCGGGATATTTGATAAATTTGTGGTTAAAACTCTGTATTCCTTCTTTTTTAGTGAATTAAAAATACCCTGAATGATGTTTTGCGCATGCGCGATGTGGTTTTTTCGTCTCCTTATCCCTGCTTCACTTCCTGAATCGTCTCGGCTCTGTTTACATCAGACGTTGGTCTACGTTTGACAAGAAGGACCGAGCGCGTGGCTCCGTGTTTCTGTCTCCTGTCTCAAACATACATGATACCGACCCGCTGATCCGGACGGTTCCGTCGAACACACGTACCGGGGTGGATTAAGAGGAACCATGGGCCCGCCTGCTGCCTTTCACGCGCAGCTCGCCTCCATCATGGAGGTGTTGGCTAACACGGCCGTGGCGGAGATCTGCGAGCTCGTGGACAGCGGGTACTCGGTGCTGCAGCTGGAGATCTCGCGGAGCCGTAAAGAGAACGAGGTTCTGCGGAGAAAGCTGCGGCTCATGGAGCTCAGAGCCGCCCGCGCGACCGCCCTACGGTCCGCGGCCACCGCGAGCGGCACCGCGCTGCTGCTTGGAAGCGGCCGCGCTCGAGCGCAGCTAACAGCGCATAACCCTGGCAACGAGCTGAGGAGGAACGGTCGACTCGGAGGTAACCGTTTAACGAGTATTTGACCGTCAAAAACACAATAACGACTGTGAAACTGCTTAAGTAACACAGACAGGGCGGTTCGTAGTTTCTGCTGTTACCCCCAGTTTCCACCGCATCCGTACTGTACTAAAACTATACCTTCCTCCTCCAGGTGAGGCAGTGCTGCGCAGAGTGTCTACCCAGGAGACGCAGCACAGTGGGGACATCAATCAAACATCAGACCCCCCACAAAACACCACACAGGAGGCGGTGAGTAGAGGGCGCTCTCCCTCTGGTTCCGTGTCATTCTTCAGTCTCTTACTCCTCGGTCTTTCTCCGCTCTGATTACAGTCGGCTGCAGATGAGTCGGTCAAACTGACGACTGCTGTGATCAAAGTGGAGGATGATGATGATGATGAACCTTGGTCTCAACCTAAACAGGAAAGTAAGTTCAGATAAAGTTAGTTATTATTTAGATCTGCCGCACATCTCAAACCGTTCATAGTGCATTTGCAATCTTCTGTTTTGAATTTTGGGACTTAGCAGGTTTATACTGTTGACATAAGCCAGAGTAAAGACTTTGTGTGTCTTATCTTTACAATGAAACTGAGACTCTAGACACAAATGAAGGGGCGCGCCTCTTTGGGATGAATTGATGTTTGATATGTGTTTCATTGGTATAGTTCGGTCTGAACTTGCTCTGTTTTGTATTTCGTGTTCCCCCTTTTAGAAGATCTTTGCCATGTTGATGACAGACCGAAAACAGATCCAGAAGCTCCTCCTCCTGAGACCAAACAGGAAGTCGCCGACCAAGGAGGCTGTCCGACTCAGGCGTGGGCGAGCGAGGAGGTCAGCTCCACCTCTGTGTCCGTCCAGAAAACAGCAAACACCACCCCGACGTCGGACAGCAGCAGTTTTGACTGTATCATATTCGAACCGCAGCTTCAGCATGACTCAATGATTACCCAGAATCCTCTGCATGAGGAACCGAGCTGCTCGTACGTGTTAAACCCCAACGAGACGATTTCAGCGGTGTCTGATTCAGGCAGCAGCAGTTTCTCTTTCCCCGTCAGTGAGCTGAGTCTGTCTGTAGCAGCAGGTGTACAGAACGACCATCAGAGGGCGCCACTGAGAAAAGACGTGAGGCAGAGACTAAGTGGGTTCATCAGGAAGGACGGTTGGAGACCTCAGGATGGGGTCAACAGCGTGTCCAGCCACAGTCGAGACGACAACACGGAGAAAACATTCTCATGCAGCTACTGTGGAAAGACTCTGGCCTGCCTGAAGAACCTGAGAACCCACATGAGGGTCCACACGGGCGAGAAACCTTACGTTTGCGCGCTTTGTGGAAAACGCTTCTCCGACTCCAGCAACCTCAAACGCCACCAAAGTGTCCACACAGGAGAGAAACGCTACGGCTGCATCCACTGCGGCAAACGCTTCGCTCAGTCGGGGTCCCTGAAGGTCCACATGAGCGTTCACACGGACTGTAAACAGTTCAAGTGTTCGTTCTGCGGGAAGACCTTCATCTCCGGCAGCCACCTGCGCCGGCATCTCACTACACACACCGAAGAGAAGCAATTCGCACCAACGTTTCAGTGACAGAGGGGGATTATGGGAAAATGGTGCCAAAAGAGGTCAAATGTACGGGATGGTTTAGTTTTTAACCCTGATCCTTTGAGGTTTTCGTGACTGTGATTGGACTCTTATCAGCAGGAGTCCTCTGCAATAACAAACAGACACCATGAAAACGATGAAGACCAAGCTGGATCACTCATCACTCAGTGTCCACTGCATGTTTAGTGTTTTCACAGTTTTACTACGTGGTTTGTACCGTAGACACTTTGATATGTTTTGGTTTTGAGCTGCTTCATCTCTGCAGTGACAGACCAGCCGGTGTTCTGGTTTTAAGGGTGACCGTGTAAACTGGCGACTTTTGGCCAAATGTGTCCGTGACTATAATGGACACAGCTGCTTCTTCAACACAAACACAGTCCTCTCACATGTGCTCAAGTTTGTTGTCCTTTCCTCTTTCCTGCGCACAATTTGCCGTTGGCTACTCAAATCTCTGTTAACATGAAAACGGCTTTTTCCAAAATCTCCACTCTGGCCGGAGTTTTTAAAAAACATTTAATTCTCTGTTTGCGTCTAAACCAGTGGTTCTCAACTGGTCTCACTCTTGGACCCACATTTTCCCATGGTGCTTAAGTCACGACCCACTTTTATAGAATTCAAACCAAGAAAATTTATTTTTTATAAAAAAAAAAAACTTTAAAGACTCAAATGTTTAACAAAAATACACCTGTTTTATTGAGTAAAGGGAATTTCAGAGCACATGAACCGAAGACCACAACTGCTGAAGTTGCATATACAGAAAATATCAAAGGAATACCCACAAAATAAGCTGTTTTTCAAAATAAAAGACATGTCAAACATCAGATGTGCATTAAATATTTTCTTTTTTGACCAGCTGTTTGCGACCCATCCAGAACGTTTCCGCGACCCACTTTTAAGAATAAGAAGAACTTTATTAATCCCCGAAGAGAAATTTAGTAGTCTATTTTATTAGTCTATAGTCTATTCAATTGTCTGTTTTCCTGACGTTTGGGTCAGGACCCATCTGTTGAGAACCACTGGTCTAAATGAAGGGTGCAAACGATGGTTAAAGCCTCACTTAAAGTGAAGAGGGTCACACTTAGAGCCAAAACACTGGCTGCTTCTGCTGCTGCAAGCAATCGTGTGTTGACTGTGTCCAACCTCAGCTCAGTCAGATTTTCACTGAAAATAAACATTAACTGTTAAACATTTACTGTTGGTAGTTGATTAAAATGTTACAGGGGGAAGATGATTTCATACGGACGGGTAAGAAACTGGTTGGCTGATTAATTACTGATTAATTTAGGCCCTTTTTGGGGTATTGGGTAACTTAGAGCAACAGTCCTCTCACATTGTTCTTAGTAGCTCCCAGAAAAACTGCTTACCTGTCTTTGACGTAAAGTAAACTGGGCGTTCATCGTCATTAGATCCCTTCAATCCTCAGTCGTATGTTAAAATGGTGAGTCCTTCGTTTCTTTGCATCAACATAACTCAGTCACTGCTGAAATCCACCAGCAAAGAGCAGCACACCTGCCTGCTGCCACACCTGGCCTGACGCAGACACACTGATCGGCTTGATTGATGTCCCTCCCAAAACACACCTTCGTCCAACCTCTCTACACCCTCCGCCTCAATTCACACCCAGTTTTTGCACCACTTCACCAGCTAAATGTGGGAGAATTTCCCTAATTTCCTGGACTTGGCAACTCTAAGGCGTAATATAATGTATATTTTGCCGATGTTTCAACTTGTCTCTGTTCACTAATGCAGATCTAGGATTTACGCACGTGCGTCTAAATGGAAATAAAACAACAACTAGGTTTTTTTAAAATAAAAGCAACACACTTGTATAGCATGTTGTTGATTTAATTGACGGACCTCACGAAGGGCCAAATTTCCCTGTAATCAAACTGGATGAACTGCAGATGAAAAGCCTGTATTTCTGTTTTAAAACATGGAAACTAATGGGATTGACTCACTCACTTAGACAGCCCCAAGTGGACATCTGAGATACTGCAGTTTTGTGGCTTTATTTCTAGTATTTTAATATTTTCATATCAAAGATTGCTGCCTGTAGGTTAATAAGTGATTAACTCTGAGACAAATGTAAAGGTATTATTTTGACAAAAACAACCAAATTTCTCATTCACATTTCATATAAAACCAGAATTTTCACATCATTTGCAATTTTATTTATAAAAAAGTTTTAATCATTGATTATCAGACACTTAAACGACATGAATAAAGTTCAATGGAATAAAAAAAATGAGCAGATATAGTCAAAGTAAGTGCAGTCACACAGATTATCACGTTTCCATCTTTTGGAAACATGTGCAGTCAATGGAAAACCAAAACATGTACGACAACATTAACGACAGCTGCATCACAACACAGACACACAAGAGCTTATCTAAAGGTTTCATTCAGTAAAGAAATTCATATTTTCCCTCACAGAAACTTTCACAGAGGATTCATTTATTATCTCACCTCAGAAAAGTTTTTACAAAAACAAAGAAAAACTTTGAACATTTGAAGCTGCTAAAATGCTGGAGGCCACCAGGGGGCTGAAGAGCAGTATATTCATTCACAAATGCAACATGATATTCTCTTTTAGGAGTTTACTTTTAAATATAATTCAAATATTCAGTTCAAGCTTTAGTCTCCCCAAACTCCTAAGAATATCACCTGATTATTTTTTCATCTTTTGGCCAAATTTGGAGCTAAATGAGGCTGAAAAGCTCCTTTCAGTAACTGACTCCTCTCACTGTGACATAGTTGTGCTTTCTGCAGCTTTAAATGCAAAGTTAAAAGTTATTCAGAACTCTTTCAAAAATATTAGTACTCTACAATTGTTGATTTGAATTAATGTAACATTTCCTGAATCATAACATTTCTATAAATTTGGCACAGAGCGAATATAAACACATCAGACATTTGAGAAACTCGTTTACACAGAGAGACGTCTAAACTTTCAACACTCGGTCACAGCAGAAAGTTCAGGGAGAAATTTCAGAGTTTAATCTGATTCTTTCGAGTGGATTAAACCCTAAAAAAAAAAAGTTTATGTAGACGATCATGACTTCCCGTGTCTGAAGCTGTGTTCACACATGCGCTCCTGAAAAATTCCTGAAAACTTTCCAAAAAGTTTCAAGTTCGGCTGTACGTGTGAACACAAACAGCCCATCTTTTACCCCAACTTGACTCACACATTTTTGGAAAAGTCTGGAGGACTTCAGATAAAATCCAGGCAAGAGGTCGAGGTGAGACGATACAAAGATTCACGTGAGAAATATCCAGAAAAATTCACATCGACAGGGAACATAAAACATGTAGAAACAAGCAAATTTGGAAAATGTCAGGATCGGAGCTCCTGAAATTTCTGTTTTTACACGTATACTTAAATCTGGAAATTTCCCAGAAATGATCAGGATGGGCTGCATGTGTGAACACCAATTTTCTCCCTCAACTTTATTTTAAAACTAGTAATAAAACCACTTTACTCCTTTTGTCAGACACATACACAGGTAAAAAAAAAGCGCTCTGAGAAAGAGTTGATTTGTGCTTCCTGTGAAAACAAAACATCTCTTCCTCCTTCAGGTCATTTTTTGGAGTCTTGGCGTAATTTGAGCCCCAAACATGATTCACTTTATAAAGTTCAGGCGACCTTATAAAGTCTTACAGTACTCATTTCTTTGTACATCGCTGTGTCTCAGCGTCCTAACACTTATTTTCCAGATAAAAACTTTAACATCTATTCTCCTCCTTCAGATCCATCGACACCAAACAGCTGAGGTTTCATTTTTCGTAATGTAACGTTTCTTTTTTTAACACCTGTATATTGCTGCTTTAAATATAAAGACGAAAACGAGTCACGTTTTCTATACACTTGGGATTATTGAACGCACAAGAAGTGATTGAATCCTTTCTTCTTCCTTCTTGCAGAAATATCAAAATTCCCTTAAAAACACGCCACAGTCATGTTAAAATAAACAGTATTTCTACTCCGTTAAAATGCAGAAGCTGTTTCAGCAGCATTTATCGTCTAAAACAGACTCTTCCCTGTATTATTCTCTATTTCTGCACTGCTGGTTGATGTGAAGGCACAATGAAACACTGAGGAGTTTTACCATGACATGATCATTTCATATTTAAACACACACGATTAACGCTTCTATTACCTGCTACTGTTTCAGCTGCATGAGATAAGTTCTTCATAGCTGACTGACATGATTACACAGAAACCAGCTGTTTGTTCTTGGATTTACACATTTCCCTGATAGTTTGTTCAGCTGCAGACAGCGTCATTTTACATTTAACACCGATAAAGTCTAAAAAGTGAAAGCTGCACCCATCGTAGACCACGTCAAGAGGTCCAAACTTCATTCTCTGGGTTTATATCAGGTCAAAAACCTCATTAAGGCGAAATGAGATCACGTCCGTCAATCAAAGTAAAATATTTGAAAGGTTAATGATGAATAAAAGAACTTTTTGTTTGTTTTATTCTATTTTTTAAACGAACTTTTTATCAGTTTTAATTCATCTGAATGTGTTTGAGTGTTTTTCCGCCTCTACATCTGTGTGCATTAGTCTGCACCTTCCTCCCAAATCTCCAACAGCCAATCAGTGCTCTTCTACTAACTCCGCCCACTCAGATCATCACTTAGAAACTGAGAGGCTGCACTGGAGCTGATTTTTCAATGTTTTTTTTTTTTTTACTAAATTCAAAACCATGCAGAAAGTACCATCATATGGGACTTTTTGTGTCATATTTTCACATCTTACAGATTGATGCATGTCCAGGAATCGACCATTTTCCATTTTCTTCCTCTTATCGATATGTCAGTAACGTGATTTGGGTGTAAAACTCTTCTTTCAGTTTCCTCAGGATAAAAATGGCACTTTTTGATCAAAAAGAAACTTCAGAAGTCTTTAGAAAAATCACAGCTCAAGTTTTAAAATAGAAATGAGGTTTCTTTGTTTGTTTGTTTTCTGCTGTTGGACCTGAATTTGTTCTCCAGACCACTTAAGTCTGATGTTTGGTCACTCAAAAAAGCCAAGCTCAACTCTCAACGCTTGAAAAAACACTTACAGTATATCAAAAATGCATCAGATACATTTGAATGTTTTATATCATATATGTGAATACTTTCGTCGTGTCTTTTATATGCACTAAACTACAGTAACTGGTGTCACCATGTCATTGAGCTCCTTCGGCTTTTTAGCAGAAACACACCGTCTGACTCCAATTTAACACACCGGGAAAATCCACACCACCAAAACCAACAATCTGCAAACCTTCCCGGTGTTCGACTTTGCAGTTAAAAGTCAAAGTTTTTGCTTCATTTTTACCTTTAAGTTTAAGGATTTCAGCCCTTCTTTCAACATGTCTCTGTGCAAAAAAATAAACATGTTTTAGTAAATATTTACATTCAGAAAAGTGTCGTGTGTTGCTGTAAAATGTTCTCCGGAGCTCAGAGTGACTTGGTCCTTTAAGTGCAGCTCACATGCAAACAGTAAATATAAATAATATTAAATATTTCTACTCAGGCCTCTCAGGCGTTTTTTCACATCACAAACTTTGGAAACCATCCGTCCGATGTCTGCCGCTTTCTTCACTCGTTTCTTGATGTGATATCCTGAAAAAAAAGGACAAAATCAGAACAAGCTTGCATTTATATTTCCTCGCTGAAACTCAGAGAGAAGTTTGTTTGATTCGAGGCTCACCTCTGTCTTCGCCTTCCTCCACTCGCCCATCGGCCCCGACTTGGTCAGAACTGAAAGAGATCACATTGTCTTAAAAACACAGACCTTAAAGACACAGGATCTCGTAAACTGAATTGTGCAGCACTCACTCATGACTGTTGTGATCATCATGAACACAGTTGATGTAATCATTGCGCTCCAAAGGAAACACCTGAAGGGAAGAAAAGTTGGAGCACGACTGAGTGTCAAGATCAAGATTCAGGGTGGACACGCATGTTTTAAAAAGTTCTTGTTATCTTTTTCTGCAGTACCTCTGATGGCCACTAGAGGCTTGAAGTTGATTATAGACCTCGCTATATTAAAACTAGAGCCGCAGCTATCGAGTATTTTAGTAATCGAGTATTCTACAGAATATTCTATCGATTACTTGAATAATTGGACCCAAACGGCCGACTCACATAAAGAGGCCAGACTCGGAGGAATAGAGGACAATCGCGGAACATGCATCTGCGTTAGCGGATTGCAATGTTTGTACGAAAGCTAATTATGATACTAACTTTCATCATGCCCCCAAAGACATTAGTGTCTGAGAGATGAATAGCTCCGATGTGACCTGCTTCTGCTATGACACCAGCAACGTTAGGCTACAAGCTAGCATGAAGAGAAGTGTGCAGAGTCGCTACGTTGGCAACACAGCAAGAAAAGCCCCTCTCGTTATTTATTTTTTCTGCTCCACAAAACCTAAACAGAGCTCACTACTTCTTCTACCATGTTGACATTAGCACATTGTGTCACCTTCAAAAGAATCTGTGTGAAACGTTGACGATTTGAGCTTATAAACGAGAACTCGAGACAGAGAAAATTCCTCGATCATTATTTGTAATCGAGGTACTTGAGGTATTCGAGGAATCGTTTCAGCCCTAATTAAAACAAATGAAAATACCCACTAGGATTTCTTCTGGATTACACCTGTCTCAGAGTGTTTGTAGAATTTGGAAACAAACTTGTGTTTTAACCAAATGTTCTCAAAACCAATAAAAAAGTCTTACCCTGAATATAAAGCAGAGAGAATGAAGAGGGTGAAGATGAAGAGGAGGAGGGCTTTCATCGTTAAACCTGAAAGATACAAACAAAAGAACATTTCAGAGAAACAGACAAAACAAGTAAAAAACAACAACATACAAGAGTATCAGTGATAACTTTAACCTCAGACTATAATCAGGCTAAGATTTGAGGTAGAATTTACCCCAAAGTGTCTAAAACTGCAGTTCCTCAAAAGTCCTCTAGGGGCTGTTTTCGAAAGTGAGTCAGTCCCCATAGAGCCTCATGTTAAAATGTCCAAATTAACAACTGGAACAAACATGTTTACAGCCAGAGACATAAAAAGGAGCTGAACATTTTTTGTATAACTAACGAGTTTATATCAAATAAAAGTTTAAAGTGTGCAAGATTTGGGGGTGTGGCCTCTTTGAGTGACAGGGGAGAGCTGCTAAGAGTCACCTCAGCTAGTTCAGTCGCTGAATTTAGCTTTTGAGCGGTCTTTATGGTGTCCGAGGATTTTGATGAAATTTTTTGCAAATATCGGAAAAATAATCCAGTTATCTGACCGGACTAACAGACCATGCTATTTCCGTATATTTCTGATGCAGTTTTTAATATTTCAAATGAAAAAAAAACACAACTGGCCAATCATTACAATCAGCTGACACTCACCTGTTTGCTCAGGTGAGGCCTGACAGCAGCAGCTGCTTGTGTAAAAGACCGAGGGAGGTGGGACTTCAGAAAGGCCGCCCAGCGTTTGGGTGAACTGCTCCTTTGATTGACAGATCTCTGAACAAATCTCCTCCTGGATGATCATCTTCTGAGGCGGGGCTTCTTTGTCAGGAGGGGGCAGGATCTCAGTGGGGTCTAAAAAGAGAAGAAAGGATAAATCTCTGAACCTCAGGGGTCCCACACTGCTCTGTCCTTGGTCCTGTTTTAATAAGATTTTTATACAAATGGCCTTTTTTTTAAACCTTCAAATAAACTTCGAAACTTTTCATCTGAACTGAAACCAACCGTAAGTGAAGCTGCGGCTGTCGTCCAGCTCAGTGCTGTTCAATCGAGTCCACGTCGGTTCATCCAAAGCAGTCAGGCCCTCTTGACTGCTCCTCGCCCAGTCCTGATCAAAGTCTTTGTCAAAGTCTTGGTCCCAGTTCTGGTTTTGATTCTGTCCTGTGCCGAACACGCCTCTGAAGACCTTCTCATCCAGCCAGGACTGGCAGCTCTCCGTCACATCGCTCAGCAGGCGAGCCAGCGAGCCGCGAGGCCGCCGCCTGCGTCTGAAAACCCTGAGAGACCAAAACCCAGAGTCAGAATGGGCTGAACTTGACTTCCATAGCCTGCCTGGACTAACACCATGCTCATTTGTTATGTTAATATAGTGCAGCTGTAAGGATTCTGGTTTATTTAGACCACAAACTCCATTTCTCACCTGACCAGGTTCTCCTTATAGGACACGTTGGTTTTGCAGGGAGTCAGGGACACGTTGCCTTCGTCGTCCCAGGTGAAGCTGTCGTCTGTGACGCTGTAGTACCCATTAGTGAGGAGGCGTGGCGATCGGCGGCAGGAGCATGGGTCTCCGCCCTCCGCGGAGGAGTAACAGACGTACGAGGAGTCAGGAGAGAGGAGGGACGTGTCCAAACTGAGAGAGACACAGACGATGGAGGGGGGTTAGTGTGAAGTAGACCAGGAAAATACCAGTAAAACAACAAACTAAACTGACCCTGTATGTGAACACATAAAGAGAGTATTTGTCTTTTGGACTCTGACCACAACTTTTTGGAGTTATCCTATTTTTATCAGCATAGAAACTACAGTTCCGTAAATGTCCACTAGAGGGCTGGCTCCAGAGTGACTAGAAACCTTATACACACCCATTCAAAACAGCTCATCTTTACAGCAACCAAACAAGTTAAAGGGATATTCCGGCATAAAATTAATTTAGGGTCAAACACACATTAACACAGAGTTAGACACCTCCTCAAGAGATGAATGTTACTGACTGCTAGAAAACAGCCTCATAAATTTTTTTTCTTTTTATGCTAATAGCTCAAAATTTACCCAAACACACATCACAAGTATAAATGTTTTTATTACTCATAAATTTTAAAGAAATTCAGGTGACAAGTTTGACCAATTAGAGGCTTTGTCTGACTAACAGGCACACTAACGTCTTTTTTAAGCTCTATAAAAATAACATTTTTCGGCTATCCCAGTTTTTAACTTGATCAGTTTAAACAAGTTAAAGCTCCTGTGAGGAACTTTCTGTCTTTGCTGACTCTGAGTGGTCGATCTTTGTATTGTTGCAGAATTTGATGCTACCTGAAATTCTCCTCCTGTTGTCTTTTTACAGTGACATTTATCACACAGCATGAGTGGGACGAGTAACTAAGGCTGTTTATCCTTCATACCGACCCCCTTACATCAGTTACAAGCACTAAAAATGACATTAAGTTAATGTCAATCTTGTTTAAAATAGTCTCATTTGCTTTTTTAGCTTATAGAAATCCATCACTGTTTATTTCGGTCCATTTCATAAATACTGAAAAACCCCTTACAGGAGCTTTAAAGTTGAAAAGAATTGTATAAAAGTAAAGGTGAAGTTTTTACCTCTGACAGGACTGATAGGCCCTCAGCCGTCGTTTAATCGGTGAACCTGAACAAAAGAGACCAGAACAGACCGTTTCAGTGACAGACAGGTACAAACACACTCAGTCATGTAACATGTGTGTGTCTCTGTTTCTGCTCCGCGGCTTTGCTTCTATAAAAAGACGAGGTGACGTTTATCAGCTTGAAGAGCCGGGGAGCGCTCCTCAGGTCAGCCACTTGAGTAAATTTACTCTGCTGAGAAGAGGTGACGTAACGCTGATAAACGCTCTGCAGGAATGTGGAGGACAGGGAGCTCATTGTTCTGTCATCTTCAACATCATCTGAGAAACTTTAACATGGATATATGAAACAGCCCGCAGCAGAGAAACAGGCGGCAACGTAATACTTGGAACAGGGCCGATGAAAAGTTCTTGTTTTGTCACTGACAGGTTCAAATTGCTATTCTGAGTGTGTGATAACATCTCTGCATAAAGTGGTGGTTTTCAGCTCCTGAGTACGAGTCCATGCATTAAAGGGATATTCCGGCATAAAATTAAGTTAGGGTCAAACACACCACAACACTGAGTTATACGCCGGAATATCCCTTTAATCTCTCACATTATAGTTTTAATGTCTTCAAACTGATAAACCTTTTAGTCCTTATTTGGTTCCACACAACTTTCACTCAGAAGAGGTAATTTCTTCAAGTTTTTCCTCGCCACTGTCACTTTATGTTAGATGAGATGGGCCAAATCCCATCGTCAGTTGGGTCTGGATAATTCATCAAACAATGAGCGTGGTCTAGACCTTTTTTCTTTGGAAAGCATCTTGGGATGACGACTGTTGTGAATTGGCGATACAAAAGTAAAATTTGATTTGATTTATGATATTAAAGCTCCTCTTGTGTCAAATTTAGCGCCCTCTGGTGGACAAACCACTCTTAGCTTGTCTTGTCTTCCACATACTTGGACAGCATCTTCAGAAAAAAATTTATGATCGTCAAATTCATCCTTTACTTTGAATATTTTAGGAGGAAAACATAAAAACAGGGCTGCTTGAGCTGATTGGTCGATACCTACCCCCCCTTCACCAGATTCAGGCATTAAAAATGAGGATATAAAAATCACCAACAGAGCCGCTGATGATCTTGTTTGCTTTGAGATGTCTTAAAAAGGCATCAGTGTGAATTTTAGTTTGTTTCATAAATGTCAAAAAAGTCCTCAGAGGAGCTTTAAGTTATATTTTTGAGCGTCATAGTTGAGACGGCTGAAGACAGACAGGAAATACGTGCGGGAGAAGATATGCAGCAAAGGGAATTGAACCAGCGACCACTGCAACCAAAGTAAGAGTAGAAAAACATGAAGAGCTCCTTTATCCAGTTTGAATTGAAACACTTTGTCACTTTCTGTTTTAGGTTTTCCTGAACGAAACTGTAATTTCTTCAAATTTTAACATCTGAGGCAAAGTTTTTCATCTTGGACACAATATTTTGTAGTGGTCTTGCTTGTTTTGTGCAGCAGACTCATTAGATATTCTCAGACTGAGCGTATTAGTGTGCACGTTTGTGCTGCTGACATACTTGTAACGGCTCCGGAGAAGAACAGAGTCATGTTTGTCTGCAGCCGGGCGTCTTTTCTGGATCTGTGAAAGACATCAGAAACACGACACCAGCAGTTAGAAACACACCCACCTGTTTCTTTTCAAAGCAGCAGATTTTGAGCCAGAGTCTCTCGTGATCTGTGTTTTTTTTTCTGCTTTTTTTCATCGGACACAGATAGTAACTTTTTATGAAAATAAAGAGCCAAAGCAGTCTGCAATCTGTCCCCACACGTCTGAAATAATATAAAATTATCATTTACAGATTCAGCCTCAAAGCACAGACAAATAAAAATCCAGAAATCAAAGTCATCAAAAAGTAACCTGATCAGAACTGAACCATTAGACTGGGTCAAACACCAGATACAGGATAGTTTCAAAGAACCAGGAATTACACCAGAGACCAAACCAAACCAAACTAAAGAAGAAAAAACATTTTTACAATAGCAGACATTTAAACTGTATATTTGACACTGGAAACGCTGAATCTCTACGATGGTGGTGTTGATTGAGTAGACAGAAGGACTGTAAAAATATAAGACTTTATCCCTTCAAGTAATCCAATAAAAAGCATCAATATCAAATTTAAAATCTCAACAAACTACAACACGTTATTGTCGTCCTTTTAGTCAAAATACACAAAATACAAACAGCTGACATGCACCTGTGCACTAACTGAGCTGCTGTACTTTAGCGTGCAGCAATAAAATAAAACTTTATAAAAGTAAAATAGAAATTAACTTTTATAAATAAGTTAAAAAACGTTTCAAAGCAGGAGAAAATACATGCAGTATTTCCTCAGGGGGTCTGTGCATTCGTGCAGGAAGATGCATATAAACAACACAGAGGGTAACGTAACAGACAATGTCCAGAGTGTGTTTATGTAAGACAATAATCTGATTACTGTGATTTAAAGTTAGGGCAGAAAACTCGTTAAAAAGTCTATTTACAAAAACTTTTCATTTCTTTCTGATGCAAACACTCTGACAGCAGCTTCAAGTCCAGAAGACGATAAAGATAAACTCCAACAAAGAGGAGAGACAAGCAGAACAGCCCCTCTCCTCTCCCCTGATCTGCTCTCTGTTAACTTAACAAAGCTCAGACAAGATCAGAGCCCTGCTGGGATTAACTGAATTAAGACCCTCTGAGGTAATATAACTTTAATCCAGATTGATTAGACAGAAGAATAAACACAGAGTGTCCAAAAAGAAACACTGCAAAGTTTCAAAGACTTGCCTCGAAACTTCTTCTTCCTGCTCAGACGTCGTCCTGGTCGTCGTCGTCTCGGGCTGTGGGTGAAGAGTTTTACTGTTGTCGTTCTCTCACATCCTCAGCAGCCTGAGAGAAAAAAAAAAAAAAAAGAGAAGAAAAACAAAAGGGCTGTGACTCTGAGCTCATGTTTCCTGTTAACCCCGTGAGTGCTGGAGAGTCTTGGAGAGTCAGTCCGAGTTCCTGCAGAGGTGGAATCACATGTTACTCCCTGTGACTTCATGAGCCGAGAGGACGGTGAGACATCAGGGGCACGGGAGCGGGACAGGACAGATTAGCGGCTATCTTTGTGCCTGACTCCAGTTTACATCATGACTCGGGTTCACTTTTAGTCCAGACGGTTCATCACAGTGACCCGTGCAGCAGGACTAACATTAAAGAACCACTTTAGAGAAGAAAGTGACAAAACTGACCAGCTAACAGGACTTAAATCCACACAGGTGACAAACCATCCAAAAATAATCAATGTTTTGACAGGATTTTCCTGTGAGGCCTTAAATCTAGGGGTGTCCCGATACAACTTTTTCACCTCTGATACTATTGTAGCCTTCAGTATAGTCCGATGCCGATATTGGTCGGATGTTAGCACAAAAATCACTCCTACTCTTTGGTACTTTGTTTGTATCTTAGTACACACTGTTGTTGTGATCACATGGGCTCTACATGCTGGATCCGGGTGCTGCTAGCTAGAGGTGCTGGAGCGGAGTCTGGAATGGACTGCTTTTATCTGAGTGCTGATATCTCAGAGTTTAGATGCAGGCCGATATAACCTGATATTAGATTTTTTTTATATCGGACTGATTTCCGATATCAATATTGTATCAGGACACCCCTACTTGAATCAGTTCAATTCCTACCCAGAAAACTAACTCATGGGGTTCCACAGGGCTCAGTTCTGGGTCCAGCTCTTTTTCCATTTACATGATTCAACTCGATGATATCATTGGTGAATATGTCCATCCATCCGTCCATCCATTTTCTACAATTTCAGTATTGTATTGGAAGTAAAAAGAGTCGTATCGGGACACCCCTATAAAAATCTAAGAAACTTAAATCAATCAATAAATAAGTGAATATTACAATATTTACGTCAAAGTTACCAATAGAGCCGAAACAAGTCAAATTAATTTGGTTTGATTAAGTCCATTAATAATAAGTAGTAATGTTTGATTTTTTTATACATATAATCTGCATTTACATTATTAAACATGTTCTTTATTCAGGTTATATTGTTCATGTATAAAGAAGAACTTTGTGTTTTTTTAGTTTGGTAAGTGGTTAATACTGGGGGCACCTGTCCTGACATTATATATATGGATATGTTTGTTTAAAGACTGCTCAATAGTTAGTAATAGTGATGATTTTTTTACACTTTGGTTTGCTTGTTTGTTTTTACAAAAGAAATACGACTGGATGATGGTCTTCTCTGTCCTGCAAACTCCACACTCCCTTCAGTGCATTGGTGGCTTTTTGGTTATTCAAATTTTGATCTGGGTACATTTCTAAACAAAATACAAACAAACAAACGTTTCTTTTCCTTTTTCAGGATGTGTTTGTTTTAGAAAACAAAAACCAGCGTGGGGAGCAGACAAAGAAACCGAGAAGAGAGGTTGATTTGTGGTTTTTCTTTCTAGACGAGTCTCTGTACAGAGACACTCTTGTTTGAGAACAGAAGAGAAACAGCTTTAGCACGAGTGAACATGTCCGCTTTGTGTATGTTGAGTTTAAACACAATTTGCAGGGTGAGAGGCGTCTCTTTGTTGCTTTTCTGCATGCATGATCATTGGATGTTTGCAGTGAATGGCGAGAAAGAAAAACAACCTGTTTATTTTAACATCTGAGTGTGAAAAAATCCAAACACATCCACAATGTAAGAACGCTCCTCCTCCTCTTCTTCTCTGCTGATTTAACACCAGTTTCACTCTTTAATTGGACCTCATTTCACAGCCTATGTAATCCCCCCTTCATATCATATGGACCCTTCCAACCCTGCTCTTTTTTTCCCAGCAAGCCTTGCAGCATCACTGAGTCTTGGCTGGAGCTGCTGATGTTGGAGGAAAATGCGTAGCAGGAAACACAAAGATGGATCAAACCATTTCACCCTGAGGAGAAGCAGCTCTCACATCACACACACACACACACACACTCACTCACACACACACACACACACACACACACACACACACACACACACACACTCACTCAGCTGTCTGTAAATGTGGAGTTTATCTTCTTACCTTCAGTTTTAATGAGATTTCAGGCTTTATTTGAGTGTAAATAACCTTTATTTTAAATTGCACACCTCTATTTGCACTCTAAGATCAGAGCTGCTCATGCATTTTTGCACATATTTTTATACATATATTTATATTAACACCAGTTTTGCTCTACTGTCTCCCAATTTCTATAAAAACAATATAAGGTATCAAACATATTTGAAGTATGTTTCCTATGAAAATCATTTGTGCCTTAAACTGTGTTATGGAGATATTAATAGCTGCTGAATTCCTGTAATATTTCCACGATAAAGTCACTCTATTTTTAATTTACAGCGTTATTTCTGGAAAATACTATTTGTTTTTGGTCATTTTTGAATCTATTTAAACTATTTAATCGTTCACTCCTGATAGTTCAGATTTTTTTAAAAAAGTTACTTTTAATTTCCAATACAAAACAATAAAAGTTAAATATGTTAAACTCAATAAAGAAGGTGCACATTGCAAAAACTGTAAAAACATCCGAGCCTCACAGCTGAAAAATGTACTTAATCGTAAATTTATGTCGATTGCAGCTGAATGTTTGCAACAAACCCAGACAAAGGAAAAATAACGGACTCAAACTGAACTCACCGCTTTGTTTTCCTCCACAGTTTTCGGTCCAAAGTGAAGAAAAAAAACAGACTTCAGTTTTTCTTTTCGTTGAAAGTTAATCTTTTGATTTCTCTGTTTTTTCTCCTCCAGTTTTTCTGTTTTAAAGCCTCACTGTTTCTCCTCTTCCGACTCAAACACACAGCCTGTCAGACGCTCCGCAGCTGTGACCGGGCCTCGCCCACTGACAGGAAACGACAAAGACTGCCAAAGTAAAACACTACATAGCTTCCGGTTAGAGCTTTCAAAGTAAAACAAACGCGGTAAAATCACAGATGATTCACAAGTACAGTTCCCACATTTGTGCAAAAGAATAAAAAAACTGTAATTGCCTTTAGTAGGTAAAATGTAAATAGAGAATCCTATGGGTGCCATACTGTTAAATAAACTGTAAAAAAAGTGTCATCATAATGCCCTACCACTGGATAAAATGGAAACGGGGTGTACTCGTGATGCCCTACAATAAGAGTTAATTAGAAAAATGTGTCTTGGATAAAATGTTTCATAAAGTGTTCTGATGAGATCATTCCATTGGATAAAATGTAAACAAAGTGTCCTCATTATATAATACCATGGCATTTAATGTAAACAAAGTGGTTTTATAATACAATACCATTGGATTAAATGTAAACAAAGTGGTCTCATTATGTAATACCACTGCATAAAATGTAAAAAAAGTGTCATCATAATCATACACTATTGGATAAAATGTAAACAAAGTGACCTTGTAATGCCCTCCAATTAAATGTAAAAAAGTGTCCTAATAATGACCTACCATTGGAAAAAATGTAAACAGAGTGTTCTCATAATATAATACCGTTGAATAAAATGTAAACAAAGTGGTCTCATTAGATAATACCATAGGTAAAAATGTAAACAAAGTGTTCTCATAATAGAATACCATTGGATTAAATGTAAACAAAGTGTCCTCATGATGCCCTACTATTGCGTAAAATGTAAACAAATATCATTGTGGTTTCCTCACTGTGGACAAACTGTAAACAAAGTGAAGTGCAAAATTATATAGTCCTCATATACAACAACTTCTTCTTTTCATCCTCAGAATGACTAACAATGTGATTCTCATGTCTTGATAGATTTTTTCTTCCACATATATCCTTTATTATTAAGTTGCATAATCAAACCTTAGATTGCGTGAGGCGGTATCACCTGATATTCTTTGCTGTGCAGATTCAGCTGTACCCTATTCTTCTTAAACCTCATGTGTTAGTTTGGGTCAGACCTGACCTTTGCCCTTTTTCCTGTTATAAGCTCACTGAGACTGCCTCAGCGAGGTTCAATAACTCAGACTGTTTACACACTTTCTGTTGCTGTTTCTCCTGTAATAAAATATTCAAAGACAGCTGATTGACTCAAGATCCTTTATTGATTGTTATCATAAAACAAGAAATTTCCCAAACAGAAGTGTACCTTAGTGTTCTTCAAAAGGATAGAATGTAAACGAATAAAAAAAGTGTAACATGTTCGAAGCTTTTTTATGACATATGATTATGATATTTCTGGACATTCAAATATCCACACACATCATCATAAGCAGCGGTAGCCTCCATTGCAGAAAACACAGAAGACTCTAAACCCTAAGAATTGATCTTCAGATGTCAAAGTACTGATCATGATATTTAATCTGTGTGAAAAGAGAAAATACCAAAACAATCAGCTGTCAGAAACAAACCTGAGGACAGAGTAAGATTTAGATCGAAAACAGAATCAAACCTGCTGTCGCTAAAATCAGTTCTGACTATTTCAATTCACTGAACTCAGCCTCGGATCCAAAAGTAAAAAATAAATGCCACAATGTGAGCCCAGCATGTAGAGGCTCAGTGAATGTGGTCTGGACTCTGTGGAGGAGAGTCATGGTTTCAGAGACACTGTAGAAAGACAGAATACCTGCTCTGTGATCCAGGTACACTCCCACTTTGTAGGACTGAGGGCTTGAGACACGTGTACAAACGTTGTTGTTCCAAAAGTTATATCCAACATTGTTACAATATAATCCCCAGGATCTGTCATTGTGTCCAAATACACATGTGTCTGAGCTCCCTGATCTGTTGATACTTTTGTATGAAACTGCCACACAAACTCCTCTTCCTCTCCACCCCACCTCCCAGTAACAACGTCCAGTCAGACTCTCTTTACTCAGAACCTGAAATAAATCAGTAAATCTGTCCGGGTGACGAGAGTAAACCTGTTGTTTCCACGTAGTTGTTGCTTTTCTGTTCTCTTTAGATAAAAATACACGTGCATGTGCAGTGTTTGGATCCAGTGTGATGTTGCATGAATATTTTAAGAACTCAGCTCTGGTCTTGGGTTCTGGTCCTGACAGTAAAACATCCACATCGGCCACAGTCTTTGAGATGTTTCTCCATTTCTCTCTGAGAACATCTTGCACTTTGTCTCTGACTTCTCTCACAGCTGCTGTCACGTCCTCAAAGTACCTCAGATTTTTGATTTCATTGATGGGTGAATGTGTAGATGTACTGATTGCTGACAGTGAGTGGTAGTTTTGTAGAAACTGGTTGTGGTCCTCTATGAGTGAGAACTTCTGCAGATCAGTGTCTTTCCTCTTCAGCTCAGTGATCTCCTGCTTCATCTCCTCCTGAAGCTCTCTGACTCGACTCACTTCAGTTTCCTGCTGGGATCTGACCTGCTGCTTCACATCAGAGCGTCTTTTCTCCATGAGACGGATCAGTTCAGTGAAGATCTTCTCACTGTTCTCCACAGCTTTATCAGCAGAGCGATTGATAACCTCCACCTCCTTTTGAAGCAGCTTCACATCACTCTCTCTATCTTGGACTTTCTTCTGGATGTTTCTTTGACTCACCTCCAGATCTTTCTGCCTCTCGGCTCTTTCTGCTGCAGCTGAGACTGTGTCGTGGCCTTTATGTTGAGCCACAGGGCAGAGATAACAGATAGACTTCTGATCAGTACGACAGAACATCTTCATCACCTCATTGTGAAGTGAGCAGACGTTCTCCTGGAGGTTCTTGGACGGCTCCACCAGCTTGTGTTTCTTTAATGGAGGTGCCTCAAAATGAGCCTGAGAGTGATTTTGACAGTAAGAGGCCAGACACTGCAGACAAGACTTGATGGCTTTCCGTTTCCTCCCAGTGCAGACATCACAGGCCACATCTTCAGGTCCAGCATAGCAGTGGTCTGCAGGAGCATTTTGGAGTCCAGTCTTCTTCAGACTCGCCACTAAATCTGCTAACATGGTGTTTTTCTTCAGGACAGGCTTCTGTGCAAAGACCTGTCTGCACTGAGGGCAGCTGTAGTTTCCCCTCTCATCCTCTCCACCCCAGTGTCTTTGGATACAGTTCCTGCAGTAGTTGTGTCCACAGGGGATTGTCACTGGATACTTCAGGAGATCCAAACAGATAGAACAGGAGAATCTCTCTCGGTACACTTGGTTTCCTCTCTGAGCCATTTTGCCTCTGAGTTATGACGGAGTGAGTTTCATTTCCTCAGAAACAAGTTAAGTTTCACCTCTGATCTAAACAGCATGTGTCTCTGTGAGGAACAGGGCCTGCTTGCTCTTGTAATTCAGCCATGTTGGTCTTACCCATCCATCAGCCGTCGGTCTGTAGATCTGAGGGGGAGGGAACACAGAAGTCTGGGGACAGAGATAAGCTGTTTGTGTTTGAGGGAGGGTGCATCAAGCTGTTGTTCACTTCCAGAGGAGGAGCAGCACTGAGAATATTAACTTTGTTTCCTCATTTTCTAATAATACTATCCCAATTCCTACAAAGGTGAGATCCTGTGAAAAATGTCAGCTGAGAAAGTAAACTGAACTGGCTTCATATTTCTCCAATTCTTAATGTAAAGACTTCTCTTCAGAAAGTCAGCTCTCAAAATCACGAGACAAGCAGTAAAAAAAGAAGGTAAAACTGTAAAATCTCAGATAAACACGACATCTTTTGGAGTTAGAAAAGACTGAAAAATAAATGTTAAAGTAAAGTTATGCTCACACAAGAGACTGAAACTAGTATCAGTGTAGTTTGTTGGTCCTCTGCTGTCAGGAAGAGCTGCTGTGACTCAAACAGACCACCAGATGTCACTGTGCTTCTTGAAGTAGCTAACAGATTAGTCTGCCCATATTCACAGTCTGAGAATCATTTTAGTCACTTACTTTGTCCTCAGAAATCAGGACAGTTGAATTATTGTCAGAAGCATGTCCACCCCCTCAGTTCAATAAGATTGTGTACATGCAACTATCACCAATCACAGTTTGTTACAGAATGGAGTTAAATCACAAACATCAGAAAAGTCAAATAGAAGTGTATGTTTAAAGAAGGTTTATGTCTTTTTTCTTCTGGATGTGTTTGACACATCAGCAAACAAATAAACTTCATAGTAAAGATCTGAAAGGTCTCTGAGTAGAGCGTACACTTAAACTGAGATGAACTCTCATATTTCAATTCATTTACACAACCAGTTTGTTTGACCACGATCTCTCCATTTCAAAGAAAATAACAAATCAAAGTAGAAATGTGAGATATGATTTTATTTCACATAAAGCTGTTTGAACAAATACACCAGATCAACATGAGCAGTAGCAGAAGTATTTCTAAAAGTTCACACTTGAATAGGTTTGATTAAAACCACAACACACAGATTTTTACAATAAACAGGGTGTGTCATTTATGTGAAGACAGAGAAAGATTTAGATCGAAAACAGAATCAAACCTGCTGTCCCTAAAATCAGTTCTGACTATTTCAATTCACTGAACTCAGCCTCAGACTGAATTGAATTAATGGGACCACGGAACCCAAGACCAGCATGTAGAGGCTCAGTGAATGTGGTCTGGACTCTGTGGAGGAGAGTCATAGTTTCAGAGACACTGTAGAAAGACAGAATACCTGCTCTGTGATCCAGGTACACTCCAACTCTGGAGGACTGAGGGCCTGAGACAAGAGTGCGAATGTTGTTGTTCCAAAAGTTATATCCATCATTGTTACAATATAATACCCAGGATTTGTTGTTGTGTCCAAATCCACATTCCTCCGAGCTCCTTGATCTGTTGATACTCTTGTATGAAACTGCCACAAAAACTCTTCCTCTCCACCCCACCTCCCAGTAACAACGTCCAGTCAGACTCTTCTTACTCAGGACCTGAGGACAATCAGTGAATCTTTCTGGGTGACGAGAGTAAACCTGTTGTCTCCATATAAATGTGGCTTTTCTGTTCTCATTAGATAATAATACACATTTATGCGCAGTGTTTGGATCCAGTGTGATGTTGCGTGAATATTTAAGGAACTCAGCTCTGGTCCTTGGTTCTGGTTCTGGTTCTGACAGTAAAACATCCACTTTATCCACAGTCTTTGAGATGTTTCTCCATGTCTCCTTCAGAACGTCCTGCAGTTTGTCTCTGACTTCTCTCACAGCTGCTGTCACGTCCTCAAAGTACCTCAGATTTTTGGTTTCATTGATGGGTGAATGTGTAGATTTACTGATCGCTGACAGTGAGTGGTAGTTTTTTAGAAACTGGTTGTGGTCCTCTGTGAGTGAGAGCTTCTGCAGCTCTGCGTCTCTGCGTCTCTCCTCTTCAGCTCAGTGATCTCCTGCTTCAGCTCCTCCAGAAGCTCTCTGACTCGACTCACTTCAGTTTTCTGCTGGGATCTGACCTGCTGCTTCACATCAGAGCGTCTTTTCTCCATGAGACGGATCATCTCAGTGAAGATCTTCTCACTGTCCTCCACAGCTTTATCAGCAGAACTATTGATAACCTCCACCTCCTTTTGAAGCAGCTTCACATCACTCTCTCTGTCCTGGACTCTCTTCTGGATGTTTCTCCGACTCACCTCCAGATCTTTTTGCTTCTCAGCTCTTTCTGCTTCAGCTGAGACTATGTCATGGCCTTTATGTTCATCCACAGAGCAGAGAATACAGAAAGACTTCTGATCAGTACGACAGAACATCTTCATCACCTCATTGTGAATAGAGCAGGCGTTCTCCTGGAGGTTCTTGGACGGCTTCACCACCCTGTGTTTCTTTAATGGAGGTGACATCAAATGGTGATTGAAGTGTGTCTTACAGTAAGAGGCCAGACACTGATGACAAGACTTGATGGCTTTCCGTTTCCTCCCAGTGCAGACATCACAGGCCACATCTTCAGGTCCAGCATAGCAGGGGTCTGCAGGAGCATCTTGGAGTCCAGTCTTCTTCAGATCCTTCGATGAACCTGCTGACATGGTGTTTGTCCTCTGGTCAGGCCTCGGTAGAAAGACCTGTCTGCACTGTGGGCCTGTAGATTCCCCTCTCATCCTCTTCATCCCAGTGTCTTTGAATACAGTTTCTGCAGTAGTTTTGTCCTCAGAAGGTTGTTACTGGATCCTTTAGTAGATCCAAACAGAGAGAGCAGCAGAATCTCTCTCGGTCCACTTGGTTTTCTGTTGAGCTACTCGGCCTCTGAGTTACTACTGAGTGAGTTTCATTTCCTCAGAAACATAAGTTTCACCTCAGATCTGAACAGCGTCTGTCTCTGCGGTGAACAAGACTTGCTGTGGGGTGGGGGGGTGCAAACGTTGGTGTATAAGGGAGGGTTTATCAAGATGTTGTTCAATTCAGGAGGAGGAGCAGCACTGACACGCTCAACTTTGTTTCCTCGTTTACTAATTATACTATCCCAATTCCTACAAAGGTGAGATCCTGTGAAAAATGTCAGCTGAGTGAATTTGATTTCCTCAGGAACGTAAGTTTCACCTCAGATCTGAACAGCGTTTGTCTCTGTGGTGAACAAGGCTTGTTTGCTCTTGTAATTGTTGGTCACACCCATCCATCAGGTGTAGGCATGTGGATCTGAAAGGGGGGAAAATGAAAGTAAGAGGACAGGGTGCAGCTGTTTGTGTTTGAGGGAGGGTTAATCAAGATGTTCACTTCAGGCGGAGGAGCAGCACTGACACGCTCAACTTTGTTTCCTCATTTACTAATAATGCTATCCCAATTCCTACAAAGGTGAGATCCTGTGAAAAATGTCAGCTGCAAAGAAGACTGAACTGGCTTCATATTTCTCCAATTCTAAATGCAAAAGCTTCTTTTTGGAAAGTCAGCTCTCAAAATCGTGGAACAAGCAGTAAAAAAAGAAGGTAAAACTGTAAAATCCCAACACAGCATCTTCTGTAGTTTGGAAAGACTGAAAAATAAATGTTGAAGTAAAGTTATGCTCACCCAGGAGAGACTGAAATGACTCAAACAGACCACCAGATATCACTGTGCTTCCTGAAGTAGCTCCCCAGGCTCGTCTGCCCATATTCGCAGTCTGAGAATCATGTTAGTCACTTACCTTTTCCTCAGAAATCAGGTTAGTTAATCTTCCTCCTGTGTTACCTTATAAGGCTTCATTATCCATGAAAATATTGCTCATTATACTTTTTGTAATGAGCCTCTGGGCCTTTCTCTGTCAGTATAACCCTCACACAGACATCCATACTGAATTGATCTCATATGTCTGGACATACCCAACGTTGTTTTTTTGTGCAGGGTAAAACAGGCAAAATGAGAATTTCCTAAATCTCACATGATAATTAAGAGGATCTGACTTTCAGTGTGGTGCCTGACAGTGCACTTATATTAGTTTTTGCTTTAATTTTTAGATATTAATCTAACCGGGTCAACAGCAACCCTAACACAACACGTGCCATAATTTTAATAAGAGCATTTTATAATTTAGTCTATTTAATTTTTTGATATTTTTTTGTTAAAATAGAGGTTCCTGACAAAGTCAAAAAGTCTTGATGCAAAAAAGCTAATTTATGTGGTTCTTTGAAGCATTTAAACGCAAAAACGGGTCGGTGCAGACGCTAACACAGAAGGAGGGTTAGATTATTGTCAGAAGCATGTCCACCCCTGCCCCTGTAGGTGGCGACATGCCCCTCCTCCCCCCTTCAGCTTGTAACTGCCTTGAGTTTTGCATCCAACAAGCTTCAAAACATGTTAGCAAGAGGCTGACGGGATGTTCTCTTTTGTGAGGGGAAAGTCACGTCTTTCTTAGGTCTTTTCTTCGTCTGTGGAGATTTTGTTTAACATCTGCTTACTAGCAACATATCCAAGGTGTTCAGCAACCAGCTCAGAGCCTGGCTTTCTGATAGTAAAGATCTGAAAGGTCTCTGGGTAGAGTGTACACTCAAACTGAGATGAACTCTCATATTTCAATTCATTTACACAACCAGTTTGTTTGTTTGTATGATTTTATTTCACACAAAACTGATTAACAAATACACCAGAAGAACATGAGCAGTAGCATAATTATATTTAAAAGTACACACTTTAAGAAGTTTGATTGAACAAAAAAAAAAAAAAAAAAAATCAACGGGTATTCAGACGTCAAAGCACCGCCCACAATGTTTGATTGGCAGGTAAAGGTGTGTAACAACAAACAGCTCTCAGCCACAAACATTAAGACAAAAAGAGCTGAGGAGTTAAAACACAGAAGTGAACCACTGATCCTGAACTGCTTTTATCACAATCTACAAAACTCAGCAGTGGAAGTACAACTTAAATCCTCAAATCCAAGTCCAACAAAAAGAGGCTGAATGAAAGTGCCCTGGATAGCGTAGAGGAGAGTCATGGTTTCAGAGATGCTGTAGAAATTCAGAATACCTGCACTGTGATCCAGGTACACTCCTATTCTGGACGACCAAGGACCTGAGACAGGAGTTTCATCATTGCTGAGCACAACTTTGTAGCCGTCATTGTTACAATAAAACACACAAGATCTGTCATTGTGCCCGAACTCACAAGTATCGTGGTCTCCTGATCTGCGGATATTTTCATATGAAACTGCGACACCAACTTCTCCTCTCCACTGCACCTCCCAGTAACAACGTCCAGTCAGACTCTCTTTACTCAAGACCTGCTCTTTATAAATAAATCTGTCTGGGTGTTCAGGGTATGATTCCACACTCCGAAATTTGACTTTTCTGTTTCCCTGACACAATGACAGCCGGTAGTGTGCTGTGTTTGGATCTAGTGTGATGTCACATGAATACCTCAAGAACTCAGCTCTGGTCCTAGGCTGTGGCTGTGGTTGAAATGGTGAAACATTCGAGTCAGTCGGTGTCCCTGGGATGTTTGACCACATCTCTCTCAGAACATCTTGTAGTGCATCACTGACTGTTGTCACAGCTGCTTTCACAGCCCCAAAGTACCTCGGAGGTTCGATATTGATGCTGGAGAATGCTGTAGATCCACTGGTTGCTGACAGTGAGGGGTGGTCCAGTAGAAATTGGCTGCTATCCTGTAGATAGATAGATAGATATAGATAGATGTACTTTATTAATCCCGAAGGAAATTCAAGAGTGGTCAACTGCTCACAAGAATCAGTCACACACACATATGATATGATAAAAACAGATTATGAATAAATATCTAAAAATAAATAAAGAAATAAAGAAAAACTAATGGCAGGAGGGAGAACCAACTTGGGGACAAAGGCAGGGACAGGTAAAACAACACACCACAACAGAAACAGCGACAATGAGGACAGAAGTGTTCCAGCACTTCTGCCTTTGAGATATTCCCCCCACACCCGCTTGACTCCAGCTACTCCTACTCCTCCTCCCGTCTCTTCCTCCCGCTCAGGGAGTTGTGCAGCCTGATGGCGCGGGGGACAAACGACTTTGTGTGTCTTGTTGTTGAGGAGTTCAGTGATCGTAGTGTATATGAGACGGCTTCTTCAGCTCAGTGATCTCCTGCTTCAGCTCCTCCAGATGCTCTTTGACTCGACCCACTTTAGTTTCCTGCTGGGATCTGACCTGTTGCTTCACATCAGAGCGTCTTTTCTCCATGAGACTGATCATCTCAGTGAAGATCATCTCACTGTCCTCCACAGCTTTATCAGCAGAGCGATTGATATCCTCCAATTTCTGCTCAAGCAGCTTCATATCTCTCTCCTTGTTCCGGATTCTGAACTTCTTGCTGACTAACCTCAGGCTCTCTCTTCCTTTTGATCCTTTTCACTGTAGGACCAGATGCAGTCTTCTTCAGATCCTCCACTAAATCTGCTAACATGGTGTTTTTCTCCAGGACAGGCCTCGGTTCAAAGGTCTTTCTACACTGCGGACAGCTGTAGACTCTCCTCTCATCCTCTTCATCCCAGTGTCTTTGGATACAGTTCCTGCAGTAGTTGTGTCCACAGGAGGTTGTCACTGGATCCTTTAATAGATCCAAACAGATAGAACAGCAGAATCTCTCTCGATCCACTTGGTTTCCTCTCTGAGCCATTTTGCCTCTGAGTTATGATGAAGTTTTCATTTCCTCAGAAACACAAGATAAACAAGGCTTGTTTGCTCTTGTAATTGTTGGTCACACCCATCTGTGAATCTGAAAAAAGAGTGCAGCTGTTTGTGTTTGAGGGAGGGTTAATCAAGCCGTTGTTCACTTTAGGAGGAGGAGCAGCACTGACACGCTCACATTTGTTTCCTCATTTACTAATAATACTATCCCAATTCCAACAAAGGTGAGATCCTGAGAAAGTGTCAGCTGCAAAGAAAACTGAACTGGCTTCATATTTCTCCAATTCTAAATGTAAAGACTTCTCTTCAGAAAGTCAGCTTTCAAAATCATGAGACAAGCAGGAAAAAAGGAGGTAAAACTGTAAAATCTTGGCCTCTGAGTTACTACTGAGTAAATTTTATTTCTTCAGAAACGTAAGTTTCACCTCAGATCTGAACAGCGTTTGTCTCTGCGGTGAACAAGGCTTGTTTGCTCTTGTTATTGTTGGTCACACCCATCCTTCAGGTGTAGGTATGTGGATCTGAAAGGGGGGGAACATGGAAGTCTGAGGACAGAGTGCATCAAGCTGCTGTTCACTTCCGGAGGAGGAGCAGCACTGACACACTCACATTTGTTTCCTCATTTACTAATAATACTATCCCAATTCCTACAAAGGTGAGTTCCTGGGGAAAATCTCAGCTGCAAAGTAAACTGAACCGGCTTCATATTTCTCCAATTCTAAATGTAAAGACTTCTCTTCAGAAAGTCAGCTCTCAAAGTTGTTGTTTTGAGAACAAACACACGTTATGAAAATCTCAGATAAACACGACATCATTTGGAGTAAGGACAGACTGAAAAATAAATTTTGAAGAAAAGTTATGCTCACATAGGAGAGACTGAAATGACTCAAACACACCACCAGATGTCACTGTGCTTTCGAAGTACCTCCCCAGGTTAGTCTGCCCACATTCACAGTCTAAGAATCATTTTAGCCACTTTCTTTGTCCTCAGAAATCGGGACAGTTCACCTTCCTCCTGTGTTAGCTTTTGCTTCACACCCACTGTGTTAAGGGATGGTTTCGACATGTGTCCTAAATCAGCTGCAAACTACACTCAAAACAATTCTTTATCATCCAGTTTGGTTCTCATCTCTAGGTTACCTTATTAGGCTTCATTATTCATGAAAATATTGCTTATAATATTTTTTGTAGTGAGCCTCTGGGCCTTTCTTTCTCAGTATACCCCTCACACAGACATCCATACTGAATTGATCTCACGTCTGGACATGCCTGAAGCTGTTTTTTGTGCAGAAGAAAAACGGGCAAAATGAGAATTTCCTAAATCTCACATGATTGGAAGAGGATCTGACTGTCAGTGCACTTATATTAGTTTTTGCTTTAATTATTAGATATTAATCTAACCAGGTCAACAGCAACCCTACCACAACACATGCCATAATTTTATAATTTAGTCTATTTCATTTTTATTTAGTAAAAATAGAGGTTCCTGACAAAGTCAAAAAGTCTTGATGCAAAAAAGTTAATTTAAGTGGTTCTTTTAAGCATTAAAAAGCAAAAACAGGTCGGTGCAGACCCTAACACAGGAGGAGGGTTAAATTATTTTCAGAAGCATGTCCACCCCTGCCCCTGTAGGTGGCGACATGTCCCTTCTCCCCCTTTACCTGAAACTGCCTCGAGTTTTGCATCCAACAAGCTTCAAAACGTGTTAGCAAGAGGCTAACAGGATGGAGGTTACCTTTTGTGAGGGGAAAGTCACGTCTGTTATAAGCTCATTGAGACTGCCTCAGTGAGGTTCAATAACTCACTGTTTACACACTCTCTGTTGCTGTTTCTCCTGTAATAAAATATTCAAAGACAGCTGACTGACTCAAGATTCTTTATTGATTCTTGTTATAAACCAAAAAGTTTCCCAAACAGAAGTGCCCCTCGGTGTTCTTCCTGAGGAACATTCAAATATCCACATACATCATCACAAGCAGCGATAGCCTCCATTGCATTAAAAACACTGAAGACTCTAAACCCTAAGAATTGATCTTCAGATGTCAAAGTACTGATCATAATATTTGATTTACAGTCAATCTGTGTGCAGTGAGAAAATACCAAAACAATCAGCTGTCAGAAACAAACCTGAGGACAGAGTAAGATTTAGATCAAAAACAGAATCAAACTTACTGTTCCTAAAATCAGGTCTGACTATTTCAATTTACAGAACTTTGCCTCGGGATCATCCCAAAATAATAAACTGTTAAACCCAAGTCCAGCATGTAAAGGCTCAGTAAATGTGGTATGGACTCTGTGGAGGAGAGTCATGGTTTTAGAGACACTGTAGAAAGACAGAATACCTGCTCTGTGATCTAGGTACACTCCTACTCTGGAGGATTTGGGACTGGACACATGAATGCGAACTTTGTTGTACCAAAAGTCATAGCTGTCAGTTTTACAACGTAATGCCCAGGATTTGTCATTGTGTCCAAATCTACATTCCTCTGAGTCCCCTGATCTGTTGATACTCTTGTGAGAAACTGCTACAGAAACTCCTCTTCCTTTCCACTCCACCTCCCAGTAACAACGTCCAAACAGATTCTCGTTGCTCAGAACCTGCCATAAATCAGTGAATCTGTCCGGGTGACTAGGGTAACCCTGGACTTTAAAAATGAATGTTGCTTTTCTGTTCTCCTTCGACAATAATACACATCCATGTGCAGTGTTTGGATCCAATGTGATGTTGCATGAATATTTTAAGAACTCAGCTCTGGTCTTGGGTTCTGGTTGTGACAGTAAAGCATCCACATCAGTCACAGTCTTTGAGATGTTTGTCCATGTCTCCCTCAGGACGTCCTGCAGCGTGTCTCTGACTTCTCTCACAGCTGCTGTCACGTCCTCAAAGTACCTCAGATTTTTGGTTTCATTGATGGGTGAATGTGTAGATGTACTGAGTCCTGACAGTGAGGGGTAGTTTTGTAGAAACTGGTTGTGGTCCTCTGTGAGTGAGAGCCTCTGCAGATCAGCGTCTCTCCTCTTCAGCTCAGTGATCTCCTGCTCCAGTTTCTTCCGAAGCTCTCTGACTCGACTCAATTCAGTTTTCTGCTGGGATCTGACCTGCTGCTTCACATCAGAGCGTCTTTTCTCCATGAGACTGATCATCTCAGTGAAGATCATCTCACTGTTCTCCACAGCTTTATCAGCAGAGCGATTGATAACCTCCTCCTCTTGTTGAAGCAGTTTTACTTCTTTCTCTCTGTCCTGGACTGTCTTCTGGATGTTTCTTTGACTCACCTCCAGATCTTTTTGCTTCTCAGTTCTTTCTGTTGCAGCTGGGACTGTGTCGTGGCCTTTATGTTCATCCACAGAGCAGAGAATACAGATGGACTTCTGATCAGTACGGCAGAACATCTTCATCACTTCATTGTGAATAGAGCAGATGGTCTCCTGGAGGTTCTTGGACGGCTCCACCAGCCTGTGTTTCTTAAAGGCAGGTAAGTCCAAATGAGGCTGAAGGTGATTTTCACAGTAAGAAATCAGGCACTGCAAACACGACCTGCTGGCTTTCAGTTTGTTACCAGTGCAGACATCACAGGCCACATCTTCAGGTCCAGCATGGCAGGGGGCTGCAGGAGCATCTTGGCGTCCAGTCTTCTTCAGATCCGCCACTAAATCTGCTAACATGGTGTTTTTCCTCAGGACAGGCCTCAGTACAAAGACCTGCCTGCACTGAGGGCAGCTGTAGACTCTCCTCTCATCCTCTCCATCCCAGTGTCTTTGAATACAGTTCATGCAGTAGTTGTGTCCACAGGGGATTGTCACTGGATCAGTCAGTAGATCCAAACAGATAGAACAGCAGAATCTCTCTCGGTCCACTAGGTTTCCTATCTGAGCCATTTTCCTCTTCCTCTTGGTAGAAACAGTCCCAGAGCTCTTCACTGTCTGCTCTTGTTGACTTGATGACCGTGAATAAATGTTTTTCCAAACATGTTTTTAGGATAGAAGTAATAAACAAGACGTGTTCTCAGTCACTTACAACAGGTAGTAAAGGTAGTTGGACTTCAAACTTTGAGACTTTGCTCTCGCCAGTTCGGTTATAAAAGTTAATTATTCTCTGATATTTCCTGGAATTAAAATCTAACATTAAAAAATGTCAATGTTTTATACTTTTATACAGAGTTCAGTATTGTCGTGTATATTCTTGCGTGCATAACATCATGGCCTTGAGCTTCTGCATACAAGAGCTACAAGTTTTGTCCCACAGTAATGCTGCATTCCAGTTACCTCAGAAGTTGGATGTCAGAACTGGGAATGACGTTACACCCAAGTTGACAGTGTTCCAGTTGACAAGTCGGAAAACCAAGCTAACCGTTGTTAGCTGTTGTTTACAATTGTCAGCTGTCGTTAGCCGTTGTAAGCGATTGTTAGTTGTTGATAGCGATACCAATTGTAAACGACGCATAACGCTGAATTTTACTCTTATAAACACCATAGCACCGTGTTCACAACATATAACACTTATTTAACTTCACAAAAACAAAACAGAAGTACTAATAAATGATACATAATGAGAGCTTTCACTGTTGCTCTTTACTGTTGATGCACTGCGCTGTTATCTTGGATTAAGACGTTCTTGTCAAGTCAGGGTTGGCGAGGATCGACTGACTTTAACAAGTATCATATAAAGTGTTGCCATGGTACCAGATGCAGAGCGAGGTATTGACACATGCACAGTGTATTGAGGGGTGTTGTGAGGAGTACTGCAGGAGTATTGGGTATTACCTCAAGTCACTTATCCAAACAGAAAAAGGCGGTTTCCAGCTACAGGACCTCAAACTCTCATCTCTGGTTTCCGTAGATGTTGCGTTTCTGTAGGTTCTGCTTGTAGCTAACCTACAGAAGCACAACTGTAGGCTATGCTAAGACCTCCAATAGGGACTGGGGTAGTTTCAACTACGGTTCTCTGCCAGGAAACAGAGCAAACAGTCCAACAGTTTAAGAGCAATGTCTCTTCATCTACAATTACAGGAAATGCCCATGACCTTTGACCCCTCATTCAGCACTGCATTAAGAGCCCACATCACTATGTAAAGGATATCACCACATGGCCACAGGAACACTTCAGAAAACCGTCATCAGTTAACACAGTTTGTCTCTCCTTCTATAAGAGCGAGTTCAAACTCTACCTTGCAAAGTGAAAGCCAGAAATGCTGCCAGTTCCTCTGGACCTGAGCTCATCTGTGTTCCTAAGAGTTCAAGTATGTCATCATCTGTTCATCATCTGCAAAATATCATGGAAAGATTCACATGATCTGGAGAGATCCCTGCTCAAAGGGCCCAAAACCAGTACTGGCTCCTCTACATTCCTTGTTAGCAGGAGCAGGGCGCCCTCTTGTGTTGTTCAGTGTGATGTTCACAGCAGGAAACACTGACGCTGCATTCAGGTTATTTGGAAAAGATAGGACAGACGATAAATTTGCATAACTACACTACACAATCATTTAAGGCAAAAATTGTGCAAATATGACTTTAATTTAAAAAAAATGAAGGTTGGAGATAAATAAGTGTCTTTCTGTACAAGTTCAATCCAGGACATGTTTACCTGTAATTGTTTTGTGAGTTCAGGTTGCAGGATTAAAAGTGTGCTGATATAACAAGAGTGTTTTAACATGGTGGTAAAGAACAGTAATTTCCTGTCTTCAACACTAATTAGGGTCCCTCTGTGGAGGTACATTTAGGAGAAGGATCCAGCTGCAGATTCGGGGATGTTGGTGGCATGCATGTCCCGTGTCATGTTGGACTTCTCTCTGAGTTTGGCCTGCAGCAGCGTGTGCTCCACCACGCCGATCCTCACGTCCATCTGAACGATCTCTTGCTTCAGCTTGGTCAGACTCTGTCTGATCTTCACCACAGGAGCTGCAAAACCGACACAAACAGAGGCAGCAGAAGTCAGGATCAAATCCCCACAGCTTATCTCTGCTAAAAGAAGCTGCACAAATTTGATGTCTCTTTGTTGCCTGAACAGTATCAACCAATCAGTTGTGAGCGGGTTTTGGTGTGTGCAGGAAAAACACTGTATCGAGAGCAAAAGCAGGCAGAGCACAGCGACTGTAATGATTGGATTTCTGTAATTCCCTTTTATCAGGCTGCTCTAACAGGTCTTTGAAGACTCTTCAGCTGGTCCAAAACGCTGCAACCAGAACCAGGAAGTTGCCATTGTACTACAGACAATAAACAGTAAAATACCCTAAAAGGTCATCATCACTCCCAGAGGGGTGAATCCTCATGAGACGATAGCTCATGAGTTAGGATTGTTTACAATCAAAGATGCCGCCTTTTTCACCTCCATCTGACATCTTGTTGCCTTTCTCCTCCATCTCCTGCTTTGCCTTCTCCATCTCCTCGCTGATCTGAAACAAACACCAGAATGCAGCAGGCATTCACGCCTTTTCACTGGTGTAGGCTCATTTAAAGTACAACATCCACAGAACAGATTGATGAGACCTTTTGGTTGGGACTCTATAAATCACAACAGAATCATGGTGAAAACTTTGGGGAAGAACACAACTGAATGATGAATTCATGCATTCACTGACCTCTGCCAGCACTCTGGTCCTCTCAGTCACTCCTACGCTGGCCTGTTGGTAGCGCTCCTTAGCCTGATGGAGGAGAGGGGGTGACAGTTTACTCAGACCTTTTTTGAATCTATGTTTCTGAATACAACTCAAACCCTACGTTCATGAGCCAGAAGTCACCCGTCTCTGAATTTCAGGCGCTGCAGGTGAAAACTTACCTCGCTGTGTTTGGCCTGAGCGCCGCGGTACTCCTGGATCAGATGCTCCAGCTGGTTGTTGATGTACTTCTCTCTGCTGCTCACCTTCTCCAGAGTCTTACTGATGTCCTCTTGTAATTTGTCCAGATAGCTCTGCAGAGACAAAGGACACAAAACGATAAACAAGTTGGTGAGGTTGTGAAACTGTTATGGTGTGCGGCTGAATCTCAACTTAACGCACACTTCTGATAAGCCTGTTATTGTTAAAGCAGGTCATTGAACGCACCTTTGCCTCTTTGAGGGAGGACTTGATTCCATCTCTGTGCTGATGCATCTGGTCCACGTGGATCCTCCAGTCCTGCAGATCGGCACACAAGGAGGTATGTCAGACATTAACAAGAACTCCCACTCAGTGACCCAAACAAAACAATTAAGCCAGGGATTTTCAACTAAAGTTGTACAAATTCAATCATCTTGAAGTTGTTAAGCCTGACGCTGTGATGAGCGTGCACCTTGTTGTCCGTCCTGATGGTGACTTTGAGTTGCGGCAGGACTCTCTCCACCTCCAGGTTCCACTCAGCTGCGTCGACCGTGGACTCCAGAATCTCATCTGGTTTTGAGGACGCCTCTGTTACCTATCAGGGAATAAACATGAAGACCATGAAGACCTCCTGCACAGGCGTTCAGTACGAAGCTGAGAGTTACTGAGGCTGTCAAAGAAAGAACTGTAACTTCATCACATTTCCCACAAATAAAGTGCTATCAACATTTATTTATGAGCTGATTCCTAATGTCTTTTTTTTTCAACAACTTATCAAGGTCTAAAGTCTCTGCTGTCATAAAAACTTCAGTAGCTTCAGTTTCTCTGCATAACTCACAGTGTGACTGCTTCTTAACTTCAGAGCCCCCAGGTCCATCACGTTCTCCTCCTCCTCGTCAGGCGCCTCCTGAAACATCACACACATGGACGCACAAACAAATAATGAACTTAACAGACATTTTGCAAATCCAATCATTTTTCAGGGTTCAGTTTGAACAGTTTCCTGGTTAATTTCTTGCTGTGATTTGGGTAAATCTTTATAACAAGAAAGGAAGAAGCACACATTCACAAAAACAGTTTCATTTTGTTGTTGGTACATGTGACCGAAAGAGCAAAATTTTGTCTCTAAACTCAAAGAAAAAAAAAAACCTGTGAACTGCTTGTGACTGTATTTAGTTGGGCTTACATAAGCAAATATTTCTGATCAGAATTTAAAGTTCATTCAATTCAACAAATGTATCAAAGTTTAAAGATAAGGTAGCCATGTGTTTGAGGATTTTAGATGCTGCAAGACTCAGCACCTGCCCACAACACCACAACTCCCATCAAAAGGTTTCCTGACAATGAATTATCGGATAAAAAAACTTTTTTATGATATTCTAATTTTTCAGAGATGCACCTGTAGCCCTGTGGTGATAGACTCAGACCTGTGGCTCCTTTTCTTCAGTCAATCCCTCTAAAGTTTTCTCTTTTCTTCCCGACACAAACCTCAAAAAAGCTGTCAAAGTCAGACGGACTCTGAGAGGAGAGTATAAGGAGTGGCTCTAAAATACTTGAAATGAGGACCACTGCACTTACAATCATCTCCTCTTCCACTCTGCTGAGTGTGAGCTCTGCGTCATCCTCTATCACAGACTCTTCTTCTGTGGTTTCCGTCGGGTAAAGTGGCCTTGAGCAAAAACAAAACACAGAATGTCAAAAATCAGACTTAACACAAGGGGAAAAGTGTACAAACACTCGAAAGCTGAAGAAATGTACACCTCAGACAGGACTTTGTGGTTTGTGTTGGTTCTTTAAAGATATGGTTATAACCACAGGAGCTCATAGCTGAAGCTTTAGAGTATTTCAAACGTTCAGCAGTCAGCCTTTATCACATCACTCATGCTTCTTGAATTTACCTGATAGTAGGAGAGTTTAAGTACCTTTTGTAGGAGAACCCCCTCCTCTTCAGGGCCTCGTCAGCCAGTCGGTCCAACACGAAGCAGACGTATTCTCCTGAACCATATTTCAGTTTGGAGGGCGGGAAGTCCACCTTAACACCCTGACAGACACGATATCTCGATCAGTTTCACACACAGACTCTCATCTCTGAGTTTATTCCGTCTTGATTTCCTTTTTACTGGTTTAAAATCATATATTTGTCAATTTATTTGACAAATTTATAATCACAGACAAATGTAAAAACCTATCTAACCTGCTGGTGTTGAATACTAAGGGTGTTTTCACACTGGGTCCCTTTCAGCCCTCTTAACGAACTCGGATCAATGACTCAGCATTCTTTATCTATATGTTAACACTCCAACCGTGGTCTCAGTACAGTTAGCAGTCTATCTATCCATCCATCCATCCATCCATCCATCCATCCATCTATCTATCTATCTATCTATCTATCTATCTATCTATCTATCTATCTATCTATCTACCTACCTATGTCTCTAGCTGTTTCTCACCTCTATGTCCCTAGCTGTTTCTCACCTCTATCTATGTCCCTAGCTGTTTCTCACCTCTATCTATGTCCCTAGCTGTTTCTCATCTCCCTCTTTATCCCTTATCCTTTGAACCCCTATCAATTCATGTATTCATGCCTACCTTTCAGGTGCAAGCTGAAGTCTCACATGTTGCCAGAATCAAATGTTGTTTCTATCTACAAACAAAAATGCTGGGTTGTTTCTTCAACCCAACCACTAGGTTGAGCCCATTGGTCAATTTATTTGGGTTATTTTCATGGAGTTGGGTATTCTGAGTACCCACACAAGGTTATTGATGTTGGGAACAGAGTTATGAGCTGTTGGGTTGTTATTTCTATACAGTTTTGTTGGTTTATTGTGGACTACCCAACACATTGGGTAGACGTTCAGGCATTTGAAACCAAGCTCTTTTGCTTTACCATACAGATTAATTAAAATTATTATATAGACCCTCATTTTGTTGTTAGGATGTTAGTTTGTGAAGCACTGTTGTGTACCAGCTTCTGCCTTCAGGAATGGATTGGTAGGTGAGCAGGCTAATGGTTAGCCAATGTTAGTAGCATACAGTACATTGCCTCAAATGTGGCAAGCTAACATGGTAGCTGATGTGGTGTGTGGTGTGGTCAGAAATGTTGAACTACTGCTTTAATGGACTCTCTGTCTTGATGTTTCAGGTTGATGCGAACAATAAACGGATGACTTTGTGACGTCGAGTGGAGTGGATGCAAGATACAAGCTCCTGTTCTGTACAGTTCATTTTGAAAAGATAAGAAAATATATAAAAGAAAAAAAAATGCCAAAGGTTTACAAACTCCAAAGTTCATTCTCTTTGTTCTTGAAAGAACTCAGCAGAGTAGTTATTGTGAACCAACCCAATTAGTTGGGTAAAATTAAAAGTCTATCTATCTACCTACCTACCTATCTATCTATCTATCTATCTATCTATCTATCTATCTATCTATCTATCTATCTATCTATCTATCTATCTATCTATCTATCTACCTACCTACCAATCAATCTATCTATCTATCTATCTATCTATCTATCTATCTATCTATCTATCTATCTCCCTAGCTGTTTCTCTACACCCTCTTTATCCCTTATCCTCTGAACCCCTATCAATTCATGTATTCATGCCTACCTTTCAGGTGAAAGCTCAAGTCTCACATGTTGCCAGAATCAAATGCTGTCTGATGATTTTTCGGCGCGACAAAGTTCTTCTCCGCCATGCCAGTCTTCTTTGTAATCTCCTCAATAGCTTTTTGTGTTCATATGTAATCTGAATAACTCTTCTTTCACTATGTGTGTGCACTGATTCAATCAGAAAAGACAGGAGGGTGAGCAAAGTTCATAATGTGAACACAAAAAGAACTGAGGTCCTTTTCTTTTGGTCCAGTTAAAGAGGACTGGATTTGGTTCTATTGAAAGGGGCCAAGTGTGAAAACACCCTTAGATGCCAGACACTCTAGATAACAAATCTGACAGAACTGATGGTCTCTGATCACTCACGAATGCCCTGAGCTCTGCCAGGATGTTGGACAGGGTGGCGTTGGGATCGTCTTTCTCCTGAGGCTCAATGAAAGGTCTTCCCGCTGTGTTAATGAGCCACGCTGCGATGATGGTGAACATGTACAACTGCTCGCCAGTGTTGAGCGCCAGATATTTACTGGAGACAAAATAATGTCTGACAGGGAGAGACAGAAAGGGTCATGATAAAGCAACACACACTCAGACTATTTCATACATAGACAAGAAAGGCTAGATGACTCAAGGTGGATTCACCGGAGGCCCTACATGGCGGCCACCTTACTCTAGTATACCATACTGGTACGGCTATGATAGTTGACGGGAGGTGAGTAATCTGCATGACCAAAACTACTCACTTTCTGCACCAAGGCTGTGCGCGCATACCTGTGATGACATTGCACAGAAACCCGTCTACAGAGCTATTGTTCTACCTATCTGCTTAATGTTTATTTATGAAAATCCATAATTAAAATTATTCTTGAGTATGCAGGAACATAACTAAAACGCTGACGTTTGTTACAAACCAAACCGTTCGAAAGTCGGTTTAAAATTAAGCGGTCTATGGTTATCTAATAGCTACATGCACTGCAGACTGTAATGTTATGAGTGGGTGAGCGTCCCGTAGCAAAATGGCCGCCATGTGCGGACAAGAAATTCTTTTTGGAGGATGGTAGGGGAAGGTCCCGCCTCCTTCGCCTCTCATCGGCTATAAGTGCTGAGCTCCAATAGGTTATTCCTAATGGCTGTGAAACGTCATCGTCAGTCAGGTTAGGGTTAGAATTAGGATTAGGGTTAGGAGATTCAGAAGTGCGATAATGTTCTGTTCGATGTACAGAGCCGACGTGCGTAAGCCATCTAGCGTTTATATATGTATGATTTCATAGACGTCAGAAAACTCCTTACAGGAGCTTTAAGTGGTTTTGGCCCATATCGTTTCCCTCCTAACAAGTTTCTGTTATTATTCCCAACTAACACCGTTAGCTGAATAACTCAGGTGAGACCTGCTCCTCTGGGTTTACCTGGACAGGTTCTTCATGTTGTGTTTGTTCAAAACTTCCTCCTCACAGTTCAGCACCTTTAACTTCTCCAGCAGAGACTCCATCACGACAAACTCCAGATGAGCCGCTCCTGGACCGCGCTCATCTTCATCTCCTCGTCTGCCTTCGTCCCCCATCATCTCTTTATTTCAGTCAAACACAGAAAAGTTTTAATCTAAAATAAAATAAAAATCTCCTCTCGGATCCTTCTTGTTTGGCTTCCTCTCCGTTGTTAGGCAACCGAGCGCTAGCGTTAGCCGGCTAGGTAGCTAACGGCGAACTCATCTTAAAAACTTAAACTGAATCAAGTTTTAACCGTCGTGTGAACTGTAATGCGTTTCTGATGAATCGTCGTGTCACACGGTTTAGATGACAGCGGGTTGGAGGGTTTTGCAGCGTCTTAAATCGTTTATGTTTCAGCGTCGATGCTGGTGTATAACGGCCGCTTCTTCTTCGGCTTCGTCTCTCTTTTTAAACTAACGGCTGGCAACAAGCGTAAAAGGTGCAACACCGCCACCGCCTGTACTGGAGTAGTACTATATTTTGTTAAAAAAGGCAGTTTCATACATGACCAAACTAAATATAAATTTAGCAGAGAAATGTCACCAGTTGAAGAATTACTCTCAAAAATAAGTAGTAAAAAAAAAAAATCAATATTAGTACAATGCTATGAGGACCTCTATAAACCCAGTAAAGCAAATAAAGCCGCCCTGCAGGTGTGGGTCCAAGATCTTGCGGTGGGTATTGACGAGGATATAGGGACACGGATATGGGAGCATGCCAGGAAAATACCAAAAAAAAGGACTTTGGGATCAAACTTATCACAAAGCTTAATTTGGTTTTCAGTAAGAACATAAAGGTGAATCCAGTATGCCTCCTCTTAGGAATACCTCATCTTCAAATGAACAACACTCACAATGATGATAGTTATAATAGTAATATAATAGTATATAATAGTTATAATATTGCCATATCTTTATCCATTGTGGCGCCCCCGGTGGATGGACCAGTCATTGCTAATCTTTTCCTGTGCATGCATTAGCATTGGTTTGAGTGTAAAATCTCCTGCTGCGGTCCTCTGACAGTCAAATTTCACTCTTTGAAAGTATTTGCTGTGAAAAATATAAAAAGAGAGGTTGTTTCAGCTGCTTGTTGATCTCTCTGACTGACACCTACGCCCTGCGGCATTTTTGAGCACAGTCAGTCTTGTTGTTGTTGTTGACCTGGTCTTCTTTTGTGAGTCATAGGAGACACATGTTTTAAATTCTGTCTGTTTTTTAATCAGCGAAAAACTCCTTGTAGAGTCGAACTGTTTCCCTGCACTGTGAATATTGCAGGATTTCCCCGCGTGGAGGAGTGTTTCCACAGTCCAGCACTTTCACCTCAGTGAGGGATCTGAATACTCTGAGACACACACACACACTTCTTGCACCTTTGTGTGTGTGTGAGTGAATAATTCATCCCTCCAGCCCCTTGTGCTGCAGCAGGCCTTGTAGGGAGGGGGTGTTTGTTTAGTCTGCATGCTGCTCCCTGCCTCTGTGCGAGTACACAGGTAGAACTCCCTAGTGACTGCGTTTGATTGACAGGCCTGTTGACTGCCTGATGACGCCGAGTGAGCCTCAGCAGCTTGAAGTCACCACCACCCGAATCCACCCAGGGGAATAGATCAGGGAGGACTGGGTCTGATGCGTACCGAGCGTCAGCCTCCACCGCCGAAAACTCGACATGGATATGAAAATGTTGGATTCTCGGTTTCTCTCTTGAGAGACTGCAGTGGGCGACAGTGATAAAAAGAGGAGTTGTTCTCAGGTTTATGGTGCGAGAAGCTCATTAGCCTTAAAGTGATGCCCTCTTAGTCATCAGCTGGCCTGGAGGAACTTTTAAACCCTCCATCCGCAGGATCACTCCAAAACCCTTTCTGCTGCTCTGAGGAGAGAGGATCCAGGAGAGAGGAGGGAAATCAGAGGAGGGAGGAACGAGAATAAAGGAGAGCGGCCTTCACAAAAGTCCTTTCTATGTTTTGTTTTTTTTAGGATCCCTGTGAGCTGTTTTCTATGTGGTGGGTTTATTTTAATCTGGAGTTATGTGATATGATTATTAAGATATTAAACATAACTCTCATAAAAATGTTAAAGGTGGGGAAGGCAGGATTCTGTTAAAGAAGCATCTTTGGATATGTTCACACTGCAAGTCAACTCCAATTTTTTAACTACATGTGACATATGGACTATGTCACTTTATCCTAGTTGTAGAAGTCCTGCAAACATTGTGTTTGCTGGTAGTCTGTTGGCATCTACAGTAGTACCAATGCTGTTTACTTTCACGTTGACTGGGCCCCATTTGTAATTATCTGAAGTATTTATCTGCATTATATCTGAATTTAATTGAAATGATACGAGCGTTGGGGACAGGGGGAGAACCTCTCTAAGGGAGAGGAGGAGCTGAGGGGAAAACTGGTTGGAGGGGTAGAGTTTACATTCAAGATTTCTCCCAAAAACTGGCACTTCCTCAGATCCTGACTACCCTACCTTTAAGTTTGGCGACTAGATTAGCTGAGATGACTCCTGGCAGCTCCCACCTGTCACTCAAATAAGCCACACCCCCTTTTATGCAAATACTCAGCTGGTAAATTTATCATAAATAAAGACCGAGACAGTTTTCTGTGAGCATGTTTATCTCTGTGAAGTTGGACGTATTAACATGGAGTTCTATGAGGATTGGTTCACTTTTGGCAGCACCCCCTAGTGGCCAAAGTGAGTCAGACTGTTACAGATCTTTTACTCTAACACTGACTCTTGTTTTATCTTTCTATGCAAATTAGCATCAGCCCACATAAATGAAAAGTCTAGGAGACACAGTTGTTTATTTTCTTGGTGATGCTGCAGAAACCGTCTGCTCCTCTGTGCACTGACTTCTTTTATTTGTTGAAAACTCCTCTGCCGTCGTCTGTGCACAAAGAGCAAACATTACTCCGCAGTCTTGGCTGTAAATGAATTGGATTTCTGGACCAGACACCCCCTTGCATTTCATCTAAAGAGTTTGGCTTTTCAGATAATAAAACAAGCTTCAGAACAAGAGTCTTAGTTTGAGTGCAGCTCTCGCTCTGTGTGGCAAAATGTTAATCCCACCTGTGAGAGGGGATGAATTCATGTAGCGCTGCTTAGAGACCAGATTTGATAAGTCAGATCAGAGGTTGTTCAAGTGTCTCTGGCACAGAAGAAGAAGAAGAAGTGTTTGCTCTCTGAGGGAGAAGATGAAATTGTTATAATGGAGCCAAGGATCCTTCCCTGCACTGGAATCACCCAAGGCCATTTCTCCTCAACAGATTGCTTGAAGAGCTCAACTGTGCTCAGCTAATGCATAACAAACAGATGGAGCTGAAAGCAATCACTCCAGAGTGGCGTCTCCGTCGCTTTCTCCCCGCCTCTCTTTCATAAACGCCGAAATAAATCAAAATTATGGTTTTTGGCGTCTGTCTGCAGAGCGACACAGTCTGCACGCGGCTCGGGATCACAGATCTGCCTGAACGAGGGGAAATTAATTAACTTCATTTTTGCTCCACTTCTTTGAAAGGCTTTGATGAGGACGGTTGCCATGACAACCTGGAAACGGTGAAACACAGGTGCCCGCGGGTGACGACTGATATCTGCGGCGGGAGGTGCAGACGGCAGCGGTGTCGTCTTTCTGAAGGTTATAAAAAGCAGCCGAACCGAAATTAGTCGGAGCAGCTGACAGCCTGCTGAGAGCGGAGCGGAGGCTGCGGCTCATTCACAGAAACAAATACATGACCCCGCTCAAAACACCCACTCAGACACACACACACACACACATACACACACACACACACAGTAGGAGATAACACTCAGTCAGGGGGGTGTCAACGCACAATGACACCTGACAAGGTGAGCAGGACCCTGACTCAGGGCCGATACTCTTACTTAAAGGCACGGTTAATGGTCGATTGGAGAGATTGGTAATTATTATGAACATCGTTTCTATGGCGATCATGGTCCTATAGTGCGATCTCCACAAAGTGAAGAGAAAAAAAAGAATGGAAAAAATCCGTTCACCCTAGCAGGTGCAGGGCTGCAAAAACATCGACCAATGGGAGTCATCCGTCCCGGACAGCTCCTATTGGTCAATCTCCTACTCCGTCTCTCCATCCAATCACATCGCTGTATTCAACACACCCCTCTGCCATAGTTCCAACTCGTCTCCTCCCACTCTCCTAGCCCTCCTAGGAGCTCTGAGTGGCTAAAAGTAGCGTAGCAGCTTAGCTACAGGAGCTGTGATGGAGAAGGACGCAAGAAGAACAAACACTTCTGCTCGCCCCACCGCCAAAAGTGGGATGAAAACGCAAGCCGACAGAAGAAAGGGCGGAGTCAAAGAGGAAAGAGAGGAATCTAACTGGAATAAACATCGGGTCATCCTTCGAGTGGTGGAGAAAGCTAGTTTAAATCATGTTATGAGCTGGAGTGCACAAGATCATTTGTTTCCAAAAGAAGCAGAAGTCAAATATCTTGTTCACACTCATCTCGTCTCATATCATGGAAGTATCTTGTGGGCACTAATTCCTTTTAAGATAAATTCTGGACATTTTGGGCTTTGTCCATCAGGACAGTTGAAGACAGACCGCAGACGTGCGGCGAAGGACTGCAATCACTACAAGTTACAGGCGACCTGTTTCATTCTTTTGCACACAAATGATCATCTTATATGATAAATTCTTGTCTCGACATGATAAATATCTTGCATGTGTAAGTTTACATCTTGTTCAATATGACCAGTACATTCATTTTGTGAACGCAAGTAGACAAAATTTACAATCTGTGTGATGGCAGATTGTAAAAGCGGCACTTCCTATGTCTAATTGTGTGAGCTGGTTATTACATAACATAAATACGATGTAGAAGTCCTTTCAAAGTAAAAGTCTAATTATCAGGATCTGTTCTCACCCTCCATCCTCTCTGGGGTTTTGTCTCAGCTGGTCTGTTTGACCGGACTCTGTCAGGAAGTCGGAGTCCCGGGTGTTTGCCTCAGGGCCAATAAATTCACAATTGACAAACTGCTACTGAGAACTCCATCCACACACACACACACACACACACACACACACACACACAGATGAGTGAAAGAGTAAATTCCCTCTGGAGCAAAGCAAAATGATTGGCATTTCATTTAGACGCGGGCGCCGGCGGAGGACAGAATCTGCGGGACTCTGCTGACTCAGTTGAGTGATCGTGTTTTTCTGGAGTCGATGTCGAGTTAGTGATTTAATTTGAGCCGCAGATAGATGAGATCAGAGGGAGACAGCGGCAGAGAGGAGAGATGATCCCAGACTCGGCTTCTGAGATCTTAAACACAGGAGGCGATAAAAAGAGAAAAGACACAGCAGGTGTTCAAAATGTTTCAGCTAGACCAGGAAAATTAATCCAGCTTTAAGATGTTACATATTTTGTCCACAGGGGGCACTTAAATCCACACTTATTGTATATGATATCACAGTTCTTTTGTGCGTTTCCCTATAAGAAACTATAATTTCACCCATTAAAACCTTTCCCTTTTACTGGTGCCAATTAATAGGTCCCCAAAGAGGCTTTTGGGCCTGTTACACGTCATATCAGGTGTGTCTGTGTTTCAATAACACAAAAAGTGTGTTTAATTTGACTAGAGTTTTCTTTTGGGGGTAAATTAACTGGAGAGTTATTGTCAAATAAAGAGAAAACGAGAGAAAGTTAAAGAAAAAGAGCTCAGTGAAAGAGACGTCTAGCAAATTGAAGAAAACAAACATGACGCAAACACGAAACTGCACTGATCTTTTCGCTGGTTTTTTCAGGCAATCATTCAAAAAGTCAGTGAATGAAAACTTCACCAGGAAGGAAAATGTTAATGACACGAGTTGGCTGATACGACGCACAGCTACCATGGAAACACCATCTGGAGAGCTATTTCTCAAAACGGTCCAACCAATAAACGATTAAATCATCTCGAATGAACTTTTTTAAACTCATGTCTCTTCAGTGAGTGGGTGGTTATAAAGGAGGAATCACAACTTCTGTTTGGGCTCCACCATAACCACCTACTCACTGTACAACACTAGAAATACTTCAAGTTTAACTTTAACAATAGTGTTGACAAAAGCATCGATAATTCTGCTTTAATCCAAAAACAAATTATTTTCACACAGATCCAGGGATTTACTTAAAAATCTAAGAAGGTTTTATGATTCTGCTCAAGTTGTCTGTGATCCGTCTTATCATGTAAGAGCAGGGTTCGAATCCTACGCCCTTCTGTATATTTTTTCAATATGGTGCCCATTTTCAAAGTAAGCAAAAATAGGGTAATCCAATATTCAGCTATTAAAACCAGAAATGACCGTCTGTGTACATGATCTCTAACACATAAAATTAATATAAAAAACAACAACAATAAGGCATCGTGTCTTTAATGCAGTGTAACAGTCCATACAGGCTCCATGAGAATATTATTCATACAAAAACAGAAGTACGTCAGTAAAATCTACCAGTGCTCGTGCTACAGTGTAGGCGAAAACAACAACAACAACACAGGCTCTACAGCAGCTGATTTTCATCATAACGTGTTAAAGCTGTTTTAATTTTATCATGACAGCAGGAAAAAAAAGAAAACTGAGCTCTAAATCAAATCGAAAAATAAATAAATATCAGTCCACCTGCTACCTAAAGGTCCCATACAATAAAAAGCACACAGTCATCCTAAAGCCAAGCGACCCTGAGTGGGAAGCGACAAAGACTTAATGGTTTCTGTAGCTCATTTACGGGGAAAACAACTTCTACAAGGTGATTTGAATTCATTCCTGTTGTGATGTAACGACAGGAGTGGCCAATCACACAACATTACACACAAAAAAGCAGGTGAGTAGAGATACTGCCTGCACAGTTTCCTCCTCCTCCCATATGTGTAGTGTACTGGCATGAGTAGAGAGCTTGCCGTTTTTATTTTTTATTATCAATTATTTAGTCTGCACCTTCAGGCGGCTACTCAGGGCTACAGATCCTCCACCGAGGCTGAGCTAATGGAGTCCAAATTTTGCTTCAGAGACAACTAGGTTATGTTGCAAACAGTGAAAAACATGATTATATGGGACCTTAGAGATAAAGGCGAATCAATGCAATTTAACAGTCTGAAACTACACAGGAAGCAGCAATAAAAGCAGCGTATCGGCAAAACCTGACAGTAATAGAAGCTCTAAAAACGTCATCATCTCTAACAAAGCGGCAGCCTGGCTAATCACTCCAGGAGAGTTAAGCCAGTCCTCACTAAACTTCAAAAGAAACTATTAATATTAAGCAGCAAAATTGAAAAAAAAAAACCTCAAACATTCACATATGAAAATTCAGCAGAGCTCGAAAAGCTTTAAAGCCACCAACAGCACATCTCTAACCCTCTACATTCACGTTCAGATGAGTAATCGCTGAGTAACGTCTACGACATGACAGTCAGGAGGAGCTTTGTGTCAGAATTTAAGCTAAGAGGCTGTGTTGCTCTAAAGTTCATGCAAAGTTTTAACTAGTTTCATCACTACCTACTGTACGTGTCGCTCAAGCCGACTTAAAGCTGCACTGAGCGAAAGTTTGATTAAAGAAACTTTAGTTAAATCTATCAAACGTTTCTTGAACCATTTAGCGAATTTGTCACATTTACCTTAAAAGATCTTAAAAATCAGTTTAAGACTTGCATCATTTTGAAGGTACTTTTTGGTGTTTGCTTAGGGTGACCATATTCTGACTTCCCAAAAAGAGGACATGACTATGCCGGGGCGGAATCAAAGGGTCGCACATCGTTAAATTTTAGGAGTTTTCCGGGTCGGATCGAGTGTCGTTTACGTGCTTCTAACTCAGTAAGTCAAACTTCTGTACAAAACTGTGGACATTTAAAGTTTGATTGATTGATTTGAAGGATTTTATAAACTTCCTCAGACAAACTCGGACAGCCCCCAAAAAAGATGACATGTCCGGGTAAAAGAGGACGTATGGTCCCCCTACGTTTGCCAAGAGGTTTGATTCGGCACCCTTTAGCGAAAAATGTCGAGGGACTTTCTGTCTAAAAACAAACCCGCTACAAACCTGTAGCATCACCTGTTTTTTAAGGAGTCATTAGTTTTAGCTCCAGATAAAGTTCCATGGTTCCCTCAAGCGTCTAAGTACTGTCCGTAGGGTCTGTTTGAGGAGCCTTAAAGTAGAGTTGTAGGTCATTAAAAAGTTCTGATTAGTTCAAGTTTGAGGTACTTTTAGCTGAACTTACGATGTGTTAAAAAGTTTCTTTAACGGTTAGCTTAAATCCGCTTCTTTGCCCTCTGTGCAGCTTTAACGTCTACCTAAGCGATCACTGATGCTGCCTTTGAAGCACCGTAAAGTTTACTCTATCACCACCTCCTTTTTTTCCCCACTATCTGCTACAGAAACCAGCCTGAAGTTGAATCCATTTTAATCACTTTCAGCAGGTTCCTCAGAGACCAGCTGAGGCCCGCACGGATCGAATTACACCTTCCCCAGTTGAGGCAGTATGTACAAGATTATATGTACATCCAGATAAAAGATCAGTACATGAACTAAAGACCAACATTCATCTTCCTTTATCATCTTTCTTTTCCTTCAGCCATCTCATGAAAATAAACCTCCACCCTGCCAGTACTGTGGATTCTTATCGCAGCGTGACCTTAAAAATATCTGAAAGTTAGACCCACAATGTGGTCGTACAAAAAACCTGTCGCTGAGATTTATTTAGTGCATTCAAAATAAAGATTCTCACATTCACGTCGAGTTGTTTTAATCACATAATTTGTAAAAACCATCAGCAGGAAGAACTTTCCCTGAATATGAATGAGCAGATAACCAGTTTATATCCTGATGAGTTCTGGTGCCAGAGCGGACGTCCATCCCAAGACCGTCTTCGGTTTAACACATTCTTGACAATGAAAAATCTTCATCAATGCCGACCAATCACAGACCTTCTCCAATGTCCTCCCTTCTCTTTGCATGTGTGCTCTCTGATCAGACGTCTGATCTACTCTCCTATCCGGGTGGCGCCGGCCTCCTCCACAGGCCCCTCCCTCTTGGATTCCATTGCGACCTCGGTGTAGGTGACCCCTGCTGCTGGCTCTGCAGCCGGGGCCTCAGCTTCGGCGCCCTCCTCGCCTTCTGCCACCGCTCTCTCCTTCTTCAGCTTGATGCGGAAAGCTTCTTTGCTTGGAGCTTTCTTGGCGATGTTCTCCTTCAGACGCTCGCCTGACTGCTTCAGACGCTCGCCGGCTTGGTGCATCTTATCCCTGCGCTCTGGTGGCATCACCTTCTCTCCAAAGTTGTGGAACTTGGTGCCCAGGTTGTCTTTGGTTTTGCTCATGTTCTCTTTGGAGAAGGCGGCCTTCAGACTCTCTGTGCCCTTCGCGACTGATTTCTTGAGGCGTGCAGCCCGGGATGGGTCAGCCTCCTCCACGCTCAGGTACTCCTCATCGGAGGAGAGGTCAGCGGGGATGTCGTAGGAGTCAGGCTCGATTTCAAGCCCATCCAGGCCGGTTCCTTTGGGAGACTTGGTGACAGCAACCGATGGGACCTCTGTCTCACCCTAGAGAGAAGAAAACAGACGTCAGGAGAACCGATACGTCACGGGATTCAGCCAAGAAGCAGCCTGGAAGTAAAACCATCAAAACACCTCAAGACATTGACATGTCCTGGTGAAATCAGTGCATCTGTGTCATGAAGTAGACCCACAGTGGTGTCTGGATGTCAGTTATCAAGATCATGGTTATTCAAAAGGCATCTGGACCTGGTTGAAATCCTTGGAGACAAACTCCATCCAAAGGAGCTTGAACAAGGTCCACTGCCTTTCAGACCGAATTTTGCATAGATTATCGTTTTCTTTGACTGATCTGACTTTATTGCAGCTAAAAGATTGTTTCAAATATTGCGTTTTGGAGCTTATCATGTCTCTATTTATGAGATGGGAAATGCAACAAACCAATGCCAATCAATCACCAGTAATGATTGCTTTACATCGTCAATATGGACTTTACAATCTCAGCCTGTAGTTTCCTGACTTTTCCTGCTGATTGGACACCCTCACTGTATGGGACCCACCCCCCATCTCAAGCCTCCCCCTATTGACTGGCAGTATGGGACATAAAGCCAGCTTCCTCCATGTCAACAGACAAAATCAAAACACACATGGAATAAATGTTTCCGTCACATCATCGTTGGTTCCTATCATGCTAATTTGTGTTCAGGATTTTGTTTTTCTGACTGGTTTTGGCGTCACTTTCCTGCAATGAGAAGACAAGATGTGTCGCCCACCTCCATACTCAGTCAATGAACGTGACACTCTGAGAAGAAACCGATACCCGTCCTCTCATCTGTCCTCTCTATCCATTAGGTATAAACTGTTATGTTGCTCATTGATGCAGGTTTAGATATAGAAAATATGATATTCCTCAGAGAGATTTTTACCAGCCTCTTGTCTGGAGCAAACGGGCGACTTCATGAGATCAAGTTTGCCTATTTTTACAGATAAGGAGTAACTGAGACTCAACGAGACAGGAAGCCGCTGGAAGGAACAACACCAGTAACTCAAGATGGACGCTAATAATAATGACACCATCTGATTTATGTGGTGGAGGTAGACTGTCAGTCCACTGCCTCAGTCCAGACTGAAATATCTCCACAACTGTCAGACTCAGTGTTATTAAATCTAGTCCAGACGTTCACATTCACCTCTGGGTTCATTGTTCAAACTCTAGAGACTCTGTGACCTTTCATCCCACACTTTAATATATTAAAAATATATTGCAGAAATTGTGAAAAAGCTCATTCCCGACTCTCCTCTATCCAGGTGTCGTCTTTCATCCAACCTCACCGCAGGAGTCGAGATGATTGGTTGGTATCACCTTGTTATCTGTCATACCTGTTGGTCTGTTCACAGCACGGCCAACATTTGAACATTTGTATGTGGGGCCACGCTCAACGGGCTGCAAATTGGGTCTCACACGGGTTTGTAAAATGGGTCATAATGGTCAACTGCCAATATGGGTTTCAAACAGGGTTACACTAGCTGCGTTTTCATGGGCACAAATAATCGGAATAAAGCCCCAAACGTAATAAAAATGCATCATGTAAACATGTCGATCGGAAGATTCTGATCCAATTTGGCTTAACTGGAAAGAAATTGTGTTCTGATCAAGAGGGGCGGTTTATACCGATCGTTATTCCTAAATGCGTCCGTGTAAACACTCATTCCGATCACAACTTTCGCATCTGACTCCGTCTTCACTCTTTAGCTTTCGGCTTTTTTATAGAGGCCAGTACAGAAGGTTTCATTTTTAACTCTCTGACAAAACAGGCGCCGATACAACTCTTCTTCTGTGGTCGTTTCAGCGAAATTAGACAACTGCGCTAGTCTAAATCTAATCTGAATAAAGCTCGGTCGATGTATACGAATGTCATGATCGGAATATTTGGATTCAGATTTTCCAATCCCTCAAATTTTTAATCGGATCAAGAATTTCTGTGGATGTAAACATGGCTTCTGGGACTTTAGTGGGGACCAAAGTGCACCAAAGCCCTATCTTGGTCCCAGATTTAGATCGTAAGTGGGTGTGGGGACTTCGTAGGTTGGGAATTTGGGTTAGAAGTGGGATTGTCTGCAGGTTTCATCATGACATAACACTAACTCATGAGTTTCACACAGGATGACACAGGGTTTGGTTGGGTTTTTGGCTTCATGATCACCAAATTAGACTCACATACTAGACGCAAAGATCATGTAGTCCGACTTCAGCATTGGGCGACTTGAGTCCTATGATGGACTAACAGCATCTCCACGTCTAGCTTAGCCGTGATCACAAACTGATTATCTCATTTTTATTTATAAGACCCAAATAGAGGCTAAACTCGGACCTGCCACCGCCCTTGAAGACTTGAAATTTCCACTCGCAGAGACTCGCGACCATCTGTGACCAGCTCCTCACAGGCCTGCTCCACCTGCTGCGCCCTACAGCTGACTTTGGTCATGAAAGCCAATTAATTCTAATTAAACTGCGACCTCCCGCGCAGATCCCACTCATTAATCAGAGTGGAGTCATCAGTGCATGTTCAGACACTGTGAATGACACAATAATTACACCAGGTGGGGGGTGTGGTAGAGGTGTGTGCGGATATCCTCTGCTGGTGGAGGACCGTGTGAGATGGTGCCGTCAGCCCAGTTTTTTTATTAGTTTACCTAAATTAAGGTCATTAACTGTCTTTTATTCAAATCTATTATTAATTTCTGAACAAGATTAGGATCCTCTTTAAAAGGACTGGGTTAGGATGAACTGTGAATTATAATTATACACTTAAATGAAGAATACGTGCTAATCATTGTTCACTTGAGAGGCTCTTCGGTATTAAAACAGTGATGGTTTAAAGGGTCAAGGAAGTTCACTAAAGGCCGAAATAAAGAGCTTTGCAAGTGACATTAAAGGCATGGTTGACGATTGGAGAGATTGGTAATTATTATGAACCTTGTTCCTATGGCGATCATGGTCCTATAGTGCGATCTCCACCAAGTTAAGAAAAAAAAGAATGGAAAAAAAACGTTCACTCTAGCAGGTGCAGGGCTGCAAAAACATTGACCAATGGGAGCCATCCGTCCCGGACAGCTCCTATTGGTCAATCTCCTGCTCCTCCTCTCCATCAAATCACCTTGCTGTATTTGACACACCCCTCTCTAGTAGTTCAGACTCGTCCCCTCCCATTCTCCCGGCCCTTCTCGGAGCTCTGAGCGGCTAAAAGTAGCGTAGCAGCTTAGCTACAGGAGCTGTGATGGAGAAGGACACAAAAAACCACTTCTGCTCGTCCCAACGCCAAAAGTGGGAAGAATACGCAAGCCGACAGAAGAAAGGCGAAGTGGAAATGTGATCAAGCGAGGAATCTAACTTGAATAAACCTCAGAGCAGTGGAGAAAGCTCCGCCAGGATTTGCGTGTAAAAACAGACGCTGAGTTTTTGTTGAACAGGTTATTTTTATCACCTTTTATCGCAGCACATGTTACATAAATAACTCTTTTTAGTCTCTGCAATGCCGGCTTCTTGCTCTGCCAGAGGGGGTGTGTCGTGGGGAGGGTGACACAGATTTGGGGGGGGAGTTATCGTGGAGCATAGAGGGGAAAGGTTTGTGTGTGGGGGTGGGACGCTTTTTTCAAATCTGCCTCAACGGTTCAGTCTTTTTCAACTGCTGCTTCACCAATCATCAACCGTGTCTTTAATCGCCAAATATCTGCCATGGACAAAATTTCAAAATAAAAGCGTTATTTAAGAATGAAGGGAAAGGGCGTCTGCTTTAAGAATCATTCCTGTAGTGTTGCTCATTTGGTTAGTTTGGCCCAAAACAGCCCAGATGTGAGATAGGCTGCTAATGCAACAGCTTAAATCCGAAACAAAGCCGCTCCACCACCATCATACCTCGGTCTGAAAACTGGATAACAAAGGAGGAAGTGAAGGAGGTGTGTTTGGCGCTTTCAAAGCATGTTTTTCTGTCGTCTGCAGCTGTCTCTTGATTTGCATCCACCCCCAAGTACGCAGCATTGAAGCTTGATTTCCCTTGTCGCCCACGGTTAGCTCTCTTTTTAACAAATATTCAAGCAGTAATTTTGCAAATCTCCCTGTTATACCGGCGCTCTCCATCAGCTGAGTGACCTCTGGGTTTAATTGTGTTTGCGCCTCGACTCGTAAACTTGTCATTGCTCAGCTCTTCTCATTGTGGCGCAGCAGAAATATCACAAAGTAAGAGTCATTAACTCCTCCTAAATGACGTCCCGTCCTCTGATGTCCAGTGTTGTGAAAAACAGCCGAGGCAGAGCGGCCCTGGGTGTAAACCAGCAGACATTTATCTTTTTCTTATTACTGTCCCGGCCTTCATTATTCAGCCGGCGGCCACCACCGTCTCTGACAAAGCTCCTGTTGCTTCCTGGTTAAATGAGCGCAGCTGAAGCTCTATATTAGGAGATGAACGGAGGCCTCAGAATAACCGACAGCACATCAGTCATGAAGAAACTCAACACTGAGACTGTCTGAGAGAAAGTCTGATCCGGCCCGGACAAGAATGAGCTAAAACTGGACTCAGTGAAACACAAAGAGAAAGGTGGAAACTGTCCTCGCCCTACAGGTGCAGATCGCTCCGAGGTTTTGAGGCTGTCAGCTCAGGATGTTTAGACCTGTTAGAGGGAGGCGGTCTCAGACCTCTAAGTAAAGATTTCCTTTTAAAGCTCTCGATTATTTATGTTGCTCTTTGACTTTCCCTCCATTTTTCCAAACCTTCTGCAGGTATTTAGATCGGAGAGGAGAAAGGATAGAAGTTTGGTCCTGGGTGACGCTAAGCTTGGGTGCAGATTAATGACATTTTAAAGTAATCTCTAAAACTATAACCTTAAATTGAAACACATTTTTTAACTGATATTTGATATCAGCTGAAGACACGGTCCTGATTTTACAATTTCTGTGCAAAAGTCAGCGGCATAAATCAGTACTCAAGCATTCTAAGACTTCCTTGCCCACAGGCGGTGCTGAGACTGACATAAAACCAAAAGTTGGATGTTGACCTCGAGTAACTGGCTTGGTGCACTCGGTGCATGTCGAGTCAAAGAGTCGGTCTTAGCCAAGTCTAATGTAAGAGATTAGCCCGACTCGGTTAATGCCAAGCTGGTGCGTTCAGCTCCAAGTCTTACAATATCACAAACCGACAAAAGCATCTTTGACGTCCTATCAGAAATAAGAACCTTAAATCCAAATTGACATGATGTTAGAATGCACTGTACAAAGTTAGGGATGCACTGACAGGAAGACGGTCCACGCAGCAGGTAAGGATAACCGACACCTCTCTGTCTCTCTCTGCATATTGACCCCTGTGATAAGCTGCCACGTTAAAGGCTAACGCCATCTGGCAGCAGTTTCTAGCGTGTCTCTCCAGCACTAAAGCAGAATGCTGCGGTCCCAGAATAGACGTCTCTGTCATGGATCCACAGCAGCTGTTAGCAGCCCATCGCACCCCGCCGTCTATCCTGAACGCTGGACGTCAACCAGGACTGCATCCCCTCTCAGGACACTGACTGAATATATGCAGAGATGCTTGTCCGAGCTGAACGGGGGTTTCGGAAAGTGAGGCCAAATTAGACAGGGAAAAAAAAAACTGCAATTCCTCAAGTGGCCACTTGGGCTGGCTCCAAAAGTGAGTTATGAGCGTGCAAACTGTATGTCACTTCCTCTACTAGCCATCTTTGCGACAGCTCAGCAATTCTTTGCCCCTCGCAGTTTGCAACAGCTTTGACACTTGTCCGACAGCTTCAGTTCATCACCAGCCACACGTTTTTCTTTTCTCTTGAACGGAACGGAACGGAAGCAGAGCCTTGGCAAGAGCTCTAGAGCCTCCTGCCAGCTAGCCTGTCACATCGCCAGCTTGTTTCTGAATCGATCGGTAGTTTAAATCAAGTTTTAAGGTGAAGTAAATTTGCACTTGCGCAGTACGGATTGGGTAAGGAGGTACGACTCACTGCCGGAAAACACATTGAAATTCCAAGAGAGGAAGTGACGTATGTTTCGCACATGCGCAGTAGAAATCGGGTTTCTGGGACGGATCGGGTAGCGTGAATGAGCCCAATGTTGGTTACATTATCAGAAATCAAGGGTGTGGCTGTGGCCTTGTTAGTCGAGTTAGCATTTCCAATATGGCGGCCACCATGGTTTGGCTTCATGACACCAGCGTCCTGGAGCTTGTCCAGACTTTTCAACTGGGATGGCCCGGCTGGGGCACCGGATCAAGCATGTGTGAGATGAGTAGCATTTCAGTGTGACAGCCCATCTTTACAGAGTGTTGGTTGGATTGAAAAAAGGTGGGTGGAGGCCAACCACATGTTCCCGTTGGTTTCCTCTGGCGTGTCGCGATGGTATAACTAATTCGCTAACAGCAGGTGCTGCCTGGTAGTCGAAGACCACTATCAAACTGTCACATGACTCCTGCTCATGTTCCAACCCATGAGGCAAATGGAAATCAAAACCAATGGTCCTGCTTTACTACATGAACATTTACCACCACAAATAACATAATTGAGGAGTTAGGGGTGGTACAAGGGGTGGCCAATTAGGTTTCAACGCGGTCCATGCCACCCCACTAGTTTTGTCTATGAAGGAAGCTCATGCATTCATAGGAAGAGATGCAAAATCTACACAGACCTAAAAACAGGACCCATCTTGTAGCGAAGCTTTGTGTGAGCAAAATAAATAGAGTTTAATTATCGTCATTATTTAATCTGCCCTTCTTCTTCTTCTTCTTCTTCTTCTTCTTCCGCCTGCAGCAGCGTCGAGAGAGAAAGACTGAAACCCCCACATCTCTGCCATCTTTTGTTTCAAATCTGTCCATCTTTCTCACATGTTTTCTAACTCTCTCCGCACTTCGAAAGGATGAAACAGTCGTCTATTTGGAGACAAGAGCGTCTGGTTTATTTTTAAGCACTTTGTGTCAAGAGATGACTAAACTGAATGTTTGTTTCTTAGTTTCTTTCAGGCTCAGGCTCCAGAGCTCTCAGAGCAGCGTGACAAATCACAACCAAAACTCTCAAGTGAATCATCTTGTTTTCTCTCGTTCACCTGACCTGATTAACGCTCCCCTCCAGGATGCTTTTCTATAAATTGCCAGAGTTGCAGTCGAGGGCTCTTAAGCGTTGAACTTAAATCAGCGTTTATTTCCTCTCATCCCCGTCTCCCCTCTCACTGCCTCCCTTCTTTAATGAATTGAGTCAGAGTTGATTTGAAAGGAGATCTTGCTGCACAGACTTCTTCACCACCAGAGGGAATTCATCCTCTTTATCCTTGATCCTTCACTGATTCACACACACCTGGGCAGGACTGTGTGCATAACTGTCTTGTAGTGTTGTGGTGGCTGTGCGGTGAAATGTGGTACAAAATATTATATTTTGGTGCATTCTATTTTATTTAATTCTATTCAATTCTCAGTATATGAGTTATTCTATTATTTCAATTTTATTCTATTACATTGCATTACATGCTATTCTAAGGATACGAGTTATTTCATTCTAATCTGTCCTATTATGTTCTAGCCTAGTCCAGTTTAAGTATATGAGTTATTCTATTCTAATATGTTCTATTCCATTGCATTCTACTATAAGTATATGAGTTATTTTATTCTATTCCATAAATTTGAGATTTATTTTTCTGTTTTAGTCTTTTCTATCCCTTCTTTTCAATGATAAAAGTTTGAGTTATTCTATTCTATTCTGTCCTATTCTATTATATTCTATTATATTCTTAGGACATAAGTTATTCTATTCTATTCTATTACGTTCTTTTCTTTTGTATTCTACTGTAAGTATATGAGTTATTCTATTCTATTATATCCTATTCTATTATATTCTACTCTATTTTGGTCTACTATTTTCTCAGGATCCAGATGATTCAGTCCAGTTCTGTTCTCAAGATTAGAGATCTTCCACCTCTTCATATCTTCCTACCTGCTATCTTGTCTGAATCTTGTCTTGTGTTGACTCTTGTTACAGTTTTTATTACTTGTATAGTTGTCTGGACACCCAGCATCTCGTCTATCTGTCTTCACTGAGTCTCAGTTTCACTGTAACTGTTACGCCACAGTAAAGTGGACTTGATTTGGTCTAAATTCAGCTCTGTGAACTGATAATCAACATGTTTTACTCTGATTTAATGACAACAAACAGACTGAGAGGACGCAGAAATGGATGAATTTTCAGATCCATGCTGAAAACGAAACGAGTGAAAAGTTCTTGAAAAAAAAATCTCAGGATGTCCGGGGAATCTGAGCGTATATTTCTACAACACTTCACTGATAGATGTCAAGTGAGCAAACATGAGTATCCTATCTTTACAACATTTTCATGTGTAATCTGTCATCTTTACACTGTGAAATGTTGAATTGTGTTTTTAGTTACCAAGTTTTGTAAATGAGGGACGGTCATTCTGATCACTTCAAGTCTTTTTAACGTCCTACTTACAGCTCTGAAGAAGTATTTCACGATTTACAGCTCAGAAAAACTCAAAGTATCTCAGGCTGGAGTCGGAATCTCTCTTTGAAGTTTCTGTCTTGACTTTGAGACACCCCCCAACTTGCACTCTGGAAGCCTCCTCCACTGTTGCCATGCATCAAACAACTCAACAAAGCTGAGGTAACTGGTGTTTCTCTTTCTAGAACTATTGACAAAGAAGTTTAAGACACTAAATGAGAGATTGACAGATTTTGAGAATGAAATAATCCTGTATTCGCCTCAGCATTGGTCACTCTGGTTTAGCGTGTCCTTTATAACTTCAGGGTTAAAACCAATCATGACTCTTTTTCACTCACCTGATAGATGACCACTCTGAACTTGTTGCGGGTCAGCAGCTCATCCTGCGTCGATTCAACCTTCTTGACGCGAACATTTTGCTTCTCCACGCGCGACCGCACCTCCTTCACGTTGGCGCTGACCTTGCGGGTCTTCTGCAGGAGCTTCTCCACCGTGCCGCTGGTGTCGGTGTGGTCTTTGGCCAGTTTGAGCACGTCCCCCTGGATGGTCTTGATGTTGTTCTCCAGTTCCTGCTGACGGTCCTCCATGCGCTGCTGGCAGGACTGGACATTATCGATAATGCTGGCCACACGCTCCAGCAGAGACAGGATGGTCAGGGCGCTGATGGGGTTCCCGGCCTCGTCCTCCACCCCAACGATCTCCAGCTTCTCCTGCACTCCTGTTGTGCGATATTTGTGTTGATCCATTGTAGTTTTGAAGATCTCTCACTTCAAATTGGTCTGAAAGTGGTAGAGAAGGGGTTAGCTTCAGCGGGGGGCACAGGCCTGGTGGAGTTACCAGAAGAGAGACCAGAGAGTGGAAACACCCAATGGCTGTGACCCAAACTCAGGCGTGGAGAGAGGGGAGAGAGATAACTCCACCTCTGTCTTTAAAAAAGGCTCCAGGATCCAAAAGGAACCTGACTTCAGCCCCCATTGGGATGTGATCCAGGCGGTATACTGCGAGTGCTCACACGAACCCCCCGACTAAAAATAAACTCTTTGTAAGGCGACACTTAGGAAGACAGGGCCTGATGGAAACCCCCGTCCAACTCCTGCTCCGCTTCGTTAAAGGCACTCAAACTGATTCATAATTTTCCATAATTCGCTCATATGTTCATGCTGGCAGCTGTGAAGCTTGTACATCAACGGCAGCTTAGGCGTCGTCCTGCAGCTCTGCAGTGAAAGCTGCAAAGAAGCCCCAGTTGTCTGCTCTGATTACACAGAGCTGGAATGTTTCAGGGATTAAACATCGCAGCGTTGCCCTTTTTACTTTCCCCTGGGCAGCGGAGTCCAAACATCAGCTGTGACTTTGATATGACGCTCTTTATAGAGACGACTGCATGAGGAGTGTCAGAGTGACGCCATTTTAACACTCAGCAATGAAGGATTTATCCAGTCTGAGCGTTACTTGCTGTATGTGCTGGGGGTTCAGGATAAATCACTGCTCTTCAGCGCACAGTTTGGAAAAGTCATGAACTTGCTATTCACCTATTAATAACAGTGTTGAAAAAGCTTTAGAGTCCATAAATACCCAGATGAATGTGTTAAAAATAACACGCTCACAGTCGCTGCGGTGAATTCTCCAGGGTTAGCTTTCATGATTCTCTCCCACGCAGGTCTGTGTCAGTCTTAAAGGAGGCTAAAGGGTGAGCTGTAAGGGGTTACCGGTAAACAAAGAGCAGAAAAACAGCCTCAAACTGAACTTCCTCGAGTGTCCGCCTTCAAAGAGCCTGCAGTAAAAATGCTTCAAGTCTCATCCTGGAAATCCTGCAAACCTGCAAAAGAAATCAAGTTCTGCAGCTCTGCACAGTTTGCTCTTGATTTGCGTTGGATTGCAGAGACTAGCTGTTAGCATCTCCTCTCTGTGCTGAGTGGTGCTGTGCTGTCGTTTGAGGCTACCTTCTTGGGAGAAACAAACAAAAACTCAGCTGTGCAGATTGTTTTTGCAAACGTTTATAAAGACACAACGTAGTTAGATCTATGAAAACCACAAACCTCCGTGATTGGAATTGAGCTAAGATTATAATCCAAAATCTGTAGTTCCTCAAGTGTCCACTAGAGGCTGTGTCTGTAAATGTGTTTATCCCCATAGAGCCTCATGATCTCTATTCACTGGGACAGAATTGTTTATACAACTGTTCACATTATGTAAAAGCAATCCCAATCGGAAGGTTGGGCGTTCGATCCCGGGATTTCCACCGCATCCGTTCGCCCTAGAAAGACGGCACTGACTGTGAAAATTTGGACACCACAGGATTTCAACATTTATCAGGGTTCAAGGAACTCCTTTTGTTTCTGGACCATCTGTATGATCATCTTGTCGACTGTCGATGAAACTCACTTTCTCTGTTTTAGAAAACAAACTTTATTTCCAGCTCAACTGGGAATAACCTTTCTTACTTTTTTCCCCCAAACAAGCACCAATCAGTCCACACGATTTAAGTATAAAATCCCCTCCAGGTGTTTCCTGTCTTTGAGTGGGACACTATATCCGGATCAGGCTGTTTTTCATGAATGGACGTTGGATAATGATCAGTCTTACTTTCACAGAGTGCTGCTTTAGCTATGACTAATAGCTGAATCTGTTCAAATGAAGCCAACAGCTGCTGCTGTCCCTGAGTACACTCCCCCACCACCCCACCACCCCACCCAGTCCTTACCACTCCCTCTATCATACCGCCTCCCGTCTGTAACTCTATATTTACTGCAGTGTAGCGTGCCTGAGTCCCTGCCCTCAGTAGAAATGTGTGACACACACAGTGGATAATGATTAGGTGATGGACTTTTTAACAAGTCAGGAGTGTTGAATAAGGATATATCTCTTTTTTTTTTTGGACAGAGGGTGGACAGCAAGTTCAAAAACAACGGCAATGCAAATAGCAAAAAATGCAGTTCTTGAAGTGTCCACTAGAGGCTGGCTCTAAGGCTGATCAATCCTCATAGAGCCTCATGTTAAAATGTCAAACTTTAAAGCTAAAATAAACATTTTTATAGACTTTTACAAAAAATATTTTGGTCTCTATGGCGCATTTCTGTCTCCATGACGACTGCACAGGAACTCACTTTTCTAAACTGTATAAATGCTGCGTTTGAGTTACCTCAGAAGTTTGAGCTGAAAACGATGTCACAATCGATTAACCAGCATTTCAGTTATCTAATCGGAAAAAAGCAAAATCGTATAAACAAGATGACTAAATCTACGACAGTTATTTTTGTGCTTGCCTTGTCCGAATATAAGTGTAAAGTGCAAAAATAACTATCGTAGATGTAGCCATCTTGTTTCAGACCTCCGATCTTTATTTTTTACGACTTAGTAACTGAAACGCTGGGAACTCGGGTGTGACGTCATTTTCAGCTCAGACATCTGACTTCTGAGGTAACTCAAATGTGGCATAAGTGGAAGAGATATACACAGATTTGTGTGATCAGAAGGTAAATGTTTTAACAGATGGGCGTGGCACCTTAGGACCCCTCCCCTTACACAATTTCTCATTTTTAAGGTATATATATTGTCACCCTATTAAAATAATGGCCTAGGTCATTTTTGGACGAAAATGAGTTTTTGGCCAAAATCATCTCTTGAGATGATTTGGGGATGATTTAGGCCAAAAACTCATTTTCGTCAAAAAATAATTTAGGCCATTATTTTAATAGGGTGACGAATATATATCTTTAAAAAGGGAAATTGTGTGTATATTAAAGTTGGTTGTCATTGGCCCCCAACCCCCCAATGGTCCAGTCCATGAAGGCCCAGAACCACAATCTGTGTATCACATTTTAACACCTGCTAGTGTAACTACAGCTTATGTATATTGGGGAGTTTGGTTGGGTGCTAACACCAAGCCTCTGCGTTTTTTTGCAAAGACGTAACTTTCGGATGATTTCGTGAGGACGAAGCTGTGTAAAAAGTAACACCCACTAGACGAGCATTATCAAGGTGACAATGAGAAGAATGGGGTTTTCTATTATGATCTATTCATGACATAATGGCACGATTATCTACGTTAGGGTATTTCAAAAGGAGCTTCAAAGTTAAAACTTGACAGACGTTGGTCTCCATCATACACAGTATCTTTTAACAATGAAAAACTGGCCTAGACTCAGTTTCCTGCTTCTTTAAGGAACTCTCTGAAGGTAAAATCTAACGTTATTAGAGACTTACAAGCTGTGATGGATCCAAACAGTTACCCTGATCATCACAAGGCCATGTAAAACTGAACGCTGTCAAAGTGGCTCTCAGTCTCTCAGTGTTACAGACAGGTTTCTTGTAAACAGGCCTCTGTCAGATTTCATAGATGGTGTATTTAGTATGGATTTAGGACACCCTGTCTCTGCAGAGCCAGAGCTAAAGCAAAGTGTTTTGTTTGTCTGAACTGAAGAGTCTCCCGCGACTGAACACTCAGGTCAGCTCAATTATTTCTGTTTCTGTTTTTAAACCCGACACACACACGCTCACACACACACACAGACACACACTGTGAACAAAACATCATTAATCCATCAGAGAAAGTGGATTGCTTTTTGATAAGTGAGCCGTGTCAGAAGACGCAGACAAACTCCCACAGGACAAACACACAAATGACGCTCCAGCACGCGGGTGTTCTTTAAAAAAACATTTCCACTTTTATTTTGGCAGAGACCTAAAATGGCCTCTTAGAGTCTACATGCAGAATATTAACATGTCAAACACATTCTAGTCACATTTAGAGAAGTCACGGCTGCAATGGTCGACAACAAGTAGAGACACTTTGCTCGGCGGGGGCGGGATTTGAGGATTGACCTACGACCTGCAGACGTAGACCTGGACATTACAGAAAAAAAAAAAACTGTTACAGAAAAGAAAATCGTTAAAACGGAGAGAAGACAACCCCTCCTGAATGCAATTCTTAACTGTCTGCACAGTGTATTGAGATTCTCCTCAACAGGTATCAGACTTAACGGCTTTTACAGGCTTTCTTCGTGTTTGTTGTGGACATCATACATGTTATTGTAAACAAGTTAATTTTAGATCTGGATTCATACGGGGCATCCAAAAGGTCGCAAATACATAAAATGTAAAAAACACATTTAATTGTGAGTGTAACCCGTGTGATTTTGTCATTATGATCAGCTGAAAACACTCAAATGTCAATGCAAAAACTGCAGTTCCTAGAGTGTCCACTTGAGGCTGCTGCAAAAGCCAAGAAGCCCCATTAACACCCATGTTAAATTCTCAACTTTTACAGCAGAATTAAAACTGATTCCAGCCGAGTACAAAAACAGCGCTAGTCTTAATAGCTTCGTTTGTCTCTCGTACAAAGTGTACAGGGATGATTTGTTTTTATAATACTTCAGTTTCGAAGATATCAGGCTACAAATTTTTCATAGATTTGCACGCTTTGGGAAATTGCTGAGTTGACTTAACAAAGCAGGTTGGTTGCTGTGGGCTTCACCTATTTGCCTGTTTGGCTGAAAGTTCAGCTGAGTTAGCATTTTAAACATGGCGACCACCAGTTATACACTTATAGAAACTGATGGATGACGGCACTAAGACTGATAAAAGTCAAAGTCTTAAGATCAGCTGAAAGTAACACATCAGGACAGAAACAGGTTACTTTCAGCGATGACATGAAAAAAAAGTTCAGAACTTGAGTAAACACACCGACTTCATATGACATTCAATCATGGTTAAAATTATGAATCCATGACTAAAAAGTCACCAAAGCAGATCAGGTCCAAAAGCAGCCATGACACTTCTCAACATCTTATCTAAATCAGCTGATTTTGGTCCAAACCGTCGGTGCAGTGGTGCTGGTGTGACCTCGCCCTCATCCTCATCTCCAAACCATCTTCTCCCCCTTCCCTTTAAAATTTCCTTTCTCTTTTTTTCCAAAGATTCAGTTTTAGTCGTTGTTGTTCTCCAGGTTCAAATTGTCGTAAACGGCGGTAGAGTTGGTGCATAGCTATTTTCCCGGTTTGAAATACCACTTATTGTTGTTTATCTCACATCAGGGAAACAAAACCCTCGACTTCTTTTTCCGTGAGATTGAACCCTGCAGATAGCCACCACTTTTCAGAAGTTTGATGTTACGTGAAGTTTCTTTCGGCACAGCAGTTATACCAAACTACGACACGGCAAGAGGGACCGAGATTTAATACCGCTGGAAAATACTGAGACAGTTTCACAAAACCAAATACCACGCAGCAAGGCGATTGAAGGGGAGAGCAAATACTATCCTTGGTGACTTTAATCCTCATTATTACCTGAATAAGTCTGTGTCTGCAGAACCATCGTCTTTACATTTCAACACTGAGCCTCGATAACATTGAGACTTAAATGCACAACACTGATATCCGAACATTATCACAGCGTAAAATGTGGTCTTTGTTAGGGTGACCATACGTCCTCTTTTACCCGGACATGTCCTCTTTTTGGGGGATGTCCAGGTTTGTCCAGGGAAGTTTATAAAATCCCTCAAATGTCCGCGGTTTTGTATGTAAGTTACCAGTTTGTGTCACGTGGAATTACTGAGTTAGAAGCGCGTAAAAGACACTCAACTTGACCCGAAAAACTCTCAAACTCTGCCCCCGTGTAGTAATGTCCTCTTTTTGAGAAGTCAGAATATGGTCATCCTCGTCTTTGTGAATTTTAGGATTTGTGCAACCTGGAAACTCAACGACACGCTCAGTGGGGATGATCTGTTTGAGGGTTCTGGTGTAACCCCTGATTCGGCCACATGGAGGCTTCACTTTTCTTTGTAATTTTCTTCTCTGACAGAATAACTTGGATTAAGGTGGATTTTGCTCTGCCTGCTTTTGCTCTCCATACAGAGTGTTTTTCCTGTATTCCCAGGCCTGCTGATACCCGATAGGTCAATATTTCCCACCTTGAAAGGAAACCGGAACATTTTCTGAACCTTGGTGTACAGATGTCACATTCTTATGTAGAATATGTAACTAGAAGTGTCTGCAGGGATGTTTGGAGTATTGAGTCTTAAAGAGGGGGTTTCCGTCTGAGGCCTGTGCATGTGGAATGTCTGTCTGAGGAGAAAACGCAAATCTGAAACGAACAACAGGAATAAAAACCAAGATTGTTCTCACATTCAAAGACGAGCCTCGATTCCCGACATCTGAGGAACCAAAATACAAAACAAAAAAGTTTTTTTTTTTTTTAAGTTGACCTTGATTTACAGTTCGACGCTCTTTCTTCACGATCCTCAGATTTCAAGTCCAAGATGCAAAAACATTCCTGCCCCTCGGCGTTAAAGTGGACTAAGAAGAAGATATTCCAACGTTTTCCACCGTCTGTGAAATCTACAAGAGTTCCTCGGGTGCTGGTAAAGCCAGCAGACTGTTTCCCCGATTATTACACATTCCTGTCTTTAATACTTTCCTTCTCGCTGTCTGCTGCTCATCAGTCAGTCTCTTTTTGGATTCCCATCTCTGCAGACGGAGGAGTCTTTTCTTCATAAAGTTAAAACTACACCACAGTACACAGATTTCACGAGTCATGCGAATATACAGGAACTAGAACATAGAAACCGACGTTAGAAATAAAAGTTAACATAAAAACTTTGAGTAAAAACTACTTTAAAGAAAAGGTTTTTTCATATCAATAATAAATTATTAGCTGGTTTGACCACAGTGAAGTCTGTACATGGACTTTCATATCAAAGAATAACTGTAAACAGATCTATCTCACCGTCGGCCCCCGCTCACCTACAAAGCAAACTGCATTTGGTGATCAGCTGCACATTAGTAGTAAAAAGTAAAACAAAAGGGGGCGTAGAAATCATCCCGGTCAATAAATAGCACATTCCAGACGGACAGGCGTTACTCTGTCAGCCATCTTACCAAAGGTACCGTACTCATAAAGCGTTCAACAAAAACCAGTCCAAAGAAACCAAGACAGCAGATGTGGTGATGAAGTAAAGTTCTTGAAAAGTCGGCTCCTTCAACCTCGTGGTCTCACGTGAAAAAACAACAGAACCCGAAAACAAATACAACGGAGCAAAATCCATCGGAAAGCAAAAACAGGAGGGAAAATAAGGCCCCTGAAATAAATATTCTCATTCCTCTTTTCGTACGATTTCTCAGGAGAAAAAGAAATACCTCACATCGACTGTTAGAAAACGGTATTCCCACGCTGTAAGAAAAAACTTATCAAAAAACACCGACACCAACACGGCTATACCATCCTGGAGTTTGTGTCCGAGGAAAAGTGTCCCAGGTTCTGTTTTTGCCGGCGACCTCGGTTGTTTTTCGGACATTTCCTGAAGAGACAAAAAGATCCATGAAGTGAGTTAGTCCGGCCAAAACTGGACCTTTAAAACGAGTCAGAATGAAATCACATTCAGATTTAAGTCGAGCTGGGATTAAAGCTGGATTAAGAGATTTAACTGAACCATAGTTATTGACAGAAGCAGGTCCGCCTCCTCTAAAGTAGGTGCCCCCTCTCAGCCCGCTACAACCAAGTCATCTCCAAGTTGAGGTGTCAAGTTACCAAAACAATCAACAAACTGTGTACACAAGTGGCGAATGGGACGCACTTTAATGTCACTGTACTATTTTTACATTCTTTCTTCACCAGGTAGCGATTCGTTCACTACCTTGTTTCTTAGCGGCATATTTACACTATTCAACTTCTGGACCAAAGCTTGGCGAACTGTAGGGCACGCACAGAGTAAGATAAAAGTTCGATTTAGTAGGATTTTATTCGTCGATGCGTGCTGAGTCGACAAAAATTCTGATCGGTCGACTCAATGTTTTTTCCACATCAATTTACAATCTATGGTTAATTTCATCAGGTGGAACGTACCAAGTGCTAATGGGGGTGTTTCAAAACATCCCCCTTCTTTTCACCATTTTGAATTCACCCAACTCACTGGAGACCGCCTGGCGACAGGACGATGGAAGAGCGTCCGTGTTAATCAGCGTCTGGTGGTTTGCTGAGTAAAATATTTGTGTTTAATAATTTGTTGTTTTTAAAGAAATGATCATAAATGTTCTTCCTTGAGCTGCGTCACCCCGCTGTAGTACGTAATGGACTGGCCTGACAAACAAGCGGCTGCTGGAAGAGAGTAGGTGAGTTGTGTTTAGTCTCTTTGCTAAAGAAATGAGTCAAAGTTAAAAAGATGTTTGGTGTCTAGTACTATGTCTGGGACCCTATATGTCCTGTTGATGAAGTTAGGTGCTGTTCTGAGCATTATTTGTGGCTATAGAGTGGCGTTTTGGTTGAGGTTTGTTTATGGATCCTCAGACCGCTGTGTATTGCTATCCTGCGGTCGTTACCAAAGTTGGTATAACTAGAGAAACAAGTGGTCGGTAACATTCATCTCTCGAGGGGGTGTCTAACTCGGTGTTAAGTTGTGTTTGACCCTAAATTAATTTTACGCCTGAATATCCCTTTAACCTCTTGCTAATGTGTTTTTCGATTGTTTTGGTACATGATGAAGTGGACCAAACTTACTGCTAAGTTGTAAAGAGCTGAGATGTGCTTGTAAACAAGGGCAGCAGTCCCATTAAATCGCCTAATGAAACTTTAACTGGAGCTCGACGAGGTCAGGACTGAATTGCTCATCAAACCGTCGAGGTGCGGTTCATCCCCAGATTTAAAGATTTTAGTCTTTTTCGTTTTTTACTTTGAAACAGTCGCTAAAAACTTTTCCAATACAAAGTGATCCAAAACCTCTCTTTCCTCTCCTGACTGAGGGGGCAAAGTCTGTCTGCTGAGAGAGAAAACCAGGCCAAGTCAAATCCTCCTCTAAGCCTCAGCTGTCAGCAGCAGCAGCTCCTCTGCAGACACCTCCAGATGTCACACCTTCACTTCAGGTGAGACGAGGCTGCGCTCACCGCCAGAAAGTTCGGATCTGTTAGTCTGAACTGTTTCTGACTTTAGTCTCGCCAAATTTCATTCAGCAAATCAAAAACACAGAAAACGAGTCTCTGTTTGGAGATTATTAGATTATTCTGAAACTGTCCATTTAATTTATTTACATTTATTTACATTTCTGCCCCTCATAATCAGACATTACATAAAGTAAAATTCGTGAATCTCAAAAACATCAAACTTGAAGTGATCATTCATGAATTTAGTACGACTGGGCACCCGTTTACCTCGTGATGCACATCACCACGGCGACGATGATGGCGATCTGCACGGCCCCGATGATGGCGGCGATGAGGACGTAGTGGAGCTTCTGTCCGCTGGGAACCACGTAGAGGATGTTAAAGTCGTGAGGCTCGTCACACTGGGTGCCTTTGTAGCCCGAATCACACCTGTGACACACACACACACACAAACACACACACAGAGGGAGGTCGGTTTAGTGACACAGCTACAGAGGTTTCATCGTGACAACCAGCTGAGCTAAAGTCCACACAGACACACACCTGCAGATCGCCTTGTTGAATTTGATCTCACACTTCCCGTGAACACAGTAGCCGGCGTAGTTGTCAGCGCAGGGAATCGGCATCCCGGCGTAGAAACCGTCTCCGTGGTCCAGACCAGTGGTTTCTGAAAAACGAAGAACAAGAGCGCCATCAGATGGAGTCTCTGCTGGAGATCCAGGACCATGTGGACTTAACCACTGTGATAGAGAGCGCCTTAAACACAGAATTTTACGGTAAGAGTGGGAGACAGTCGGGACAATCTGAGCCGCTAAGTTTAGAAAACACAAAGTCAAAGTAGAAGCACAAGAGCCTTAAACACTTAAAGGTTAAAGGTGAGGTCGGCAGGATTCCATTAAAGACGCGTCATTTTTTGTGGTGTATAAACAAAAAAGCTTTTAATATCAGTCAATACCTATTAGTTATTGATGACATTTGGGAATATCACGATATTTCTGTGTTTTTGTTATGTCTGTGTAAACAAAGCCGTTCCCCGCCTCCCCCGACCTGATTGGTTGTGAGGCAGACGCTGCTCCCCCGTGTCGTTCACGAACCCAAACAAAGTTAGCGTGCTACAATATCGGACAGTAGAAACCAACCAGAAAGTTCTGAAAATTGTCTGAATCCTCCTTTGGCCACGACTGCCGACACAAGCAAGAAAACAAAGTAAATACCGGAGACTCTGGAGGAATAACGGGCGCTTAAAACGGAGGTAGACCGGACAAGAGCTAAAAAGCTGGGTCAGCATAAACGATGGGGGACGCTTGGGGATCTTGGTGACCCTGTAACCTTTCTGCTGGACAGGTAAACCGCTTTAACAAAGTAAGACAAGTGTCTGTAACAGAAGTGTTTCTTGTCAAACGGACCTGCTGTAGCGTGTTGTAGCGCCATCGCTAAACTGTCCTCCCTCGGGTCCCGGACTATGTCACTTTATCCTAGTTGTAGAAGTCCTGCAAACATTGTGTTTGCTGGTCGTCTGTTGGCATCTACAGTAGCACCAATGCTTCTGACTTTCACCTTGACTGGGCCCCATTTGTAATGATCTGAAGTATTTATCTGCATTATATCTGAATTTAACTGGAACGATACGAGCGAGCAGGAGCGTCTGTTTGTGGGCGGGGCTTGAGGGGAGAGGGGGAGCTCAGGGGAAAACTGGTTTGGAGGGGTAGAGTTTACATTCAAGATTTCTCCCAAAGGTCATATCAGCAACCATATTTCAGTCAGAGGTTAACTCATAATGTGATCCAGGCCAAACTGATTTAATCGGCGGTGTTGGAGGATGTGGTTTATAGTCGTGTCACTCTGATCCGTCTTCTCAGTCTTTCCTTCACTCAGTCCAGTCTGAGGTTCTCAGCCAGAGTTCTTGTTGAATATTTTCTCAAAGGCTCCATTTCTCGTTTCGAATGCATGCTCTCCTCCGTGGTCGTCTTCTTCTTTTAATGAACTCCCCGCAGGCTTTACGCCATACTGTGCGCTGCTGCCCCGAGAGACGAGGCGGATCCCCTGCAGCGCCTCAGGCCTGGTGTACGGCCAAGAAAAGTACAGATCCCTTTAAGCGGGAACGCTCCACGCCATCAGGGAATAATCCACAAATTACCAGAGGTCTCTAGGTAGTGCTAATCCTGTGTGGAAAGGGCGTCGTCTGTTCTTCACAGCAACAAGGAGAGCAGCCAATCAGAGACGAGCATTCAAATCACAGTGTTAAAAGACTGATTTACAACTTCCTGTTTTATACCCAAACTTAAACCTCTTTCCGAAGCACACACGCTTAAATATTCGTCTAATATGATGAGGTATATTAAGAGTCTGAAATTAGGCTCTGAATCTCTTAATCTGCGTCTGCTGCTTGAATTAACATTTAATGTTTTGCACATGGAGGGATTTTTCCCTAACTCAGAGCCGTCTCTCCTCTCACTGTGATTCACTGCAGTAATAAAGAAAAAACAGCCTCATAAGCAATCTGTTCTGCTCATTAAAATGACGGATAAGCGGTGCAGACGAAGAAGAGCTTTAACTCAGTGTGAGGGAGTTTAATGTTGATCAAATTTATGAACGGACACGACGTTTATGTGATCTTTAACCTTCTCCGGTTTTCAGGAGAATCAGGAAGGATCACGAACTTTTACCTGACAGATCTCCTGTTTTTCTCCAGACGCCGCTCGGTAACCGAAGCGTTAACTTATCTTCAGCTTTCAGCACGAGGAGGATAATCAAACGCGACACTTTTACTGTTGAATCAGTGATGCTGTAATTACACATTCAACTAATGTGTCATTTAAACATCCAGGGAAGCTTTCCAACACTTTCCTTCCCAGAGAGAGGAGCATTAATGACCATAATTAGCTCGAGAGCCGCGCTTTTTTTCCTCTATTAAAAGACACACGATTATAATGTGGCACAGAAACGATCAGTGAGCGGTAAATGATGAGTGGAGATCCTGCAGCGCCTCATCCGCATTAATTCAGCCTTCTGTTTTTTCGGCATGAAAATAAAAACTGAACGGGGATTTTTGGAGCTCTTCAGGGACGAACCTGAGGGAGCTTTTCTGAACTTTCCTCGCACTAAAATGTGAAAAGACTCTGAGATGTTGAAACCAAAATAAAGTGGTTGTTTAGTGAAATAAACGCAGATTTTTAAAAGGATGGAGCTTCTATGATTTATAAAAATATGATTTTTTGCCTTAAATAAGAGTGTTTATGCAGTTTCTTCTTTTATGTGCTACTGTGTGGACAGGAAATGTTCTTTAGAAGGAGTTTATAGTCCATACAGTGACTTTTTTTTAATGCAGAACTGCGCAGAGGTTTGAAGACCACGGCCATCCAGTCCTGGTTTTGGATTTAGAAGATGATAAATCAACGAATTCTTTGCCTTTCCCCTTTTGAGGATCAGTATTTTTGAAACTGTTTGCTCACGCAGTCTTCCTGCGTTCACATGGGCACAAATAATCGGAATAGATCCCGATCAGAATGAAAATGCGTCATGTAAACATGTCAATTGGAAGATTCTGATCCAACTCGGCTCAATCGGGAGAAGAGAATGTTTTCCAATCAAGAGGGGTGGTTTATGCCGATTTTTATTCCGATACAAGTCAATGTAAACACTTATTCTGATTGAGAGAGGTGGTCTATGCCGATCTTTATATTAAAACGCGTCCATGTAAACACTAATTTTGATTGAGAGGTGTGGTTTATGTTGATTTTCACTTTGGCATAAAACACAACCTTAGGTGTCGTGTCTGCTCCTCCGGTAAAATAACAATGCGTACATACAGCGTAATGATGTCACATCTGCACGCACAGAGCAACCTTTGACAGAACAGTAAAACAACTGAGCGAGGACGCCATCTAGTGACAACATTTAACAAGGAGGAAACTCCGGAACTGGATGAAGTTAACCACTTCGGCATTTGTTGGTTTGTTGACAGCACAGGCGGAAATACAGATCAGACAACTCTGCGCATGTCTGAATGCTTCTAATCTGAATAAAGCTTGGTGTATGTTTACACACGTCATGATCGGATTATTTGATTTTGCAGACACATAAACACTGGATTCAGATTATTCAAACCATCAAATTTTTATCAATCTTGCTCATGTGAATGTACCGACTGAGAGGTAAATCTTCCCATCTTTTTTCCTGAGTGTCTCAGCCCAGTCATGTTACTAACCTGTTAAAAATTGACCTCATTAGTGATGAGATGTTTCTCTTTGCTAAGATTTGAATTAAAGCTCCTGTGAGGAACTTTCTGTCTGTGTTGATTTTAGCCCCTCCCAGTGGACAAAGTGTTACAAAGCTTATATTGTTGTTGAGTTTGTAAAAGTCGTGTTAACTGACTCCTGTTGTTATTAACTATAAATAAAAGTCACTTCACTTTACGTCTCAGTCTGGTTTCCTCACAGGAGCTTTAACTTTATTTAAACTTTATTTAAAATAGTGTGGTAGTTAATTCCACCGCCCTGCTTCACAAAAGGTCAAAAAGTTAAGTTTTGTTTTTCTTCAACAGCGGACGACCTCCTCTCACTTTTTTTTCACCTTTAACCGTGTCCGGCTCCCTCCTCGAGCCCACGGAGACCCCTAAACGATAAAACATGTAGCTAAGGTTAAGAGAGCGACAGAAACGTGGTTGTATTCATGCATTATTGAGTTTTATGATTTATTCACTTGAAGGAAACGTCTCCTGGACAAACGCTGCAGAGTTCAGATAAACCAGCAGCCTTTCTCCGCTCTCATATCTCTGCGGCGGTCTTCGGTGTTTGTGATGTTGGAAAAGCGGCGGTTTAATCCGGCCCTCTAATTGTCCGTCTGTGAGTCTGAGTTTGAAACACAAAGGCGGAGGAGCCGGGAGAGGACTCACCCCCCCCTGAGATGTTGTAGTTTCTGATATGGATGCACGGAGCGAGCAGCACATTATAAAACCTTCTGTGTTTCGAATCCAAACACAACATTCGCAGGAAGCAGCCGAGCGGCGAAGGCGGCAAAGCGTCCTCGTTCTGCTTCTCGCTAATCTGTGTTTTCTTATTGGAAATTACGGCGTCACACTGAGCTCAGGCTTAAAGGACAAAACACTCATTTTATGCTCAGATCCAGAGCCGTGAGGATTGAGATTTTTCTGCTTTTCCCCCCCGTGATGGTGTTGTTGTGTATCAAGGAGATTTTCATCAACTTTATTTGGTGGATGTTTGCAGCTCTGAAGGTTCAGATGCAGGTCAGGAGGCAGCTGCGAGGCCGTGAGAAGTTACAGGCAGGAAAGTGGATTAATAACGGGGTTTATAATGTTTCCCATCTACACTAGAAGTTTGATTACAAGGAGGACGAGGAGAGCTTTAATTTAAACTATGACGACAACATGAAGACAGCAAACTAAAATGAAGCAGACAGCAGCTGAAATAATGATATATAATGATATTCTAATACAGCAGAATGAGAAACAAGAAGATTTTTTTGATCTGAAAATCATGTAAAGATATTAAAGAGGAATCAGAGTAGAAGTTTAGAGTCTAACCCCCTCTCTTTGTGTCAAAAATCTCATTTTATCCCAGTGTTTAAGAGATCATACAAACTCAGTCCAGGATGTTTCACAGTTATGATCAACTCCAAACCAACAAAGTCAAACATGAGGCTGAGAAACAGGCTGTAAGCTAAGGGCCTGTTATTCAGCCTCGTGTTTAAACCAAGAGAAATAATTAAAACCTCAGAGAAATGTTCGTTTTCTAAACTTGAACGATCTACAGCAGCTAATCTGGATATCTGGATATCTGGATATCTGCACGGCTGATTTTGGCGGCTAGTCTCAGACTTTTAGTTTTTGTCATTTTTGCCCTCAATAGTTTTAGACAATAAAAAGTCATGATTGTAAGTTAAAGTATTCTCATATCAAATATCAGAGCCGCTGTCAAGGCTGTACTATTAACTAAATTTTCACTCTCTTTAAGCTTTAACTTCTTTAATATCTGGATTCCTAACTTTAGGCAGACGATCCCTAAATTAGTTCAGACTCTCTCACAACGTAATTCTGCCATGTGGTCCCTGCTGATCTATTAAGATACTATAGAGGAAGGATTCACTGAAAATCTAATGTCCTGTTTTCCTTTTTGACTTCTTTTTATTTTATTCTTAGTGGGGTGGAGATGGGGGGTCCTGGCTAAAGCCCCTAGGTCCTTAAGTCTAGGACACGCCCCTGGACAGACTCTATATTCTCTGAGCTCTCAGGTGCATCTTTCATTTTCATCTCCTTAAATTTGCTCCAAACCTCGATATGAAGAAACGGGAAAGACGTGGAAAAATAAAACCCGTCAAACATTAAATGAAAAAGATGCAAGGAGGCAGAGAAGGTTTCGGTGTATTTTTGTGCAACACTGTTGAAAAAATGCACTGAAATTTGCACCGCGCTGAAAACTGAGTTTTTCTTACCTAAGACTTTTCCTTTGAAATGTCCGCTGTCGTCCTTCTTCCCCTGTTTGTCCTTATCAGCTGAGGACGAAAACAGACAGACAGATACAGTCAGTAAATACGGACAGTTACAACGTGGTGAAAATCAATGTCTCATTTCCTTAGTGTGTGTGTGTGTGTGTGTGTGTGTGTGTGTGTGTGTGTGTTAATTCTTCAGGACAGACTAAAAGGAGTGAGGATGTTTACTCAGCGACAGAGATTCGCCCTGTTTGTCAGAGGCAAGGTGGCGAAGGGTCACTCTGAGCGTCTGTGTGTGTGTATGTGTGTGTGTGTGTGTGTGTGTGTGTGTGTGTGTGTGTGTGTTCGTTCGGGTGTTAAGACAGTGATGGATGACGACCAAAGTACAAAGAAAAAAAGCAGGTTTGTTGTTGTGGTTCTTTCTCTTGTCGACTGTTTGCATGTCTTCATGCTGTCTGCAGACGAAGGACACACACACACACACACGCACGCACGCACGCACACACATATTTACACAAAGAGACAAACATGCACTCATTCATTTTTAATGCTCCATCATTCTGGAGGAAGTATTGACAGGACTCTCTCTCCCTCTCCCTCTCTCTCTCTCTCCTCCCTCTGTCAGACCCCCCCCCCACCCCCCCACGCCTCTCCTGTTATTGTTCCCGTTGCCCTCTATCTCCACTCTCTCCTCTCTCTCTCTCCACTCTCTTTCTCCCGGTGTTGTCAGACAATAACAAAGAAAACACAGTTTCCATATCAATCTGTTGACAGAGGAAACAAACAAACTGATGTTCCAACACAGGAAGTAAACAAACACTCTCTGCAGCACACTCAGAGCTCTCCCTGGTGTCTGCCTTCAAGCCCCGCCTCCTCCATGTAAACGGATGGGACATGGGTCGAACTTTAAAATCTAGTTACCCGTCTAATAAATAGATTCTATCAGTAAAAAATAGAGTTACCTCTTTATCAGTGCGTTTACATGCACAGTTTAATCGGACTAAGCTCATAATTAGTTTTTTTCACTGAATCGGAAATCTGGGCATTTTGGAGCAGGAAGATGGAGCATCGTACAGCGTTGTTTTTGTCGAACATGATGTACGCGCCACTTTTTTCTGCGTGGCGCACATGCATTGTCTGATCATACTCCGACTATGTCATTTTTGCCCGCAACAAACAATAGGGTTACAACAATCATAGATTTATGGTTTATCCATTAAATGCTGGGACACGTTGATATTTAACTTTCTACCAACAAAGTGTTTAAAGCTCCTGTGAGGAACTTTTTGATGTTTATAAAATAAACTGAATTTATATTGATGCTTTTTCACGATTTCTAAAAGGAAACAAAACAATCAGCAACAAGTTTGATGATTTTTATACCCTAATATCTGACGGCGAGTCTCTTAAAGCGCCTGAAGGTGTTTAATGTGGGTTTGGGTTTGCTGACAGGGTGTAGCATCAGGACTAAAGCTCCACCAGCTGATCCCTCCTGCCAAAGTGGTTGGAGACGCCTCGTCTGTTTTTTTTGTTTTATTCGAAGAAACTTGTCCGAACTGTTTAAATCAAGTCCTGCTTCCTGGTGTTTGGTGAGTCCAAGTCTTGGATCAACACCCCGAGGAGACAGCAGATCAGGCTGAGGGCAGGTGCTTCTCACCTCAGGGTGCTAGACCCCCACAAACCCCCCCCACCCTCTGCCCTCCTGAGCCAATCAGACGCTCGGTCATCGGCCGCCTCACAGCCATACACGCTGACAAGAAATCCATAAATCCTGCCGGTTACCGTCTTCTGCCAACCCCTGCAGAGTCAGAGCGCCGAATGTGTCCCCGCTGAGACGACACATTGTGATTCAAGGTGAGTCTATCAACATAAATCAGATGTGAGGAGATACTGCGAGGATGCACCGAGGCTGGAGGAGCTCTGGGTGTTGGCACAGACTTTGAAAAACATCAGACAGCAAACTGTGACTGCAAATGAGGTTAGTATCTAACACTCCCAACCTCCCTGCTCCGCTGAGAGGCAAAAAAAAAAAATCATTCAATGATAGATCAGAAGAAATTACACACTCAGCTCTGCTTCTTCATGTCTTCTTTTTCGGGGCTGCTGTAGATTTCAGAGGGAGACAAAGTCGGAGACAGAGAGGCGTCTGAGCTGTTCAGGAACAAAAACAAACTGCAACTATTTACTCGGTTCTTCTCTCATGTCCCAAGATGTTAAACACAGACCCTGACGGATTAACAGAACAAAAATGAGAGAGATGTGCGCATCAAACCTCAATTATTCCTGAGTGTGTCTTACAACAGGCTTTTATTCCTCCTTATGAATGCAAAAACAGCCAAAAGAAACACGTCTCGGTGCTCGTTGTTTGCAGAGAGAGCAGGGTTGAAGCATTTGAAGTGATCAAACTGAGGATATAAATGATATAGGGGTGTAATGACTCATCTACAACAACAACGTATCGATTTATAGTCCTATAATCCAACTACATTGATCCGTGCTCGGCAAGTCGACCTTCCGGATCACATATATCGATCTAACCTGCACAGTCCGGTATCCAGGTATTTATTTCACAATCACACTTGTTGAATTTTTGGCTAAAAAGTTATTAAATCGATTCAGATCGAGTTTTTCTAAATGAACCAAAATTGTCCTTGAATCAAATTGGCATGAATCATGATACGAATCGAATCGTTGTTAAAATGAACCGTTACAGTACTAGAATGATAACAATCACGATATCTGATTTACTGAAGAGTTCAAAATACCACCACCAGGAGTCTAAAGCTCGAATATTAGAGAGTTCATGTAGGGGTGGGCAATATGGAAAAAATTTCATATCATGATTTTTTTTTTTTTTTTTGCAAAATCACGATCACTGAAAAATAGAAATAAAATATCCTCATTTTAACAAGAAACAGCAAAACATTTATCTTAACTGGATGGTCTCATTCTCAAATAGATTTGAACCCAAAATAATGCTGCGTTCAAGTTACCTCGGAAGTCAGATGTCGGAGCTGAAAATGACGTCACACCCGAGTTCCAAGTGTTTCAGTTACCAAGTCGGAAAAAAGCAAAATCGGAGGCGGAAAAGAGATGGCTGCATCTACGAAAGCCTTGCCTTAATATAAGGCAAGTACTTTGTCCGAATAAAAGGCAAGCGCTAAAATAACTTTCGTAGATGTAGCCATCTTTTTTCCTCCTCCGATTTTGCTTTTTTCCCCGACTTGGTAACTGAAACGCTGGTAACTCGGGTGTGACGTCATTTTCAGCTCCAACATCTGACTTCCATGGTAACTCAAACGCAGCATAAGACTTCACACACAAAAGTCAATATTTATAAAATGAAAGGTAGTCTATTAAAAAATAATAATCTCGCCCTTTTTCAGCAGATTTTTCTGCGACTGCAGTTACTTTTATCGACTCAAAACACACAAATATTGTGGGTAAACTAAAATTTTCTCTCTTAACGTCTAAAATTTAGATTTGAAAGAGCAAGAAATTTATTTAGACACGTTAGGGACACAATGTGTACTGTAGTTAGTTCTACCATCTCTGTGCTTTGGCAGATCATCGTCACTTTTCAACCTTTCATGATCTAATATCGTCAGATCGCAAATTCAAGTGGTAGATGTACAAGAATAGTTGAACAGATACCTTAAAACAGTCCTGTACATGTTTAATAAAGACACATAACATAGATGCTCCATTGACGTATCATGGAGGCTCTAAATCGACGCTACAGGGGACCTAAAATCAAACCGAATCACTGATATGTGTTTAAGATACCCGAAACAGACCTGTATGTGAGCAGAAGAGAAACCCGGGTTGGAGGATCTGAATTCTTTGAGTCGAGTCGACCTAAAACCTGTAATTCTGAGCCAGCAGACGGTTGAGCGTGAATATTTCCTCCATGTCAGATTAAAACAGCATCTGTTACAAGCTCTGGATTAATACTGTGAAGAACCAAATCAAACTGCATGCTTGGTTTGAGGGTTAATTGAAAACATCAGCAATTAGATACATTAATTTGTCAGACACGGGTTCGATAACGAGGCTGATTTATGGCCGGGATGAAACGGTCAGTTGTGCAGTCAGCGTTGCTCACAGAGAGGGAAACAACATCAATCCTGCATCTCACTACATCAGCAACTTAATGTGGAGTAATGATCTCCATCTACAGAAAGAGCGGCAGCAACGGGGAGATTTAAACTCTTAAGACATGTTTTCACATCAACTCAAGGATTCATGATGGAGGATTTGAAGTCAAATTTCTCAGTGCGGTTCAGAAAGTCTGCAGAAGTAGAAACGGTCTGAAAGAGGGCGAAAATCCTCATTTTTGGACACTGGAGAAGAAAAACTGTGAGCCAACTTCGATTTGAGGATCAGTACGTCTGAACTTCTTAGGGGTTATACAATGATTTTCATTTATGGGACACTTTATTTGTGAGAAAAGTGCCTCTTTCATCATCCGCAGAGGTGACGGCGGCCGTTTACCGCTCGAGCCTGGATGATGGGATGATGGGATTTTCCAATTTGGATTCAATAAACCAGCAATCAAGGCATCAGCAGGCAGATTTATCAGCCTGTGTACAAACCGAAGAGGCTGATATCTGCTCTCACACACGCTCCACTCCAGGTGAAAGGTCAACACTGTGAGCGGCTAAACCCACAGGAATCCGCCTGTTTACAGAGGAGGATTTACTCCCAATCACAGGATAACAGTTTCATAGAGCTGCAGAGCCGGCGTGTCATGGAGCCGCATACAGAGTTTTCATGACGGAGTTGTTTTGATTGTGTATTTTTAATGTTGAATACACTCTTACATCTAGTCTCTGAAAAAAAAAAGTCTATTTTGGACCATTTTAAGAGCCTAGATCAGTACCCCATTAAACTTTTGTTTAGTTCTTGTGTTTTTCTTTGTTAAATATCGTCAAGTCCGTTTTTAAGAACCCAAAAGTAACTCCTCTGTTACTGATGGATGACCTCTAACATTGATTTTAAAGCCAGTCATCACATTTACTCATCAATTACCTATGGGTCTGTTTTAAGGTACCCTCGGTCAGCTGTTTAAGCAGCAAACAAAGAAAGGCAACAGGATCCAAATCCAGTTATCTAAGAATATCTAAAGTCTGTTTTTTGAACCTCTAAATTTCACCTCGTCTTCATGTCTGTATTGAGGTACCTTTTGGTATCTATTTAAAGTCAGTTTTAAGGAACCCCTCGGTGTCTCACTCTCCATCTTTTACTCCTCCTTACGGCATCGTTGTGAAGGCTGTGTTAAGTTGCTTGTAACTGTTCATCTTGAGGATTTGGACTTTGATTCCAGACGTTTTAAGGTACCTAAAACACAGTTCCTTTTGTTGGCCGTGTCGGGACCTGCTTTCCAACTAGTTTGCGTGAATCAGATTTAATTCAGCGTACCATTAACATTTGTTTGATGCATGATTCTCTTCCCTCTAAAATAGATAATATGGTCTGTGTTAAGGTACCTTTAGCACTTCTTAAAGGGTCATGTTTACTTTCTAAATATTTTCTTTTTAAAAACATGATCAGGTTTTTATGGAGGTACCCTTAAATATCATTACAGCATTTTTTTAAAGGCCTGAAACATTTGTTTACAACGCTTGTTATTAACAGTTTCAAGGTACCCAAAATACCTGTTTTAAGGTACCATCACATAACTGTTTTTGCCACAATATCCTTAGATATTGGCATTTTTGAGCAACCACGAACCATCTGTTTAATATCTGCTCACTGTCTGTTTTAAGGTACCCTTTTGTCGAGTTTTTGTTTCTTCCTCCACTCAAACATTTGGTCAATCTTAAACTTTTAAGTCTGTTAAATCTGTTTAATCTTTGTTTTTAGATCCTCTTACACAGACTGAGTTTTCCTCACTAAAGCTCACTAAAGGTCTAATTTTGACCCTTTTATTCCCTTTTTTTAAAATGATTATTTAGTGACTATCATCTGCTCAATGTTCTCCTTGACCACTGAGGAACATTGTGATGTTTTGGCCTTATATAGTCAAGTTTAGAAACACCTTATTGTGTATTCAAATGCTGAATACTTCCACTTGTAAGACGCAGAGAGGTGAGTAGTTTTAAAACCTACATTATTATACAAATCGTGGTTCATCATCTTTTCAGGTAGAAGTACTGGCAGTGAATGAGAGTGAACATGTCAAGACTTCTAAACTAGAGGTTTATGAGAAAAACACAAACTGAATACAGAGCGAGCCAAACTCCAACCCCTCTCAGAAACTGCACAGAAAAAAACAGCGAGGAGAAGAAAGGGCTGAGATGAAAGGGAACGAGCAGACAAAAACCTGAGAAGAGAGGCAGAAAAATATCCCGGTTTGAGCTTTTATGTGACATTCAATGGCTCATTTTCAGCCTGTTCAGAGTGCAACACATGTGCAAGTCCTCGCTGTTACATGACTCACGGCAGAAAGAGTCCCTGCTCGACAAAAAGCACGTTTTTCATTCTGCTGTAAACTTAAATCCAACGCCGTACACCAAATGTACCGCATTATTTTTGTCACAGCGTATCCTGCCAACCTACACACACCTGCTCGTGATTCTTTACATCTTCCATCTCCATCCTATCCCTGATCATCCACACTCAACATTTAGATCCAACTGCTTATATATATATATATATATATATATATATATATATATATATATATATATATATATCTCAATTTACTTACATTTTAAACTCTTTACATGCAGAATCAGAGCCTGATTCACCTTTGGTCTCTGTTCAGTTACCCATGTGACGGAGCTATACAGTGGAAATAGTCGAAATGTTCCTTTATTAACATTATTTAACCCCGATTAAGAGGAAAAACATAAAATTAGATTCTACTCAATAACAAAATGTCATTTTTTTTAAACTCACAATACAATAAGGTATGATAAATTATAAAATGATACGATACGATAAGACACCATATATGATTCAATATGATATGATATACCATGATACGACACGAAAATGATAAGATATGATACAATAAGATACAACATGACATGATACAAAATATGAGATGATACGATACAGTACAATATTATAGGATAGAATGTAATGCAACATGACACGGAATGATAACGGAAGTTACTAAATAAATCAGTATGATACAAACTAACACAAGACGATATGATGTAATACGACATCATGCGATACGATTCAATTAGATACGAAATACAAAAAGATTAGATGACATAGATTGAGATATTAAATGATATGAAACAATGAGATGCAGTGCTGTAAGATCAGAAAAGCTATGATATGAAATAATTAGAAACAGTACAGCAGGATACGATACGGTATGGTATGATAAGATAGGACACGATATAATATGATACAGTATGATTATGATACGGTTACAACATGTCCCAGTAGGGTATGGAACGGTATGGTACAATACGATACGACATGACATGACACAATAGGATATGATATGGAATGACACGATACGGTAAAGTCAGATAAGATAAGATACAATATGATTCGACCCGACACGAAACGACGCAATATGATGTGTAATGGTTTGATGCAGTACAACATGCTACAATATGATACGGTATGGCATGATAGGATATGATAGGATAGGACACTGTATGATATGATATGATAGGATATGATACAATATGTTATGATTCCACAAGAGAATGTGATATATGATATATGATACCTATCCAAGTCTATCACAGGCCTGTGAAATCCTAAAGTCTGGTTGTTTAGAAAAATCTGTTCATTTTATGTTCCTGTCCTTTTAGGTGATTGCTTCTATATTTTTAGGTTCCTCGGCAGCCGACAGGTTACTGCTGGTGCCAATGTTACACTGTCTCCTTCCTTCTTCTCAGAAACTCTTGGTACTGTTCAGGATGATGATGGTTCCTGAAACCCTCAGGTGAATTGGGAGTATTTACAGTGTTGTTTTGCCCTTCCTCCTGTCACCTGTGCTTTAAAAACACTGAAAACAACCTTTTTTCTCCTCCTGTATTTAAACAGTAAAAACCTCCACAGAGCAGACACGTTGAAGCTTGTTCTTGGCACCGCCTGCGTTTTATTAATGTATCACTTTATCCCACATACATATCAGCAGCAATTTTCATATCTGCTGATAGCAATAACTAGTAATTGCTTTTTCCCTACCCCGCTCAGTTTTTCTCTCCCTCTCCCAGGTCTTACTCGGCGTTGGCAACAAATGTACTACTGACCACCTCTGTGCTAATGAGAGTCTCTATCTTAAAATGAGGTGTTTTCAGTACATCGCTGGTACCTTACTGTCGAGGGAATGCGCCAATGTGACGACACATATTTCTCCTGCTATCAAAATAGAACCTTATTCGGTTATTTGGCTATGCCCACAATTATTACTGGACTCTCACTAGTGTTTATTACCCGTACTGTAAAGAGTAATGTCATGTGATTCAGGGGAAATGAATCCTAATACCTTCTTATGGGCTTAAGAAGAAAACCAGACCATCATTGTACAGACTGATGAGCTCTTTGTTGCTATTTTTAATGCCTGAGACCTCTGCTGTGGTGCAGGTGTCAGATGAAACAGGCTTAGTTCACATTAACAGTAGTGAGTGATATTTTCGACTCTTAAAAAACATCAAGATGAGATTTTTTTTCTTTTAGTTGAAGATACAATTCACGTCAAACATGTACAGGGGAAAATAAGCAAAGAGATAAAAGCTAACGCTTTGTTTGCAGAGACTGAGGGGAGTGGAAAATCTACAAAACTTAAAGTACAACACCATGCAGGGGCTTCAAGGACACAGACTGTCTCTGTGGATCCTGGAGAGACTTATTAAAGCCGGTGTGTCCCGAGGTTTGGATATTCAAAGACGTTACGCTGTTGACTCTTGTGCAAATTTGCAAATTCTGCAGGGGGGTTATAACTTCACCTTGCCGTTTACCGTAAAAGTCAAACTTTGGTCTGCAAGTGCGTGATGTCCAAGAAGAAGAAACCTGAGTCTGAGTACGACCCGAGAGACAGACCCAAGGCAGAGTCTGTGTTCTGGACAATAATGTGATGGGTCAAACAAGAACAAACAATGAAACACCTCGCTCTCTTTGTGTGTGTTTTTATTGAAATGGTTGGGGCACTTTAGTATGAGCTGTTGTCCTCATACAAAACGCAGCTCAAACAATGCTAGCAAACACTCCCCTTACAAAACAATGTGCATTTAAAGGGATATTCTGGCGTAAAACTAATTTAGGGTCAAACACACCGAGTTAGACACCCCCTCAAGAGATTAATGTTGCTGACTGCTTTCTTCTCTAGTTTTACCAACTTTAGTAACGACCGCACGATAGCAATACACAGAGCCATGCGCTCGACCAAAACGCCACTCTATAGCCACAAATAATGCTGAGAACAGCACCTAACTTCATCAACAGGACATATAGGGTCACAGACATAGTACTAGACACCAAACATCTTTTTAACTTTAACTAATTTCTTTAGCAAAGAGACTAAACACAACTCACCTACTCTCTTCCAGCAGCCGCTTGTTTGTAGCGAGACCTCAGGCCAGTCCATTACGGACTACAGCGGGGTGACGCAGCTCAAGGAAGAACATTTAAGATCATTTCTTAATGAAAATACAATCAGACCGAGACGCTAAGACAGAAGAACTACAGCGTCTGCAGTGAAAATGATTAATATGATGATTATTACTTCAAGGAAATGATAAAGAAATGATCATAAATGTTCTTCCTTGAGCTGCGACACCCCGCTGTAGCCCGTAATAAACAAGCGGCTGCTGGAAGGGAGAAGGTGAGTTGTGTTTATTCTCCGAGTTAAAAAGATATTTTGTGGCTAGTACTATGGCTGGGACCCTATATGTACATATGACATGATATGATATGATATGATAAATATCGGTTTCCGGTCGCTGATATATAAATTTGGTCCATTTTGCAGCCTCGAGTGTTTGATCGTGTTTTCTTACTTACCGAGACACCTGCCCAGATGCTTGACGTCGATCTGCTCCTGCTTCATGCACGACGCCTCTCTAACCAGACAGGGGTTGTTGTAGGAGTTCCCGTCAGTGGCGCACACCGGGTTCTCATTGTGGCCGCTGCAGTCGATGTTACATATACACCTGAGAGGAGGAGACGGAGTGAATATTGTGTCTGCAGATTGAAGTCTGAGCACGGCAGCTCTCGTCATCAACACTAAATCATCAGCTGAAGCACATTCACAGACTTCCTAATGAAGACACAGCTCATTAATTTAAACACACACTGGATGTCTGCGCTCGGGGACGTGAATTTAATCATTCTGGGACTTTTTTTTCAGATTTATAGACGAAACAAGTCAGAATGGGATTCATATTTTCAAATTAATTCACGATTTGAGTCTCAAACATGAGTGATGATAACAGCAGAATAATGATCTCTCCAAACATCTCAGAAATAGAGGGAAAACATTCAGAAAAGGACCGAGTCTTTGGGTCGGATCCTGCTTTGAACATTGTCTGAGTGACGCTGAACTTTTACAAACACCTGAGGTGGATTTATCTGTTGTGGCGGGGGTGTTTACTCCTGCAGGATCCAGGTGAGGACACTGACAGGGTTGTCTGTCTCTCTGAGAGTTTCCTCAGGTTGGAGAGATGTTTGTTTTTTTTTATTTATTAGCTGCGGCGGTTTTACAGTAAACACCCTCCAGCTGCAGAAGTTTGCGGCTTTTCAATCATTTCTTCTCACAGCTGAGATTACAAGTCAAAGACTCACCAGACGTCCTCTGAGTCTTCATCGCACTCGGCTCCGTATTTACACGTGCTGCACTTGGTGAACTTCTTCCCAACGTCGGATCCTGAACCCTCGTCGTCTGAAACACATGAAGACCAACAAAGAAAACTCAATACTGTTTTAAACTTCGACAAGAATGAAGCTGCAGACGTGTTCACCCTTGTAGTCCATCACTTTTCCATCAGTTTTTTAGTTTTTAGAGGTGATTTTGATCCTATGTGGTTAATCCCACTACAGAGTCATGTCTGTTTTTAATGCAGTGCGTTAGTTTCCGGCGTTGTCTCTTTTGCACGTTTACAGATTTCTCCAGTTTGGTTCTGATTCTGAAATGTTGAACTTTTTGCTCACACGGTCTTTACAGAGTCGTGGATCTCTCTGCAGCTTCTGAGACTCACCACAAATTTACACCACATGCGTAATAGTGGCAAAAAGGTTGTCGGCACCGATCACGCCTTATCGTTTCCATTCAAGTTAATATGTCAAATTCCACTGGCTTTCGCCACCGTAGCCGATCACCAGGGCTCTACTTTTTTTAGACGTCGCAGCATAAGTTCAGCAAAGATCAACCCCTGCTGGAAAGGAAGTCGGGCACAGAAACAAAATGAAACATCCGGCTTCTTTTTAATATTATTTATTATTATTATTATTATTATTTTATTATTATTATTATTATTACTATTATTATTTTGTTTTCATAAAGCCTTGTTTTTTGTTTTGTTTTTTACTTCATTATTTTTATCATGTTCATATAAAGATAAAGATAAAATCAGCCTCGTTAGTTGGAAGTGTTTTTGCACCCGTCTCAACTTTTTTAGGGACACACTGCTAGCATCAAATTTAAAACGAGGATATATTTTTTAAGACTTTTTATAATTTTTTTTTATTTTTAGTTATATTTTTATTTGAAATAAAGAGTGCAAATAAGGTAAATCGTTTTTGCTTAATTTTTACATAAACAAAAATGCTGAAAAAGATACAAACAATATAAATGGATATAATAATAATAATAATAATAAAATTAGAGTAATCATAGTTTTGACTACATGAGAGAACAAACTTAAGTATAATCAAAATTATCAAGATTATAGACTTTCAAAATCAGAAAGTATAATCAGCTGTTGACAGAGTTCATCGCCTGACAGGTTTCTGTCATTTTTTCCCTCGTCCCACTTCTCATGCTGCACCTTTTATTCGTTTAAACTCCGTCTCTCTGCTTTGCAAACTCTGCAACTTTTAATTCTCATATTTTTCACCCGTGAAAAGCCTAATCATCTTTTATCATTATTGCTTTTTCATTCCTTTCCAGAACAGTGACTTGATCTCATTTCTAAAATAACCTCCAGCTCACATCAGTTTCTGTGCCGGTGAGCGCCATCGTGCCGTTAACACTGATGACACCGTTCGCGCCGTCGACACACGACACGGCTCGCACGTTTTCTATCAGTCACAGCCGAGCGTGCGAAGAGGCTCCTGAAGCCAAATGGAAACAGAGACGCATTATCATCTTATGATATTATTATTGTTATCATCATTACAGGGGATGCGTTTAATGCCGCGCCGCATGACGGCGTCCATTGCCCCAGCAGAGAGCGAGTTCAGAGCCGACGAGGCGATAACAAGCAGAACATCAAATATCACAGGAGCCGTGGGGATCATTCAGAGCCGCCTCTCATCAAGGGAGCCGTTATCCCCGTTCATCAAGTGTGATTTTGTCATGTAGCAAAGAAAAAGATTAACACTATCGACAGACAGTTAAAGGCCGGACATGTGACGACCACCCTCGAATAACTGACGCCTGAAATCAGTCAAATCGTTTCATTTAGGGCCTCACGGCTGCTGGAACTTCAAAAGGTGCAGATTTATGAGCGTTCATTCAAGGTGGGGTAGTCAGGATCTGAGGAAGTGACAGTTTTTAGGAGAAACCTTAAACGTAAACTCTCCAAACCAGTTTTCCTCTCAGCTCCTCCTCTCCCCTTCCTCAAGCCCCGCCCACAAACAGACGCTCCTGCTCGCTCGTATCGTTCCAATTAAATTCAGATATAATGCAGATAAATACTTCAGATCATTACAAATGGGGCCCAGTCAAGGTGAAAGTCAAAAGCATTGGTGCTACTGTAGATGTCAACAGACTACCAGCAAACACAATGTTTGCAGGACTTCTACAACGAGGATAAAGTGACATAGTCCAGGACCCGAGGGAGGACAGTTTAGCGATGGCGCTACAACACGCTACAGCAGGTCCGTTTGACAAGAAACACTTCTGTTACAGACACTTGTCTTACTTTGTTAAAGCGGTTTACCTGTCCAGCAGAAAGGTTACAGGGTCACCAAGATCCCCAAGCGTCCCCCATCGTTTATGCATCATTGATCCGCCCCTCTCCCTCCGTTTGATCGACTCAGTGGAAACTTTTAAAAGAGACTTAGACGAGCTTTTAATTCACAGGGTTTTGTTTGTCTCTTTTACTTCTCTTTACTGTCTTCGTATTTGTGTTTGTATATGTACTAATCTTTTTATCATGTTTATCCAATTTCACTTATTTTATGTTTTTTTACTGCCCTTTGTGATTCTTACCTGTGAAAAGCGTCTATAAATAAACTTTATTTACTATTTATGTTGATCCGTCTTTTTTAGCTCTTGTCCGGTCTTCCTCCTTTTTAAGCGCCCGTTATTCCTCCAAAGTCTCCGGTATTTACTTTGTTTTCTTGTTTGTGTTTCCCGAACTTTCTGGTTGGTTTCTACTGTCCGATATTGTAACACGCTAACTTTGTTTGGGCTCCTGAGAGTTATTTGTGGAGCGTGTCTCACAACATGAGGAAGCTGCGTCCTCCTCACAACCAGTCAGGTTTGGGGAGGCTGGGAACGGCTTTGTTTACGGTCAGAAAATAATCAATAACTAATAGCTATTGACTGATATTAAAAGATATTAAAAAAGAGGCTTCTTTACTGGATTCCTGCCTACCCCACCTTTAACAAATCAAACAGGACAAGCAGGAGAGTTTATGATCTCAGACTGAAGAGAAATGAGCGTCACAGGCCTCCTGTCTCACTCTGCTGCAGATTTCCTCACTTATCGTGAGAAAAATGTGACTTTAAAGAGTGACGACAGGATTAAAATGGCCAGAAAAGGAGGGAGAGTGTGTGTTTTTATGTGTTTGTGTGTGTTTGCGTGTGTGCACCAGCTGACTGACAGATGGGCCTGCTGTGTATGGATGTATTGAACACCGAGCGCTCAGCCGGGGCTCGCAGGCTCCTGATCGATCAACAAGGATCTGCAGCAGAGAGGCTCTTTGTTTTTGGTTCGACTGTGCAGAGACGAGCTGCTCTCACACTCTCACCACATCCATACGCTCCCCCCGTCACTCATCAGGGTCTCATTCTGGGAAATTATAACGCCGATGAGTCGGAGGGGGTCCGTGTGAAATCAAGCTTCTTTATCCAGAAGCCTTCACCTTGTTTTATGCTTCTACATCGGACCCACAAAGATGCTTTTTTTTCTTATAACATGAAGTCAAACTGTTTCCTCTCCACAGCTGAGCTCTGCTGGATGGTTTCATGTTTCTTATTCTCGCTCCAAAATGGCACGGAGCCCGGAGATCTCCAAAAACAAGAATCACAATGTGTTTCTCTTGGTTCTGGTTCAGTTTTCTCTCTCTCTCTCAGAGCTGCAGACTCAGTCCAACACTTTTACAAGCCTCACATGATCCTGATGGGCGGAGGTGTTTCCAGCTGACAGGTGTGTTCATGTTTGCAGAGTACAAGACAAACAGACACTCTGGTTTAATTATTTATCTGTTAGTCCGTCCCCTGCAGGAGAATCAGCGAGAATCCTCCCGGGTCCGCACCCCCCTGCACATGCAGATGGTGGCGATCCCGTCCCTCTGGAGGCAGCCTCCAATTTAACCCCCCCCTCCAGCAGCCGTACAACACAACACACATCGCGGTCGTAGCTCACAGATGGTCACGAAATGTCTCTGTAGCCGAATTTGGCAGCGCCGAGGCCTTTTAGCTCCAGTCCAATGAGACCAGAAGCATCAAACGGCTCATCGGGGAGGACTTAATGTGGAGCTGAAAACCTCTGTGCAACCTTTACCACACAAGTTAACACTCGACGAGGGAGGGGGGCGACACGAAAAGATCCTCGCACGCTGCGTTCAGGCTCCATCCGGCCATTTTACGCCTTCTTCTTCTCCTTCCTCTGGACAAGAAGTTCGTGTTTGTGGAGGGCGGGGAAGGACTCAGCTGGGACGGATCAGAGTTTTACTGGAGCAAAAGTGGAGCAGGAAATTCAATCTTTACACCATTAAAAAAAAGAAAACAGAAAACACTCACCATCTCCGTCTCCAGAGCCGGAACCAGGATCTGTGAGGACACAAGAGGGAGAGTCAGTCAGGACCTTCTGAACCAGCATGAACCGCGTTTATTAAAGGGTCAGAGAGGAAACACATACACTTCTGTCTGTTTGGACTCGAGTGGAAGGTTTAATGGAAACGCTGTAGTGTCGCCGAGCGGTTTGGGGACTGTTAGAGTTCAAGTTTGTATAATACAAGGAGGAGGAGCAGGATTTCCTCACTTTAATCCTCCGTAAATCATCCGCACTTAACTCTTATTACTTCAAATCTTACCAGAATCCTGTTAGCTCCAAGGCTTTTAGCTCGCAACAAGCTGAGAGGATTATCCCCCAAGGTCTGGTCTATTTACTGGAGTGATAAATAATCGGACTCAATTTACCGTCAATGTATCAATCGAGACTTTTAATAAATGTAAAGACGGGATAAGATCAGACCCACTCTTATCTTGAACCGTTTGAGTGAAATACTTCCCAGCGTTGAGAGAGTTACAGTGGAGAGGAAGAAGTTCCTTTAACAGGCAGAAACCTCGAGCAGAACCAGACTCATGTTAGACAGTCATCTGCCGAGACTGAGCTGGATTTAGAGAGGAGATTCAGCATCGATTCAGAGGAACCTACGCCATGATGGAGCTCAGGGACTCCCAGAAAAGACTGAGTTTTAGTGACTCTAATGGGACATGATGATTCAAAGTTAATGACACAGACAGAACGAGGAAATGGGCTCAATGTTCCAGTACTTACAGTCAGAATCTATAGTAGCAAAAATAAGAGCTGGTCTAGACTAGAGCTGGGCGATAAACTGAAAATATACTGTTGTAATCTAAAATTTATGACAATAACTGACGTCATTTTGCCCATGTCAATACATTCAATGTCAAAACTAATAGATAAATAAAAGTAGGTAGTAGGTAGATGTGACTCCACCCCATCCAGTCTGTGACAAAGAGGGAAAGACAGGTGAGGAGATGGAGGACGGTTCAAGAGTTGGAGCGGCTGAAGTAGACAAAGTTAATGAGGGAGGGGGTGAGCAGCTTGTGGAGTAGTTATCGTCCATTTATCGTTATCGAGGTGAACTGATCAATATATCGGGATATTGATTCGAGGACATATCACCCAGCCCTAGTCTAGACCTGATCCAGTCCTCTCTAATCTGGAAACACAGAAAGAGCTGAGGTGGATCCTCCAAACTAAAAATATCAACAGCACCGATTCTTGATCTGTGAAATAATCACCACATCACTACTTAATGACTCCTCATGGTGGCGCCACACCACAGACCACCATTGACCATGTATCAGGTGACTTATGAGTAACTCTGTGTTAACCCTAACCCTGACAGTCACAGTAAACTCAGAGCAGGTGCAGCAGATGTCCTGGAGGCTGATTGGCTCGACTCTGCAGCTCCATCAGGAAATGGACTGTGACTGCAGAAATCTTGGCCTGCGACCCTCGATTTAAGAAATGGACATTGCGTTCGGACGTTCTGGCACACCGCTGCCGCATTAAGAAATGGACGCCAGCTGCTGTGTTGAATTAAATTTCACCTTTAGCTGCTCTGCTTCTTTACAAAGTCACCATCGGATTGTTTTTTCAGAGGGAAGGAGGCGGAAATGGTGGGAGTGAGCGCAGATATTAATGATTCTGTCAGTGCGGTGTTGACTAAATGTTGAGAGTTTGGTTAACCTCTTTAAACAAAAACAACTCTCCCTCAATCTGAAAATGTGTTTCCAGTCAAATTCACAGTTCAGAGGTCGAAACTCTTTTTTTATAGCGGCCATAAACACGAAAACGAAAACAACCAAAGGACCAAAGGACATCGCCATTTTAACGCCTCAGACAAGCTGTGCTCAGTGTGTAGAAATACAAACATTTACTAACATGTTTCAGTCAGATTGGGCTAAAACGCTCCCTTGCTCACCCCCATTTGTTGTTGAAATCCCAGAAACTACCGTGGCCTTTGAGGACAAGAATCTTATTTCCACACAACAACCTCTCCTCTTCTTTGTTGTCCTCTAACACCTCCATTTTCATTGGTCACCCACTGGAGACAAAAACAGGTAGAGCCTCAAACTGCAGTTCCCCAAGTGTCCACTAGAGGCTGGCAGCAAAAGCTCTGAAAGCCACATACACACCCATTCAGAAAATGATCTTAACAGCAGAAATAAACATCTTTACAGCCGAGTACCAATAGTCTTCCAATGAGGAGACCATATGAGTCAGGGAAGAGAGATTAAGACCGGATACACAACACTAATAATAGCTACACTAGTTAGTCTGGATTACTAACTTTGTGGATTTGTCTTTTGTTCCTCCACATCGATAACGATTCGTTTAGCATCTGTGTTAATCTGTGTTTTGCAGAGCTATGGCGTACCCAAACTTTACGACTTTACAAATTTTATGGCAGTATCTATATCTTATTTCTCTACTTGCACACGCTGCACCAATGAGGGTTAAAGGGATATTCTGGTGTAAAATTAATTTAAGGTCAAACACCGTTAGACACGCCCTCGAGAGATAAATGTTGCTTCTCTAGTTTCTTCGTGGAAATACAATCAGACCGAGATGCTAAGGCCGAAGAACTACCATGTCTGCAGTGCAAAATGATTAATATGATGATTATTACTTCAAGGAAATGAGAAAATAATGATCGTAAATGTTCTTCCTTGAGCTGCGTCACCCCAAAGTAGTCCATAATGTTGAACTCATCGGTTTACAAGAAAACAGGGTTAAAATTTTTGCATAATTAAAGGCATGGCTGACTAGACTTAAAGAGAGACACACAGGCCCGTCTTAACACCACCTCTTTGTCTCAAGCTAGGTGGACCTGAAGTTAGGATGAGTCAGCATTTCCACCAATGATAGGCAACAAACTCAGCTCCTACATCACTGAGACTACATCCATGTTTCATTCAGTCTATAAGAGAAACATGTCGAGTCATGAGGACAGGAGTCAAACTGAAGTCGAGTAAAGTTGTTCATATTTCAGGTAAGAAGCTCATAATGAGACACGTCCTCTTCTTCCTGCTGCAGGCGTCACTCTCGTCCTTTTGTCCTTCTCCTCTTTCATCAAAAACCCGAAAGTCAAAAATCCAACGTTGACAGAGTGAGACCTGAGCCCTGAGACGATGTTTCTCACTCAGACCGTCTCTGTCCTGACCCGTGATCAGATCTGTGGGAGGAGGTCTCAGCCTTCCCCTCCCGACACGACCCCACAGTCTGTTCTGTGAAAGACGCCGAATCGCTCCTCCTGCCCGGGAAAATAAACTCAGCTGAATATCCGAGCCGTCGCCTCGGCTCGCTGCCGCCCAACGCTCCAATTACAGGAAGCATAAATCTGGAGGAGAGGAAATTGCAGAAGGACAGGAGGGAGGTGAGGAAAGTGGGGGGCGAGTCACAGAGCCGGATCCCTGGTGTAACGGGTAATAAGAGCAGAGCGCCGGACAGGGCCTCATGGGAAATCAGGCTGCTGCCCCTGCAGATGGAGTTGACCGGCGCATTACCAGCACAGGGTGGTGTTACTGTAAGTTTCCAGGACATGTTTCTCCGTCGACTGGATCCAGAGAGCCTGCCGGGCGTGTGATGGGGACCATGCTAACCTGTTGGTTCATCCTCGGCGTGAGTCTGATTGAAAGCTGCAGATCAACCATCTGTGGAGCATTAAGCCTGAAGGTTTGAGGAAATAAAATCGTCCTCATGCACCGCCGGTCCGTCCATCTGTCTGCACTGAGAGGCAGTTTCACCTCATTTAGCTGGCTGACTTCAGCACGCCGAGCCCAAAATAAACAGATTTAAACGTTAATTAACTTTAATGGAAAGGCCGTACGGACGCCGTAACAACTCCATCATGATGCAAATCAAACGTCATGATTTTTCACGTCTGTCTGCAAGAAGAACAACGAACACATTCAGGGGTGCACCAATCACAATTTTCTGGACGATCACCAATCTTTAAAAAGCTCTGCCGATACCGATTTTGGCCGATACTTTTTTTTTTTTTAAATAACTGATAACATCCACCTTCGATGCTCCAATCTTATTTTAATGAAAAACATTAAACAATACTTGTGGAACAATACAAACATTTTGTGTTTGTTTTAGCTGCACATGAGGTAGTTCTCTCAAATATTCATGAAAAGTTGAGAATATTTCTGTCCAAACTACTAAATTATATCACTTCCTTCAGTTCTGTTATTTTCCACATTTTAAAAATTTAAAATACTTGCGCAACAGATGAGACTGCAGGCCTGTTTGAGCCTTTCACCAAAATAAAGTACACAGCAGTATTTTGCTTTTACAAATAAAGGAAATCACAACATTTGAGGAAGTTAGTAAAATAATAATCTACAGGAAAAACTAAACGGCTGACTTTCAGACCTTTGCTGAGGTCGGTAAGATCGGTGGATAAAATCGGTTTCATACGTAAGGATCAGCCGATCACCGATCCTCCAAAATTGAGTAAATCGGCACTGATCGATTGGCCGGCCAATGTATCGGTGCATGTTTAGTTCATACAGAGTTTTTTGACTGGGGTGGACTGATTAAGGTGCAGATACATGCAGGGGTGGCTATTTCTGTGCACAAACTCAAATGAAAAGCACCTCGTTTGTCGTCATCACTCATACCTACTTGACTCCTAACAATGAGGTGTTTTACCAGTTTGCTCGCAGTTCCTCTTCTACAACCATCTCAAGTAATAAATGTATTTTTTTATGTTTTTCTGAAATTTAAAGTACAGAGAATAGACAATGTGCGATCTTAAAACGTGAATCGGTTAGTCCTGCCTCTGATAAGAAAAAAAAGTCACTCATAGGTCGGGTGGTGAATCAGATTTCAAAAGGGGCCCATGCCACCCTGACCGACCCTTCTAGACACACCCCTGTTGGAGAGCATCTCAGTTAATTACATCTAAAGACACTTAATATTCACTAGATCCAAATGCAGCTCATGTGATTTTATTAGTGTCTTACAAGGTGGATTAAAAGCCACACTGATCTTACAAGTTTGTGAGCTTGAATTTCCTGTGATGGATAAAAAAAAAGTCTGTCAATCAGGTTTCTAGACAAAAACATTCGATTTTCTGCGGCGCTGTCTTTGAACAAACTCTCCTGAATAAAATTTTGTCTCTCTCGCACACAGAAGAGAGTGATGTTGCTGTTTCTCTCTCAGAAACTCGACTGGTAACTCTTTAATGTCAAACGTTTCCTGATGAGAAACTCTCAGGGATCCTCAGATGTTGTTAAAGAAAAGACTCTCTCTCTCTCTGCTGAAGAGACGCTAAGAGAAGTGAGACTAATCCTGGTTTCGCTGCAGTCCCTTCTGAAACCTCTGGAGGACCTCTGGAAGGGTCCCCGAACTCCTCTTTTGGAGCCATTTAGCTTTGGGAGGATTTTCAACGGCTCTCATCCACGCTCCTAATTAAAATTGATCCGCGGTTGATTAGCCGGCTCATTCCCTGAAATCAATGGGACTGATGACGTTCTGCAGAGTTCAGGGAAAGAACGGAGGACGAGCGCTCGGTTTGGTGTTCAGTCAATTAAAAGTATAATGACGGCGAAGACGAGCGCCGCAGAATCCGAAGTATTAATGAAGCAATTATGGGCACATTATAGAGCCATCAGCTGACCTGATCCTGAGAGAAAAGCAGGAGACAAGTTCGAATAAGCACTTAGAAATCAGCGTCCCTAATCAATACACGCCAAAACCATTATGATCCTTGATATTTACAGTTCAACTGAAGCCTGTGTGGACAAATTTAAACATGTATATCGTTAAACCAAATTAGTAAAACATAAATTCAGCCTGTGAAGGTGTCATGAATTAAAAAAGTTTCTTTGTACCACACTGTAAACATGTTTAATTCTGCTGTAAAGTCGGTTATTTTAACATGGAGCTCTATGGAGACTGACTTATACTTGTAGCCAGCCTCTAGTGGTCACCAGAGGTACTGCAGTTGTTCTCCATTCACTTAAATTCTCATTTATAACAGGCAGTAATCATGTTTAATCCTGCTTTAAAGTTGGATATTTTAACATGGGGCTCTATGAGGACTGACTCGCACTTGTAGCCAGCCTCTAGTGGTCACCAGAAGTACTGCAGTTCTTTTACTAAAACTTCATTTCTCACTTCTACAAGGCTGTAAACATGTTTAATTCTGCTTTAAAGTTGGACATCTTAACATGGGGCTCTATGGAGACTAACTCACACTCATTGCCAGCCTCTAGTGGACACCAGAGGTACTACAGTTGTTCTCCTGACACTTAAATTCTCATTTAAACAGAGCTGAAAACATGTTTGATTCTGCTGTAAAGTTGGATATTTTAAAATAGGGCTCTATGGGGACTGACTCACATTTGTATCCAGCCTCTAGTGGTCAACGTAGGTATTACAGTTCTTCTCCTGACACTTAAATTCTCATTTATACAGAGCTGAAAACATGTTTAGTTCCACTGTAAAGATGGATGTTTTAACATGAGGCTCAATGGAGACTAACTCACACTCGTCTCTACCCTCTAGTGGTCTCCAGAGGTACTGCAGTTGTTCTCCTTCCACTTCATTTCTCACTTCTACCAGGCAGTTATCATGTTTAATCCTGCTTTCAAGTTGGATATCTTATCATGGGGCTCTATGGAGACTGACTCAGACTTGTAGCCAGCCTCTAGTGGTCACCAGAGGTACTGCAGTTCTTCTCCTAACAGTTCATTTCTCAGACCCAGATCCCTCTCTACTCGTTCATTAAAGTGAAATCATCCTTTAATATAATCAGACCACAAAAGAAGTGAAGTTATGTTTCCTTTTATGAGGCAGCGGCTGAATTATTTCCTCCGTTTAAACGTCAGAAACAGTAACAGACACTGACTGATGTCCACAAAACGAAGCGCTGTTATTCACTTTCTGATGAACACTGTCCCACCCACGATCAATCAGTGTTATATCAGGACTCCATCACTCTGACCCCGTGTGTGTGTTTTTTTTCTGCAGACTCACCGGTGGAGCACGGCCCGTCAGAGACCCGGGAGATGAGCCGCTGTTGTTTGCAGGACGCCTGTCGCCTGTAGCACTCGTTCTGGTAGGTGTCACCGTTTGAGCCGCACACGGGGACGTAGTGTTTGTGGCACTGGAAATCAAACAACAATCAAATGTTAATTAAGTCTGGATGCGACCTCGGCTCGCGGGTCAAACTGCAACGTGATGCAACAGGCTGTGATGGCTGCTTTACAGTCCCTGCAAACACTCCCAATCAAAGTCAGCCGTCTCAAAGTTGTTGTTTTTGTCCCTGAACAATTATTCGGTAGATTTAAAACGTCCAATAATAGCAAAACTGTGATATCAGCAAGGTCAAAGGTCAGTGAGACTCCTCACACTGAATATACATTGATTTTTTTTCTACTATATTTCTGAAAATCCAGCAGAAAGGAGATGAAGCTGTCAGTAATTTAAATCTTTGTGTCGGGAGGATAAAAATGATGTAAACGGAGGAGCAGTTTGAGGAGTTTAATTTACTCTGCATGAAGGTTAACACAAATTAACTTGACTCTGCTGTCAGACACACACTGAAGCTGCCAAGGACACATATCAATGTTCAGCAATCCATATTCTATTAACTCACAGCCATCAATCATTTAGCAGGAGCCCCCCTGCAGAGCTGACCCCGCTGACCTCTGCCCAGCCGGCGCAGACTGCACAAACTCACAGATTTACTACGAGTGCACGTATGCTCTGCTTCTGAACTTCAGTACTCAGTGTAGTGTGTTTTAACTAGGGCAGGGTTCTGGTTTTGGTCGGTTCGATTCACAGTATTGACCAATCAGGAGTTTTTGGTGTCCGCAGGAATAACAGCTTGTATTGAGAGCAAAAGCAGACAGAACCAAATCCATTAAGATGACATCTGACTTTGATTTATTCGTCGATATAAACAGATATCTTCATGCTAAAATACAGCAGCAGCACAACAAACTGACACGACTTTCTGAGCGCACACCGTGACTTTGTTTTACAAAGCTTAACCGAGGACTGGGGATTATATGATCGTGATAAATTTCAGTTCAACCACGGAGATCAGCTGTGAGTATATTTACTCAATCAAATGGAGCGGAAATGTGCCAATCAGAGTCGAGCTTTTCCTGCTCACTGCTGTACATTGCTGGAGATCTAAACAGGATGACCGAACATGGCGCTAAACGCGGAGCTGAAGGCAGCAAAACAGATGTCAACCGTGACTTTGAGTCATCCTCCGAAGATCTTATTGTTAAGAAGTTATTCAACGTCGGTTATGTGGCGGTGGTTCGGGTATCTCCAAAGTGACGTCGATGTTAAAGGAATGTTGGCGGTCGTTGCCCTCAAAAACCGGCAACACAACAAATCTGTTTAATCATTTGAAGAAGCTCTTCCCGAGTGATTATGAGGAAAGCATGAAAGCGATTAATCATAACATCTACGTTTACATAATCTTATGTTTACATTTTAAGGCGTCTTCATTATCTCTGAGGGGGCGATTTGTTTATTTTGGGTCTTGTATACCTGCATTAACACTCAGGACTGTAAACTAGTTCACTGTATTATTTAGTTTTTTATTCATTTTTTTTTTATTCTAAGTTTATCTTAATCAATTTTCTTCGTTATTTACTTTGTATGTTAATAAAATGTTGAACTAATCACTAGTTTCTTTGGTCTTTAGATGCTTTAAAAGTGGTAATTCAAAAAAAAAATCATGATAATAATCACGTCGTCATAATGGTCTGACAAAATATATCGTGATCATTCTTTATGCCGAATCGCCCAGGCCTAACTTAACCTGAACAGAAGCAGCTTCACCTGGTCCTTATCTGCACCCGGTTTTGATCCTCAAACATCTTTACTTTTACTTCTTCCAGTTGGGGGTTCTGGGGATCGAACAGAAACACGTCCACGGGCTCAGACGGCGTCTTGAGTCTGAGTGAAACTGAGCAGCGGGGCCTCCTCTTTCTTATCATCGTCAGAAATTCTCCTGCTCGGTTTGTCAGTTTTTCTCCTTCACATCCCAAACTCCAGCTGAGAGGAGTCTTTTAAAGATCGGGAGACGTGTCAGGCTGGTTATGAAGTTTATCTTCTCTGCGTTTGGTGTGAAAACTACATCAGCTGAGCAGACAACTTAAGTTAACACATAAACCCTGATTTGTTTGTAGTTCTTTGCCGCCTCCAGCGCTCGGGAGTAAGACTCGTGTCGTTCCCAGATGACACAAAGTGAGTCTGTGTTGAAGCGTTTCCAAACTTATTAGCACTTTAATGCCCGTTAAAAACAGACTCCAGTTTGTCTGAGGTTGGAAATATTGAGCTTTTCATAAAAATAATTATCCAAACACAAACGGTTCCTTTGTTTGGAGTCTGATGTGCAACAAGTTCAGCGGTCATAAAACTCTGACAGACTAGATGTTTCTATTTTATTTTAGAAGAGCTGTATTAAGTCTGCTGGACCTTCTTCTTTTGTACTAGATAAGATTAAATTAAATCAACGAGCATAATTACAATCCTAAATCCTACAGAGATTTGACAGTGTGTAAAATGTTGATTAAAAAACAAAGACAACTTTACAAGTACGTATGGGAAGTTTAGGACCTGGACTCTTCTACTACAGAGCCATGCTGTTGTAACGTTTGCAGATTGTGTTTTGGTATTGTTTTGCTAGAATAAGGTCCTAACTGAAAAATAAGGTTTTCCCTGAAACGGGCAAAGTCTGGATGGAAGCAAAAGTTGTCAGCATTTATGGAGACGTGTCAGTAAGCCCCGCCACGAGGGGGTTAGCGTTTTTTTTCCGTCCAAATCCCAACCTAACCAGTGTTCTGTTTACTTCGGTGAAATTTTAGTATTGTACCTTACAAACGCAAAGTCAGACGTCCGAGCTGAAGATGACGTCACACCTGAGTTCCCACCGTTTCAGTTACCAAGTCAGAAAAAAGCAAAATCAGAGGCGGAAACAAGATGGCTACATCTACGAAAGTTATTTTAGCGCTTGCCTTATCCGAATATATAGGCCTGTCACGATAACAAATTTTGCTGGACGATAATTGTGCTACAAATTATCGCCGATAAACGATATTATTGACACCGTTTTTTAAATTATAGATAATGATATTATATGGCATAATAATGCGAGTACACCATGTCAAAAGTGATAAACTTTAATTTCACCCACAACGAAGACGTTACGTTGACGAGCTAAACATAAGTCGGAGATGACTAAAATGTGACGAGACGAAAGTGCGTTTACGTTGATGGGACGAGACGAAAATGACGAACAGAGTTGCAAAACTCAGTCAGTTAAACGCTAAACATATAGCAGCAGCTTCAGTCCGCTCTGACAGCTCTCATCAGCCTGCTGTGCTCCTCCAACACACAGACACACACGCGCGCGCACACACACACGTGGAGTTTTGTGGTTGACGAAAACAAAACTGGTTTAAAGCCGAAATATTCCCACACTTGGGCTGTTGCGTTCGGTTTAGACACCAAAGCTGTCGTGTTCATTCTGTTAGCTTGCTTTTCACTCACGACGCTCACTAGCAGCACTGTATCCAAAAAGTCTGTGTCTGTGTGCCTGTGCGCGCCAGCCCCCTCGTGACAAAGACACTGAATGACTGACAGGAGGGTTCACTCACTTCGTTCATTCTGCTATAGAGCCAACGCCCCCAGGTGCCGAGAAAAATGCGCAGAGTGAGACCTCTTCTCTCATCCAGCGTGTTTGGTAGCGAGAGAGGAGGAAAACAAACGCACGTTAATTATCGAGGCTGGCAAAATGACCGACCTCGTTTTTATTTACCGAGCGATAAGGCGATTTATTGATTATCGCGACAGGCCTACGAATATAAGACTGGGGTTCATCAGCCTTTGGGGGCCCCTTAGTGTCCTGGGGCCCCATGCAACTGCCTGCCTTACCTGTTGACAAGCTCCCACTCTGCTTATATATATATACATCCCTACATTATCAAGGATGCTGACCTTTGAACTGAGGTGGTCCTTCTCCTCTGCAGAGTAAAACACGCAGAGTTCATGATCACAGAAAGTCAGTCGGCCACAGGTCCTCAGGACTAATTATCTGATTCATCAAACTTTAGGAGGCAACCCCGGGGGAACCTCTTTATCTCTCCTGGTCCATAAACTACGGAGAGTCAAAGCAACTTTGCAGATCTATGAGCCAGCACGGCCTTAAAAGGGCGTCACTTCCTGCTTCATTTAACACTGAATGTCAAGTCCGCTCGGATTAGCCGTTTATTCTTATTAACTCTCACTTCTGGGTTAAAGTATATTTAAAGTCCTGCAGGCTGTTATGCTCTGCAAAATATTAAAAAAGGATCCCTCTAGAGAAGGGCAGTAACACGTACAAATACGGGTGAAAATTGTATTTCTAATTTCACTTCTAAGTGATGCATGAGCCGTGATTATTCAACGCATGAATTAATATCAGATGTATCATTTAACACTTTTGCTCACCGTTAACGAGTGATGGAGTCCTCATGCTTTCATCTAATGGTTTCATCTTTAATGATTCATCAGTTAAAGGAACTTTAATTCACTGTTACATCATTAAAAGTTGGTGTGAACCACATTAACTGGAAATACAAGCAGTTTTTATGACCATGACTTAGCTTTGCCCCGTAATAAAACATAAAAACTTCATCTCTTTATAAATATTCACAACTTTTCCTACAAAATTTAACAATATTAAAGAGATAAGATATTTCTCCTGCTGATGAAAGGAGTGTAAATATTTAAACTGCACCATTACCCTTAATTAGCTTCATTTTGTGTTTTTTTTTTCCTCATGTTATCCTGTAATTTCCCCGCTGCACTGATGCGTTTGATATCGCTGTTGTTAATGTTAAAAAAACACAGTGGGAACAATAATGATGCAATTAAAATGACTTTACTCCTTTCCTCAATATTAAACCATAAGTAATACTTAATGTTTCACAATATTATGAATATTTAAAGGAATATAAAGATCTTATATCTGAGCCAAGAGGCTGAGCACATGTGTGGGGTGTAAGTGAAGCTCTACGCTGTATTTAAAGACGGAGTCGCTGAATTAAGTCATGGTGGGTTTATCAGAAGTGACACTAACAGGAATTAATGATATGTTTATTTTAATCCATGCATTAATGATTTATTTAATAAAGTAGGCTTTATGACCCCTTAGTGGAGGGTGAAGTGGTCGACTGATATCGGTTTTTCATTGGCCGATATTACAGAGCATTAGCCGATAAAAGTGCCGATATCATGTTGAGTTTGTTTTTGTGCATTTAATATAATATAATAATGAAATCAGAATAAGAATAACAAAAGTTATCATTACCTGCACACTGCAGTAACAAAAACAGGTTTCAGATTGAATTTAATTCATTCATGAAAAAGAAAAACGCTGAAGTTTTCACAACATGGCAGAAATTTCTGTCCGAGTCGTTATCAAACTCCATTTTTCCAAACATAAGAGCAGAATATAAACTAACAGCTGTCAGGTTTGATCTGCTGTCTGCTGCCTTTACTGTCTGCAAACAAAGTTTGTTTATTTTAAATCGGCTTCTTAAGCCCAGATGTCCGCCGTACCAGAGAGAAAGTTTTTCAATATGTAATTAAAATTCAGTTTAATTGGACATTTATTGTTTTAAAGAGAATGTACATTTGTTTAAAGCTCCTCTGAGTAACTTTTAGTTTGTGAAAACTTTGGCGCTAGTGATGGAAGAACAGTTCTTTTAGAACCCGTTCATTAAAAGGATTCGTTCAAAAGGTTCGTTCACTGAATCAGTCAGTGCTTCAGAGCCCCGTCCTGCTGGTGCAGAACACGAGTGAGTGACACAGCGGCGAGTTCTTTCATTGAATAAGGCCCTCCCCTCCCCTGTTGCTGAAATCACAGCATCATTCACTGGGTGACACGTGTCGTTCATTCGTTCATTTTTTGGTCGAAAAACTGTAAAAACAGAACTTTTTTCTGACGCCTACCCCCTCACAGCGGTTTCAGGCATTAAAAACGAGGATATACAAATATCCAGTCTTGTTCCTGATGGTCTTGTTTGCTTTTAAAAATCATAAAAAGGCATCAATATGAATTTTAGTCAATTTCATTGACGTAAAAAAGTCCTCATAGGAGCTTTAACCAGCACTTAACCAGACTCCATTCACAAAAACATGAATTTTACCTCACCTAACACAGGAGTTGCTGGTCTAACTCTGCTCAGAGTTGCTGCTTTTTTCACTGAACCCTGGTATATTTGTATTTAAAAAAAAAAAAAATCCTCTTCCTCTTCAATCAAACTCTCAAAATAATAATCTGAGTTTTGGAGGGACAAAAACAAGAACCTTTATGTGGACTCACTTTGACTGGTCACTTTCCTGTCTCTGCTCTCGTCTTTCAGCCCAGACTTTATCATTTTTCTCCCAATTATAGATGAATTTGCTGATCGGAATAATCCAGGAAAATTATCAGCCTCCTCCTGTTAGAGTTCAGTCTATCAGTAAAAATGGGTTCGTAGCTCTGAGCCCCGAAAAAAGTTTTTTCATGACGTTCAAAACACAAAAAAAACTCAGACGGAGCAGAAGTACTTTGATATTTTCCTACCTGGAACTGGCAAACACATTTGAGCTGAGCTCCATCATCCCTGCAGACGCCTCCGTATCGACAGGTGGAGTCATCGCACACCCTCAGGTCGCTCTTCTTCTCTGACAGATCTACAACAGAGAGAAAGAAAAAAGGAAAGGGTTAAACGCGGAGACAGATGCCGAGCAGGAAGATCAATAAAGTGAATCAGACCCTCAGCACCTCCACAAGTACCAGCTGTAAAATCCGACATCTGCGCGCCGATCAGACTTTCACTCTGAATAAAAAGCTGACGGTTTTACGAGTTTATGAACAATAAACACAGACAGAGAGAAGAGCTGCTGCGGGGGGAAATACGGCGGACACATAAGAAAAAACAACAGTGGAGGTGATTGTTCATCAGAGGGAGCGGCGAGGCTTCATGCCCCAGAAGCCACAGGTGAACGAGGAAGTTAACACCTGGGAAATAACGGGAAGACTCTCGGATCAGGGGAGCGCATGAATCTGTCATGGGATAATCCTCAGGGGGGAGATTTGGGGGTTTGCAGAGAAGTGAAGTCAGTTTTAACTGATGACCCAATCATCTTCAATCCAAAGTAATTAAAGAAGAAAGATTTCTGACTGTTGGTCAAAGGAGAGATTATAACTCCTGAAACCAGCCGGAGCTTTAGACGAGTTTACAGCGATGAATTAACTCAACGCCAACAACACAATAAAGTAAATGTCTGAGAATATAAACATAGAAGGAGAAGTCAAAGAGAAAATCTCATCAGATTCAGCAGGATGACACAGCAGACTGAGGACTCAACGCAGAGAGAGGCTGATAAAATCATCTTCCACAGACATGAGGTCAGTGCAGTTTCACAAACGAGATATCTGAGACTATCTGATGAGAAACAGTAAGATGAGATCAGAAAACGAAAGATAAGACATGACAGGAGAGGCTGGGTACTATACTAGACAATATGACAGGACACAAACAACTGAATATGACTTGATACGACATCTTACAAAATAGTGTAATTAGTTTGATTAAATTTAACATAATCATACGATACACTGAATAAGAAATGATACCATTAGATTAGATTTTTATACAGCTGGATACAAATATGATGTGATGGTTCTAGGACACCATAGGAGATTACATGGATTAGGATAACAATAATATGATATGATACGTTATGAAACGATACACTACGATATAATATGTTACACTTTGTTCCGTTCTATTACTCTGGTTTCGTTACATTATGTTACAATATGATATAAGATACAGTATGATCGAATTTGAGTGCGTTACAATGCAATTTAATATGATACATTACTTGCATTAAGGTTTTGTTATGTCATGTTACATAATGTTACAATATGATATATGACACAATACAATATTATTCAATACCATACAATATGATACGACACAGTAAGCTATGATACAAACTATACATTAGGTTTTGTTACAATAAGGATGTCCCGATCTGATATTAATATCCGATTTCGATTAATATCGTCCTGCATCGAAAATCTCCGATACAAGCAGTCCATCCCAGACTCCGCTCCAGAACCTCTATCTAGCAGTGCCCAGATCCACCAGGGGGAGCCCTCATAGTCACAACAACAGTGAGAACTGAGGAACTAACAAAAAAATAGAAAGGAGTAGGAGTGATGTCGGCTGTGTTTTTTGTCTGAGTCTGAAAAAGATGTGGCAGCTGAGTGCAAAACTTGTCACGCACAAGTTTGTGCTAATATCGGATCAATATCTGTATCGGCCAATACTGAAGGCTACAATATCGGAATTGTATCGGAAATAAAAAAAGTTACCCCTAATATAAGAAATGATGCGATAAGGTAGTGATGACCCAGTGAGTCGCCCTTTCTTATTTTAGCCTCTGTACGTGGGGCGCCAAACCAGAACCCAAGAGTGGCGTGTTATTTTAAAATATTTCCCTCAGAGGTGAATCCTGCTGCTTTTTAATTTTCAGACTCATTTCTTATCCTGCATCAGTTTTGCTCTTTAAAGCTTAACGGCTGATTTGGTCCTAAAATACCACAAAGCGACTTTTTACAGAGGGTATTATCTGAAGCAGGGCACGTCTGAGGACAAATCTCTGTCACACACACACACCAAACACACACACACTCACTAACAATGTTCAGTGTTGTGCTGTCAGCTTGTAGGGGGAGTCATGTCTGATAATGACAGGCCTCCACGCCTCAGAAAATGTGCGGCCGACTTAAATTATCCACATTTTCCTGGAGATAAAAGCCTCCGATTCCCGCTTCACTCTGCGTGTGTGCGTGGATATGTGTATGTGTGTGTGTGTGTGTGTGTGTGTGTGTGTGTGTGTGTAACTGTCACAGCTGAGTGGTCTTTGAAGAGCCGTGTAATGGCCTGTAATTACTGTTTGCGGACCTCCCCTCCTCCTAAAAATGGCCGCCATTGGCCGCAAAAATCCCTCTAAAGCTGAGCAGCTGAAGGAGACGAGGACCTGGAGATCTGAGCCAGTGAGACCAGGAAGACCAGGAAGACCAGGAGAAAGACTAGGGTAGTCAGGATCTGAGGGTCAGTTTTTGGGAGAAATCTTGAATGTAAACTCTACCGCTCCAGAAAGCACCGCCCACAAACAGACGCTCCTGCTCGCTCGTATCGCTTCAGATAATTACAAATGGGGTCCAGTCAACGTGAAAGTAAACAGCATTGGTGCTACTGTAGATGCCAACAGACTACCAGCAAACACAATGTTTGCAGGACTTCTACAACGAGGATAAAGTGACATAGTCCAGGACCCGAGGGAGGACAGTTTAGCGATGGCGCCAACTTGGACAGTAAAACAGCATAATACTTACTTCTGGCATTTACACACAATAAACCCAGGATGTGAAGGTGAACCCTGTTAAATTTCATTACATCGTGATATACATCGATATCGACTGACATGAAAGAATATATCAGGATAAACTTTTTCCCGTATCGCCCAGCCCTAGTCGAAAGGTTTCTCAAACCATCAAAATCCGTCTTTAACGACATTTTACACACCCAGACTCTTTGTTCGACAGCCGTCTGGGAGCTGAAACTGCGAGTATGAAACAATTCCCCTTTTTCAGATTAACTTTGAGAAGAAAAACAACCCGTCTTACACTCGAGTCAGCGCGGTAAGTCTCACTTCAACCTCGACAAACACTGACCTGCAAACCACCAAATCCTGGCGTGTTCGAGAGAACCTCTTCAGCCCGAGCTGCTGCAGGCCGTTCATGGCTAATTAAGTCCAACCTGCAGCAACATCCATCAGCAGCAGCTCTCAGCCTGGAGGCCTGCACCCCCCCTCTGCATGTGTGTGTGTGTATGAGTGTGTGTTTGTGTGTGTGTGCAACAGAGTGTTTTTTGTTTCTTGTTTGCAGGAAAGCCAAACTCCTAACAGCCAAACAATTTAGGATTATACCGAACGACAAGTCTTTAAACCTCCGCCGAACACAAACACATGCAAATGAGAGAGAGTGAGAGTGTGTGTGTGTGTGTGTGTGTGTGTGTCCACGCCGTGTTATCTCAGGAGCTGCACTCTGGCTCTGTTGATTTATCTCAGAGTGTGTTTGTCGTCGACCCCGGCTGTGCTGCGTTCAGGTTCCTCGCCCTCATACATTTTACAGCAGAAACGGGGATTTGAGATGCACATAATTCCCTCTTTTGGATCGGAGCAGAACTAAAGGAGCTGACGGAGCGTAGCAGCAGTCACCGCCCGGAGGCACATCCACCTTCCAAATCCCCTTGTGCCCGACCCGGTCGTCATGGCCACCCAGCCTCACCCCCCCTCCGCCCCCTCACACCTTCCCGCCCCCCCCTGGCTTGTTATCTAACTCCCCCCCTCCTGCACTGCAGCCCTGTCTCCAGGAGGGATGGACGTCAATACTTCATCTTCTGTCTGCTGCTCTGAGGCCTTCGACCTGCCCGCAGCCTTTAACCCTTTCATCACTGCTGCTCCACAAAGACAGACACACAGGAGAGGCTGTGTCACACCGCAGTCACCAGCTGATTTGATTTGATTCAGGGCGCCGCAACAGAACATCAACGAATTCAACATTTACTGCTAAAGTTAGACAAACTAACTAACTAACTAACTGATTATTAGGGGGGGAAAAATATCCGATTACCAATTAATCGGACGATTTTTTTAATTTTTCTATGAAGTTATGAAAATATATATATATATATATACTGTAGATATACAGTAGGCTACTGAAGATTGTCATGAGGTCGCTGCGCCATCTACAGGATAAGTCGGGGAACTTTTCAAATATTGCAAAATTTTCAAAGTGAAACCGAATCTTATTCTCTTCACTTTATTTCTGAAAATATCGGCAAAAATCTGCGAGTTTTGGCCGATTACCGATTAGTCTCAAACGGGCTAAAATTGGTCAGTCCCTTGTATTTAGCAGCGTCTTAGCAGCGCAGTGAATGTCCGTTGAATATCCAACCTAAAACCAACTTCACGGCGACATTTACATGAAAAAAACATTTGTCGCTTCGGCTGATTTTTTTTTAATGCGCACATGACCCCAAATACATTTTACAATTCGCACACATCTATTTTCAGTCGCATGGTTGCACTGTCGAGCCCTGAGCTGAAAGTCCTAGTAACTGCAATTTCCTGAGTGTCCACTAGAGGCTGGCTGCAGAAGCCCAAGAGAGCACATACACACCAAGCCAAAAAAACAAAAAATAACTATTTTACAGCCTGGATATAAAAGATAAAAATAAAAGACTGATGATTAAGTTTTAGCCAAGCAACTTTAAAAACAAACATGTTTTTATAACTAATAACTAAAAATTTCAAAGTAAATTAAACATTTGAATGTCAAAAGTCAGGAGGAGATTTTTACTACTTAAGCATTTAGAGGACACGATATGCAAGGACTACTTTGTCCACAGGGGGCACCAAACTTGACCCAAATTTCACTTCCTCACAGAAACTTTGATATACAGAAGTTTGCTTTTGACATAATAAATTTTGTTTTTAATTCGTGCAGCTACAGTCTTAACATTCAGCTCAGCTAAAGGGCATTTTTAAGTATCTTATTACAGCTCATGGTCACTTTTGTCGGAGAACCTCTTAAATCCGTCGGCCTCATTTTCAAAACCGTAGCTCAGTTAGAGTTTATGGTCATATTTCAAAACCAGATTTTTTTAGTTTCTCAATAAAATCTGCAAAACATTTCAGAGTCACAGATGCAGATTCAATCAGAGGTGCACTTTAATTCACCTCTCTCTCTCCCACACACACACACACACACACACACACACACTGAGGTTCTTCATTTCACAGTGAGGTGAGAGCGTCTGCTTCTGTGTCATATCGATTCAGCTTTGTTACAGCAGAGGACTATATCCTCCGCAGCAGAGACGTGAAACAGGAGACGGAGGCAGCGTGACATTCATGTAAAATACCGCCATCGCTGATGCATGATGGGACTTCAAATCGGCATCACGCTCAGAGACACACATGATCTAGTTTCGCTGAGCGGGATTTGGAGCCGAATACAGAGTGAAAACCATCAGGAACACATGCTGAGTGAAGGAGCAACGTTCGTTTACGAAGAGTCACTTTTCTGACGTTTCTTATTAGAAACAAACATGACGACGATTAAAGCTGCAGTGAGGAGTTTTAGTGGCGATGAAACACTAATCAGACAGTAAGCAACAAGAGTGTCTGTTTATATTAAGGACAATGAGACTGAAATAGACGCTAACATAACAAGGACTTTGTCAGCAGGGGGCGCCAAAATCAGAGCAACTGAGGAGCTCTTTAGAGCAGCTGCAAATGTTTGATGATTTGAAGTGCTTCGTTCAAGAACTTTGGGCTAAATTTAGAAAAAGTTGTCAAGAATTTTATAGATTTAATAACCGATCAGTATCATATCCTTTAAAGTAACAAACAGGCATTAAAATACGTTTTTGTGAAGGTGTGAATAAAACATAAGGCTGTAAAAACACGTATAAACACATCTTGTAAAAACAGGAAGAAAGGCGCCATTTTTGTTTGTTTGCAGTTGAGGTTACGTTCCCTACTGCCTCCTGTGTGTCTCTCTTCTCTGCCTTCCATCACGGCCTCCTCACCGCTTACTCCACATCGCACTCGTCCTGGTCAGTTATCAATTTTAAGTTCAGAGCGTGAGATTGTCAGATCCCCCAGAGGAGCTCCCACGGTGTTAAAATATGAAGATGAATCGGAGTTCTGCTCACTCTAATGAAGACTAAACGCTCCGAGCGGCTCGGCTCCTGTTGTCCATTTGTTCCTGGATCTATTTTAAACCTCCTGACCGCAGCAGCTGGATGAGCTCCTGTGTGAAGAGCTTTTCTTTGTTCGCTTTGAATAAAACATGAAACCTCCCGACCGCCTCCTCCTCCACCTCCTCGCTGCCTCACAGGACGCAGAGACGCTTTTGCGGTAAATATGGTGCACATTTAAAACCCGATAATTAAACTTTGTGTCTAATCTTTTTTTAAGGGGGTCTAATTGAGTAGAAAAAGTTTTAACTTCTTTAACGAAGGTGAAATAATCTCAATGCCAAAGCGTGTTCAGTTGTAATTTTCTGAGAGCGATTGTGTGTGTTTTTCGTCGGTTAGAAATTGTCAATACTTTCAAACACCAACACCACTCCAAACTGAAGAGCTTTCCCTGGCACTGTCCTCAAAGCTGCTGAACAAACATCTAATGAAAGGGAGAGAAAATGTGACAGAGCTCAAACAGCAGCCCGAGTAAACCAAGATAAGAAATGAGGTTGCAGAGATTTGATCCTTCAGCTGCGACAGTGATGTTGAGCAGATGCTGCAGAACAACCTGCTGTCTAATTACCACCCTGCCTTCTTCCTCCTCTTCTTCTTCTTCCTCCTCCTCCTTCTCTTCCCCTGTGACGGAGGACTAATTTGTCCAGTTTTTGTGAGTGTTTTTTTTTTATTTCCTGGAAGGCAGAGCAAAGTGTCTGACAGAGCGGCCCGGAGGCCTCCAGCAGACGCTCTGCTCGTTTGGCTCCATCAGCTGTTGCGGCAGACTAATCTTCACCTGGGAAGCAGAGAGTGCAGCGTGACGATAAGGGCTCTGATGTTTTATTCATGCTGAACAGATCAGAGGGACACAAAGACCGCTTCCAGGTTCGTTCTGGAGTCTGACGCAGAGGCCGAGCAGGAAGTAATTGACCTCCAGGGAAGTCTCACTAAAGCGAGTCGGGTCACCGGGGCCTGCTGGCAGTTCGGTTTGTTACTAACAAGACAATTAAACCTCAGATCTGACACAACAGGGTGTTAAAATGCGATCCAAATATTATTACAAGCACTCGTATCCTGAAAAACCTGGATTCTGGGTCCATCAGGGCGGCAGCTTTTCACTTGACCTTAATTTTCTTTTGTATACATGAATTAATGAGAATGGAAATCCCCTCAAACCTCACAAAACAGTGTCATATGAGAGTAATGATGATATATGATACAATACAATATAATATATGACCATCATATATGATAGGATATGATCCAACACAGCAGGATACGATGGAAGAGAATATGATATGAGATAATATATATGTATATAGATTAGGGATGTGCATCTCCATTACTGTGGTGATAAGATACCCATCTCGATGCAACGATACGATATAATTTGCGATACATTGACTCCCCGCCGATTCGATACTCCACGATTCACCCCCTATGATACATTACAATACAATTTGATGTCAATCGATACATTTGGATACGATATGATACAATGCAAATCGATACAAAATGGCAAAATTAGATATGAGATGAGACGATAAATCATGTTAAATATGAGACGATGCAGTAAAATATGACAGTACGGTCTAATATATTAGCATAAGATGGAATGGTACACATGATAGTGCAGTGTTATACAATACACTGACTTATGATACAGTGAAACATGATACAAAAGTAATATTAACCAATATAAATTTTTATGATAAAATTTGATACTAAGCTAGACTAGACAAAGATCCAATAATAAGATATTCGAGATATGATACAATGTGACATGACATGATTTGATATGACATATGATAGATGATATGATGTGATATGATATAATGTGACATGATATGATATCATGATACGTGATATATGATATATGATATGATATGATTTGATGTGATATGATATGTCATATGATAAAATGTGATATGATATGATAACATACAATATCATACGATATGATATAACGTGACATGATATGATTTAATGTGACATGATATGATGTATGATAAGATATCATACGATATGATACAATGTGATATGATATGATGTATTATGTCGGATATACGATATAACGTGATATAATATGAAGTGAAAAATATGATACGATACAATAGGTTATGATATGTAACCATGATCTACTTAGAATATGGATATTTGGCACCTGTAATCCTGAAATAACATCATATTGAATAATGTCATAATGATATTTTTCCCATTACCTTTGAGATCCCATTAAACAATCACGTTATCCCCACTAAAATAAAACCTTACCCTATAGACCTTCACCATTAAATAAAAACTGCAGTTCCTCCAGTGTCCACTAGGCTGTCTCTAAAATACCAGTTCATACCTATAATGTCGAACTTAACAGCAGAAATAAACACGTTTACAGCCACGTTTACAGTCCTTATAGCTTATTTTACTATTCATGAGTTATATAGAAACACCTGTTTACATTATACAAAGGCATAAAACGATGCATAATCAGAGGCGAGACCACTCAGAGTCTTTTTGTTTCCTAAGCATCTGTTTGCTGGATGCTGAAAGCAGCTGGTAGTTCTTTAGTTCGCCAAGACAGTTTAACTACCTGTCCTCACTAAGAGCACAAAATGGACAGAAGGCTAAGAGCCGCCGCCGAACAAAGAACACGCCTGCGGTTCTTCCTCTCTCCCTTTTTTGTGTTTTTGTTTTCGACCTGAGTGCCCGGGTAGTCCTGTGGGGGTCTGAGAGTGGAGGAGAGAGGAGGCAGGTCGTGTTTGAAGCAACAAAAACACACAGCTGCACACGGGGATGGAAACCGTTGTAATGATTCGAGTCTTTTCTGATACGGCTATTAAGTCTCATGCAAATTAGTTTCCCCTCACCGCTGACTCAGTTTCTATCCAGACTAAGAATATTATGGTTGTTTTAAGCTCCTGCACAGATTACTTATGCATGAATAAAAACTTCCAAACCTATAAATCCCCGCGCTGAGCCTTTGAACAACATTTCTGGTGGATTTCTTGCAAATATTTTTATTTTGGCTGCAAAGAAAAGCTGCTTAGAGGCCGCGTGTTGTCTGAGATCGCCTGGTGTTGTTGTTATCAGCTGGTGTTTTCTTGCTGCGGCGTGTCTGCTCCTCTTACTGGCTTGTTAGAGAGTCAGTACAAACACACACAAACACACACACACACACAAACACACACACATATGCAGGCCTCTCTTTAATGAGTCTTAAATGGCGCCCTGATCCAGAGGAAATGGAGGCCTCTGCTTACAGTTTAGATAATAGGTGTTAAAAGTCAAGTCATGATTCTCCAACTCTCGCCGTCTGCCTGCACACACACACACACACACACTCTCTCTCACACACACACACACACACACAGACTGAATATTTCTCTCAGACTGAGAGGCCTGAGGTCTGTCCTCGTCCTCTGAATATGTCCTGACCTTTTTTCTGAATATTCAGAGCAGGTCGATATTTTCCGCCCTGATTCCTCTCCCTGCTTTTTCTCGCTTCTCTAAATCGTCGAACCTCAGGATGTGAAATAGTTTTTGGTTTCTCCACAGCCAGTTGGATGAATAAAAAAGGAGACTTTTGCAACAGTGCATCATCATCATCATTGTCATTATAAGCTCATTCTGTCCCTTTGCTTTTCAGACACACACACACCTGCATCCTCTTGCTCCTCTGCTTGCTCTCCTCTCTCCACCTAATGATCAGAATTAAAATCCAATCAATCGCCCAGCTTTAGGTAAAAGTCGCTTTCAGGAGTAGTAACAAACTGTGAATCATTTAATTGAAATTTGGGCTTAAAAATGGCTAAATACAGCATACGCACACGCCAATATCACGGTTTGTTTAAATAAAAGAAATAACGGTTTTAAAGTTGATCCTTAAAGGGATATTCTGACGTAAAATTAATTTAGGGGCAAACCCATCGTAACACCGAGTTAGACACCCCCTCCAGAGATGAATGTTGCCGACTGCTTGCTTCTCTAATTATACCAACTTTAGTACCGACCACACGATAGCAATACACAGCAGTCTGAGGAGCCATAAACAAACCTCAACCAGAACACCACTCTATAGCTGCAAATAATGTTCAGAACAGCACCGAACTTCATCAACAGGACATACAGGGTCCCAGCCATAGTACTAGACACCAAACATCTTTTTAACTTTGACTCATTTCTTTAGCAAAGAGACTAAACACAACTCACCTACTCTCATCCAGCAGCAGCTTGTTTGTAGCGAGACCTCAGGCCAGTCCATTACGGACTACAGCGGGGTGTCGCAGCTCAAGAAAGAACATTTATGATCATTTCTTCATGGAAATACAATCAGACTGAAAAGCTAAGACAGAAGAACTACTGTGTCTGCAGTGCAAAATGATTAATATGGTGATTATTACTTCAAGGAAATGATAAAGAAATGATCATAAATGTTCTTCCTTGAGCTGCGACACCCCGCTGTAGTCCGTAATGGTCTAAGTTCTTGCTACAAACAAGCGGCTGCTGGAAGAGAGTAGGTGAGTTGTGTTTAGTCTCTAAACTAAAGAAATTAGTCAAAGTTAAAAAGATGTTTGGTGTCTAGTACTATGTCTGTGACCCTATATGTCCTGTTGGTGAAGTTCGGTGCTGTTCTGAGCATTATTTGTGGCGTTTTGGTTGAGGTTTGTTTATGGCTCCTCAGACTGCTGTGTATTACTATTCTGCGGTCGTTACTAAAGTTGGTATAACTAGAGAAGCAAGCGGTCGGCAACATTCATCTCTGGAGGGGGTGTCTAAGTCGTTGTTACGGTGTATTTGACCCTAAATTAATTTTACGTCGGAATATCCCTTTAAACCCTGATCTGTATATTCCCTGTGAGTCTGTATAACAGCAGAGTAAATCTGATGGAAACAGAGCAATGAGTGCAAATAAAACAGGCCTGGATTTATAGTTTAAAGTGCTTTACATCTGCAAATAGCTTTTCCATTAACAGTAACTACCAAACACCGGAGCGGTGTGTCAGCCGTGAACCTCTACAGCTTTTTGTGACTCCCGAGGACGTCTCCTTTTATTTCTTTTGCACTTTTTATAAGAGCACCTTTTAAAATAAAGCTCTCAAAGTATTAAATAGCTTTTTAAAAATCCTTTAAATAAAACCGAAGAGTGTTTGATGAACTCTCTCTGCGCTTCGGCTGGGTTTTAAAAGTGAATTCTCACAGAGACAGGAGCGGCGTTGATGTTTTTATCATTGCAGATATATTGTTTATTATCTCGACTGAAATAATTACGATGGGAATCATTATTTACCTGACAAACCATCATAAAGTGAGGTGATTTTAGCAGAAAGTAAAGCTGGCATCATTATCAGGCTGCAGCGCAGAGCTCGGCACTCGGCCCGCGTGTGAGAGCTGTCAGCTGTGAGCCGATGTGTGGGCAGTAAAATAAATAAAGCACGTTTCATTGGGTTTTATTTCATGAATGCATCGGGCTGGATAATGGCTCTGTCCGTTTGGGCCCGTTTATCGCCTCAGTCGGAAGTTTGTCACACCACACTGCTGCGGGTTTCAGAGCTGAGGCCGAGACGATAACAGAGGACCTGAAGGGACCAGGACCTGCTGAGTTTACAGTCTGACAATAACAGAAACTTTTCCCGGACTATAGATGTCCCTGCAGCCTGTCGTCTTCTGCAGGGACAACTTTGACCCTGAAGTACAAAACACACGACACTGGTGGAATCAGACTCAGCTGGGGTGGAGGCGGGCTGAAGTGGTCTAAGTACAACGCCTGTTTTCACATTCGCCAATCAGCCGACCAGAGCTGGTGCTCGGATCAGCTGATGTACTGCAGTTTGCCTTCATAGTCAATATCAGGGTCGATTCTCAGGCCATGAAAAACTTGCTTGCACTGCTAGTTTTTGCTGATACAAAAATGCAACACAAACGAAACAGCAATGAAAGATCACTGAGACGTCTCACACCGCCCTCAAGGATGTAAAGTAGGGCTGCGTGATAAACTGTAAATTTATCGATACCGAAATTTACAAAAGATAACAAAAGTCATTTTGCTCATGTCAACATATTCAGTGTCAAAAAGATAAATAATTAAAGTTGGTCTGTCCTACGTCAGAGACTGTAACAAAGAGGTAAAGACAGGTGAGGAGATGGAGGACGGTTCAAAAGTTGTAGCAGCTGAAGTAGACGAAGTTAATGTGGGAGGGGGGGAGCAGCTTGTGGAGAAGTTATCGTCAATTTATCATTATCGAGGTGAACTAATCAATATATTGTGATGTTGATTTTAGGACATATCACCCAGCCCTGTGCAGAAATGACACACAGAGTCTATCCCAGAATCATCAGAGGATCCTCAACCTCTCCTTTCACTTTCATGCTAATGAGTTTGTTCGCGAGCACAATAAATGTGTGTTTCAGTTGTGTATCTCTCAAGTGTGCGTGCTGCCAGTTTGAGTCTCTTTAAGTGTGTGTTGCATGAGCGAGTCTGATCCGGTCTGATAACCAGAAGCCTGGGAGGCGAGCCAAAACAAAACCACATCGCCTTAAAATCCACAGAACATTAACACTTCTGGAAACACTTAACTCAGCTTTCCTGCAACCACCGAGGTCAACGGGACTTTGACAAACTGAGGAACCATCGGACTGATCTGTTTACAGGACTGACCCTCCATGATTGTGATTTCTGCCCGTAGACTGTATACACTATAGACAACTTGGCTCCGCCCTCTGTCATTACACGAATTGTTCTCAGTATTTCCTTCCTAGAACCATGAATGCATTCGGCAGGAGAGTCGCTGTGAAGACGCTCGACTCAAACAGCATATCCCCCGGATGACCGACGCGATCTTTGTATGCCCATAGGCTGTATCAAGTGTCAATCATAGAAAACATGAACCCCCGTGATAACTTTTAAAAATGGAGTTGTACAGAAAAAAGAGGACTTGAGCACAAACCAGTCTGACAGTAACTTCATGTCAACATCGCAACCAGGAGGGAGAAAAATGTATATTCTGTGTAATAAATTTATAAAGTTTGTCCACAGCTCCATAGGGATTGCTGGAAGAGGCGGGGCAGAGAGGAGGCAGACGCTGTCCCCCAATAATCATATTTATATTTATTTGTTTATATATTTATATTTATTTGACACAGAACATACCGATATGGAAAAAACAACGTTGGTTTTCGTCGTAAATTTCAGTATCAGTAAATTGTCGGTTTATCGCCCAGCCCTATTTCTGCATCTGTACAATAAAGACGCCCAGGCTTCTCTTCAGGTCTCTTCCTGTCTCCTGTACTCGTCTTTCCCACAACGGGACAAATGTTAATTATCTGCAAATGAGCCTCTGAGTAAATTTGCATCTGCGTGCATCATCTCGACTGTAAACTCCTCCGTCTTATAAAATGTAAATCTCCCTGCACGGATTTTGTGATTCAGCAAACATTGCTCCCCGAGGCATAAATCTAATATTACATTTTGAGATCACTTAAGTGTAAAATACGGTGAGCGGCTCTACTGTAAAGATGCGAGGCGTGTGATGTGATAATGAGGGTATAAAAATCTGGGTTTTCTGTGAGGAGAACTCTTGCTTTTATTCCCCCGTGTTAATTATTGTTTTCTCCTCGCTACAGACTCTGAGTTTCCCCTCTGCAGGCTGTGTACTGATCGGGTTTGTCTGTGTGATATGTCTGCTATAAATCTGTTTTATCTTTGTGGTGAAGTGCTGCTTTTACCGTGCAAAGCTCCTCAGAAAGCCGGGCAGTGACTGAGAGGGGCTTTTGTCCTCCTCCAGACGTTTCTCACAGACGGTTTACGGCCTCTCTGCATGCTGGGACTGTTTATGAACCTCGTGGACGCTGCTGTCAGGATGCCACGAGCGCGCAGTGAACCCCAACCTCCCACTGTTCCCAAAGAGCCGCGAATAAAAAAAAAAGCACTGAATAAAGAGCGAACAATACAAACTTTAAACTGATGCTTTTCATTAAAGCGGCTGTCCCGGAGACGAAGACACCTGACAGCCAATCACAGGATGGTGTTACGTTCTCAGTCGCAGCCTCTCTTGTTGTTTCACTCTCCGGTTTTTCCTCTTTAACTGCCTGTCAGGATCTGTCTTTCCTCTAAGCTCAGGGTCTTTAACCTCATCCTCTTCTAACCTCAACAATCACATAAATCCCCCTCCGCTGGCGTTAACGCCGACGCAGAGATGGAAAATTTCTCACTCCGGTATTGATTCAGAAGCAGCGGCACACGACCCCGACGCGCGCGCTGTTCGATTAAAATTTTACAGCTTTAGTTTGACATGAGACATTGTTTTCTCCTCGGGAAGACAGGAAAGAGATTTCACTCTCTGATGCTCCAGACTGAAACTCTCCCGCCGCGGTCAGTCTGCTGCCGGCGAGGAGGGAAGAAATAAAAGAAAAAAAAAACTCAGCCTTGAAGCCGAGTAAGAGAGGGATAAACAAACAGAGAGACACGAACCACAAACAGATGGAAATCCGTCAAAGAGAGCAGAGACCACAGAGAGTCTGTGAAGAGAGCAGACTCACAAGCACAAACAAGTGTGATCCATCAGAGTCAGACAGGAGAACCTTTGATTGCACACACACACACACACACACACACACACACACACACACACACACACACACACACACACACACACACACACACACACACCCAGTTTGGAGAAATGTGTGGTAGAGATAAAACGTTCTGGGCGAAAGAAATAGTTCCTTTTGAGAGAAAACAGACAGATTCTGTGCCGTCTTTATCAAGATCAACGCAGATTTCATATCTGCTTCTACAGAAGCTGGAGACGAGACTTGATTAGCCTAGCTTAGCATAAAAACCGGAAACACATGGATCACCTCTGGCTCTGTTAAACAATAACAGATCCACTCATCACTAAAGCATCTTGTCCTCGGTTTCATGTGCACGCATGAAAAGCTACGACAGAGAGAACATCGGGCATCGATGGGAACCAGAACCAACCTTACCAATTCTCGCGCAACCGTTCAAATTTTCTAGTTTCGATGCAGAGACCTCTGAACACCAACAAAGAAGAAGCCACAGGGAGTGTGTGCGAGTGTTTTGCAACCCACAGAGGTAGCGGTCTAAAATTTGGCTAAACTTTAGCAGGAAGAATGAACCTCATCAAATCAAAACAAGGAATCGGAATTGGGATTGGAATCGGAATTGAAACAAGGAATCGGAATTCCAATTAAAACGACGCCCAACCCGAATCAGCAGAGGAGCCAGAAACAGCAGACTGGTGAGAACAGACACAGAGAAATAAAGAAGGAACTCGGTCGGAGGCAAAGGAAGCCAGAGACTGGTTTTTCATCTTTAAGGGATATTCCGTCATAAAGGGGTCAAACACACCATAACACTGAGTTAGACACTCCCTTGAGAGATGAACATTGCTGACTGCTTGCTTTTTAAGTTGTAACAACTTTAGTAACGACCCCATGATAGCAATACACAGCAGTCTGAGCAGCCATAAACAAACTTCAACCAAAACGCCACTCTATAGCCACAAATAATGCTCAGAACAGCACCTAACTTCATCAACAGGACATATAGGGTCCTAGCAACAACACTAGCCACCAAACATCTTTTTAGCTTTGCCTGATTTCTTTAGTAAAGAGACTACTTGTTTGTAGCTGGACCTTGACCAGTCCATTACGGACTACAGCGGGGTGCCACAGCTCAAGGAGGAACATTTATGATCATTTCTTCTTGGAAATACAATCACACCGAGACAATAAGGCAGAAGAACTACCACGTCTGCAGTGCAAAATGATTATTATGCTGATTATTACTTCAAGGAAATGATAAAGTAATGATCATAAATGTTCCTTTAAGAATCAGATGCATGAATGTCAGTAGGTCTAAACGTCATTACAGAAATGTCTGACAGCCTTGTGCGCGTCCTTGTGTCCACTAAAACTCCTCTGATCACCTGAGTGACTACGGTCAGCCTTGTAGATTAGAACCTTTGATCATTTCAGTCATGTTTAAAAATTATCTCTGAAATGCTGCTTTTTACCCGAGTCAGTGCTGATGACCTGAATCATCTGGATCAGGAGCTCACTGACAGATTTATGTGTATGGACTCATTACGCCTCGCAGCACCCCCCCACCACCCACCCCCTTCCTTCCTCGTTGCTGCCTTGAATGGATTCGCCCTCAGAGTCGCCGATGCGAGACTAATCAGGTCCCATTCCAATTCTGGGCACAGCAGAGGACACCAGACCCCGTTCCCCCCAGCAGGTGATTTGCACTTGGTGCATTTTAATTGGTGCACATAGATCCAGATCTGTGTGTCTGCAGCAGCCCCTGTAAGGTAACAGACGTCTCCAGGATGCTGCTATACATCCAGAGGAGTCGTTCATGGTCTCTTTGTTGGTCCTCAATCAATGAGAGGGGAAGCTAACGCGGAGCTCTGCGGTGGCTAATGGCTTCACAACAAACCCTGCAGAGAATATGAGCTCCGGAGGCTCCCAGTTACAAAAGGCTGAGGAAGAATAGAAGAAGCGCCGGGTAGCTGCAGACATGCATACCAACAGACCTCGGTAAGGATGATGTACGACGGCCGCAGAATTAAAACACAGCAACACTGAATTATGAATCAACCCTGGCAAGAAAATATTGGTTCAATCAATTCCTGCTGAATAAATAAACGTACCAGTCGGCCTCCGTCGGTTACTCTGTCATGAAGAATTCATCACCATCAGCAAGAGGCTGCTCTTTATCCCGAGGCTAATAACACGAGTGAGGCCGAATGAAGACGGTGTTCAGTCTCCAGGTCAGGCCGCAGACGTTCTTCTACCACACCGAGTCAAAGTATCACAAGAAAGATTTAGTGTTGGTTTATTACAAAAAGATAAACCGACTACAAACGAATACAACAACACAAAGTGAGATCTACACCTCCTGTTGTCTTCCCTCGCATACGTCTTCTTCTGCGTGCAGGTTTAAGAAGTCTTGGTTTGCCATCAGAGTCTGGTCTGTGAGAAAAGCGGCTCTACATGAGACTCCAGCAGCTGGATCTGTTCACCAGCTCAAGACATGGATTTATTCGAGAGGAAGATGACACAGTGCTGTCGTCAGTAGTGGACGTGTTCAGACAAAGGCATTGCTTTTCTCTCTCTTAGTCATTACGTTTACATGACACTCAAGAAAACCAAATTATTGCCTTACTTCGATTAAGACCGGACAACTGAAGTGCATGTAAACACCTTGGTCCAACTATAATCGGAGTTTGAGAACTCCAATTGGAGTCGGAAACTCAGATTAGGATACCAAGATAATGCAATTGGGATTTGATCAGAGTATGATCAGACAATGCATGTGCGCCACGCCCCCGTAACCCTGGAACAAAAACACTTGAGAAGAGGAGTAGCGTTTGTCTCATCTGCAGAAAAAGTAGTGCGTTCATCATGTACGACAAAAACATAGCTGTACGATGCTCCATCTTCTTTCTCGAAAATGCCCAGCAGCAGTTGTAGACACTTCTGACATCTGGTACAGACCTGCTGTTGTTGTTGACTGTTGTATGGGGTCGGAAACAGCGCCGCTGAAAAGACATCAAGACATGTGGTCCACATCGCCCCCTAGTTTTGGGGAGGAGGACACGTTCACATCAATAATTCAATTTTCTCAGCTGCACGTATACGCGAACAAGAAGAGAAGTCAAATTCAGCAAAGAAAGAGTTATGAGCTTATTCCGATTAAACTGTGCATGTAAATGCACCGAGTGTCTCACTGGAAGTGGTGGCTAATGCTCTTTCAGTCTATATAACCATCTCCTCATTAACAAGCCCTCACATTCAGACCCTGCAGGTAGCGGTAATGAAATCCACACGCTGGGACATCAACAGCACATTGTTTCGTGGTCTAAGAACAAAGGCGTGTGATCTATTTCAGTGTTGCTTATGAGAACCACAGAAAGTTTTGCGGAGGTGACTCAGAGACAACAGGGATCTAAGTTTGACCAAAGACACATGTTTGGTGGCCTAGACAAAGACATGCTTGATGCACAGGAGCACGGTTCTTTTTGTGTGTGTTTCTAGTCGAGCCCTTCAAATCTGAGCCTCTCTTTCCTCCAAGGCCGATGTTTCCCACTACGCTGCGCTCACTATGAAGACTGCAGGGTCAAGAGGAGCAGAGCATCCAGCTTTATGAATCTCCAGAGAGGGTTGTGTTTACCTTTACAGCTGCACTAATCAATATTTCTGTATTGCAAAGTGATTGAACGGCTGGTGTGTTAAAGAAGCCGCTCAAAGGTGATCCCCACACGAGGAACTGTCATTTCGGCCTCTTTTAAATCTTAGTTTGGGGATTTAGACGTGAAAAATAAGTGGCCATCTTGATTGTGTTTTCTCATCAGAAATAGAGGAAGAGAGCGAATCCTCTGAAACATACCTGTTCTTGTCTTCAAAGAGAGGAAAATATCTTCAGGTGAAAGCAAAGATAAAAAACACACCGACATATGAAGACCACCTGGTGTGAACAGACACAGCTGCTTTCTGCAGTAAACACATTCAGAGCTGAAGACCTCCTGCAGGGAGTTCGAGCGCTGAGAGTAAACAGATCAGCCAGGAGAGGTAAAATATCACCCTCCACCTCGTGCACATGTCTGAGAGAAATGAAACACTCAGTGACTCCTCATGCATCTAAATAAATATACACTGATCTCAGAGAGGTTTCACAACACAAACATGAACCAGAGGTGACATTCAGAGACCGAAGTGGCTGAGGTGACGCCGACTCAACTTTATTTGTAATTTACTTTCAAACAACCACAGCTGAACAAAGTGCTGTACATAAATAGACAAAACAACTAGACATGAAAAACAATCAAAAAACAATTAAAACAACTATTAAAAGCCAATAAAGACATTTTAACAAAGGGCTCTATGGGGAATGACTCACTTTTGGGTAGACCCTCTAGTGGACACTGGGGGAACTGCCGTTTTTGTGACTGGCTTTAATTCCTCCCACCTGCCAAGCCTGTAACACCACACATTTATATGAAATATTCTGAAAACCAAATATTGCACAGCTCCAACACTTCACGGACTAAAAATGAGCTTTAATACCATATGTTCTGCTTCGCGTAATGAATTATTCATGTCTAAAAACAGAAGAAAAAAAAACTTAATGTGGTTGAAAATCTTTCCCTGAAGCTTAATATGTATTTAAAAAGTTAAGCACATTTTCAGTCTTGCATAATGTTTTCATAGGAGTCCATAAGAACACTCATTTATATCGCAGCCTCCTTCTTTAAGCTCCTGAGGCGTTTGCAGTTACTATTAACAAGTTCGATATAAGAGCCTACAAGTGCTGTGGTTATAGTAATAAATGTGTTAATCGTGCTTTTATTTACAATCAATTAATGCTTATAAGTGTCTTACATAAACTAATAATAATTACAGGACCTTTATATAAAGTGTTACCCTTGACTTTGCAGTTCATTTGTTCACAATGCTTGGCTGCAACACATGCTCTCTCCTGTCCTCAGTGCATCGATCAGCTGTTTGGGTCTGTGAGCTTAAAAGGAGACAAAAATACACACTTCACGCCCATTGTTCTCCACAATCACCTGACACTGAATAAATCTGTTTAAGCTGCTAAAATGTCCCATATGTGCTTCAAAGCTTGACGTTCAGGATTTTCATCAGGTTCCCCCTGAGAGGATTTTAGATATCTTGTGAGTGTTCCTTAAATTTCTGCATCTAAGAGCCAACATGGGAAACATGGCTGAAATCTCATGCATTCATTGTTCGAGCTTTGGTATTGGTGGCTAAATTTGCACCCTCAGATGCTTAACTCCATCGAAATTTGCATTTTCTCTGTCAAATATCCGGAAATCTGGTGAGATACGGGCTGAAATTGGACAGAAACTTGGCAGAAACTTTCAATGTTTTACTGGCTGTGTTAACTTTGGCGTCTAACTCTGATTAGTTTGTTGATTTACTCACGTCTGCTTTAATTTAATGTACTCTCCGGCCTAATGCGTGTGCGTCAGCTCACTTTGTTTCAACACACAATTGACTGTTAGGCTTCTGCTCCATTTTTTCGCCTCAACAAACAACAGCGCTGTCGCCGCACGTTAGATCTGTGAAGCACACACACTGCTGTTCATTTGTCCCGCGCAAACTGATGCTAAATCACTTTGTATTTAGCATTTTGTTGAGCTGTGTATCTTTAATCAGGTCTGCATCTCACAGGAGAAACAGTGGAGCTGAAATAGAGCGGCATTAGCGTGGAGGCAGAGCCGCTCTAAATCTGACAAATGAGGCCTCCACAATTTTCCTGCCTTCATAAAGCTGCCATTCACGCCTAATCTACACAACCATTGACACATGCAGTATTACTTTGTGTAACAGACGGCTCACACATTAAACCGGTGTCACAGAAATCATTTTAATTTCCTCAGTGAGGGGGCGGAGGAGGCCGCCAATTCTTAATAGTTCCTTTGGTTTGACGCCCAAACCTTCATTAAGATTTAGACGTGGCGCTGACCCGCTACGGGGACTTTGGCGAGATGTTGTCAGAGTCAGCTGCATTAGTAGTCTGATGCCTCAATGTGGAAAAACCTCCATGATACAGGCGTGAATTTGTCCTGTGAATCACTTCCATATGTTCAGTATGATGCAACACGCCCCCACTGAGGGAAATCTTGACCCCATTTTTCTTTAGTTTAGGGACTTAAAGATACAAAACTCTGGATTTTACAAGGAAGCAGGAGTAAAGAGGCTTTCACACAATCACAAACAGATTAAACCACAAATTTAAAACTCTGGGGTATAATGACTCTAAATTCAAACTCTATCAATCAAGATCCTAAATGTAAATTATATGAGGCAAAAAGCAATGCCTTTGCCACAGCATGTCCACTACCGACAACAACAGTGCGTCATCTTCTGAAAGGATTCCGCCACACCCAGCTGGAGTCTTCACAGCTGAATACTCTAAACTAGGGCTGGGTGATAAAAGGATAACGATATATAACGAAAATTAATTTCCCTCAATATCAATACAAAACATGGTCAATATGCTTTTCAATAGTCGGCATTCTGCCATGTTTTGTTGGACATACGAATAGCCAATGAAAAGGGAAGTTTCTCCGGGTCGCACCGCGCTGAACCAATCACGTGCTGAATTAGAACCAAGTAGCAAACAACTGCGTAGTAGCAGCTACACACAACCATAGTACTCTAACATGCTGACAGCACTGTTGGTGAGGAAAAAAGAAAATGGGTGCTACCCCTGACAGAAATGCAGATGACGGCTCAACAGATGACGACATCATCGACAAAACTGGCACTGTTAGATTTAATTTTTTGTATCGCGAAATATATACTGATATCGACTTTTTCCCATATCGCCCAGCCCTACTCTAAACCTGTGTGCAAAAGATGCTACAAACATTAGCATCATTCCAGATCTTGCCAAGTACCTCAGAGACAGATGGTGCAAATAAAACCCTTTACTCTGTCAGTGTGTTTCCTTGAAATACAAAAAATATTAACACGGTCAGAAACATTCAAACAATCCTCAAGATTTCCCCCGCGTTGGTTGCTTTGATCAGAAAGTGCAAGTGAAGCTATACAGTTTCAAACCCTGATCTTTGACCCCTGACCTCATAGCGGAGGAGGAGAAAAGAGGAAGCAAGATATCCTACAGCAGAGAGAGGGATCAAAGAGGCAGATCAATCAGAGCTCGCCGCTCCGTTCGTTCACACCTGCAGACCGACGGCGCGAAGATTTACATTTCATGACTGAACTTGATCCGCGGAGGCTCTGCCTCAGTCAAAGATTCGCTCGTTTGAAGTGCAAACAAAGTGTTTCATGGCAGCGGGGGGACGGCGCTGCAGGGCTACAGAGGGGAGCCGGAGAAGGACGAGGTGTCACCTAAAGAACCTGCAGGCTACGACACACCTGCAGAGGTGCAGGATCACCTTCCTGTGAGTCACTCCTCTGGATGGATGGATGTCCTGTGGGGGAGACTCTGCTGGCTTCAGATGTCTCTGAGAATCTGTTTTTTGGGGTCTGAGTGTTCACACATCACGGTAGCTTTATTATCTTTTCACAGGATGTGTTTCTTCTTGGAGATTTAGTCCTCCTCGCAGCAGGAGAAAGAAACAAGGACTCCTACACAAGCTGCCAAACGGCGGATATGTAAAACTTGCAGCAATGAGGCTGCAGGCAACAACAAATCTTTGAGAGCTTTTTATCCAACAATGCAAACGAGACAAATAAGAAATGTTGTTTGAAAGTCTTCTTTTAAATGTGGTTAAGCTTTCGAAGCAAAAACAAAAGTGAAGTAACACGGTTTTATCATTTAATCATAGTTATTACTTCATCCCGGACACCAAACCTGTGAAAACAACAACATCACGGGACAGCTGCAGCTTCACACAGAAAGCACCTTGACTTTTCTCCGTGTTTTATCCTCAGGGCTTAATTAAACTCCAACAAACACAACAGATTTAGAAACTCTACGTCAAGTCGGTTGACAAACACCTTTTTATCGCCTCCTGAAAGACAATTAAAAGCGTCTGTCACCCTGTAGAGCTGCGGATAATTGCTTTGCCCTAAACTCGGTCTGCAAACCTGATCGGTGGATAATTCTGTCTCGGCTGGAGAGGAGTGAGCGGACATCAGTGGAGAAGCTTCTGCTGTTTGACCCTGAAAAAAAAGTAATCTGTCATTCACACCCCGAGCCCGGCATTTCACCGGGGAGCTGAAAGTCAGAGCGTGTCTCATAAACTTAGACTTCACAGAGTGATCCAGGTCCCACGACGGCTGGTGTTAGAGTTTAAGATGTTTTTGTTAATGGGGATGTGGGCATGGTTTATAATAGGACATCATTCCTACTATTGAAATCAGAGTGTCTTTGTAGTTTACGCCAAACTACCACAAGTGGACAAGCTGAACGGTGCGGAGGTGGTTTTCCTGCTAAAAAAAGGCAGCCATCACCCCTGGGCTTAAACTCAGGACCCGTCTACCACCCTCTAATGATGACAGTTTGTGGAGACGATGGCAAACTTTTCAGGTTAGTTAGTCATCCACAACTTTCAGCTGAGAGTCTCTTCTCTGCAGGCTGACCCAATTAGCAACTTACACTCCAATTAGCTTCTTCTAAAGGGTGACAAGCTGCAAAATTTGCCTATTTAGCTATGTCTGCAAAACGCCTGCTAAACCTGTTTAAGTCTGAGTCTCAGTTTAACTGTAAATAGTCGGTTACACAATGACTTCATTCTGACAAACTTTGGCGATAAAATCCCCCCCCAAAAAACTGTTTCTGGTTAGTCTCAGTTTCACTGTAAAGAGTTAGTTACATAGTAGTTTTACTTCAACTTACTTAAAAAATATGACCTGGTGAGTCTCAGTTTCACTGTAAACTGATTTCTAGGGTCATACCATCAAAGTAAGTCGGGTTGATGACACTGTTATGTACGCTCTGGTGAGTCTCAGTTTCACTGTAAAGAGTCAGTTACACAATGATTTTACTCTGACAAACTTCTGCAATAAAACCCCCAAATATCTGTTTCTGGTGAGTCTCGGTTTCACTGTAAACAGATTTTCAGGGTCACACCACCAAAATAAGTCATGTTGACAGCGCCGTAACTTACTCTCTGGTGAGTCTCAGTTTTACTGTAAAAAGTCAGTGACACAATGATTTCACTCTGACAAACTCTGGCAATAAACCCCAATGTCTGTTTCTGGAGAATCTCAGTTTTCAGGCCAAAGTAAATCAGGTTGACACGATTGTAACTTGCTGTCTGGGAGGTCTCAGTTTCACTGTAATAAGTCAGTTTTATGTCAACAAAAACAAAAAACAAAAAAGAAAATCTGTTCCTGGTTGGTCTAAGTTTCACTGTTAATTAATTTTTGGGGTTACAGTATATTGCCAAAGTTAGTCCAGATGAAGCTGCTGTTTAACTAACTGGTGAGTCTCAGTTTCGCTGTTTCATGGTTTTACCATGGCTTCACTCTGACTCACCTTGGTGCATAACAGAAAATCTGTTTTGTGTAAGTCTAGGTTTCACTGTGAATAGACTTTAGGGGTTGTATTGTCAAATTAAGTTGAGATGAAGCTGCTGTATAATTTGATGGTAAGTCTCAGTTTTACCATAAAAAGTCAGTTACACAATAGAAACACTCTGACTCACTTTGGGGACACCAGTCCTCAAAATCTGCTGATAATGAGTCTCAGTTTCATTGTAAATAGTGGGTTACACAGAGACCCAGTTTGACCCTCTTCAGTTTGTTTTGGTGAGTCCCAGTTTCACTGTAAACTGTGAGCTACATAAAGGTTTCCCTCAGTCGTATTTACCTATCAAAACAATGATTTTTCTTTAGTCTGAAAACTGCCAAAGTTACATATTTAGCTGCAGGTCTGAAAAGAAGAGTTTGTTTGAATGGAGGTCGAATCCACCATTTCTGACACATTCAATGAAGTCAGGAAATCGAGACGCTGATCGTCTTTAGTGACTCAGTATGAAGCAGAATAGAGTCTCGCAGTAAATGTTTCATTACGGACAGATTATTTTCTAACCTCACATGCTGACACCTGTTTAGAGAAAGATTAAATCATACCACTGGTGGGAGCTGGGGTGTCATTATGGGTGACTGAATCAAACTGCCCATGAATTAGCCTCCAGGATAAGCTTATTAGCTTACATGAATCAGCATTTGTTGACCCCTAACTCTCCAATATGATCACTTCTGGCTCCAGGAACCAATACAACCGCAGGCACATGCAGAACTTGAGCCTTTAAACACAAACCAATGGGTGACGTCCAATCGTACATCAACATATTGGTTTTAACTTACTAAAGACAGTCCAACACTATCAGATACAGGTTCTCAATACAGCACTACTGATGAAGCTCTCCTCAAACAAACAAACCTCTCCTCCTCCCAAACAGCTCCTTCTTCTCACAATCGATTCAGCCGAGCTCTGGATCAGAGCGCAGGCTCACCAAAGGCTCTTCATCACTTATGTGGTTGTTTCATGGTTGATACTCATCCCAGAGTAAGTTCTTCTGGGGAAAAATCCATCTGAGGCGCAAAACCAAATCAAGAGACAAATGTCTGACAAACACAGGCATGAGTCTCTCCAGGAAGTGGTTGTGGTTTTCGTTGCGATGTTTTATTAACAGTGAGATAATGTGGGAAGCTAAAGGAGCAGTACTGAGATTCACATGAGAACCTGTCAGCTTTCTGACCGCTGTCCTGAGAGGCTGAGCTGCTAAAATAAGACTGTGAAGCAGAGAGGGATGAGAAACTGAGACCGTAGTTTAAGGGGAATCTGCCCCTGAAGTGACGGGTTTATAGAAAAAGATAAAAAATGACTTTAATCGACTTTAGGGGCCCTGAACTAATACAAAATTTTGAGTAAAACCATCACAAACATGGTGGACCATTTTCCCAGCAGCCATCTTTATATGGCGCCACACTCAGGGTGGGAAATTGGTGTAATGTCACGTCTTAAAAATCTATGTCGTGTTAGCTAGCCGACGATACACAAATACGTCACTGTAGGTCTGTCGTACATTCAAAATCTAAAATATTCGCTTGTTGATCAGTTGTAATATTCCCTAATCTACCTTTATGAATATTAATGTTGATTATAATATTAATGAGGATTGCTGGTGTGCAAAGATTTTATTGTTAGCTAGCTAATGCAAAGTAATAATAGATTCAAACATACGCAATAGAGCTTTAAAACAATTACCTATAAAGTCACAATTTCACCTGAGTATTTGAGTCTCTTTTTCTATCATCTGTGATTTTTCAAATGTAAATTCTACAATAAAGTGACTGAATGTGAATGCTAATGCTAATGCTAGCTGTTTTAATGAAAAACACAGCACAGTTTCCCCGTTTATTGTCTTTACAGCTGCTCATCATTGTAGGAACAGTCCCAGTAAGCACATTTTCATGCACAGTTAAGTCCAGCTATGCTAACAGCTCATTTAGGTGATTTGAGTGGTCAAACTGCTCGATGTGCCCCTTTAGCTCCGTTCTACTCGTCTCATTATCGAACCATTACGTGATCTACCAAAACAATCAACAATCGGTGAGAACCTGGTCAAGTTTACAGCTTTTTTTTTACGTCCTTCTTTGCCTGACAAAGTTTTGTTAACTCTCCAGCTTCTAAACAATACATTCATGCCAAACTCTGGAACACTCTGGCCTGTTTCAGTCTGAGAAGAAGAATAAACACACCTTGAAAATGTATCCCCCAGTTGCATTATCTCGTTATGTTTGATTTAGAGCGATTTTAGATGACGCTTTTATGAATTCAAAAAGTTCAGTTTCAGTCGAATTAAAGCGATCAATGTTTGATTTCCTCTCTGCATGTGTCGTGTTTTGTCTTGACTGGCTGAGTGCTCTGCAGGATGCATCAAAGGACGACCAAGACTCACTGAAAAAACGTTGGCGAGATCCAGCAGATGTAACCCACTGAGCGTAAAGCGAGCGCGTTATCGGTTAAAACATTTACAGTCTTCTTTCTCTTTCTCCCAACGTCATCACATCACATACGAACACCTTATCCAGCCTGATCCAAACAGAGCTCACTAACACTAAGAATCAGCCGGCGTCTGTTTAAAGTAAACTCAGAGATTAACAGGCATGTGTTGTTCATCCTCTCTGCAGTCTCCAAAGGTGCGTGATTGAACTTTTCGCCACGCTTTAATTTAGTGGAAAACAAAACCGCCGTTTAGAGTCATGGAAACTGCTCTGCCTGGCAATCAAACTCACTCAGCTGTTCTGAGTGTTTCACAAGAGGATAACCGACGGGATGATGCTCTCATCATCATCATCATCGTCGTCGTCGCGAAGCTAAATGACTTGAATGTAAACTGTAAGCGGCGTTGACAGAACATCAATACTCTGTGCTGTTCTGTGTTGATGTCAGCGCTTCTGGATGTGAAACACGCCTGTTACAGGGCGCCCGTGTCTGAGCGCGCTCCATCAGTCCAGGCGTAGCCGGGGTTTTGAAAGGATCTCCCAGTGAGTGAGTGTTTAAAAGCCTCACAAATTATACAGAGTGATTTTTATTCATGCTGGCTCCATCCTGGCTGTCCTGGAATATAATGTGCCTCAGTTCAGATGAAGATCGACTGCTCGATGGGTTTGAAAGCACACAGAACCAAATAAAAAAAGGAAGCAGTGGCGCAGATTTGAAGAGCTTCTGGAGGCAAGAGCGAATGACAAATTAATGGCCCTGAGATTCCAGATATCCGGTCTGTAGACGACCCATAAAAGCCCGGTTCTGTCTGTGTGGAGCTCATTCAAAATTAAAAGGTAAGTACACGACAGAAAACGGAATCCAGATCAGAGCTGCGACAAAAGCATTTGTGGACGGACTAAACTAACGGCAATGATTTTTTGCCCTACGCCAATTCATACCACATCCGTTTGTGAGGCGAATTTCGTAGCGGATTACGGACAGCAGGAATCACAAGAACTCACGAGAACCAGAGCCATCCAGAGAAAGAAATCTACCTCTAGACTTCCGGCGGGCATGGAATGACTGACAGCAGGAATAGCCAATCACGCAGAAAGCGACAGCCAATCAAGGACCTCGTGGGCGATCCAAACCTAAGGAAATCAGTTTTCGGCTTGAGCGGCCGTTTGGTCCTAGAGCCTGACGTGTATCAGTTTGCTATAGCGTAAAATAACATTGTTTTCAGACGGTTAAAACCTTGAGTATAGCTCTGCTAGGAGATAGGACCCCAGCTTGCAAGACTTGAGGTGTTTCATGGTAGAGTTATGTTGATATGGCCTTGTTTAGATAATATATATGTTACTAAGTCAGGTCCTTGCTCCCATGTTCACACATCTGATCTCCTTTTCCATTTTTCAGTCTGGAAACTGAAGCCGAACCCGCTGAATTGCCTCTGTAATCATCAGCTTCTCCCCGGTTCTGCAGGCGATTTCTCAGGTGACATTACAGGTGAAATAACACTGATGGAGGGTTTTCTTTACGGCTTCTTTCACTTCATAACGACACGCTGTACCTGCCGAGGCTCATCCGGGCTCACTGCCAACTCCTGCCATCTCCTGAGATTTATTACGGAGAGGGAGGAGCGGCTGAGAGGAGGAAAACATCACAGGGACTGGAGTTTGTTTTAGGAGTTTGCTCTGGCTTTTCTGTCCAATGAAGGAGCTCGGACCGGGTCATGTGACTCGTCTTTGACATAAAGGTATGAAAAACCTCAAGTCCAAAAAAGAGGAGACTAAAATTTCTCAGTCCATCTTAGAAATAGTTTCTGGAAGTAATGCGGTGACTTCCACTACAGAGTTGTGTGTTTTAGCCTTTGAGAGGCTAAAGATTACAGCCATTTAGTTTTAATTTTGAGCTTTTTGTGCAGAGATTTCTCCAGACTTTCTGAATTTTCTAACGAGGTGATAAACTAAAGATGATAAAAGCCACAAAGGTTCTTAAAGATTTCACTCTGAGGATCTTAAACTGAACTATTTGCTCACACAGTCTCCTCTGATATTGACTCTAACCTTTTGCAGATTAATCTCATCAGTTTGGAGATAATCCTGAAAAACTTAAGTGCTGGATTTAGAACTTTTAAAGTGTTTAATTGTCCCCATCTGAACATTTTTTCAAACATTTTGCTGGTATTAAATATAAAATATTTATATTCAGTTTAAATATTTCATATGTTTTCTTTGCTTTATATTAGATGCGACACACAGTGTGAAAAGGATTTACAAAATTTGTTTTTATCACAGTTTGGAGCTGTACAAAATGTATCATCTTAAAGACCCACTCCGATGAAAATCATGTTTTTCTTGTTGTCTACATGTTCATACGGCATTTTTCTAATGCTACAGGACATATCATGAATATTCCTGCATTCAAATCGCTCTGAATCTCCGTCAGACCCAAACGGCTGGCTAATACACAGTGAGATTTCCTACGTCACAAATCTTAGCTCCGCCCCCAGAGCCCCGCTATGCAGGCCAGACTCAAAAAAGTAGAGACGACAATCGCGGAACAAGAGTGTGTGTTAGCATACTGCAATGTTTGTAAGAAAGCTAATTATGATATTAACTATAGTGTCTGAGAGCTGAATAGCTCCTATGTTACCTGCTACTTCTACTACAATGGCAATGTTAGGTTACAAGCTAGTGTGAAGATGAGTGTGCACAACAGCGCTGTCTCCGCCCACGACTCAGAGGTGAATTGGTAATGATCTACTGTAGCTCTGCAGAAGAAAAGCCTTTAAAAATGACACAGGTAACGTGATTTTGGCTAAAACTTCATAATCACAACTTAAAGACCACTGAAAACACTTGAAATAGAAAAAAAAGATCAAATCAGCCAATTTCTCCAGACTCAGATGAAAAGTTTCTCCTCTTTTTGTGATTATTGTAACAGACAAAGATGGCAGACAGTGGTCAGAACTAAACGTCCCCTCAGGAATCCACAGCTGACGTCAAAAACACTCCGACCACACTCCGCACAGACTATTTTACAGTGCAGCCATAATACCAGTGAATAATGGCGCGCTATAAATGCTTGATGCTTCTCTGGGGCTGAATTTCCCTCCAACACAGCTGCCTGCTGCTTCAAACTAAATGCCACGAGCCATTTTGCTCTGTAAAAGCTTTCTTTTCTTCAGCTTTCAGAGCGACAGCAGCGATGAGAGCAGAGCAGTCAGTTATCTCGTGTCAAAAGCGGCGCGGCGCAACATGGTGGTTGTCGTGCACAGAGCAGCGACGTCCTGAATGATACTCGTCGTTCTCACGTTAAAAACCAGGTGCTCGGTTTGCTTTGCGAGTTGAAATGTCTTCATTCTCCTCTGCAGGGGTATTTGCATTCTGCTGCAGCGTGTCGGGCCTCCGAGAGCAGAGATCAGGACCGCAGCGCGCTCATCTGCGAGGAAAATGCTCCATTTCTTAATGCAAACAATGTGAACGGCGGGAGAGAAGCGGTGCGGAGTTTCATTAATAAAACATGACAGAGGTGAGTTACTCCAGACAGCTAACACTCATTTACATCGCTGCAGTTTTTCTTTTACATATTTAATCAAAGCTAAAGAGCAAGAGCAGCAAAATGAATCTATGAATATTGGATAATGAAAGAATTATCAGGGCGGTGGACGCAGAGGTCACCGATCAAATTTTATCATCTATTATCTTCAGGCTGTGTTAAATACTTACTCCTGATTGGTCAGCTGCTCATAGTGAGGGTGTGTTTTAATTCTTGCAAAGTTCTAGTGAAGCGTTTCCAGGGACAACGGGATCCCGCACATCAAATTAAATCAGTTTGAAGAAAGAAGTCCACGTTAGCGTTAGGATCGATCTGATGTGACCTGAAACTTTACATGAGCAGAGAAAAGAAGAGAAGAGGAAGATAACAAGGATAACTCAAGGAGCTGAGACTGTCTCCACACACATGAAGCGCGAGTAAAATCATTCGCGCGAATAAGGAACATGTTAATCGATACAAAGACACGATTAGACGCTCGATCCGATATGACTTTAGATTTATCTGGCGAGCGCGAAATTTTAGAGCTGCAGAGAAAAGTAGATAAGAGGAAGATAACAAATAGTCAAAGAGCTGATAGTGTTTCCTCACACTAAGAGCGAGTAAAATCATTCGCGCGAATGAATTACATGTTAAGTCAATGCAAAGACGCGATTAGACGCTCCTACTACTCTGACGGCACAAGTGACACGAATTGGGCGTTAGCTTTAAATGTCTCAACTTGAGCAGATATTCGCGTCCCGATAACTTATCCGCACGAAGGTTGCCAGGCGATGTATGTTAACGGACGGTTGTTCACGGTTATCTAAAATGGAGGACAAACTGATCGTGCCCTGAATTTATGATACTTTTTTTTTTTTCAATAACCGAAACCAGAATAAAAGGAGGTCGGATTACCTGGTAAATTGTAAAAAACTTTTGTCAATCACTTGATCCTGTCGGTTGAATTGGCCGGGATTACCGTTGAAATTCCGCGAATTAAGCGAGTCAAAATTAAGCGAGTAAATACGATTCATCCACACATCTAGATTTGCGCGAATTAAGCAAGTAGATGATTTTACTCACTTGGCGTGAGCGCCCCGAGAGAGACAGAGAGAGACATCAACCGAAGTAAAGAAAACAAATCACAGTTTAATTAAAGCATTCAAGGACAGAGAAGAAGGAGACGATTTATACGGCATGAAAATGAAATATCTTCAACATTTATGAATGTACTTAACACTAAACGTTGCATTTTTGCTCATTACATCCTCTTCAACTTCAAATGAGACGTGTCTTTTAATTTCTCATTACTGGAATTTTTAAGTTATAGCGCTATTGATGATTAAGTGACCTATTAATTGCTTTTCAGATTTAAATGCAAGCATTTCTGAGAGTGTGTTGGGAGCCCGGCTCATTCAGCCCCCCCGCTGTGTCAAAGCTCCAGGGATTAAAAAAAAAAAAAACCTGTTTAGCACTTTGAGTTCTACAGTAGGAATGAAAAATTGGTACCACGCTGCAATGAAGTCATTTCTTGGCTTATCTTTAAAGGCTGCCCGTCCTTTTAAATTGCACAGAGCTTGGAGGTTGTGCAAGTCAATTAAGCACAATAAATGATTTTAAAAAACCGGTTATAATTGAAGAGGTACAAAATTCAGACTGTTTTAGTGAACACAACCTTTGTCTGATGAAAATAGAGAAGTGGGAAGATCAGAATCTTTGTGTTTGTGTGTCTGTTTAGCAGAAGAAGAAAAACGATTGATTCTGTATTTCCCCACATATGGAACAGCAGAGTAGGGCTGGGCGATATGGGAAAAGTTTATCACGATATATTTTTTATCATATCAGTCGATATCGATATATCACGATATAAAAAATTAAATTTAAGAGTGCGTATTGGTAGCATGTCTATTGCAATACAATAAGCCACTGCATCTGTGAGGTCTTTGTGTCTCTGCGACATTTTGCCGTGAGGCATTACGCTAGAGAAAGCTGACTGAACGGTCGGCTGTTTCGGATGCACAGGCGCCATGGGCTCCTTGCTCCGCTCGGGGTTTGTAACCTTTTGCATTGCGCGTGCTCTGCCGCGTGGCGCTGCTTCAAGTGGCGAAAAAGATTTGAGTTATTCCCTGACTGTACTCGACATAATTTGCAGTACACATTACTCTGCTTCATGTCCGACCTCAAAAAACCAAAATACCTCCAAACAACTGACATTTTCGTTCCAGTGTTGTCGACAATGTCGTCATCTATTGAGCCTTCATTTGCATTTCTGCTCATTTTCTTTTTTCTCACCGACAGTGCTGTCGGCTTCACGTGTTAAAGGTGTTATGGCTGCATGTAGCTGCATCCTGCTACTACGCAGTTGTTTGCTACTTGTTTCTAATTCAGCACATGATTGGTTCAGTGTGGCGTGGACCAGGAGCAACTCCCCTTTTCATTGGCTATTCATATAGTCTATCAAAACATGTCAAAATGCCAGCTATCGGAAAGCAAATCGACCATGTTTTTATGTTGATATTGAAGGAAATTAATTTTTGATGAATATATATTTATCATTTTATCGCCCAGCCCTACAGCAGAGCAACTTTTATTTATCATGATTTACAGCATTATTTCACCATGATTATTTTCACCAGATTATTGTTTTCTCCACATATCAGAGCTTCGATAGAGCCCGACAGCTAGCCAAACGCGCCACGAAACAGTCAGCAACACACGACAGCATCAAACTCTTAATAATGTAAACAACCAAACAGCATCAGAACTGCACACAGGATCATCTAAACTCAATCCTCCATTTCTCAGTCTTCACTTCAGGATTTGTAGATTTTCATTTTTCCCAACACCAAAGTTGGAAATCTTGTCCAACTGGTTTTAAGCTCTGATTTTTCTGCAGGGAAAAGACACTCAGTCTCTGACATGATCGTATGGTTCTGTCCTGAAGCAAATATGCACTGTGCGGTTAACATTGTTCAGTATTAACACGAAGCATCTGCTTTAACTTAGGAGTTTCTTTGTCGATCCAGTTCTCTGAGATTGCAACACAAACCCTCTTGAATCCAAAATAAATCCCAAAAAGCTGCATTTCCTCCAGAACACGATGCATTTTGAAATCCTAACTCTCAGGTGAAAAGGACATTAAAATTAATCGGTCAGCCTTATCATAAACACTCTCCTCACCCTCTTGAGCCAAAGTTTGTTACATAACCTGTTGGATTTCAAACATTCACAGTTTACTTTAACCCACAAAGATGCAGAAGTGGTTCATTTAACCACAAAGAAGCAGAAACAACAACGTAATCTTCATGAGGGATAAGAGTTATTAAATATCCACCAAACCATCAGTGCATCACCTTAAAGTTAAATCAATGAAGTCCACACACTCGGGGTTAATAAAGTGCAGCTGCAGTGTTGTGATAAACTCCCCTGTACAGCCTGTAAAGACACAGGAGCTCATAACACTCATGTTAAAGTCATGATATCGATTTTTAACCAGCGTGCAGCATTATCGGACCGATTCCCGTCATATTTCAGTCAGCTGAAGCCAACGATGGAGCTTCCAGCAGTCCAGTAAGGACAGCAGACATCTGATAGCATATATACGGCGCTATAATTAGACCGTCTGTCTGATACCTCATGAGATGCAAAGGTCAGAATAAACTCAAAAGGGACAAAGAGGGAACATGGTAGAAAGAAAGCACCTGCAGGATCGGGACACTTTCACAGCAGGAAGAGGAGCAGGTGCATAATTTAACCCTAGAACACTCTCGACTAAACATGTTTATGTGATTTTAATTATGTTGTATCATGGGTCCCTGGGTAGCTTCAGCATTGCCTTTGACATCTTTAAAGGCAAACCCAATAGTGATAGAGGGTGAAGTAGGTTTGGGTGGATTTGATAGCTGCATGTTGGTGAATAAGGTCAGTAAGAGAGGTCCTGGAATTTGCGTGCTATCTTTATCACAAAGTCGTGATTTTAAGGGAATTCAGATGGTGATAAGAAATCTGCCATATTTTGGTTCTGTCTCCTGCAGCCAAGGACCCTGAGTCTTCACCAGGGAAGACTCACATGTCCCAGGAATGGGTGGAAAAGAAACTAAGTTTACAGTTTCTATATTTTATTTTATGTTTAAGGATTTTTTTGTTCATAAATGCCTCATTTCAGTTATTTTTGTTGCATTATTATATGATCCATAACGTTACACAGTTAAAAATAAAAGAAAACTACTTTGATTTGTCATGTATTGTCTTATTTTAACATATTTTAAATGACAAGTTCTTCATCTTGGGTGTATTAATTCAGGTAAAAATCATGGTGTTAATAATTTTAGTGATAGTGTTGTAGGGTTAAAGGTTCGATGGTGATTTCAGGTATCAGAGGGAGTGATTTACAGCATGCAGCATGAGGTCTTACCTGTGCAGTCCTTCCCTTTGCCCTTACACTCCCCGCTCTGAGGGTAATAAGAGCCCCGGGCCCCCGACAGGTAGAGCAGCGACAGCAGACAGGCGGACACCAGGTATCGGACCACCCCGCTGGCACGCCCGGGACACCTCCCAGGCCCTGACACCATGATGAAGATGATGATGATGAGGACAGACGGATCAGCCGCTCCTCGGTTCAGGTGAAAAAGGCGAGTGAACAATCAGCGTAATTCCGGAGGAAGGAAGGAAGGAAGGAAACACAGCCCGGCTGCCTCACGCTGCGTCCCGCTGTAAAGCAGAGCAGACCCGGAGAGGAGGGGAGCAGAGAGAGCGGCTGAAGGTCTGCGGTGAAGATGGAGGAACGTGCACGGGGATCCTCGCCTGCTTCCGCGTTCAGGAAGCCTCGGAGGCGGTCCGGTTCGTCCAGGGAGGAAGAAGAGGAGGAGGCAGCGGCAGCATTCTCGCCATTCGCCCGTCCTCCGCAGCGAACTCCGCGTCTTTTTTCACGAACCCCTTATCTCTGACTGCTCGAATCTGTCTGATAGCGGTCCGCCTCGTCCCGATTCCCCCGGCAGACTGATGCTCACTCACTGCGCGCTGTCTGTGGCGTTTTGGCGCGCGGTAGAGACGCGGCTGGAGGGTCTTGCGGAGCGGAGGCGCGGTGCGTAAGGAGAGCAGCAGCTGCAACCACAACAAAGAGATCCGGGGCTGAGGAGGAGAGGAGAGGAGAGGAGAGGAGAGACAGGCTGGTCACGTGAGAGGATGCAACACTCCCCTCCACCTCCACGCCCCTTATGCACGCGCACACGCATGCACACCTTCGACACAAATGCAACACAGAATGCAGCAAATAATCATGCGTGCAAATCCGGACCACAATGCCCCACAACCCCAACCTGAATGTGTGTAAATCCTGACTGTAGTCATCCTCACAGGTGACTTCACCTGATTAGAAGTGTGTTATATTTTTATTTCCAAAATCTGATTCATTTTCTGACCAATAACAAACACACTGCAGGTGTGAGGATTATTACTTTGGCTTTTTTTCTGCAGGGAAGACGATGAAGCAGAAGACACCGACATTTAAAGGGATATTCTGGCGTAAAATTAATTTAGGGCCAAACACGCCGTAACACCGAGTTAGACACCCCCTCCAGAGATGAATGTTGCCGAACAGCTTTCTTCTCTAGTTATACCAACTACTCTCTTCCAGCAGCTGTTTGTTTGTAGCGAGACCTCAGGCCAGTCAGTTACGGACTACAGCGGGGTTACGCAGCTCAAGGAAGAACATTTATGATCATTACTCTATGGAAATGCAATCAGACCGAGACGCTAAGACAGAGGAACTACCGCGTCTGAAGTGAAAAATGATTAATATTGTGATTGTTTCTTAAAGGGAATGATAAAGTATACATCTGCAGTCGTTACTAAAGTTGGTATAACTAGAGAAGAAAGCGGTCGGCAACATTCATCTCTCGACGGGGGTGTCTAACTTGGTGTTACGGCGTGTTTGACCTTAACTTAATTTTACGCCAGAATATCCCTTTAAGTTTACAGGAGGGCGGCGTTCACTTTCTGTCTGTAACGTCACATTCATCGGAGGTTTCATTATAATGATTATTACATCAAGGAAATGATAAAGTAATGATCATAAATGTTCTTCCTTGAGCTGTGACACCCCGCTGTAGTCCGTAATGGACTGGTCCAAGGTCTTGCTACAAAGAAGCGGCTGCTGGAAGAGAGTAGGTGAGTTGTGTTTAGTCTCTTTGCTAAAGAAATTAGTCAAAGTTAAAAAGATGTTTGGTGTCTAGTACTATGGTTGGGACTCTGTATGTCCTGTTGATGAAGTTAGGTGCTGTTCTGAGCATTATTTGTGGCGTTTTGGTTGAGGTTTGTTTATGACTCCTCAGACTGCTGTGTATTGCTATCCTGCGGTCGTTACTAAAGTTGGTATAACTAGAGAAGCAAGCGGTCGGCAACATTCATCTCTCGAGGGGGTGTCTAACTTGGTGTTATGGTTTGTTTGACCCTACATTAATTTTAATTTTACAAAAAAAGTCTTGTATTTGGAGAACATTAAAGGTACAGTCTGTAGAAATATGAATATGAATCCTCCTGAGTCTTTATGTTCTGGTTTAAACTCCCCTCTCCATAAAAAAAAAAAAAACGTTTTAATATCAGTCCGTCCTCCTTAAATTCTCCCTGAGTAAACCCGTGACTGTTTCAAGGTTCCTGTTTGACTTCAAACAGATAAGGTTCTCATCGGCGTGGACTGATTCCTGGGCATCTGGTTCAAACAGGACCCAACACGACTCATTAAACTCTCCTCTTCAACTGGATTAATATTTACACTGCTCTGATTGGCTCAGAGCTCCATTATGGGAACCGCTGGCACGCCACCAACACAGACTAATTTGGCACGCCACCTTTCATCCAGCTACTGCTTTTTCGTCCTCTCTCCTTTCTTGGCCTTTTCTCCTCAGATTTCAGCAGCAGCTGCAGGACGGCGGTGGCGGTAGGGTCTGTCGATGTGCGCCCTCTGTGGTGCTGTTGGACATGGTTGGTTCCACGCCGGCGGCTCTAACAGCTCTCCCGGGCGCTATCAGCTCCTGCCAGACGGCGGAGTGGAGCGAGCCTGTTCTAAATCACTCACCACACTGCTGATTAGCTTTCTGGACGAGGTTAAAGACCTTCCAGGAGGTGTGGAAGTAGAGGCCGCGGCAGAAATAAAGAAGTCCTCCCTGATTTATCTCACGTCACCTCGACACAGAGCCAAAACTCAGAGAGGCAGACTTTCAGACAAAGGCTGGCGGTTTGAAACCCACACAGACAGAGAAATTAATGACTAACCCACATTTTAGAGGACGACTCTGGCAGCCTTTCAAGCTGGGATCTATTCCTATAAACCAGAGTCCAAATGACTCATATCCTCGAAAAGGCTTGGATTTGCTCTGGTGGATCTTGGCTCGACTGGATCTTCCAGGAGAAACACATCGAATCGAAACCCGTCCACCGACGGACTCAGATTGTTCGCTTTGTTCGTTTTAATCTGTAAATTTTGAGTCAGTGATCTACCTCAGCATCAATCGGTAAACAAACTAACCAACTGTTTAAGAGAGAAGTAGACCACCAACTCCTTCACTATCGAGGATAAATCACAGGGTCGATAGAGACTCTCTTACAGCCAAAATTCGAGCTGATACTGGGGAAGAAAAACAACTTTACTGACATCAGATCGAGTTTGTGACTCAACAACATAAAACCTACACTCATATATCTGCGAATTCAGTCTCTTACCATCCGATTACATTAAACCTTCAACAACTACAGAAAGAAGAGACTCTTCAGGTTGGAGTCTGTCCTCTAAACGTTTGTGTTTTTGTCCCTGACAGGATCAAGTTGATAAAATAAGTAAAAGGAAATACATTTCACTGCTTTCTACAGAACCACCAGACACTAAAAAACAGGAACTTTACCGCATAGAATAAACCCTACAAGAGAGGAGAAGGGACAAAAGAAGAGAAATAACTTCATTACAGAGAAGAGATTAGAGTCGCAATTTCGAGATTAAAGTAAAAATTTGGAGATTAAAGTCAAAATTTCGAGATTAAAGTCAAAATTTCAAGATAAAAGTCAAAATTTCGAGCTTTGAAAAAATCAAAATTACGTCAATCAAGTAAAAATTTCGAGATTAAAGTCAAAATTTCATGATAAAGGTTGAAATTTTGAGATTAAAAATTGAAATCTCAAGATAAAAGTCGGAATTTCAAGATTACATATTGTTACAATGTCAAGAAAAATGTCAAAAATTTCAACATTAAAAAAAATAACATTTTGAGAAGTTATAAAGTTTAAAATTTAAGATAAAAGTCGAAATTTTGAGATTAAAAAATGCCAAAAATATGTCAATAAAGTCAAAATTTTGAGATTAAAAATGGAAATATCGTGAGTGAAGTTGAAAATTCATATTACAAAATGTCATGAATAACGTTAAAATTTTGAGATTAAGAAAATTAAAATATTGAGATTAAAGTCAAAATTTCGAGATTAAAGTCAACACTAATAATGCCGAAATTTCGACTTTAATCTCAAAATGAAAATGAAAGAAATCTCCCTCCCGTTATAATTTTATTCTCTTCTTGTGGCCCTAATCCCTTTTTTTGTAAAACCCCCACCTCTGTTTGATAATCTTAATTCTGCTATTTTAGCGACTTTATAAGTGAAACACAATGACGTGAAAACTCAGAGGTAGACCAGCAGTTCCTCTGCTTAAAAAGCTGTTTTTGTAAATGGAGGCTGGCAGTGATGAACAGATTTACTGTATTTTCACGCTTTTGTAAAGTGGTTGTGATTACGTGGGGAAATAAGGCCTCCTGTGACCCTGGGGTGTAACTGTCTGGGGTTCCTGGATCAGAGGAAATGTTTGTTTACATTTTAATTTCTGTTTTCTGTCATGATCGATGTACCCTTCAGTTACACCTGCAGATTTGGAGTCCTAACATCAGACTATCTCCAGGTTCAGACCTTGATGCCTCCTCAGTCGTGTCTCTGTCGCTGAAAAGGTTTGCTCTTAATTTCCCTCTAAGCTTCATCTGCTTTGCTCTCCGTGTCTTCGGGGGGTTTTAGCTGCAGCTTGATGGTGGTCCAGCAGTCTCTGACAGATTATTCCTCCCACCATATGTCTCAGGAAGAGAATTACAGATTACTTGTTAACTGACGAGGCAGATTATACATTCTTTGACGGTTTACAGCACTAGCCTGCAGTTTCAGAGGAAGTTTCATGTGGAAGAAATAACCCTGAATGTCGACGGAGTATTAAAACTGACACACACTACATATTTTCTCGGGGTGCATAAAACATTTCATGTTTATGGGAGCAATTTTAACTTCTTTTCCATCCAGTTGTTCCATTAAATTTAGTCAAGGATGTCTCAAAGTTATTTTCTACTTTATGAACCTCACAGGACAGCAACGAAACAAGCTGCAGGTGATCCTAAAGATCATGGAGCATGAAGAAGCCTATAGGAAGACGTATAGCGAGCTGTAAAAATGAGAGTATTTCGCCTTAAAAAATTCTGTAAGGTGACTGTTTTAGTGCTTTATGAATACATTTACTGCTCACTACATCGACTTTTATTCAGGCTTCGATTGAGAAACAGAAACTTGGGTTATTTGTCCTCTTTACTCCATAAAAATGTAAAAATCTCGATGTTTCAGATCTAAACGGTGGCCTCCGGGCTTAAACAGACTAATATTCAAGAGTCTCTTTTGTTTTTGTGAAATCTGCACCCCGTGATTGAATGCAGACTCGAAAACCATGAGGCAGAAATGTGTGTTTTTCATATCTCTGGCTCAAAGATGCTTTTCTCTCAGCTGCACAGACTCTGTCGTCTTTCTTTTGAGGATTTTCTTGCCACAATATCTGACCCGGAGTTGGCACAGAGACGTGGTTTTGTGCAGTTTCTCATGAAGCCTTTCTGCTGTAGAGGAGTGTAACAGGCAGCGGAGGAGAGTAGGGGGATATTGCGTGGATTTCAGGGCCTAAGTGGAAGGAGAGGGATGGCAAATCAGCGATACTAATTAAATTAGGTTCCATGATAGTTATCTCTAATTGGCTTACAGCGTTTGTTGTGGATCTGGAGACACTGAGAGTCTGTCGTCTCGCAGCGGCCTCACTGGAAGGACGTCTCGTTCTGAGATGAAAAAAACAAGCAGGAATCAATCAGATTGTTTTGAGTTGGAATAAAAGACACTGAAGCATAAAAAAAACAGACGGATGCTGTTAAAAATATCTAATTTGAATGAGCTGCAAACCATCAAAAGTAGACGGAAAAGACATGCAGACTGGCTTTGATGTTAAATACATTTAACAGGATTTAAAGTCTTTTAAAACCGGAATTTTGGATAGATTTTTTAATGCACGGGGTTACGACCGTAGACTGTATATACTATGGACAACTTGGCTCCGCCTCCTGCCTGTATATGGATTTGAAACCAAAAAGCTCTCTGTATTTTCACGATTTTTCTTCATTTCCTGAAATCAGACTGCGCAGTAGCGATGTACACATTTGGTGGGAGAGTCACCGAGAGTCGCTGCGATGACGCTCGGCTAAAACAGTGTATCCCCCGGGTGAGCTATGCAATCTTCATATGCCCGTAGGCTGTATCAAGTGTCAATCATAGAAAAGTTTTCTAAAATATAAAAGTAGGTATTTCCAAAAACAATTCCATGGAAATTCCAACTGTGTAGGAGCCCTGAATGCAGCTTAAGTGATTTATAGGACCCGAAAATGTTTGATATTTCTTCAGCCAGCATGTAATCCTTTAGAGCTGTGTTCTGTGAAAAACATGGACCTGTTGGTTTATGAGTCAGGTTTTTAAAAAGATGGTGATCCCCAAATCTGAATGCTGACTCATCCCGAAGTAGAGAGGAGGAGTTGAGGCAGGCTTTAGCTACTTTAGTGTCAAGTCAAAGTTTATTTATGAAGCACCTTTAAAAAGACAGCAGTCAAACAAAGTGATTCGGTGATTTGGTGAATGAATCTTTTGAACGAATCTTTTTAGTGAACTGATTCTAGTGATTCAGTACATTTTAAAGAACTGCCATGCCGATCACTACAGTGCCTGTGATTCCTGAGTGCTCATTTATTAAATGCAAAGGAGAAAAGGTGTACCTCTATGTAAAACTCCTGACCTTATTATCATCAAAGGTAGTGATTGGAGGAAAAACTCACCCCCTTAGCGGTGTGTACGAATAAAGAAATAAACTTTTCAGACCAAAATCCTGTTTGTACGAGTCTGTAAACATGTGTATTCCTGCTTTCAATATGAGCTTTTTTGAATGGGTGTGTATGTGGTTGAGGAGCTTTTGGGACCAGCCTCAAGTGGACACTCGAGGAACTGCAGTTTTACACACTTTCTGCATTAACTTAATCTCACAAGAACAGAGGTTGAGTTTGGTTAGAACATATGATAAAAGTGTATCGTCCAGATAATCTTATTATTATTAAAAGTACTCTAAAAGAGGAAAACGATAAGTTTTGTCACACCTGTGATTTTACCTTTAAACATCTCTTATGTTCTTGGTCATAACTTATTTAAAATCTATTTAATTTTCTTATAATAATGTGAATCTACAAAATAGGAAATTACTGATGTTGTTAAAAATTTTGACTAATGTCGTGCAGCTCCACTGGCTTCGTGAATAAATATGAAACGGCAGCAGAAGTGTGGGGGTTTTTTGTGCCCAGTGAAATGACATGACTCCCGTGAAACATGACTAGAGAGCAGAATCCTCCCTGATGATTAGAAAGCTCCACCTGAGGGGGACACGGCTGTTTCGGAGGTTTAGCTCTGATCCCGATCGTGGCGTGCAGACTCTAATTTCCTCCACCATCTGTAGCACTAGCTCTTCAACAGGGAGGGTCCAACCCCTCTGCTGCTGAAAACACGGGGGAGAGAGATAATCCGAACCATCCTGCAGGGTGGGAGAGGGCAGGGGAGGGGAAGAGGGGAGTTTAACCCTTCACTAATCACCAAACAAGCCCATGACGGCTGAAAAAAAAGTCTTAACGAGACATTTAAACAGGATTCAATTAGAGGGAAATTCACTTTGGTGTCCTGAGATCGTCCTGAGGAGATAGAGGACTCTTTCAAACACATCGGCTCTTTTTAAACAAGTATCTCAAGAGAGTTCACCAAACTCTTGAACTTCTGAAGAAGAATTAAAGTCCCTGTTTGAACAAGAGTAAAATCAAATCCTCCTCTGACAGTTTAATCTGGTTTATGACAGCGGGAACAGTTTCAGTATGTGAACAGACTGAACCGTATCAAACAGAATCCCATTAACGTCGAACAGTCTGTCATTCATTCACTTAATTATTCATTCATTCTTTCATCTGCTGTTCTGTAAACATATCAGTCCATTTGTATTTCCATCCATCTGTCCTTCCAGTACATCAATCTATCATTCATCCATCCTTTCCTCCAACAATTGATCCATTCACTGCAAACCCATCCATCCTTCTGACAAATCGTCCAGTCATTCAACCATCTACCATCATCAATCAATCATCCATCCATCTGTCTGTAATTTTTTAATCTATCCATCATCAATCCATCATTTATCCATTCGTCAAACTGACAATCCATCATCCATCCATTCATTCATTCATTCATACATCGATTTCTCCATTCATCTACCATCATCAATCCATTATCCATGCATCTGTCCATCAGTTATCTATCAATCAATCATTCATCCATTTATTCATCCATTGAATTAACAATCCATTCATTCATTCAGTCAGTCATTCATCCATTTATTCATCCATCTACCATCCATCCATCCGTCAATCATTTATCAATCTATCCATATTGTATCCATCCATTCATCTATCATAACAATCAATCAATTCATTCATTCATTCATCATCTACCATTATTAATCCATTATCCATGCATTAGTTATCTATCAATCAATCATTTATCCATCCATTAATCTATCGAATTAACAATCATTCATTCATTTATCTATCCACCACTCTCTTCAACTATCAATTCATTCACCACTTATCATACAAACCTCTAACCCTTTGTCCACATTTATACATTATTCATTCACCCATCCATCCATCCATCCATCCATCCATCCATCCATCCATTTATCGGTAAAACAGTCAGGCTTTCATTCTTTATCATCAATCTTTACATCATCCATCCATTAATCCATCCATCATTTATCCATCCACTCATCCATCTTTCTTTTCATTCACCCATACTTCTATTCATCCCTTCATCCACCCATTCACCATTCAGCCCTTATATTTCCATCCATCATCCATTAAATCAATAATTCATCCATCCATCCATCCACCTAGTCAATCATTTATTCTTTCATCCATCCATCACTTCTCTGTGTCTTTCAGTGTTTTCCTGTATATTTCACCATTCTTCTATCCATCCTATCTTCCATTCATTAATCTTTTCATCCTTTCATCAGTCTCTTTATCTGTTAGTCATCCCCTCATCCTTCTGTCTCTCCATCCCTGGGCCGCTCCCTCTCTCTGGCTGTGTACACGAGTCGTGACTGAGTCTTTCTTCCAGACGACCTGTGAATAAAAGTCTGTTATTTCAGGGACATCAGACTGAACCCTCTCTGAATTTAAATACAGATAATTGCACCTCAGGTCGGCTTCACCCCCCCGCCCTGCTCCCTTTTCCTTTTACTCACATCAGAGCCTGAAAGGGAAATGACTTCTTCCTCTATCTGTCACCGTAACGCAGAGCTAATTGAAAGCTGAAAGCATGAATCTATTGAAAAGATGCCTCATTTCCATTAGCGGACAACCTGTCCAATCACAAAAGACGACAAATCTCATTTCAGACATTAAATCAAGATGAGTCGCAGAGGACGTGCAGTTCAGTACGGAGGATCATTCACACCTTTACCTTTGATTTCCCCCTGTGATGTAATCGCACAAATTCAACTCTGCTGCATTCAGGTTTAATTATTCACAGTACAGATGGTTTTTAAAGGATCACGACCAACTGAAGAGGACATTTACAGGTTTGTAACGTGGATTCAACCAGCGGCAGCTGTTTTCAGTGACGACATAAGAGTAAAGGGCTAACAAAATAAAATTCAGTAAAGCTTTAAAGTCTTTAATATCCTCAATATGGTATTCAGTCTTGGTTTTAAATAATACATAAATAATACATAGCACTGGTTTCTTCTCACCGCCATATTGGATGGGTCTCCTTTCATTAGTGTCGCACTAGAACCAACCTTGGTTGACTGAGAACTAGCAACTATGTCTGTATTTTTTGTAACCTAAACTAGGGTGACCATACGTCCTCTTTTACCTCTTTTTGGGGGGCTGTCCAGCTTTTTCTGGGGAAGTTTGTAAAATCCTTCAAATGTCTGTGGTTTTGTACGCAAGTTTCGATCTTGTGTCACGTGGACTTACTGAGTTAGAAGCATGTTAAAGACACTCGAGCCGACCCAAAAACCTCTCAAAATTAACTTTGTGCGACTTTGTGACGCTACATCTCTGCTAATTCTAACAAACCAAACTGTGAAAATCTGGTACAAATTCAGGGAGTTATGATTAATTTAGTTTGGCATATCAACTTTCCTCAATAGAAATAAAAACACTGGGGTAGCATGGGAGACCTATCCAAGATGGCTGCCATGCTGATACATCAGCTCCAAAAGGAAGCGTCCGTCTATGGGGCGTCTACGTATTTTATGTCTATGCATTCAAGGACAGCAGGAATTCTAACTGCTGATTGTCATTTCACATGTTCTGCCTGTTTTTGCTCTCCATACAGACTGGTCCTCCTCTAAGCCTGCAGGTACCTTATTGGTCAGATCTGCTTGACTGCAAACATGGATTAAAACCAGAATACTTCTCCTGATATATAATCCAGACTCCTAAGATTTAGAAGATTTACGCAAAGGCTTCACATTTGCTAATTCCTAGTTCCACCATAGCTCCACCCTGTCATCCAAATATGGTCACTTCCTGCTCCAGAAACCAAGATGGCTGCAGCCAAATGCTAAAATGCAAACCAATGGGTGATGCCTGTCATTCGTACATCATCATTTTAGCTTCAACCCAATCAGGCGGTCAATTTGCCTGACACCAGCAGATTCAAGCCTTCAATACTCAATCATTGATGAAGCTCCTCTCACACCAACCACCGCCTCCTCCTCCTCCTCCTCTCTCCTCCCTCCTCCAGCTTCCCCTGAGTCCTTCTCCTGGTGACAATCGATTCAGCCCAGCCACGGATCAGAGAGCAGGCTCACCAAAGCCTCTGGTATTGATTGGAGTCCCTCTGATATGCTCTGAAGTCAATTCAGTGTTGACCTATAAGAAACCAGGCGCTCACGCAGTAATCATAGATCAGAGAAATATTTATTGCCTGGTTATAACATGTTTGGGGAGCAGCATCAGGGGCTCAAAAACTCTGCTGTGCTGCAGCTTGATAACACGGACTCCTGAAGATGCTCAATAAAAGGGTCTCTGAGCGTTATCTGAGGGTCTGCAGAGAGAAATAAAGCTAGGGTATGTAATACTTTTTCACAGTAGAGTGGAGGATTGATCAGACTCACAATGGGGCCATCATCCTCTGAAAATAACTCCTAATTTAATATCATAGTGCTGTGTTTCAGCTTGTTTTATGTTCGAAATGTGGCTTTTCATGGTTTAAGATACAGCCGACACAACCTTCCTCCTGTTGGACAAAAGCGGAGCCAAAATATCTCAAATAACGAGACAAATGCTGCATTCCAGCTGTACTCAGAAGTCGGGATTTCCACGCTCCGAGTCAGAAATTCATCTGGAACGCTCCCCCTGAAATTTGATTTTTCTGACTCAGAAAGTCGGACGATCCTCACCAACCCCAAGTTGACGACAACATCATAATTCAAGATGGCAGGACAGTGCATCAAACCATTCCAGCTCCGACTTCCGAGGTAACTGAAACGCCGCACAACTATCATGGTAGAAGTTATGTTTGAGATTTGTTTTGACTTTAAAACTTGATCCATGTGCCATCTGTTAACATTGAGGGCAGGACCTTTACTTTAGCCGGCCAGTAGGGGGAGCTTCAGATACTTTGGCTTTACTTTTGGGATCTACAGCATTGGCCTTTGTCCTAGACAGCCCATTGAATTTCACTCAGTATGTTTACATGCACAGCTTTATCGTTTTTTTCGCCGAATCGGACTTCAAATCGGGCGATATGGGTCTTTTCCGGGGCGCTGTTTCTGACCCAATATAACCGTCAACAACAACAAGAAGATGGAGCATCGTACGGCGTTGTTTTTGTCGTACATGTACTCACTTCTTTTTCTGCAGAGGAGATGCATGCTACCCCTCTTCTCTGGTGTTTTTGTTCCGAAGTTACGGGGGCGTCGCGCACACGCACATGCATTCTCCGATCATACTCCGACTACACCGGTTACATGGTGGAGAAAATCGAATTCCAATCGCATTATCTGGGTGTCTTAATCGGAGTTCTCAAACTCTGATTATAGTCAGACTAAAGTGTTACATGTACTTCAGTTGTCCGGTCTTAATCGGAATAAGGCGATAATTTTGTTTTCTAGAGTGTCATGTAAACGTACTGACTGATTCTTCTGTTTTATGATACTACCACAATAAACAAGTATGAATCTGCAAAAGTGTAATTTTACACAACTGTTTGACATTCTACTTTTGATATAAAACTAGTTATAAATCAAAGACGTAAAAGATTTTCTTTAGTTTTGGGAGGCATAAAAACAGGCTTCATGTCTGTCTTTTAACGAGAGCCAATTACAAAGCTTTCACACCTTCACTTTGGCAGCTTAAAGTGCATCTCTTTGAACAGAGACGGCGCTCAAACAAGCCTGAATATGACACTTAATGCCTCTACATTTCCCCGTCCCTTCTGAATCACTGATCTAAATAATTGTCGGGGAATCAGACTCGTTTACATATTGAGAGTATTATCTCAGGAACATGGCGAGAAAAATGCAAAAACAACAAGATACGTGGGCGACGATCTCGTCTGAAAGCCATCCTTCTGTCTCTCACATGCATAATAACGACCGATTCTCTTCATGTACAAAATAGAGCCGCAGTGAAGTGATCTGAACTTGTGAATAATGATGAGGAAGTGATACGACGGGGAGGAATAAATCGGATCATCGGGATACAGGATGCAAACAGCAGCCTTGTGTGGCAACTCTGACCGTCTGTCTCTGAATCAACAGATTTCTGCGCAGGGTTTGGGAAGGTACAGCTTTCCCGGTTATACGAAACCGATCAGAAATAGACCACAGTTAAAAAAGTCAAAACAGGAAAATTTTCAATCAGCTTTAAATCGATAATAATCAGTTTAGCGGACTTCACATATGTCCCCCAGCAGCTGTAATCAGATCCACTCTACAGTCCTGGAAATTTCTGGAAGTTTTTCTCAAGTTTTCTTGAAATTTTCAGGGTTCGTTTCAAGAGTAAATGCAAGTTGATAAGTTTCGACTCTGACTTAACCCTGACTTTTTTCCCCCCAGGCTCTTGATCCCAAAAATGTTTGAGATTAGCCAAATTGTGACTTGATCTCCGTATGTGTGTGATTACGCATTTCAACAGTTGGCCAAACTCCAATTCAAATGATGATTGAGTCAGGTCTCAGTTGATTTTGTTTATTTATCGCTTGTTGAATTCAGAGTGAAAACTATAGCACAGAGAAATAAAGCTCAGATCAACAAGGTGCTGCAAACAACTTCTAATAGACGGGATTCTTGTGTACAAACAATACGAGGTGCGCGCAACCAGGAGGCAAAAGCCTGTTTCGAAGTGAAGTGATATCAGTGAAGATGCCGTTTTGTTTGCAAGTTCTCCCTGAAACAATTGCGATGAAATGCTGTTTCAACGAAAAATCACTTTGTCTTTCACTGCATCAAAGTCAGAAAAACACTTGCTGAAAAATCCATGAATTTCACTCAATTTACCAGGTTGTGACGTTGGTTTAGGAGCAGGGTCGTAATGTTTGCCGATTGTTTGTTTTGCCGATTCGTGCAGCTTACAGCACAACATCTCCTTGTCATTTTCTTTCTCCATTAACAAGTAAGAAATGTCCCTCTTTCTGCCCCCTGGCTGCGTTAACGTTGCACAGAAACCCGTCTATAAAAAATACTAAATTTACTTGTAATACAAACGAAGCATCGGTGCTAAGCTAAATGCTAATAGTAGTTGCTAATGCTAATTGCTAATGCTAAGCGCTAAGCTGCATGCTAAATCACGTGCTAATGCTAAGAGCTAAGTTAAGGTACTGGCTAAACCAAACTTCATACTGCAATCGGCAAATCAGCTTAGCTTTAGGCTACATTCTAGGTTAAGCACCAGGATAAACTAAACTAAATATTTAAACAAGCAAGTAAAAATATACATGTTCTAACATCATAATCTGCTAAAAAACCAAGGACCAGCAACCTTTCAATCACAAATAACAAAACTCACAGCTGATGATTTCATTAGCGACACAAGAAAGTTTGCAGTCGGGCGTCTGCGGGAGCTGGCACATGTGTGTAGTCGGCTGAAGACGAAGGGAAGAACCTCCAACTTCCTGGTCCTGTTATAGAGTTCACACTTCCTGGTTTTCCTTCAGTGATTGTACTTCCTGTGTTAGTTTTGCAGGCCAACAGGTGGAGCCATAGTTACTCAAAAGCGCATTAAACCAAACAAAACAGTCAGATAAGTCAAACTTTATTGAACTCATTCAGTAACTCTGCGAGGCTACGGTAGCTGCAGTGCTCCGACAAGCCAAAAGGATTTTAAGTGCGAAAAATACGGTACAACTATTTGGTGGAAACAAAACTTAAAACCACAACTAGCAGAATGATCAAGGGCCTGTGACCACTGTTTGCATTTTTATCCTGGAAGGGCCTATAACCTCAGTTTCAGAGAGCTGTCACCAAAGTTAAAGTTTTTTTTACAGAGCTCTTTGTTTAGAGTGCTAAAGGAGTACTATGGTAACTTCATTGGTTTCATTCAAAAATAGAACAAAAAATTTGTGTGATCAAAGTCTTCATATTAGCCTGAAAAATGCTTGTTTTAACTAAACCATAGCTTTTCATTTAAGGTTTTTTTAGCAGGTTGTAAATTGTCCAGACTCACATAGTTCACTTCTGTGTACAAACATCTTAAAATACGCTCCTAAAACTCCAAATGTTATGTTTGTGATGGTTTAATTGCAGCCATTACAGACTTGAGTACACACTTTATAAAGTTCAGACATGTTCACAGTTTGATTCAGGTCGTTTCTTCTTTTTCATGAATAAAAGCTGTGTTTATAGGTTTCATTTTTTCTGTTATATATTTATCGTCGGTTTGGGTCCTGACATTAACTGCTCTGTCTCAGTTCAATCAATACTGAATTATCCATAAATGACTCTAAAAGAGGCTTTTAAAGTCTTCAAAGATCCTCTTGTTGTACACTGGCATATTTTACTCCAAAGTAAGGTCGTAAAACGGCGAGGAGAGAAGAGTGAAGCTGAGGAAACAGGAGAATAAAGTGGGATCCTTATCTCCGGACCTGAACCCACTGATAGCCGAAATAAATAACAGAAGGTGGACTTCTCCTGAATCTACTTAAGGAAATCTCCGCCCTGTAAGCTATTTATTTTCACTGCCCCCTGATGGGCGAATTAACCCTCCATGTCGGTATTAAAAGTCTGTGAATCATCATTGTTCAGATTGTGGAGAGGAGTTTGTTCATGCTTCGGTCTTTATGAGATTTATCATTTTTGAAATGCATTAGACTACGGTGGTCAACTTTATCATAAATGTACAAACTAACAAGAAAAGTCGTATCAAGTTATTTCACATAATGCTGAATATGTTAGCCACGATATTTGTCTTTGATTCCAACTTCCTGGTCATGAGGGACAAACGACTTCCAACCAAGACTTTCCTTTTTGTGTCCTACATTGTTTTAAGTCCAGTCAGCAACTTTAGAAGCAACCGAGAGTTCAGACCGAAAGAAAAGTGACATTTTTTGTGTCCACTTCTGGTGAGTCTCAGTTTCACTGTTGGGAGTACGTTACCATAGCAATGGTTTCTAATGAAAGGAGGACAGAATATTAATAGATCTGTCTGCAGGGTAAATGCTGCCATTTTTAATTCATTTCATTCTTCAAATCGGTGCAAGTTTAACAATTCTGGTGAGTCTCAGCTTCACTGTTAAAACAGGTCACCCAGTGACAGTGTTCAGATAAAAATGAAGCAAAATTTGACCCTTGAGATTTCTGCAAATTTACCGCTGTCATTTCTTGGTTCATTGTCTCTCCCAGAGGAGCCCATGTCTGTTGATGGTGAGTCCCAGTTTCACTGTAAATAATAAACAACACAGTAGCTGTGTTTTCTGATCAATAGAGAATAGATTTTTTCTCCCTCTAGACAGCTTAGCAAAAACAAACATTATTTCTGGATTCATTGCATTCCTTTGGAGGGGTGCCTGTTTATCTATTTCTGATGAGTCCTCGTTTCACAGTAGATAATTAGCAAGACAGTAATATGATGTTCAGATCAAAAGAGAAAAATTCTCCCCTTTAGTTTGCCTGCACAGTGATCACTGTCACTTCTTTGTTTATTACGTCCTCCTGAGCGCATGTTCATCTGTTTTGATGAGTCTCAGTTTCACTGTAAATAGTGAGTCACACAGAGGTTTCACTCTGGCGTATTTCATCGTCATTAATCCAGACCTGTCTGCAGAGCTGTCATTCCTTGGTTCATCACATATCTCAGAGGGGTCGATCTGTTTCTGTTGAGTCTCAGTTTCACTGTTAAAAGCAAATTACACAGTGATTGTGTATCAAATCCTTTTGGATATTACTGCAAAGTGATCGCTGTCATTTCTTGGTTCCTTACATTCCCTAGAGGATTACTTGTTATCTGTTCCCGGTGAGTCTCAGCTTCACAGTTAACAGTCTTAATTTTGTGACTCCCTTTGCTTTTTCTCACCATACAGACTATTTTTGTTTATAACCGTTTGATCAGTAAAACTCAGACTACAAACTGGAGCACTAAATCATCTCATAGTTTCATATAGGATGTGTAAATTGATTTCAGGAGGTAGAGGTATAAAAATGATCTGTACTTCTGTTTCCCTCTGAGTGTTTTCATCTTGGATATTAGACTTTCAGCTCTGAGAGGTGCAGTTGAAAGTGGGTTTTGAAAAGCCAAATTAGAGAGAAAGCACTGAGTGAGGGACTCTGATCAAACCAGTGAAATCCATTAATAACTTATGATCTTCATATCTGTGGAGGGTCATTAAAAACCGTCTTTCTCCCCTCTTTAAACCCAGAGTTTGAAACACTGTCAGGACGTATGTTTTACCTTTAACAGCAAGACCTGTAAAAAAGAAAGGGGCGACACTCAGGTGTCTTATTATAACAACAGGACTGAGTGTCGGAGTTTCTACTTCAGCACTGAGAGGAAAACGTTCTGAACAGACATCCCGAGCTTTGGGTTTCATCACATCCTGTCATACAACTTTCATCAAAAACATCATATTTAATCCCTTATAAAGACAGTTGATGAAACTCTCAGACACACAGTGAGAGCGTCCCTCTGTGAAGTCATAACTGTCGATGCAATCGTCTAGTTTTAACGGAGTAAGTGGGTTATTCTTCAAAATGTTTCATCAAAGCGGAGATGAAAACGCCTTCATTAAAAACTTCTTTAAAAGCAGAGATAAAAGGGAGAAGTTGGACACTAATTGTTGGTGAGACATTTTTCTGCAGTTCCTTAATACGGTGAGAGTAATCCTTTAAAGCAGGAAGACTGTCCTCACCTACTTTAAAACCTTCAGAAGAACAGCACCACAGTTATACTCAACCCAAGAGTCTGTCAGCTACAGTGGATTTTTCCCGTCGATCTCAAGTTGTCCTACTAAAAACAAAGAATCTTAAGTGTACCTTAAAAACAGAAGAAAGAGGACAGACCACCTTAAGATCCCTGGAAAAGACAGTTAACGGTTTCTTGAAGACTGATTTTTAAGATGTTCTTTAAGTGGTTTTAAATGTCACCGTAAAACAGATATATAAATCTATTTTTTGGATCTAAAGCTGGACAGGACCTGTCTGTATAAATTTTAAGGCCTTTAAAGGATAAAAATGGAACCTTGAAACACATAATGTGGATCAGAATAGAGATAACAGACTTCAAATGAAAACTAACATCGATTTGGCCAATACTACCCCGGGATAAATTGAACAATACTCATGTAGTTTATACTGTAATAAGCTTTACGAGCTCTTTAAAAACTCTTTATTTAAACTTTATTATACATTAAATAAGAATCAGTACTTTAAAGATAACGTTGTAACTAGAATGGGCCCAAATGACAATTTCACTATTTCTGTGTCTAAACTACAAATAACTGAGAGTACTGCTGAGTCTTTGAGGATCAGAACACTGTAAACTGTGACTGCTGCTACACACTTTTTTAACTTGGAATATTCTTGTTGTTATTTTGTGGTAACTATAATACATAAGGCTGTGAATACTCCATGAATAAAGAAGGAGCAGACTTGAACATTTCAGGCACAGGCGTCTGCAGAGGTGTTTCTTGTAAAGGGTCGCCCCCTTGTGGATTCTGAGGGTAATATAATTATTTACATTTAGAGGGGATGAGTCGGCTTTCAGCACTGAAACTGGACATGAAAGCTTTGCAGTAAATGTGCATTACACAATGTTTTACTCTGATCTTTTATTCAAACAACAGAGTGTCGAACTATTAATCCACATTTCTTTTTAAAACATCGTGTTTTAGCAGACTTTTGAAGAGTTTAGACTGTATATGTTTGACGGTCATCCTCTGAGACTTAATATTGACCACTAAATATGCTTGTTGTTGTCCCTGACAGACTCAGATTGCAAACAACACAATTGCTACAGTCCCCTTAAATGCCCACCAGACTCCATTAACAAAAACAGTAATTTTACCTCCTAAGGCAGAAGTAGATACGAGTGGAGAGCTGCCTTAGTTAGTTAATTTAATCTAAAATCTGTGTGACTTCAGGAAGTTTAAACAGTAAGTTTTGATCCAACAAAACAATTCTGTAATACAAACAACTCCCCCAAAAATGAACTAATCAAGGCAAGGGTCAATTAGCAATCCCAGGGCCCTGTGAGGTAAAATTGTAATTTTTTTCAATGGAGTTTGGTGTCTTCAGAGAAAGTGAAAGCTGATTTATGCTTGAAAATAAACCTCCTCTTCACTGACACAAAGGTGTATTAGTGTGATAATCTTGTCTGGGATTTTGTCGGATATAAAACATATTCGCTTGAGGCAGTCAGTGACAAAAACAAGAACTTTTAGTGGTGCTGTTACATCCTGTTCCTCTGCTGGGTTATGGCGTTATACCACAAGCTTTTGTGATAAATCTTTTAACTTGTAAAAACAGGGCCCTGTCTTTTAAACACTACAATAATCTATAAGTTTTGATCCCTGAGTTCCTTTTTTTTTGCAGAAATCAAATATCTTTTAGCTTTTGCTATCTTACAAAAGGGAAGGGTAAAGGCTCTCCCCTTTTATTATTGGACTGTATGTGAAGAATCTGGCATGTGGAGATGAGCTGATAGTAAAGCTGTGTTTCATTCTTTCCGACAACAGAGACACACCCCAGAGTCTAAAATCAATATTGTGGTTGTGGGCAGGGTGAGAGGAGCTCGCTGCTCCTGTCGAACATCAGAGGAACAGGTGGGAGCTTTCCACTGAGGGTCTTACCCCCGGGATCATCCCTCCGTTCTAATCCTTCAGCTTCTATTAAAAAAACAGCTCATTCAAAATAAAACTCAGTATATGTTCAGCTGTAATTTATTTGTTAAAAGCCAGTGTTGAACTATATAAAATCAAACTACAGAGCTTATTCTATCTGTAATATATTAGTTTTGGGTGTTTAAAATACTGTATCATCTGCATATCTTTGAACAAAAACATTCAAAGCAGATTTAGGGGAGGTCATTAACAAAAATAGAGAAAAAAAGTGGGCCCAGAACTCAACCCTGAGGCACGCCAGCGTGTTGTACTCTTGTTTGTGTTCGTTCTTCAAGCACTGTTAGTGTAAAATATCTAACCCAGCCCAGGTAAGCCATTTACATGAATCCTGGTAAATATTAGCGGTGGTGGTGGGGTCGTAGTGATTAAACAAAAGGCTGAGAAACCACCCACACAACAAAAAGAAGAATAAATCCCTGCTGACAGAGGTGCCTCATACCCCTGGAGGCAACTAGGACTCAGTTGGGAACATTTTAGAATTTAATTGGAATATATTGAGGGTATTTTCTATTTGCTGTTAAGACTGAGAATGATTTTATACACCTAAATTTACTATATTCCAGTTATAAGTTGAAAACAAACAATATTTTATGACTAAAAGTGATGCAACAAGTCTACGGAAAAATCTTACAAGCAATACTATGAGTGTGAATTGTTGAATCATACGACTTCAGGGGTTTTCCAGGTGACATATCCAGTGGGCATCTTGCAAATGACAACTCCTGAGATCAAACGAATTCACCGTAATTTGGTATTTTATCAAAACCTGGGCTCGAAGTAAGGGAGATGAATGCAGAGAAGAATCCCATCAAGGTGAGCCAGTCCTCAGTTTAAACATTTCCAAACTTACAGGCCCAACGCAGACAACATAGACACAAAGTTTACAAATTTCGGCTAGGGACAGCGCTAATGTTTTTGCCATGGTGTCAACAGGCAGAAGTAAATGTTTGCAACTGAACTGACACTGACGATTCATGTCCCTAAAGTCACACAGTGATACAAACTAAATAGACTATCAAGAAAGTAGAAGACCAGGAGTTCAAGTGTTCTGTGAGTAAAAATCGCTGTTTTTCTCAATGGGGTTTGGTGGCCTTAAAGACAGACACCTCTTCTTAAATTAAAAGGTTGATCTATCTCTGTTGGGATCCTCTCTGCAGTGTTGTCAGACACTTATAATAGCAATCTGAGCCTCTGCCAGGGATTGTGTTGCAACTATCACGGCCTCTTACACCTCTGATGACTAAAGCGTTCAGATTTAAGCAATAAGAAAAGTTTTTTTGTACATATTAGTCATTCAGATCCAAAAGCAGGGCCCACGTACTTAAATAAAGTTGGCTCTACAATCTGAAAGAGAGTATAAACATGACATGTTGTTGGAGGAACTTGACAGCTGTTTGTTTTGTAGGAGGGTGTGATCGGAGAGCTGGGTGGCAGCTGTGTTTTTTGGATACATACGGGTGTAAGTTTCAGCTCAATGGGGTTTTATCTCAGCAGAGTCCGGAGCCTCTACCAGTTGATACAGAACAGGCACTGTTATCTCACTGTGGAGCACACAACCAGAGTATTTAAAACACTTTTAGAGGGAATTTAGGGACAAAGTTTCAGAAAAGATTAAAAAAACAGAAGTGGTGCTGACATTAAGTGGTGAAAATATCCTTTATTTAATTCCTGTGAAGAAGAGGCATAAAGTTAAGTTAATCTCTGAATGAAACATGATTTATTTTAATTATTCACACCCAGCTTAAGCAATATTTCATGACATAAAGGCACAAATTCCCAGCTACAGGCAGCCATCTATTCACTTTTTTAAGAGTAAAGTTGATTGAATTCCAATCGCCCTCAAACTAATCCTTCTCCTCCTCCTCTCTTTCCCACAGACCTGGACACCTTCATCTCCGTCACATGCTCACAAAGCTCAGTCACATGTTCTGCTCTGCTGTCCTCCTTCACATCATCTGCTTCAGATCCTCCAGTGATGCCTTTAAGTGCTCCTCACAAAAAAAACGTCCTCGGAATTTCTATGAAAAGAAGTTTTAAAAAAGGGGGGGCAGAAAATGCGAAAAAGTAAAATAAAAAAATAAAATAGAATAAAGAAATTAAAAAAAGAAAACAGTGAAAAGTAAAAAATGGAATTTAAAGAGAAAATAGATAAGATAAAATAAAGGGGCTGATCAAAAAGGGAAAAAAAACACAAATAAGGAAAAGAAACAAGAAAAGCAAAATTGAAAGGAAACTTTAAAAAGAAACAGATAAAAAGAGAAGAAAAAAAAACAGAGAAAGTAGATACAGGAAACAAGAAATAAAAAACAAAATTATAAAAATGGAAAATAAAAGACAGAAATAAACAAGTCAAATGAAATTTTAGAAAAGGGGACAGAAAATGCAAAAAGTAAAATAAAAAAAAAGAAATTAAAAGAAATAAATAAAAGAAAATAAAACAGTAAAAAAGGAAAAATGAAATTAAAAAGAAAAAAGGTAAGGGGAAATAAAAAAGGTGATCAAAAAGTAAAAAAAAAAACAAATAAGGAAAAGAAACAAGACAAGCTAAATTAAAAAGAAATTTAAAAAAGAAATAGATAAAAAGAGAAGACGAAAAAATAGAAAGTAGATACAGGAAACAAGAAATAAAATGCCTGATTTATAAAACTTGAAAAGGAAAGACAGAAACCTAAACAAATAAAGTGAAATAAAGAATGAACAAAAAGTTAAGGACAATGGAAAAAAGAAAAAAGGTAGAAAAAAATCTGAGAAAAAAGAAACAAAAAGCAAAAGAAATTCTAAAATTCTAAAAAAAAAAAAATAATGAAGAAATAAATAAATAAATAAAAAAACACTAGGGACACAAAAAAGCAAAACAAAGGAAAGAAAAAGAGAAAATTGAAAAGAAAAAAAAAACAAATAAAGCAAATTCATTTGTAAAAAGTCAATGAAAAAGAGGGAAAAGAAAATAGCCAAAAATAAAAGCAGCAGAAAAGGGGAGGAAGAAAAAAAAAGGACACCATGAAAAAAGTCAATTCTTCCTTTTTTGTGTTAATATGTATAATAAAGTGCTAAACGTTTCTGATTTACAGGGGGAAAAAAACTACATTTCACCTCCTCCTTTAGTCCTCGGAGCGCCAATCAGATACCCAGAAGTCACTGAACGCATCACCAACCACATCCTCTATCCTCATCACCACCGCCGGACACTGGAAGGACCAAACGACACCCTGAAGCCATCACGCATCAACCTGAGAGGATTTAACGCAGCACTTACCTTCACCGTAAGTTATTTCCACACATTTTCCCCGTGTTTATAGCTCATTTCGTGTCGACCGGAGCCCGGTGGATATGAGGCATGTCTGCTCCACACGGCGGCGGCAGCGGCACGATTCAGTTTCCGGGTTTGCCGTCTTTGTGCACACGGCACCGGGCTGGTGCAGAGCGCAGAGAACCAACGTGTTACTGTTTACTTCCAGTGTGAGTGTGTCTTTCTGGTCAAACACGCTCGGTTGGTCTTACTGAGGGGAAAGGATTTTTATGATTTCTTGGCTTTTTTTCACCGATCGAGGCTCGGCGGCAGTACGAGGCCCGAACCCGGCCCGCAGCCACCTGGCAGATGCCCTCTGCCAGCATCCTGCATTAGATACATGATAAAACCCCGCTAGCACAGTGGCTAACCTGCTAATTCGCGGTTTTAAACTGAAGAGGTGAGACTATTTAATCATTAATGAACACTGACTGTTATAAACCGGACATTTGCTGTGGTTTTTACCGAAAAGGATGAGCTGTTTGTCCGGTTGAGCCCGGCGTGTTCCGCGTGCCAACTTGGCTTCAGATGGATGAGCCGAGCACCAAACCTCGTTCAAGAAATCATCAAAACAAGTTTCTTTTGCTACTGCCGGAGGATTTACAATCTAAAATTCAAAGAATCTTTGTAAACTGAAAGATCACAAGATGAAATTCGATTCGGCTCCACGTTTAAAAACAAGCTCTTCTTTTTTTACTGTTAAATTTAGCCTATTAACTTTTTCCATCCGTGCTTTGACGAAATCGCCGTGGGTTGTGGCTTCACTTAAGCGGGCTGTTCAGCGAAAGGGATCTTGTGCGTAAGTTACACGCTCTAATTCTTCTTAATTGTTAAACCATAATCACTGTAAAGAGCATTATAATCAATTCTACTGACATGTTTCTTTTTATAATATTAACTAGGAACTACTGTTCATTTCCAACGTGTATAATTTCAGATACGGGTTAGGTTACATTCAGGTGAAGCAGAAGTACACTTACGACACTTTTGTATGACTTTCAGGAACTTAAATATGATGCAATGATACTACCATAGACTGTGTATGGAATATTATATTCAGTCTATGGATACTACTTCATCATTTACAATAGAATTTATTCCAAGAAAAGTTATGGCATACACTTGGAAACGTATATTGTTAAGTATTAAGGAGACCTGGTATTGAAAATAAAAGCACAAACGTGTTAATGTGGAGGTGTACAACATGCAATTTATTTATGTTTATTTGTGATGTTATGTTAGTTAAATCTCTAAAGTTGAAATATGAAAACTTATAAAATCTTTGCCTTCAGATATGTTAGAAAACTAATGTAACAGGGATTATGATTCTTTATGTATTTAATGACGCAATATTACAACTTTTTCATTTACAATAGAATTTATTCCAAGAAAAATTATGACATACACTTGAAAAAATGTATTTTGAAATATTAAGGAAACTGTATATCCAAAAAAAGCACAAGTGTGTTAATATGGAGGTGTACAAGATTCAATTTTATTTATATTTTTAATGTTATTATAGTATTTAAGTTCCCTATAGTTTATTTATGAAAACTTTTATAAAATCTTTGCCATCAGATATGTTAGAAAAGGTTCAAGAAAACTAATGTAACAGGAATTATGAATCTTTATGTATTTAAATATAGACTTTTTTGTTTTATGAATATTATTGGTGTGTTTAAAAACAATATTTTAATATATATACAGTGTCCTTTTAAAAAGTGATTAATCAACTGTTTTAAGTCTGTTTTTGGTTGTTCTAACCTCATAATAGCATGTTTGTTTTGTCTTACAGTGAAGCCAAAATAGAGGATTTATTAAGGAGAAGAACATTAATTATTTTAGTTACTTTGGAGCAGAAATGATTGGGCTTTTAAGATTTTAAAACTGAGAAGAATAGAAATGTTTTCCCAGTTTAAACGGCTTAAACGATCACTGTTTTACGGTTAATTATTTTGGCTGTTATCTTTTCAAATTTCACTTTATTTTCTATCTCCTGTCACTGAAAATAAGCTTTGGCTGATATTCTGACTTGTCGTCTCTTTGTTTCTGTTTCTCAACCTTCTCGCTTCCCTGGCAGAGATAATGGCTGAGAGGTCGAGTCGAGCCGTCACGGCTGTGATGTTTCTCCTAGCCGTGAGTTTGTCTGGCGGTTACGGGTCCACAGGCGCGGACTGCAGCCTGTCCACCACAGAGACACACAGCGCGGTGCGTTTACTGTCGGCTGTGGTCGACTCCCAGAAAGCTGAGCAGAGCCAGAGACAACACCTGGAGGCGCTGTTTAACAGGTGAGCTCCCAGAGTTTCAGTTTGGTAAAAACATTCATCTTTTAACCTTAAAATTGCTCAAAGATTCAACTTTAAAATCATTTATCGTAGTTACCAATCATGAGTCCGGCTCTTTGGTTGACTTTACCGACATCAAACTGATTCATAGTCTGATGTGACGTTTCGTTTAATTTCTCAGGTACGGAGAAAACGGCTCCATCTCTCTGGCCGGTTTGAAGCGTCTCTTACAGAACGTGGGTCTGGCTCGCATCAGAACTGTCATGGTGCAACACCACGAGCAACCAGGCCACCATCATCATCACCATCACCACCATCATCACCACCAGCATGACAGCAAGCTGGCGGTGCTGGACGTCGGCCCTACGGTGGCACACGGCGCCCAGCTGGTGGTGAAACCAGACGACAACAACAGACAGAACAGCTCAGAGCAGCCTGGAGAGGAGGAGGAGGAGACCGCCAGACTGACCGCTGCTGGACTGATCTCTGAAAACCAGACGCGGGTTGCAAGAGCAGTCAACCCGAGGGGAAATCTGCACGAGCATGAGGAGCTCCCAACCAACCGAAGCAGGGACGGTGCAGAGGTAAAAGCTATACAAAGCTGTATGATATGATCGTTTACAATACAGTTTCATGTTATAACATACAGTCACAACTTTGTCCTCTTCTGTGTCTCAGTGTCTGAACGCCTCCAACATCTTGTCCGCACATGGGATGTCCACAGAGGGGGGTGTGACCCTCGGCGACTTCAGCCTCCTCTGCCCCGCCCTCCTCAACCAGATCGACGGTGAAGCGTGCATCCTGCACTTAGACGCTGCAGAACCCAAAGAGAGAGGTAGGACACAAAGAGAAAATTACTTGAGTAATTTTTCAATAAATCACTCAGACCAGGAGCAATTTTATCAGAACAAAACTGATTTAATCTCTCTCCATCCCAAGACCACAAGCATGCTCACGGTCACCATGACCACGACCACGTGGACCGTGACTTCAGCGAGCGCTCTGGTGGGGACAGCAGCAAAAGCATCACAATAGGTACGATCAAAAATGTCGACTGTAGTTTCAGATTCACTCGACTATTGTAAGTTGCAGGTAAAAGCAGATTCAGGTAGTTGAAACGTTTAATCTGTTTGTTCCAGCGTGGGTCGGCGGTTTCATCTCCATCTCCATCATCAGCCTGCTGTCGCTGCTCGGCGTCGTCCTCATCCCGCTCATGAACAGAGTTTTCTTCAAGTTCCTCCTCAGCTTCCTGGTGGCGCTGGCCGTCGGCACGCTGAGCGGAGACGCCTTCCTTCATCTCATTCCTCATGTGAGTCAGCGACACGACAGACGTTCAAGTTCCCTAGAAGTCTGGGGAAATTTATGTTGTCCTCCAGTGTGAGCTCATCAGACGAGTCGAATCGGGAGTTCTTCTAAAGACACGATGAATCATTGACCATTTTTTACCTCGACCAAAATGAATCAAGATCCTGACGTAGTTTCTGCTGCTGAACCTGCAACAGCTGGTTAAAAAAAGGAGGCTAATAAAATGTGTAACTCTCAGTGACTTATTAAGTTCAGGTGGTTGTGAAATTAGTAACTGAGTCAGCAGAACAAGGTCTGTAGTTGGCAGTAGAGGTGAAACCACAGGATGCAGCGCATGTCTAAAATCAAAACAAACATGCACGGATGAGAAACGTGAAGGAGGGAGCTGTTATTTTAACAGATGTGGGTTTTTTAGTCTCAGGGAGGACACCATCACCACCACGAGGAGTCTGCGCTGAACATCTCTGATGGACATCATCACGTCCATGAGGAGCAGGGGGAAAACCTGGACGCCGTGTGGAAGGGTCTGACGGCTCTGAGTGGAGTTTACTTCATGTTTCTCATCGAACACTTCCTGACGCTTGGCAAGATGTACAAGGACAAGAAACAGAAGGTCAAACACTTTTAATTCTTAATCGGATTTCAGACTTTTAAAAGATTTTAAAAGAGAGTCGGTTTAATCGTTAGCTGGCGGGTATTTATTTGTTGTCCTAATAGGTCCAAAAAAAGTGGGATCAGAAGGATAAAGCAGATCCAGAGAAGCAGCCCGCTCTGGAAGAACACGACCTGAAACCAACTGAAGGTGAGGCAAGACTGCAGGTTTGATAGGCCTCTAGGATCAGCTCATAAAGTAGAGTGTCGTCAGCATAAAAAGAGAGATACCTGGTATCATTTAGCCCGAATAAAAGACAGAAGGTTTAAGACAAAAGGGGCCGAGAATCGAGCCCTGAGGGACACCAAAACTCAGCTGCTCAACTAGAAGAGGATGATGCCGGTCAGTGATTTCAGGGTTTTCCATCCTCCCCCAGATGTGGAGACGAACGGTGCCGGTTTATTCGGCGACCACTCAACCGGTCTCCACAGCAGCAGCGTGGCGGAGGAAGAGCAGGTGATGCTGGCGCCGCAGGTGGCCATCGTCTCCCCATCGGGGGATGCCGCCTACACCGCCGAGGACTGCGAGAACAAATGCCACTCCCACTTCCACGACACGGTGGGCCAGGCTGACAGTATGCACCACCATCACCACGACTACCACCACATCCTGCACCATCACCACTCCCAGAACCACCACCCGCACAGCCACTCCCACTCCTACTCAGAGCAGCACTTCCAGGAGGCCGGTGTGGCCACGCTCGCCTGGATGGTGATCATGGGAGACGGGCTGCACAACTTCAGCGACGGCTTGGCAATCGGTGAGTCACTTCACGCTAATATACGCCAAGATGCTAAAGTGGACCCACGTTTTAACAGAAATATGTCCGTCCAAGGATTTTTCTCATATGTACTGGGAGGCTCCAACATGTAGTGTACTTTACAGTGAGATAATTGTATCAGCTGGTAGAGGCTCCAGACTCAGCTGAGATAAAACCCCCTCAGAGCCGAAAACTGAACCCACATGTATCGAGAAAACAGCTGCCTCCCAGCCCTCCAATCACACCCTCCTACAAAATAAACAACTCTTAGGTTTTTCTACCAACGTGTCATGTTTGTGTTTTATTTTGGGTTAGATAACAAGCTCCATACTTTGGAGTATTTAAACCTGGAGTCTAACTTGAACACGTGGAAAGATTGTCGACAGTGTAGTCCGATGGGTTTCCTCAGAGTGATGAGACAATTGTTCCCGTCTACAACAGAAAGCTCTGAAGGGGATCATCTCTGTGATTTTGTCAGTCACTTGGAATAATGATCTGAGGTTTTTATTTTTGTTAAAGGGGTGACGTCGCCTCTGAGAACACAAAGAGGCCGTTTTTCTCTGTAGGACGCCACAGTTCCCGCCTTGTTCGTTCAGTTTGGGTCCAGATCTGTAAAACACACTTTAACAGGAGATTAATCGCCTCATACACCGCACAGATCTGCCGTGGGGTTAGGAAGCTGGATAATTAGACAGAAGGGAGAAGCGCTCACAGCTCAGCAGCCACAGTAACCTTGACTGTGAAGTTTTGTGTTGGAAACAGGAGGTAGAAAGGACTCTTTGTTGTGGTGATACTCAGTCTCCTCAAAGTACCGTTTTCAAGGCAAACAGAGAGAGAGATGGAGGACAGAATGTGGATATTAAAATACCAAACAAGAGCTCCAACAAAGATGGGAAGCATCACAAACCGACTTTCTCACCTGCGATTCAGAGTCACACACCAGCAACAACAAGCCTCTACACTAAAAAGATAAAACACATGATGATCATTATTAAAATGGTCGAGTTTAAGTTGAATTGGAGACACTCTAATCTGCTCTGCTGTCAGTACATGGATTGCAGGACATGAATTGAAGCTCTATTTTCTCTATCAGAGCTGCTCTCACTCTCTCCAGAACTGCTAGTCCTCTTTATGTGACTTTGTCGTTGCTGGTCTTCGATGTCATGAGGTTTTGCTGTTTTCTCTGCAGGCGCCGCCTTCACCGAGGGTCTGTCCAGCGGTCTCAGCACCTCCGTGGCGGTTTTCTGTCACGAGCTGCCCCACGAGTTAGGTACGTGTTTTTGATGAACAGCGGGTTTTGTTGAGTTATTTCAGTGTCACTAAAGTTGACTCCGTTTCCCAGGCGACTTTGCGGTTCTCCTCAAAGCTGGGATGACGGTACGCCAGGCCATCCTATATAACGTGCTGTCGGCCATGATGGCGTACCTGGGCATGGTGACGGGTATCTTGATCGGGCACTACGCAGAGAACATCTCCATGTGGATATTCGCCCTGACGGCGGGACTCTTCATGTATGTGGCCCTGGTGGACATGGTGAGTCAGTTTTACCCATCATGCACTTGAACACACTGGACAGACTGTATATTAGGGCTCAGACGATACGCTTTTCCCCCCGATTCAATTCTTCTACAATTTTTTGGATGCCGATTCGATTTAAATTGCGATTCTACGATATTGTCGATTTTCTCGGTTTTAACGGTGCGTTCGAGTTTCCTCGGAAGTCTGATGTCGGAGCTGAAAATGACATCACACCCAAGTTTCCAGGGTTTCAGTTACAAAGTCGGAAAAAGCAAAATATAAACATCACATCAGTTTTTAAGATTTATTCTTAAATTTGATTTTAAAAAAAATCGATTTTTAATCATAAAAATTGAGATAAAAATGTAAAAAAAAAATTGCAATACTTATTTGAATCTATTTTTTTCTACTGTATATCTGAACATCAAACATCTCTGATCAAACACCTATTTTTGTGCCCGGATTGTAAACCTTGTAGCAGGTGTAGAAATGACAGGAAACCCTCAATAGATCCCTAATAGGGTGAAGTTTTAAAGACTTTTTATCCCATAGAGATACACGATATAGTTCCTGAGAAACTGTAAATAATATTAATGGTGTCACGTGGGATCGTCTGCGATCCAGCGGAGTTCTTAGAAGAAAATTAAAGACGTAAATATTTAGGGAGGATTCAGAGTCAGGAGGACTGAACTTGACCTCACTCAGTCAGCTGGATCTGTCCTGTCCCCTCTCACTGGTGCTTCAGCGCGGCCTTCAGGACCAGATGGCCTCTTATCTCACGTGCGCACACACACACACAGACAGGTCACGTGACAGTTTCCGAAAAACAGAAGGAAGTGAGCCGTCAAAAACTGCTGCTGTCTGAGAATAAACAGGAAACCTTTAAAACGTCCAGTGCTGCCCCTCGGTGGCCACAGCCCTGCACTGCACCCTAAAATCAGTGGTTGGGTCGATTTAAAAAGTGTGATACTCTCTCTCTCTGCAGGTGCCTGAGATGTTACACAACAACGCCGGGGACCACGGCTTCAGCCACTGCGGCTTCTTCCTGCTCCAGAACGCCGGCATCCTGCTGGGCTTCTGCATCATGCTGCTAATCGCCATATTTGAGCACAAGATCCAGCTGGACCTGGGCTACTGAGGGAGCGTGCAACCCTCGTCCATCTGTGCGTTATAGCTTCTCCGTCAGAGATGTAGTAGTGTGTTTTTTAGTTCGTCGTCGGTCCGCTCATGCTGACTTAGTTAGGTTTTTTTTTTCACATGAAAGAAAGTTCGAACGCCGCGTCTGTCTCTCTTTGTTACGATGAAGATCCACTTCTCTGAGCTGCCGACGCTCAGGTTCCTGCTGCTCGAACTGAGGTTACAAAAAAGTTTCTTCCAAGGCTGCCGTCTTATTATTTAAAGTCATGAACTAAAGTTAAAAAGAAACGGAGTCTAATGAAAACAAAATGAACCAATCCTTAGAATTTGAACAAAAGCACTGTGCTGTTTCCACCCCCACTGTTACCTTCATATCTGACTCTTTCTTTAGTCGATAAGGTCACAGTTTGTCTGTCTTTATTTAATTATTGCTGCTGAGAAAAACCAGATCAGTATTCCACAAACCCTAAGTGCCATTGCATTTAGCACCAAAGCAGACTGGTTGAAGTTCAGCCTGAACGACCACGATGGAAGAGGCCGTGACAGAAGATCGTGTTACACTACTGATAACTGTGTTCACTGTTTCGTGTTTGACGTGTGTGGGGGGGGGATACTCAAAAATGTCTTAAAAACGACTCTTAAACTGCTGTAAGTGGTTTTTAGGCAAGTTTACTTTAATTCAACAGAGATGGAAACTAAAATGTGATAAAAGGCGTACTGACTTGGACTTAAACTTCCTGCAAAAACGCGGAGTGTAAAGGGAAGATGTGATCTTTCCTGGTTTTTCACGCTGCTTTTCTTCTCTGGCCCTCCTCTTTAGGTTTATGTTACGGTCGTTTCGGAGCGGCTCATCTGCCCGTGGAAACAAATTTTAACTCTTAGCTAGCTGACCAAAAGTCGAACTGGAACTGGAAAGTAAAAAGTGGAAAGAGAGCAGAGGTGGGATCACCGAGTCTGCAGTTCTGCTGAGTGACGATAACGTTTGCTCAAATTTGACACTTGACTTCGTGTTTGCTTAAATATTCCAATTCTCTGCGATCAATTCAACATCCTTAGCTTTAACTTCTCGTGGTGACACAGTCTGGAAAAGCTTTGGATGATTCTGTGTCGACTAAAAGCTCTTATTTTCGTTGCTGCTTTTGTTCCCGTTTAACAATAACAGTTTATTTGTGCCAAATGCAGCGAAAAGACGTGAGTGAGGAGTCAACTAATGAACCCGGAGAGGTGAAAATGAGTTTATAAGAGGGACGCAGGCCTTGAGCTGTCATTATAGAATCAGTGTTACATGTAAACGCAGATTTGTTAAGTTATTTTTTTAGATCCGTCCAAGAAACGACCTGAAACTATGAAGGAAAGACGTTAAAGTCCTCCTGTCTGTATCTGTTACACTCCTAATGCTTTAAACGTTTGTTCAGACAGGAATCAGGGGCTCTCTCAACTGTCTTTGGATAGAAGAAATCTTTTTTATATCATTATTTTTTGTTAAATCTGAAAAAAAAATCTTCCAAATTTGTAAAAATGGAGCTCCAGTGTTAAGAAGAGGGACCTCTTCTGAAAGGTCAGACTTCATCTCAGACTGTGGGATGAAATAAACGAAGAAACTGAACAAAGAGAAAGAGTTTGGGGAGACGTTTGACTCCATCTTGTTTTGTGTCATTTCAGTCAGAAGTTAATGTGGCAGCTCAACTCGATCTTTGTTATATTCCTGCGGTTCAGATATCCAACTTCAGATGTTGGTCTGAATTGTTTTTTGTTTATTTTTTATCACTTTTTACTCTGTTTGGGTCAAAGAAAGAAAATTCCCTTCAGGAAACACAGAAAAGTCAAAACCTCACTGTGTATAATTTCTATGTAGGATAAGAAACTTCATGTATATATGTGTACACCGCTGTAGTTTATGTGTGTCATCAGTCTGGTTGTGAAGAGTGTGAGTCTGAGTTTCATGTTTTAAACAAACCAAAAGAATCTCATCACAGGAGACTAAGATTCAATTACTAAGAGAAACGCTAAATCAGAGACACCTTATTTTTACTGCAACGCATTACTGAACCAGAACAGCAGAGGGAAACTCTCAGCACTGTTCAGAGTATCACCGCTGGGTCAAAGCGGGTCAGATCCAAGTGGATTAAAAGGTTAAAGAGTTCTGGATGTTCGGTAAAAGTCAGATTTCTGAGTTCATTAATTCACAGAATCTGAGTTGAAGTTGTTGAGCCAACTTAAACAACTTTAAAAAAGCTTCTTTCATTGGAATTATGTCAGCACTGAGTGTCCTCTGCAGCTCAAACGACTTCTCATGAAATTCAAATTGTTGCACCTGAAACCAAAAACCAGTAAAATCCTCACCAACTCCAAAAAAAGCAGAATCAGTGATCATTAAAACGAACTGTCTGAGGTGTCTCTGCGATTTAGTCGACCTCTCCTGAATCTGTGCTGCAGCTGTACCGTCGACTCACTTTTGACATTCCTGAAAAATAAACTCATTCACATTCAGACGACACTTTCCCCGACTCCTGTTGTGTTTCGCTCACAGTCACAGTTTTTCCCGACACAATCAAAAAATAAAATATGTTTTTAAAATGGGACTCTATGGGGATTGATCCACTTTTGAGGCTAGCCTCTAGTGGACGGCTGAGGAACTGCAGCTTTTGGCGCTTAAAGGGATATTCTGGGGTAAAATTAATTTCGGGTCAAACACACCGTAACACAGAGTTAGACACTCCGTCAAGAGATGAATGTTGCCGACCGCTTGCTTCTCTAGTTATGCCAACTTAAGTAATGACCACAGGATAGCAATACAGAGCAGTCTGAGGAGCCATAAACAAACCTCAAACAAAACACCACTCTATAGCCACAAATAATGCTCATTTAGGGTCCCAGCCACCAAACATCTTTTTAACTTTGACTAATATTTTTAGCAAAGAGACTAAACACAACTTACCTACTCTCTTCCAGAGAGGTCGTCTTCATATCACTGAATGTGTGTGTATGTGCCAGTCACATGTTTTAATACAATCTTATTGATCCTATCAGCTGATTTTTATAGTGAGTGAATTTTTTCCTTTCACTTTCAGGATGACGTTATAAAGTCATAAATTCAGTCTAATCTGTTTTTAACCCAGCACACAAGATCACTTTAATATGATAGCCAAAGTCCAGATTGTTACCAGATAATGACAGTAAATCTGGAGTATCAACCTGCAGGTGTTTTACTTTGCGTATTCAGAACTAAGGGAACAGACTTCAGGTGAGGCTGCATGTTTACTCTGGCAGTTTTACTTAAATTCAGAGTTTTAAGGGAATTATTTTCACATGCTAGGTTCAGTTTCATGAAGGCGGTTAACTCCTTTCACTGTCAGCTGCATGTTTTCAGCATTTAGAGACTCAAATTAACCATCAAATCAAAGAGTGACAGTGAGCGGCGTTTGTTTAGGGTTTTATTTTTACAAGAAATAGCAATTTAGAAATTCTGGCGAAATCAGAAATTAGTGTTAAATATTAAAAAATTACATTACAAAGTGTTTGTTCTTCCCTGTTTTCTGAAACGAGTAAAAACTCTACACTTCACTGCTGTTAATTCGATCATACTGAGGAAGCTCTGACTGTTTTATCTCCTCTCGTTACTGCATCATTAGGCAACATTAAGTGATAAATGAGTTAATGTTTGTCGATCATAAAGTCAAATGAGGCCTTTAAATGCAATTACTGAGCAATTAACGTGTGGAGCTTTAGACTGAACTTTGCAGTGTTTTTATTGCAGGACTTTTAAAACCCAGCAGCAGAGTTTTGGAGTCACGGCTGTCAGCTGTTGGATCCTGAACCAGGTGACTCACAGAGGTTTGTAGTCATTCAGCCAAACATATCCACTCAGTGCTGAAGCATGAACTGTAATCGAGAAAATTACTTTGCATGGCTGTAGAGACTCGGTTTTAAATCAGTTTCCTGAAAAGCTCAATTACAAATACAGAGCTGGTGGCCAGTAATGGGAAATGTGCAAATTTTTGTCGTTTTCCTAGTATGAAAATCCCAAAGTAGTCACCTGCTGTTGTTGGAAATTAATTTTAGCAAAATTATAGCATGCATGCACTAAAAAGCACACCGTCATTGTGGGGTTAAAGGGATATTCCAGCGGAAAATTAGTTTAGGGTCAAACACATCATAACAGAGTTAGACACCCCATCAAGAGATGAATGTTGCCGACCGCTTGATTCTCTAGTTATACCAACTTTAGTAACAACCACACGATAGCAATACAGAGAGCCATGCTCTCAACGAAACACCACTCTATAGCCACAAATAATGTTCAGAACAGCACCTAACTTCATCAACAGTACATATAGCAAAGAGACTAAACACGACTCACCTACTCTCTTCCAGCAGCCGCTTGTTTGTAGCGAGACCTCGGCCAGTCCAATACGGACCACAGCGGGGTGACGCAGCTCAAGGAAGAACATTTCTGATCATTTCTTTATCATTTCCTTGAAGTAATAATCACCATATTAATCATTTTTCACTGCAGACGCGGTAGTTCTTCTGCTTTAGCGTCTCGGTCTGATTGTATTTCCATGAAGAAATGATCATAAATGTTCTTCCTTGAGCTGCGTCACCCCACTGTAGTCCGTAATGGACTGGCCTGAGTTCTCGCTACAAACAATCGGCTGCTAGAAGAGAGTAGGTGAGTTGTGTTTAGTCTCTTTGCTAAAGAAATTAGGCAAAGTTAAAAAGATGTTTTGTGTCTAGTACTATGGCTGTGACCCTATATGTCCTGTTGATGAAGTTAGGTGCTGTTCTGAGCATTATTTGTGGCTATAGAGTGGCGTTTTGGTTGAGGTTTGTTTATGGCTCCTCAGACCGCTGTGTATTGCTATCGTGCGGTCGTTTCTAAAGTTGGTATAACTAGAGAAGCAAGCGGCCGTCATCATCCATCTCTCAAGGGGGTGTCTAACTCTATGTTAAGGTGTCTTCGACCCTCAATGAATTTTACGCCAGAATATCCCGTTTACTTCAAAACTAACCTCTAATATTTAATTTCAGGCAAATTCAGACCCACTTAGTTGGAGAGGCACTCGCCAACAAGACAGATCTACTGCGACCACAAGGTGTCCACACGCCAAAAACCAAGAAGAGGTTCTTCGAAACTCTAGATGAAATGAAAACCAGGAACAAAACACCGTCCAAAAAGGCCCTTAGAAAAACACGGCACCCTGAAAGTTCAGCTGAAAATGTGCAAGAGCAGGTTAGAGTCAGTCCAGAGGAAGGCCAGAAGTCCCCGACACACAAACGTAAGATTATCTTTGAATCGTTTACCCAAGAGACCCTACAAGAGGTTTCTGGCCCTAGAAATTACATGAGCGTCTGCAAGAAGTGTGTCTTCAACTGTCACGGTCCCTGTCGAGTACCTGACGGCAGGGGTAAAAGAAAGTGCTGGGCAATGGAACCAACCGGGCACTGTACTGAGTGTCCGGGCAGATGCTACTGGACTGAACATGTCAACAGAAAGTACATTTGGGAGAGTGAGGAAATCCAGAAAACGTACAAAAACCTGAGAGAAAAATGAGTTCAGTCCCTGACAGATGAGAGAAAAATCAGCTGACTGATGTTTGTGTTTATGTTTGAATCCTAAATAACCTCATGTGCATAGATCAAAAGTATCATGCATGATTCTGTTTCACCAAGTTATAACCAAGTACGACTGTGTGATTATAATCCAGTGTAATCTACCAAAGCATGTTGTGATCTCAGGTTTTTCTTCTTCATTGGTGCTTGTTTTGCTTTTGTTGTAATTTAAAGTCACAGCTGATGTGAAGATTTTGATGTGTGTTAAACTATTTTCTATTGTCTTTGACTTTCTGATGATTAAAGAGACGATTAAACTGAGTAACTAACTCAATTCAACGGTGAATACAAATCCTCTGTGTTCAAATGTTTGAGTATTTAATGATGGGAATACAGCGCCATCTGCTGGATTTACTGCAGATTTGAGGAGAGCCAGTCTGTTATATCCAGTTCACACATAATTGCTGACGCTATTACATCAGAAGTGGCTGTGAGAAACATAATATTCTTGTTTTATTTCATATTAAACAGCGTGTTGGTGCCAAAAGTATGGTGGCCCTGAAGGTCAGCTGTACAAAAGTGATTGTTTGTGTCATTTATCATAGATAAATATAGAAGAAAGGCTATTTTTTGTGCTTGTATTCATCAGCTGTCTAACTTGACTAACAGGCTCGCTGTAAGTGATACCAAATACATATTACAAGGTTGACCCAGCAATTTTACGTCAGCTAAAGAGGCAAAAATAAAGCGATCTATGTTTATTTAAATGATACATGCGCCGTAGACTGGAATGTTACGAGTGGGCGAGCGTCCCGTAGCTAAATGGCGTGTGCGCAAGACAGAGAGTTTAGGACCAGCCAAAGCATTGTAGCATCAAATATTTAACAGCACCTTAAGAAAAAAATCAGTAACCTTCATTTTGGCCCTTTGTTAGTTAGCTTAAACTAAAGTACGATCATTAACCGTAAACGTCCTTAAACTCCTTCCCTTCAGTTGGATTTAAATCAACTGTTTTTAGGTCTAAAGGGGGTAAAATCTGGTGTTATGTAGAAATTTCTTTTAGAGTAATTAGGCATTATAATGATGAGAAACAGCATTTGAAAACTGTTGTTTTTCATAAATTTCCCGCCAACTTTACCCGTGTTGTGAAGTTTCAGAAGTGATGTACCCTCCATGACGGTAGGTGGCAGTGGCGTGCTTAATAGCTGTTTTACAACCGTGGACAACGCAAAGAAGGACAGAGTCCGGCGTTTCTCTGCACAAAAAAAATGGAATTTTCAGCTTGAAGAAAACGAATAAAACCCGAAACTTTAACGAAATCACTCGGATTCCTCCTCTGTCCGGTGGGAAAAACATCTTAATCTCTGAAACTGTCATTCTGCACGAAGGTCAGAGACTCAGCTTGAATGAAACTCATTTTTCTGCACACCTCCGACAGGTGACAACGACAGTTTACCACATTATAACCCATAAAAACACATAAACTATCATATCTACTGAAAATATTAAATTATCTACATTGTTGTCGAGGGGGAAATGCGACAAAACAATCGGTTAACGTGTTTTTCATTTGACATTGAAATGAAACAAAGTGTCCTGGCTTTAATATTACAATAATGTCTCAGCTGTTTTAGGATTTCTTTAAGTTTCACCTTCAACTAAGTTTGTAACAAAAAACAGAATCTTCACGGTTGATTTTCCACTAACCCTTCCACTGTAAATAATCTAATATAGTCATTTTAGCTGTAAAAAAACTGAAGCCTACCTTGTTTTTAGCAAGACCTCGGGCCAGTCCATTACGGACTACAGCGGGGTGACGCAGCACAGGGAAGAACATTTATGATCATTACTTTATCATTTCCTTGAAGTAATAATCATCATATTAATCATTTTTGCACTGCAGACGCGGTAGTTCTTCTGCCTCAGCGTCTCAGTCTGATTGTATTTCCAATCCAATCCAGATTTTTTCATAAAGCACATTTAAAAACAACAATCAAACGCTGACCAAAGTGCTGTACAGTAAAAATTAAAAACAATAAAAACAGACAATCAACAAGAACAATAAAGCAAAGACACAGGAACACATTAAAAACAGGGGGGCATAGATGGTTCAGTAAAAACATGATTAAAGGGCCAAGTTCTCAGGAGTTAAAAGCCAAGGAGTAAAAGTGTGTTCTGGGGACAGTCGGCCATGAAGAGGAAGAGCATTCCAGAGCTTAGGCAATAAGCAACCGTGTTCAGCTAAATGACCTAATATTAACCTCCTGTCCTGCAATCCAGACAACAGCAGCAGCATCTCTGAGTTACAGAAGTTGGTAAAACTAGAGAAGCAAGCGGTCGGCAACATTCATCTCTCATTGGTGTGTCTAACTCGGTGTTGCGGTGTGTTTGACCCTTAATTAATTTTACGCCGGAATATCCCTTTAACTGTCTGGTGTACCTATCAGCTTTGAGTGTTGTCAAGTCTTGGCTGCGTATCTATTGAGCTTTATCAGAAGAGCATGGAGAGTCTATAGATCTGTGATTCATGAACTTCTCTTGCATAAGTCGAGTGTTTTGTTTTTTCTTTCTTTCAGGTTACGGTCTAAACTTGAAAAGAAGTTTCTGGAAAGATGTCCTCTCAGGTCAGACTGAAGCTGCTGCCAAGTGCCAGATGTTTGTTTGATGAGCCCGTCCAAGTGAAGGTGGCCGGGCTGAGGTCCAAACAGGTGGTCACCGTGAGAGCCAGATCTACTGACGAGAGGGGTATGGTCTTCAGCTCGTCTGCGACCTACAGAGCTGATGGAGACGGAGAGATCGACCTGAATAAAGACTCCTCACTCAGCGGGACGTACACCGGGGTTGAACCCATGGGTCTGCTTTGGTCCATGAAGGCGGACTCTTTGCACAAACGGTTTCAGAAGAACTTTTCTTTAAACCCACATGTGGTGAAGTTCTCTGTCGAGGAAGAAGGAGGAAAAACGCTTGCGGAGGAGACCAGCGAGAGAGTTCTGATTGGAGACGGGGTCAGCAGGGTGACCGTCAAAGAGGGGAATATTCGTGGAGTCCTCTTTATCCCACCAGGTAAGTTCGAGTCTGCAACACCTCAACCTAATAACCCGATATTTGCAGAATACGAATCATTTTTGCTGAGTGTGTTATGCCAAGATCTACAAAATTCCTCTTGCACCCGTACCCTGAACCCTGAACAGAAGTGTTTCTTGTCAAACGGACCTGCTGTAGCGTGTTGTAGCGCCATCGCTAAACTGTCCTCCCTCGGGTCCTGGACTATGTCACTTTATCCTAGTTGTAGAAGTCCTGCAAACATTGTGTTTGCTGGTAGTCTGTTGGCATCTACAGTAGCGCCAATGCTTTTGACTTTCACCTTGACTGGGCCCCATTTGTAATTATCTGGAGTATTTATCTGCATTATATCTGAATTTCATTGGAACGATAAGAGCGAGCAGGAGCGTCTGTTTGTGGGCGGGGCTTGAGGGAGGGGAGAGGAGGAGCTGAGGGGAAAACTGGTTTGGAGGGGTAGAGTTTACATTCAAGATTTTTCTCCCAAAAACTGGCACTTCCTCAGATCCTGCCTACCCCACCTTTAAGTTGTTTACATACTTTTCCTTCAAAGTTACAGTGCCCCCTACTGGACAAAAGCAGTATTAACTCACATAAATGCTCTGAAGCCTTTAAACTTTATATATTTAATGATGTTTAATGATGCTAACAGTCTCTATAAAGACATTCAGCTCACTGAACCACTCACTAAAAACCACCGAGTGTAACTGTGTCTTTCTCCAGGCCCCGGTCCTTTCCCTGCTGTGTTGGACCTGTACACTTTCGGAGGCGGTTTGTCAGAGAGAAGAGCGTCCCTGCTGGCCAATAAAGGATATGTGGTTCTGACCGTAGCGCTGTACGGTCACGAGGACATGCCGAAAGACATAAAAGAAATCCATCTGGATTATTTTGAGGAAGCGATCCAGTTTTTGAGAAACCATGATAAGGTGAGTGCTTTTTCCTTCACTATCTGAGGAGGTGATGGAGTTTAAAAGTTGTCTTTAAAGTTCAGTTAATTGTGACTTTGACAGTAAGGTTATCTCTGTTCATGCATTAAAGTGTAGTGTCACTAAAAACAGTTGAAAGCGGCTCATGGTGTCTTCGTTCTCTCACAGGTGGGCGGTAAAGGAGTTGGCATCATGTCACTATCAAAAAGTGGAGACCTTGCACTTTCAGCAGCGACCTACCTCTCAGGTGTGGAGGCAACCGTGTGGATTAACGGACACTCTGCCAATACGATATTTCCTCTCCACTACAAGAAGAGCCAGATCCATCCTGCCTTAATGTTCGACACCGGCAGGATCATTCCCACTGAGTCCGGAGCCTGCATCGGGAAGTTTGCCATGGATGACCCACGGCGAGAAGAGAGCAGGCCTATGCTGATTCCTGTAGAAAGAGCGAAGGGACACTTCCTGTTTATAACCTCAGAGGACGACCAGAACTGGGACAGTATGACGTGCATGGACATGCTGGTGGAGAGACTGAAGCATCATGGGAAGACTAACTTTGAGAGCGTGAGCTATCCAAGAGCAGGACATTACCTGGAGCCTCCTTACGGACCCTACTGCCCCTCCAGCTATCATGGGCTTTGGGGAAGACGGATCAAATGGGGGGGCGAGGCCGGGACCCACGCCGCTGCTGAGGTCCACATGTGGAGGAAGGTCCAGGAGTTCTTCAGAGCCAATCTGAGATGTGAAGAGGAGAGGGATAAAAACTCATCAGCCTCTTATTAAAGAATTAAAATCACATTTTGTAAAAATATGATTGAAGGTGCTTTTTAAATTTGAACAGACGATGTGAAGAGGACTAACTGGCCTGTATTTAACGCCTTATTGTTCATGTAGAAATATAAAATATGACCGGTCTGGTTGAGCCTTAAAAGATGATTTTTAAACCAGAAGCCTTATTAAATTAAACACGGGTACAAAGTATCCAAACTGGTGCACATGTTGATTTCCATCTTCTCTTTTTTTATTATCTCAGTCACTCAGTTTTGTCTGTTCCTGCTGTCGCTACCCGATCCGTCCTGGTAACCCGACTTCTACTGAAGCTGCCGAACAAATGTCGAAGCTGTCGCAAACTGCGACGGGCAAAGAATTGCTGAGCTGTCGCTAAGATGGCTATCAGAGGAAGTGATGTACATTTTGCAGATGCACAGTACAAATCGGGTGTCCGGGACGGATCAGGTAGCGACACATGCCGATTCTCAACTCCCATCAAAGTTCATCTCAAGAGCCTGTCAGCCTCCACTGCCGCCACCAGATGGTGACGTTACTCTCTCTAAAGAAGTAAATATCTGCCAGAGACACAAGAATACAGAAAGTTGAAATGAATACTGAATCATTTTCTTTTGATGAATCATTGAAAGTGTGGAGGATGTTGATCTTGTGCCAAATTCAAAGTCTTTTACCGCCCCTCACTCTGCTTTCAGACATTAAAACCTTGTTTCCCTCGCTGTGTGCTCTTCTTAATCTTTACAGTGATCTGATCCAGCTCCTCTGTCATCCTCTGTATTTGGGTCTGCTGCCTGTTTGGCTCCTTTAAATCTGTTACTCACGCCTGCTCCCTGGAGACACAGTTATCAGTATGTGACTGTCTCATTATCCTGGTGACTCAGGACTCCAGAAATCAGTAAGATGCACCAGCTTGTCCAACATGGTCTGCATTTGGGTCAATATCCTGTCATCTCGTTGCTTCAATCAACAGAATAAGAAACACAATTTCCCCAGTTTGTCCTCAGTCAGTGTCTTAATGAATCAGTAAAAGCTCCTCTGCTGTGATCTGCATTTTGGTCCCTTTCCTGTTGTCTTGTTGTTGACAAGATCTGCCTTTCTGCCTATCATATGGTCTAATAAGACTTTTTAATAAATCACTTATCAACGCCACATTTTCTGTCATTATCTGCATTTGAGCTCGTTCGCTTTAGCTACGAATTCCTGAAAATGCTCCAGCCTCAATCTTCAAACCTCATGATCTGTCTGTACCATAATGTTATTAAGTCAAATAAGTCAGACCTGCACAAAATCCACCATCTTTTTATGCATCAGGGTCCACTTACTGTTCTCTGACAGTCAAATACTGTAAGATTTAACATTTTAGTGGCTGTAAAATCATGTAATCAAACCGTACAACTCACCTGAACTAAACTCAAACATTCAACAGGTAACACCAACAAAATACTGACAAAATACTTTATTATACAAAATAAAAGTTAAAGTTCTTCCCCTAACAGAGGGATTGTTTCCCTCCATGTATGAGAACGGTGTTATTTAAGGTTTCTGGAGGAAACTGTGAAGCTGTTTCAAGTTTATTCTCATGTTCCCTCCAGACTCTCTGAAAAACTCTGCAGAAATCACCTCGAAACAACCTCTGAGAGACACGATGGGAGCGAAATAAAAGGAAATTAGAGGTGGAAACAAACATGACTTATAGGAACTATCTCACCCTGATCTCTGTACCCTGCTCCCTCCTGAGAGATGAGAAATAACACGTTATTGGTCCTGGTGGGTTTGCCGCGGTGCGAGTTTATCAAGATAGCAGCAGCAGCAGCTCTGATCTGCCTTCTTGATTTATTAAGCAGCGTTGTTGAAAAGCTCCTCCTCCTCCGCCCATCCTCTGCTCTCTGTGTTTTTGGATCTGAGTGCTCCCTTTCTGTCACTTCAGTTTGACTGAGCTCCCATCAGCCCCTGGCTTTAGAGACGCAGGGAATCATTTGTTCTCCCACCGATGTACTTGCACTGCAGAGCCAGACAAGAACCAGGGACTCAGGTTTGAGTCTGAACCGGAGCTCCTGTGTTCCTCAGTCAGAGTACGTGGACGGACAGCGTTTTTATCAGCATCTATAATGAAGAATTTAACAGGTTATGTTTGTAAAGTGAAAAATAAAAGCTTTGTATATCACAAATGTGCAGAAACAAATTAAAATATTGGAAAAAGGTTCAACACTGTTTATGGAAGTGAAAAATCAACACATTTAAGACCCGTTTCATGTAAAATAAAATGTTGTCGGGATTTTTTAAGAGTCATAAAAGAGGCAAAGAAGGAAAAAACGAACTGTACTGTTTCTTTGTTGTCTAAAGTCTTGTTTTCAGATTAACATCAACTTTGCATCTTACTTAAAAATCAAGATCCCCGAGTCTGGAGGAAGATCTGAGAGGTCCTGAAGTCCAGCGTGAAGTTCCCACAGTCTGTGATGATTTGGGGCGCCATGTTTCATCAAATCCAGTCAACACAACCTAAAATCCACCAGAAGACTTTGGACACAAGCTTCATGATGACACTGATTTTATTCTCCTGTAGGATTTAACACCTGCCTATAGAGCCAAAACTACCAGAAGCTCGTCTGTGGTGTGACTCTGTTTGATTTAACACCTGAGGAGAAGAGCGAGGGAAGGCACACCTGAGCCAAATGTTATAGATGAGCTGAAGGCCTCCAGTCATGTTTACATGGACGAAATTTCTTGATCCGATTGAAAAATTAAGGGATCGGGAAATTACATGGGCGCGAAATCAAATAATCCGATCATGACCATGCTTCATTCAGATTAGATTAGCATTTGGACATGCACAGGTTAATTTACCCCATACACGGGGTAAGTTGACCATAGGAGACCACTTTTTTTGTCATGCTATATTATCAAGACAGTTCTGTTGACACTCATTCTGTTGGTTTGAACAACATCTTGAAATATTTGCAGATAAACTAGTTAGAGACAAAACTATGATCGTCTTGATGTAGTGATCTGAAATATGAAAAATGGATCATCTTACCCCACTCTCCCCTATTCCACATCTGAACTCTTGAACTTCTGGTCATGCGCTCACTTCTCTGACTCACTTCTCTTTCCTCTCCTTCCTGATTTTTTTCTTTTTTTCCTTTTTTGCCACAGACGGCGTTTTAAGGCACAACAGATGTATTTGGAAAAAAAGGAAACCCTCATCTGATGTTGTGGGGATTGTGAGATAAAACTGACAAACAAGCAGAGCAGCCATATCATCTCCTTTAAATTCATTTCACCAGGACCTGAGGAAAACAGCCATCCCACAAACATTTATTCAAATCCCTCTCAGTTTAGTGGCCCGTGTGTTTGGCAGCGCTCCCTGAGCATTCGCCAAGATGCAGACGACCAAACATGCAAACCAGGGTTTGGAAAAACAGCGAATCAAAGACGACTATGTCTCTGCCAAAAGCATGAAAACTCCTCGTTTATTTCACATGTATTAAAATATGCACATTTGAAGTTATCTGAGTCATGCTAATGCTTTTAATATTTATGATTTGATGCATAAATTAAGGATGCGTCACGCACATAAAAGCAGGTTTAACATAAAAAGTTTGGACTGCAGTCTGGATGAGATTGATCGTATGGGTCATGTTTTAGCGTCTACAGCCCTAAATCATGTCCTCTCTCTGGCTGTAATACTTCAAACGTCCTCACGGCGGTGCCAGACGTGAATGTTTGGAGCTTCAGCACCATCACAGGTTTCAGTGACCCACTTTTTAAAGATGATGAGAGGAGCTGGATTTTTAAGAGTCCAGAGAAACTTGAAGGTAAAGAGGAGGATTTTAACCGACTGGATCTTCAGGAGGTTCTCGTTGAGTCTTCCTCTGCTCTCAGGGTTTCTCTTGTGTCTTATAAGCTGTGTAGTCATGTCCTCTCTCTTCTTCATCATCTTTTCTCCTGCTGCATCTTCACTCCGCCCATATCCTCCTTCTCCTTATTCCTCCTCTTCTTCTCTGCCTCTCTTCTCCTCCTCCTTATCTCCTTTGCCCAGTTTTCTTGCTCTCTTTCTTACCCCGTCTTCCTTTCTTCCTTTTCATCCCCTTCTGTGAATTGATAGCAGGTAGTTAAATCTTTGCAAACCTTCAAAATAAAAGACTCTAAAGCATGACTCAGTTCGACTAACATCCACTTAGAAGACGGCTGATGGTTTGGACACCATCATCATCTCGGTGGTCATGCAAAGTGGAATCCCAACAGGATGAGACAAGACTCTAGTGTTACTGAGCCCAACCCCTTAATAACTATAAATGAATATAGAAATATAGGGGTATTGAGGATGGGCATTTTTGGCTTTAAAAGATAAAAGACAGGAAGTAGAGAGTGAAGGAAGAAACGCAGCAAAGGGTCACATCTGGGAGTTGAACCAGCAACCTCTAGAAGTCCGAGCTGGGAATGACAACACACCCGAGATACCAGCGTTTCAGTTACCAACATCTACCAAAGTTATTTTAGCACTTGCCTTGTCTGAATATAAGCAAGGACAAGTCAAGCACTAAAATACCTTCTTGTAGATGTAGCCATCTTGTTTTCGATTTTGCTTTTTTCCGACTTGGCGCTGGTAACTCGGGTGCGACATCATTCCCAGTTTGGACATCTGATTTCCAAGGTAACTCGAACGCATTTAGCATCATTCCTGGCGATCTGCAACTCGGAGATGCTGCTGCTGTTGCCTGGATTGCAGGACAGGAGGCTAATATTTATGTCATTTAGCCGAATATGGTTGCTATTGGAAACCAGCTGTAAAACAGACCAGAACTCACTGTTTTGATACGGTGTGCAATCTGGTTTTTTATGGTGTTTCTCTTGGTGTGTTGTCAGTGGGCTTTGACCAATCAGAATCAAGAGTTCAATGAATACGGCTATCTTTCTGTCCCCTTAAAGGGATATTCAGGCGTAAAATTAATTTAGGGTCAAACACACCGTAACACCCAGTTAGACACCACCTCGAGAGATGAATGTTGTCGACCGCTTGCTTCTCTAGTTATACCAACTTTAGAAACAGCGGTCTGAGGAGCCATAAACAAACCTCAACCAAAAAGCCACTCTATAGCCACAAATAATGTTCAGAACAGCACCTAACTTCATCAACAGTACATATAGGGTCCCAGCCATAGTACTAGACACCAAACATCTTTTATTACTAATTTCTTTAGCAAAGAGACGAAACACAACTCACCTACTCCCTTCCAGCAGCTGTTTGTTTGTAGCTAGACCTCAGGCCAGTCCATTACAGACTACAGCGGGGTGTCACAGCTCAAGGAAGAACATTTATGATCATTTCTTTATCATTTCCTTGAAGTAATAATCATCATAGCAATCATTTTGCTCTGCAGACACAGTAGTTTTTCTGCCTTAGCGTCTCGGTCTGATTGTATTTCCATGAAGAAATCATCATAAATGTTCTTCCTTGAGCTGCGTCACCCCACAGCAGTCCATAATGGACTGGCCTGAGGTCTCGCTACAAACAAGCGGCTGCTGGAAGAGAGTAGGTGAGTTGTGTTTAGTCTCTTTGCTAAAGAAATGAGTCAAAGTTAAAAAGATGTTTGGTGTCTAGTGCTATAGCTGGGACCCTATATGTACATTCATCTCTGGAGGGGATGTTTAACTCTGTGTTATGGCGTGTTTGACCCTAAATTAATTTTACATCTGAATATCCCTTTAAACAAAGACAGCGGTAAGCCTCTCCTCTAGACGGCTATCTTTCTGTCCTCTTAATGATGGACAGACTCTGACTTTAAATGCAGAAAACTCAGACGCAGCAGGACTGAAAAGTCGGCGTGTGTCTGAGTGTTAAAATATGGAGAAGCCTCAGCTGAAGCTCTGTCCTCATTTCGAGAGCTCCTCGTGGCAGCTGAGAAAGACGAGTTCAAAGAGAGAGGAAGAACGACAGTTACATAATGAGTCCTATAAGAAGAAAGCAAAGACGGATGAGGGGATGTCTGGAGAGGAGCGTTTCATTAAGTATCGCAGTCATGAGGGGTGACAACCGCAATGACGCTTTTAAATCAGTGAGCCGCTCTCACAGCTGGAAGATAAAGTACAAAGATGTTCAGATGCTGCTGCCGGTGGGGTTTGTGTTTTTGAGTAAATGAGGTGAAGGATGGTGGAGTTTTCTCTCATTTAGAAGGTGCTGCTGTTGTGCCCTCGAGCAGGGCAGGATGAAAAGACGATAGAAGAAATGAGCGAGGATGAATCTGATCCTGGTTAAACATCCAAGCTTCTTTCTCATGATGTTACTTGATATCACCTTTCAAACTGCAGGACTCCTGTCTGCCTCTCCGTCCCCTTGTGGCCATTTCAGGTCACAACAGCATGAAGTACAACCAGCTCCACATGGGGATTGAGATAAACAGTAGGAATGACACACTGGGGGTTCAAACACAGTCGTGTTCACAGCGCAGGGTTCAGGGAAGGTTGATCTGCGGCGTGTTTAACACTTCAAAGCTTGGACCTCTCTCCTGCAGGCAGCTGTCTGACCACTCTGTGTTTACTCTGGCGTCGTTCCCGGCACTCACCGTCACACACATTTCAAATCCTGTCACCTCTCTTTCAACTTTTCCCCTGAAATCAGGAATGGAGCAGCGGGCGGCGAGCCCGAACGTCAGGACGGCAGGACTTAGTGCCAGCACGTTTGTTCTCTGAATCATCTCACAAATGTTCAAAGCAGATTCAGGATCCAAACATCGGACGGTTTCAGGGGCAATAAATGGAAAATTTACAAAGAGAGACTAAATATATAAAACTAATCCAAAACATGAGAGGGTTTAGATAAAGTAGTCCTGGACAAGAGGTGGTGGAACTGCAGGTCCTCAACTAAATCCATTATCCCAAACTTTCTAGGTTTACATCAGGGTCCAAACTTTTGATCCTATTTCACAATTTGTCATTTTGAATAGAGAAAACGAGAATTGAGAACTTTGTAGCATGGCAACAGTGGAGGAGGCTTCTTGAATAACAGGTTCAGGGGTGTTAGGGAGCCTTAAAGAGACAGTAGCTGAAATTAAGCTTTATAGGCCCCGCCCACACGCATATAGATGCTTAAAAATCTGAGTTTTGGCCTTACTGCTCCAGGTGAACATTTTTTTTTCACTCCAAAATATAGTTTGGACTTTTTTGGTTCTAATTTTGAGATTTTTAAAAACTTTGTTTCGTCTATATTGTCAGGACGGCTAAAGTCATTATTACCCTTAAAGGTGGGGTAGTCAGGATCTGAGGTAGTGCCAGTTTTTAGGAGAAATCTTGAATGTAAACTCTACCCCTCCTGACCAGTTTTCCCCTCAGCTCCTCCTCTCCCCTCCCTCTCTGCTCCAGCAAGCCCCGCCCACAAACAGACGCTCCTGCTCACTCGTATCTTCGCCAGAGTCGCCGGTATTTGCTTCGGTCTCTTGTTTGTGTCGGCAGTCGTGGCCAAAGGAGGATTCAGACAATTTTCCGAACTTTCTGGTTGGTCACTACAGTCCGATATTGTTGCACGCTAACCTTGTTTGGGTTCCTGAACGACACGGGGGAGCATCATCTTAAAAGCTTTTTTGTATATTCACCACAAAAAAAAGATGCTTCTTTAACGGATTCCTCCAAACCCCACCTTTAAGTTAGGGTGGCCATATTCTGAATCCCCAAAAAAAGGACATGACTACGCAGGGGGTGGAGTCACGGAGTTGCGCGTAGTAAAACATGAGAGTTTTTGGGTCTGACTGAGTGTCTTTTATGCGCTTCTAACTCAGTTAGTCTACGGGACACAAACTCGAAACTTCCCTACAAAACCGCAGACATTTGAAGGATTTTGTAAACTATATACCTGAAACACACAATCAGATATTACACACTAAAACTGTGATAAAGTAGCAGAGCCATGGGCTAAATCACAGAGTCATCTGTATAGAAATGAAGGTTACCATCAGGCTCATTTTAATTGATATTTTTGCTGTAACGAACAAAAAGTAGTGGTCCCAGCGTCGACCCTTGAGGAACTCCTTTAGCGTGTTTTTGCCACTGGAGAAGCTAAAAGTGCGACCCTCTACCTAGACACGCTTTTCTTGTCTGTTAAAAAGCTGCTAATGCAGTTAAAGTTTAGCTAATAAAGTTTTATTTAAAAAAAAATATCTCTAGTTGAGTTTCAGTGTTTCCTGTGCCGCTCATATTTTCATTCTTCAGTATGAAACACATCAGATATTTTCATGTGTTTGGCATTTAAAGTATTTTTCCTGAAAGAGCAGCTAATTAGCAAAATGAAAGGATGAATAATTGAAGAGTGAGTATCCATGCCAGCAGGGAGTTTTCTCTGGTACCTCTGAAAAGGAAAGATAATAAGCCTGCAGTGTTTTCTGCTGTAAACACAACACTTCCTCGAAGCCATTTAACATATTTTTTCTCATGTTGTGTTTTTAAAACTTCCATCTTGTGCTTTTGGTGTCGTTTTCTCTCCTTTGCTTCCGCCGCTGCTGCTTTAACCCAATTTCCCCACTGAGGTCATTAAAGTTTCATTTCAGGATATTGCTTGAATTGAAGGTGCGCAGGATCATGAGTCGGGCTGCCGGCGATTAGAGCGCATTTTATAATCTAAAAAATCAACAGGTATTCAGGAAATATGAGGAGACAATCATGTGAAATTGTGTTTCCGAGTGTGCACCCCTGCTGTAAGGAGGCACTCGGGTTTAAAGGCTGATTTCCTCCAGATTGCAGACGCGAGCTTCAGACGGAGCAGCAGTCATAACTCAGAGTCTGCGCTGTGGCGTTTTGTGCAGAAATGTTTCCTCAGGTGTTTGGGAGCGTCAGGTTTGGATCTCTCAGCTCTCGGTGAGCTGTGAGGCTGGATTTCCAATCTAACATGTCCGTTTCTACACACCCTACGACTACGAAAAAGCATGCACAACACTTGATTTGGCAATTTTTTGCGTTGCATCTTTTAATGCCTGTAACAGCTGTGAGGGGGCAGGAGTCAGACGAGGCGGTTTAAAACACTCAGAGGAGGCGCTTTTACTTTTTCCATTGCACATAAACAGAGTGATGCGTTTTGCAGTGTCCAGTTTCTGCACACTTGTTCTTATTGATAATAAAATCATGTCTGCAGCAGCAAACACAAACCCTGGAGGAATGAGCGATCATAAACAGACAAAAAAAAAAATATTTTTTTTTATTTTTTGCATGTTTTAGTGATGCTTTCTGTTCAATCAAACATATATTTTTGTAAAAACAAAATAAAGTAAAAAGGTTTTTGTGCTGCTGCTGATGTCGGCCTATGATTCTTACTACCCAATGTTTTAACACATGGAATACTGTGAAAATTAACCCCAAGCCACTCTTGTAGCTGACAGAGTAGTAGTTACACTTTGAGATTAAAAACCATATGTGGCACCCTGAACATCATTCATCACTCATTCATTGGTATTATTTATATGGTTGCATCAGTGTTATTTATGCGATTACCTCGGCCACCTCCTTAAAAGGTTGGGTAGGCAGGAATCCTTTAAAGAAGCATCTTTTTTTGTGGTGTTTATACAAAAAAGCTTTTAACATCAGTCAATAGATATCAGTTATTGATGACATTTGGTAATATAACGATATCTCTGTGTTCTCTTATGTCTGTGTAGTCAACATTTTAACATTTTTTGAGCGCTCCGCTCTTTCTAACTGTAAATAAAGCCATTTCCCGCCTCCCCATCCTGATTGGTTGTGAGGCAGACGCTGCTCTCCCCCCTGTCGCTCATGAGCCCAAACAAAGTTAGCGTGCTACAATATCGGACAGTAGAAACCAACCAGAAAGTTCGGAAAACTGTCTGAATCTTCCTTTGGCCACGACTGCCGACAAAAGCAAAAAAAACGAAGTAAATACCGGAGACTCTGGAGGAATAACGGGCGCTTAAAACGGAGGTAGACCGGACAAGAGATAAAAAAGACAGGTCAACAATGATGGGGGACGCTTCGGGATCTTGGTGACCCTGTAACCTTTCTGCTGGACAGGTAAACCGCTTTAACAAAGTAAGACAAGTGTCTGTAACAGAAGTGTTTCTTGTCAAACGGACCTGCTGTAGCGTGTTGTAGCGCCATCGCTAAACTGTCCTCCCTCTGGTCCTGGACTATGTCACTTTATCCTAGTTGTAGAAGTCCTGCAAACATTGTGTTTGCTGGTAGTCTGTTGGCATCTACAGTAGCACCAATGCACCACCTTGACTGGGCCCCATTTGTAATGATCTGAAGTATTTATCTGCATTATATCTGAATTTAATCGGAACGATGCGAGCGAGCAGGAGCGTCTGTTTGTGGGCGGGGCTTGCTGGAGCAGAGAGGGAGGAGCTGAGGGGAAAACTGGTTGGGAGGGGTAGAGTTTACATTCAAGATTTCTCCCCAAAACGGGAACCATCTCAGATCCTGCCTACCCCATATTTAAATGTGTCAAGAAACATCAGGCGCATTAATTTGTACTGTAGTCGGTGTGTGAATGATCAACAATCAATATATTGGCAGAAATAGAGGACTCCAAAATCAGATTTTTCTTAGGGCCCCATTGAGGCTGGAGGCACCGATTGTTGTTGGTTTTCAGAGATGCTGGATTGCCAGCTTCGCCAACACCTTAGCTTGCGTTGAAACATGCTCTATCGGCCATCGATAAATGATGCAATGCAAAGACGGAGAGAATAATGGGACATGTAATTTAGCAGGAAAAGTCACATTTTCCTCAGATGTGTATTTACACAAACAAAGACGAGCTGAAGGACAAACATGCGCTCATAAACAGAGAGGCTACAGTCACCGTCACGCTCACTCACAGACGGTTACGCCCCTGCCGGACTGGAAGAGCAGCAGGAAGGCCTGTAAACACAACACTGGTATTTTTTATCAGCTGTGTGTTGGTGTGTGTGAGAGAGAGCGTTTGTGTTTGCAGTCTGAAAGGTCTGGAAATAATTAAGATAAGGGCTGGAGGGCTGGGCGAAGGGGGAGGGGGGCTGACAGACATGCATCTCCTGCTATATTTAGCCGAGGGAGGTATTCAGACGCAGGTCCAGTCCTCCGCCGCTGCAGACGCCCTTCCCTCCTGAGTCTACCTGAGACTAAAGCTGTGTGTTATTAATCCATCAGTAATGTCTCATTTACAGTACTGATGCATCGATTTTAACGGCCACATGAAGAACTATGTGACGCAGACTGATTCATAACCATCTTTCATGACATGTTTACCCACAACTTTAATAACCTCCAACTGTCGCTGCACTATTTAGTATGTTTGGGTATTTATTTAACACAAACTGATCATCAAGCTGCCAAACTTAGATTTTCTAAAGTGGGTTTATATGAGTTACAGGTCCGTTAATGAGTGTATTAGTCACAGTGGTTGACTGCCAGCTTGGCCCCTTTAATGAGAAACTGCTGCGAGAACCGGTACGAAAGCCGACCGACACTGAGACAGCTACGATGCTAGTGGTGCGTGCTAATCCAAGTTTTGTGACTCTCGAGAACTTTGACTTTTTCTGACAGGCTTTCAACATTTTATTATAATACAACAGCAGCGTGGTCGGCTACATTCTTAGCCTAAATGCGTAAACAAATAGTTAAAGGCATGACTAATATGGAGTTTTTATAACCATTTTGTTTTTACTTCATGTTAAATTTGCAGTTACGTAGAAAATGTTGAATTCTTCACATTAGAATTATATTCACTAAATTTGGCATTTCCGCGTCAATGTCAACCCGAGCATTCAGCACTTTATGTCACCCTCAGAAAGCCCATTTATTTTTGCACAAAAGGTTTAATAAAATAGAAAACGAATAGAAAAATAAGGTTGAAGGTGCAAATGTCTCAAATATTCAAAAGTCAATGTGAAAGCATGAGTGAAGCCTCGTGAACACACCTTTAATTGCAGATAGTAACCCCTCACTCTGTTTTCTGTAATATTTTAAGTTTATACAAGAGGAGCTATTATAGTACTCATTATTTCTATGGTTTACTTCAACACAACATCCTGTGTCATGAGCTAAATGTAAAGCAGAGTTGTCAGAGTTAACCCTCAGCATAAAACAGAAAATTAAGAGTCTGAAAATCTCGGTGTTTATCCTGAACATGCACCCACTTTAGTCTGATTTACAGCCAAACACTAGTTCAAGTTAATCACCTCTATTAGACCAACCTTCATTATGATTCTACTATAATAACTGTGATTCCTCGGAGGGCACGGTATTCTCATTTCCAATTATAAAAATCAAAATATTGAGCTGTGCCAGAGTAGCTGCAGCACCACAGCTTACATAACTATTCCCCTCTTCAGAATAAACCTGAGAAAACACTCTGCAGGGTCGAAGCTGCTTCACTGAACTCTTAAAACCTAATTTGATGCACTTCACTGAATAAAACGATAGATAAAAAAGCGTTTTTTATGAGTGTCCTTTACGCCGACACCGTCTTTCTACGTGCTGATGTGTTGGAAACTAGATTGCAGGGATTGTTATGTAGCGCAGCAATCAGAAACCGTGCTCAGCGCTGCTTCTCTGTACCTGTTTGGAGGAGAGGATCGACATGGAGACGGAGCGCCTGGAGGCATCGTAAGTAACACATTGTAAAAACAGACGACTCCCCCTCAGCAGCTTTAAAACTACGCAGAAAGACTGAGGAGGACATGGAGGGAATAGAGAGAAGAGATGGGAACGACAGGATGAATTTACTGCAGGGAGAAAAGGGGAGCAAAAGTAAAGCAACTTTAAGAAGCAGAAGTTTTACACAAATCATGCATGCACAGTTAATTCAGTCGGGAGTTTAATGTGTTTTTTCCCCTCTAGCAGGACAGTAATTTCTATCTCAGGAAATTTAAAACATGAAAATCAATAAACATGAGCTTTAAAACAAAACAAATCATTACCTTTGTTCTGTGCAGACTTTAAATTATATCAGGAGGACTGACGAGGTTTACTCTCTGAAAAACAGAAAAGAAAAAACAAATCCTGTTTTCATTCAAATGTTATGTACACTAAAAGTTAAATTTTAAAACCAATGTAAAGGTCAACTTTCATTTTTAATTTTTGACAGATTAGTCTCTGTGTTGAGCTTCATGTAAAGGACCTTAAAACTCCTGTAAGGAGTCGATAGTTTAGGGATGGGATGGGGCAGACCAAGTTTTAGGTCCACATACAGATACTGACACTGATACCAAAACCAACGCCAATACAGACACCAGAACCAATACCAAAACAACAGCAAAACTATTACCAACACAATTATTGCTACCAATACCAATACCTATACTATACCAAGACCAAGTCCAATACCAATAACAATACCCAAACAGCACTAATACCAATACAGATACAGATAAAGTTGCCAAAACCAACACTGAGACTGATACCAACATGTTACAATAATAACACCCATACTGATACCAATACCAACACTTACACCAAAACAACACCAATACCAATACCTGTACTTGTATTAATACCTACAACGATAGTTATACCAATACCAACATCAATACTAATATAAAAATTTATACTTACTCCAAATACAGCACCAGACTGATAGGGGTACCACTTCCAAAATCACAGCAACACCGATACTCGTACCAACACTGATATTGGTACCAATTCAGATACCGAATCCACCAATACCAACACTAGTGTTAATTTTAGTACATATGCACATGCCACTACCCATACTGATTTTAATATCCATACTGACACTGATACTAATACATATACTAATACCAATATCAACACTGATTCTGATACCAAAAACAAAATTGATACAGGTACCAATACCAACACTGATATCCCTCATACTTTTATTCAGTCCTATTTTGGTATCAAATCAACAGCCAGATTTTGACCATCCCAGGATGAAAACTGGACTCTCATTATCGAGAGAAAATGACTGTCTTATGTACAGTGGCTGCTTTTAAATAAAATACTTTGCTTTAAATTATTAGCTAACTCGTAAGATACTTTCCTTTTATCAAAAGTTTTTTCAAGAACATATCTCCTTGAGGGTTTAATCATTTCCAGTTAAAGTAAAAAGGTTAAGGTGCTCGAGGGTGTAACAAGAAAAAATCAAAGCTGGAGAATTTATGCGCAAGAAGGCAGAGAGCAAAACTGAATAAAATAGCTGCTGAAAGGAGGTGAAAGAAAGAGATTTCTGATTTCCTCATAAAAACAGCACTCACACACTCATGCATACACACACACACACACACACACACCTGGGAGCAGCAGGAAACTGGGAACGTTTTACATCAAGACATGAGCCAACAGCCTGGGGAATAGAGCTCAGGAAACATGAAACCCAACCCCTTCCTGTTCTCCTCTCAGGGCGTGTGCATAGATGATTGTGTGTGTGTGTGCAATACATCATATCATATCTATTATATGTGTGTGTGTGTGTGTTGTGTGTGTTTGGATACATGCAAGAGTATAAATGTAAAAGAGGCTTCATGTACCGAGCCTCAAACCTGATGTCAAAAAGAAGGCTAACCATGTGAAGTTAAACACTTCAACTAAGAAAACTGGACTGACTGAAACTTTAACATGCTACTCACAGATCTGTTCTCGTTACTTTAACTGTTGGTTCCTCCTTTCCACAGTCAGATTCTCCTGGAGGGCTCGCCATTTTTGGTGTTTTTCCGCCTCTGCATCCATGGCGTCCCTGTCCAGTCAGATCACTGCATGGATGATAAGGTAAGAAACTGAGAGGCTGCAGATCCCCTGTGATATATTTTATTTGCACCCTTTAATTTTTGCAGTAAGTAACTTTTTTTTTTTCCATCATCACTTTTTTTTTGCATCAGTAACTTCCGTTGTGGCTTTTTTATCTGAGTCATTTCTTTTTTTATTTGCAGCGGGCTTCGGTTTCTTTTTGTTTTTTTGCATCAGTAACTCCCGTTGTGACTTCTTTTTGTTTTTGCATCCTTTTTTTTATTTGCAGCAGTGGCAGTTCCCGGCCACCATAAAAAACCTTGCTTGAAACAACCTTGCATGAAACATCACTGTTTTGGCCTTTTAACGCTGTTGGGATGTGTAAGTGCTGCCCCCTAGTGGTCAGTTTTCTAGAAATTAAACAGGAAGTGCTTTTTTACATTTCAGAAGTTTTGGAAGAAAAAAAATGATTTTATAACCTGCTCAAAGTTATCAAACTGTTCAAAGAATGACTTTTTATAGTATTTTACGAACATTTACTCCCCAGGTGTTTCATGGTATGTCATTCTATAAATAGACTCAACGTAACGGGTGTATTCTGTCATTTTTTCCATTACTGGTTACCTCACTCCTTCTCTGAGTCATCCTGCAGGTTGGAAAAGGTTTCATGTGACTATAAAAGTTTCTCAAACCACTGTGAACCAATTAATCCTTCACATGGAGTTAAATCGTGACGGTCTGCAGCGTGGAACGATGAGGCCTTCACCGAAACAACAGCGGCATGCATGTGTGAGAGCTGCAGGTATGATACGCCTGTCGGAAAGAAAAACACAGACATGTGGCTTTAATGTGGAGCAGGGACCTCCATGCAGCCCCGAGACCCTGAAAACACACCTCAGGATGGAAAGCAGCACCACACACACACACACACACACATTCCTGCCACCAGATATCTCAAGTATGCGCTGAGGTTTGACTTCAGCTCCTACCTGCACGAGGCTGAGAAACAGAGCCCGGAGCGTGCAGGTTTGGTAATGATTTCAACATGGTGTCTTTGCCTCGGTTTGTGTAGATCAGACCTGGGTTTAAAATTTCTGCTTTCCTTTTAGGGCGATGCAGCAACAGAAAAACGTGAGTCTAAAACCTTGATCCTTGTGATCACCTTATAAGAAATGCAAGCAGTTATTTCCAATGCCTTCAGATGTGTTGGTTGTTTGTCCTCTGAGGAAACGCTTGGAAGCGTGTCAGAGACTTGTTGTGCATGCTTATGTTCCTGCTCCAGAGACTCTGCAGTATTTCCCCAAAAGATCAAAGCAAGCGATTTCAGATAGGACAGGACAGGGACGAGCGGATGTGTGAGCTATAAAACATACATGACAGGATTACAAGAAAGACTTCTTGTCTGAGATGAAAGAATTTTCAATAAGTGAGGGATAAATATTTAAGGCAAAGGTAGGGGGGTGCATGATAATGTTTGGCTCGACTAAAGAGTGTTAGGTTAGTAAAAGCTAATTCTGAGCCAGCGGTAGGACTCAATTCAGGGATGAAAATCAGATAACTTAGTTCACGAGCTTTCAATCTCATTTTTAGGCCATTTTTTACCCCTTCACTTTAACTGTGTTAAATACTTGATTCTGATTGGTATAAAATAGGCATGGGGCTAAACTAGTTTTTTATACCTGATACTGATACAGATACTGACACTGCTACTGATAATGATACTAAATCTGATACTAATACTAGTACTGATACTGATACTGATACTAAAGGTCATACCGATGCCAACACAAATTCTGGTTTTGGTACTGATACAAAAACTGATACTTATAATGATATTGGTACTGATGCCGATACCAGTACTTGTACTGATGATGATACTAGTACTGATACCAAAACCGATTGTGAAAATGGGACTGATATCGATACCGACACTGACATAATACTGATACTTATACCAGTACTGAAACTGATAATGACACTGGTACCGATAATTTTCCTGATACCAATAGCAATACATATTCTGGGACTGTTAGTGATACTGCAACTGGTACTGATACTGATAATAATACTGATACCTATACTGACACAGTTAGTGATAATGATACTAAAGCTGATATTAATACTGGTACCAATACCAATACTGACACTTTTAACAATACTGATACTGGAACTGATACCGATTCAGTTACTGGTAATGATACTTAAGGTCATACCAATGCCGACAGAAGTACTAATTTTGGTACTAATACAGAAACGGATACTTACACTGGTATTGCTACTGATGCCGATACCAGTACTAGTACTGATGTTGACACTGGTACTGATACCAAATCGATAGTGAATATTGGACTGATATCGATACCGACACTGACATAATACTGATACTTATACCAGTACTGAACCTGATAATGACACTGGTACCGATAATTTTCCTGATACCAATAGCAATATTTATTCTGGGACTGATACTGGAACTGGTACTGATACTGATACCTATACTGATACTGTTAATGATAATGATACTGGTACCGATAATTGCCCTGATACCAAAAATGATACTTATTCTGGGACTGATATTGATACGGATGCTAATACTGAAACTGGAACAGATACTGATTCTGACAAAACCACGTATACCGATACTGATACCAATACTTAAACTGATACTGATGCTGATACCAATACTTGTACAGAGTTCCCTCAATTCCTGCTTGAGGTTTGGGGTAATGTGCTACATCAGGGGTGGGCAATCATGTGCCATGGAGAGCCGAGAGGCTGCAGGTTTTCTTTCCAACCCAAAACTCCACCAGGTGATTTCACTGATTACCTTACCTCCAAGCAGAGAGCAGGGACCAATCAGTGAAATCACCTGGTGGAGGTTTGGGTTGGAAAGAAAACCTGCAGCCTCTCGGCCCTCCATGGCACATGAAATGATCCTCTCTGTAGATTTGTTCAGAGGGGATATCCTGATGCTAAAATTGAGATATTTATGCAAGAAACTACTTTTCTGCAAATCTCTGTACAATTTCAGACATTTCCTTCATCCTCCTCCTGCCACATGAGAGCAGTCTTTCTGGTTTGTCTCCATCTCCTGGTCTGGTTGTTATCAAGTACATCTGTCCATTATTTACACATAAAACCCTCCAGTGGAGCTGCATGATGTTAGCAGACAGTGTTGGCAGGATATATTCTAATGCAGCTGCAAAGTCAAAACATGTTGTTGTGAAAACCCCCTCGTATCATCTACCTGACAGGAGCAGAGAGTTCCAGCAGTGTTCGTGAAGTCTCTGCAGGTTTGTGCCGAGCCCTGTGAACAGTTGGATCTTTTCTTCTGCTGGGAAAGTACCACACCAGGTGAACACAGAAATTCACATGTGTTTAAGTCATCCTCTGACCTCACGTAGGTGTAAAGTTTCCTGGTGTGAGAGGCAAACACGCACATATATACACAACGAGGGTGAAGATCTCTGGGTCCAGCTGGAGACTATTAGTGTTTCTGCAGTCCACAGGAAGTCAGCCATCATTTTAGGCTGACAGGTACATGGACGGATCTCGCCGACTCTCTGCTCGGCTGTGCTGTTCAGACATCGGCTCTGCAAATCTTCACAGCGTCCTGGCATTCACTCTCATCATCTGTTCGATCAGCTGGAGGGAAACGGCTCGCTTGATGGAGTCGTTTTTGACAGCAAGACGCCAGCTGAGACACAACACAGATCTCTTTTTTTTCCCGCTCGTATTTATCCTGGCAGTTTGCTGACAATCACTCGGCCTCAGAACCACACATATGCCAGAAATACACAATCCCCTACTGCCCATTTACAGAGGCAGTCAGAGGCTTAAATGTAACTTCAACACATTGTACAGTGAGGTCAGTGTTGATGTCGATGTGGATTGATTCAGGAAAGAGAGTCATAAATTAAAGGCTGAAGGTGTGACCTGTCCAGATTGGAAACCTGGGTCCTGCTGGTCAGAAGAAGACAGATCACACTGAAACTACTGAAGTAAGATCGATTCAGGAGAACTGATTGGCTACCTGATGTTAGATCGACTATTTGGGCTGTTTTAAGTAAAACTTTTAGGGGGGATTTAGTGAAGAGTCAAGAAGATTCTCTTACCTTCCATTTACCGCCAGTCTATTCAGATTGACAGCTTCCAATGAGAAAGGGGCGGGGCCACAACTTGAAGTACCCAGATGTATTCCTCTCATCTGAACCATGTAGCTCTGAAAAACACTGAGTTGCAGCATTAGAATTCAGTCTGTCATTCAGGGAGCTGTGAAATGACCAGAATTTGTCAGGTTGTTGAGGTTGACCTGGGTTTATATGACCTGAGACATAGATGATAATATTTGAGCTTCTCACCCTGAGTGTGATATTGCATTCAGATATAGTCTATTGCAATCTCGAGATTCCAAGAGAAAAGTCAAAATTTTGGATGTGAGCTGAGAATTCTAACTTTGACCTTGGAATTCTGACATTAATCTTGGGATTCTAACTTTGATCTCGGAATTCTGACATTAATCTTGGAATTCTGACTTTGATCTCAGAATTCTAACTTTGATCTTGGAATTCTGACATTGATCTGAGAATTCTGACATTGATCTTGAAATTCTGAATTTGAGCTCAGAATTCTTACTTTGATCTTGGAATTCTGACTAATCTCAAGCAAGACTTTAACTTCCAAATTCTCCCAAAGAAATCAGAATTTTGACTTTTTTTTCCAGAAATTTTGACTTTTTCTAAGAATTTTGACTTAATTCGACAAATTCTGGCTTTAATTTTATAGTTTTTACTTAAATCTTACAAGTATTGGTTCTTAGGAGAACTGATTTAGATCTGCTATGAAAACAGAATCTCGAACCCTGTGGTAGGTCAGAGCATTAAGCAAAAAATGAATAAATAAAAAAAAAGAATAAATAGAATAATGAAATAGTAGATATACATGACCATCTTTAAAAGGAAACTACACATTTTATACTTTAAACGCTCAACATTATGAAACATGAAGGACTTTAATTAATTGAATAAAACAAAGTTCTGCTTTAAAATAACTCATGTCTGACTCACCTTGTCTTGGACAACACTCTGATGGTCTAACTGTTTTTTTTCCCTCTTTTTAAACTTGCATGTTGAGATACTTGTATAGTAAATTAAAAACCACACTCTATGTTTTCATAGTGACTGAATAAATGATGGGAACGGTGTTGAAAGCTGTTAAAATGAATGAACAGCTGACAAAACAGCTCTGCAGGGTGCTCAGTGTGTTACGTAACATGCCAAATGTAGGTTTCCCCTCTTAATAATTGAGGTTATTAAGGTTCGACTTTGGATGAATGATTCAGATTTCCAACATTACAGTCTGATATAATGTCACTGTTGTGTTTTATTATTTTTTTTTATTCTCATTGTTCTATAAAGATTAATTTTGTCACCCTCTGTTGTGGCTGTTATGTAATTTTATGCACCAGCTGCAATGAGCCGAGCTGGATCAGACGAAGTTAGCAGCCAAGCTGAGTAAGGAAGACAAATAAATGTTAAAAGAAGTGTGTATGTGCGTGTGCGTGTATGCATGCATGCGTGTCAAACACTAAATGTGCACTCGTGCTCGCCGCCGCAGCAGGCAGAGGGTCCTCCAGCATCCTTACAAACATCTGACTCCACAGATGGCTGAATGAAACAGCTGGTAAGCTCTACTCTCTCTCTGTTTCTTTGCACTAACACACACTCACACACACACTCTCTCTCTACACAGCATCCCTCTTCAGGAGGTCACGGTTGTCTCTTTGTATTAATTCGGCTGTAAATGTCCGTGTAGCATACAGATGCTGCGGCAGAAAGAGGAGAAGAAGAAGAAGAGGAGGGCAGTGAGTGAAGCAGGTTGATCACCTCATTACAGTATGCTAATAAGAAAGCCTCGCCATTGACATGAATTACCTCATTAACCTGAAAAACAGGAAAAAGGAGACAAGAGCGAGGAATAAAGAGATGCAGATCAAGCTTTTTTCTCTCCTGTGTTCACATGAGATAAAAATTTTGCTGACAAGAAGCTAAAAGCACAGAGGCTGCAGAGATTTTAAATGTCTGCTGTTAACATTTGAAACAGAAGGTGGAGAGGTGTTCGGTTTCCTCCCTGAGTGAGGTCTTACAGGTGTATTATATTACGTCTATTTCCAGGGGACACTGAGAGTTGCCATATTGTCATGTATTATATTACAAAGTAAAGCCGGGGAACTTCTGTTTTTATTGACCCGATGATTATGAAACCAGCGTTCAGTCCTTACATGATGTTTAAAATTGAAAGATGTTCAGAAACAGAGATTTTCGTGATCTTTGCTGCATGAAGTGTCAGCCCTGACTCTGAGATTTATGGATGTAACCACGGCGTATAGAGTGAAATATTCAGCACACCTTCAGACCTCATGCTTTCAGAGTGAAGGAACATTAAACTTCTTCCTATACTGGAACAAAATGTTGCCAGAGAACATGAATTACTGATGAAAAACAGATGAATGAAAGGCTGGAGGGTGTAGTCCTCTGAAAAAGAAATACAGTTTTTAAAGGGTGAGTCAAGATAGATCGTACGACTCGTACACATGCAGATTGTGTTGATGTGTGGAGCGTTTATTACAATACTAATTTCACTGGAAGAGCATCCAGAGAGAATATTTTTACTATTATCTACTGGAAGAGCATCTCTATAAAATAACCACTGTGGTTTGAAGGGGGGGCAACTGCCATTCCGACATTGGTCTCTAATTGTCGGAGTGGCGGTATGGTACCATACAACGTGCCGTAATCACAGCAGGACAAACGCCCGACCAGTTACCGCAGTTGTGAAATCCGTTCACAAAGCGATTTAGGCGTTGGCGCGTGTGGTTTCTCGCTCGCTGGCTGGCTGGCTGGCTGGCTGGCTGGCTGCTGGAAGTGAGAGATGAACGAATCACTTGAGGAAGTGACTCGGTTCAGTACGTTCTCTTAAAAGATTCTGGTTTTTTTGAACGAATCATTGGCGAACGACCCAACACTATCCAGAGGACACTTTTTATGTTTTAAAGTCATCCTCACGGATTCTTTCACAGTGTATTTTTAAGGAATGAGGCTGTTGGACGTGCTCTTTTGATGAAGCATTTTAAACGAACTTTGGTATCAATTTTGTGCGAAACAACTCAAAACTGATCAGCTGACTGACGCACAAAGTTGTTTTCTTGATACCGACAAACATCAGCATGAGATCTCAGTCTTGTTGGTGTGATACACTTCTTGCTGCATCAATTTGTTTTCTTGCAGAAACTGGAACACACTTTTGAGAATATTTTTGATCTCATGTTTCCTGATACGTGCCAGATTCGACCCACTTTCACTCAGGCAATTATGAAAAAGTGTGAGTAAGGTTTTACGACGCAGCGAACAGTGTGTAGGATGGATCTGAAAGTCTGTCGCTCCTGGAGACGTGTCGGTATGTTTGTGGGACTGGGTAAAGGTTCACAACAATCGAACCTGTGACCTGATTTCTGCTGATACAAAGGTGTCGATGACGGGTTACTGTCAAACATGGGCGCCATTTCTGTTATACTGTTGCTCTTTTTAATTCTGAAGCTGCACAATGACAACAGCTATGATTTTCCCATTTCATTAAAAATGCCAGGACCAGACGAGCCCCCTGAAAGCCCCCAAAGTGCAATTATCTGCAAATTAAATATGCTGTCATGCTATTACCACAACCATTTCCTCCTGCCTGGCTGGATCTCCATTCATAATTTAATCCTTTATGCACTTCTCCTGTTTTAGGTGCTGCCGGCGCTCCCAGTGAGGTAAGGCAGGGAGGAGCAGAGAGGAGGCGTCCTGCAGGCGCAGAGAGGAGCGGCGAGCCGTGTTGAGGGTCAATTATCTGTTGAAGTGGTTGTTCTCGGAGTGCTGTTTACATGTGGGTCAAGACTGGAGCTGGAGAGGAGCTGCTGGCTGCTTTTATGAGATAAACCGAGACAGAGAGAGAGAGAGAGAGAGAGAGAGAGAGAGAAAGAGAGAGAGAGAGTCTGTGAGAAAATATGACTCCACATGTGCTTAACATTTCCCTGTGAATGACTTTGATTCTCTCTGTCAAAGTGAAAATACATTGAAGTTCATGTAAAGTTTGTTCTCAACGAGTGATTATGGAGATAAAATAGGGCGAGTGAGACCCCCACCTGTGTCTTCCTCCAAAATAAAAGTCAAATTCTGATCCATCAGACCACAGGATGGTTTTTCTTCTTCCCCTCAGTCTTAAACGGGCTCAGGGGAGTTGTCTGCATGTCTGGATCTGGTCTATATCTGGTTTCCTCTGTGCACGGTCCAGCTTAAACCTGCAGTTGAGAACGCAGCAACAAAGTATTGCCGCATTCCAGTTGTACTCAGAGGTCGGGAGTTGGAAATTTGTCTGGAACGCCCCCGCCTAAAGTCGGATTTCTGACTCAGAAAGTCGGACGATTCTCACCAACCCCGACTTGACGACACTGTCATAATCCAAGATGGCAGCGCAGTGCATTGACAGCAAAGAGTAACAGTTTTAGCTCTCGTAATGTTTGATTTATCAGCGCTTCTGTTTGTTTTTGTGAAATTAAATAAGTTGTTTATGTTGTGCTGCCCAATAGGGGTGGGAGAAAAAAATCGATTCATGTAAGGATCGTGATTTTTTGTTTTAAAATTTTCGATTTTGATTTGTCCCCTATTTATGTTGACCCGGCTTTTTAGCTCTTGTCCGGTCTACCTCCGTTTTAAGCGCCCGTTATTCCTCCAGAGTCTCCGGTATTTACTTTGTTTTCTTGCTTGTGTCGGCAGTCGTGGTCAAAGGAGGATTCAGACGATGCTCCAAACTTTCTGGTTGGTTTCTACTGTCCGATATTGTAGCACGCTAACTTTGTTTGGGCTCCTGAACGACACGGGGGAGCAGCATCTGCCTCACAACCAATCAGGAAAATGTTAAAATGTTGACTACACAGACATAAGAGAACACAGCGATCTCGTTATTTTACCAAATGTCATCAATAACTGATAATATTGACTGATATTAAAAGCTTTTTTGTATATAAACCACAAAAAAAGATGCTTCTTTTTTAATGAAATCTTGCCTACCCCACCTTTAACCGAAAAATAGGTTATTACGATTCCAGAGACATTGAACAGAAAACACCTGACAACTTTTGCCTGTGAGTATAAAAAGAAGCAGAAATGACTGACATATATGGTAACCTGGTTTCTCTTCCGTTTTGATTTGCTCACTAGTTTTTTCTGAGAGGAAATCTTCATCAGTAATCGTATGTAACACACTGCGGTATAAAAACTACATCAAACAGAGCCGCGTCTTCTCCGCTGTTCCTCCTTTTAAACAAGATCCAGCAGATTAAAGAGCGACTCTGAAGCTGAGGAGGTTGAGGATGGCAGGTTGGAGGTAAAAAAAAAAAAAAAACAGGTTTGAATATTAAATTTGGCTTTTATCACATTGTTGCAGATACCTGTGTGATGTGTGAGAGATGAGGCTCCTCTCCGCTGAGTGTCAAGTGTCAGAGTGAATTTCTGTGTGAGCAGAGGAAACACAGAAAGGCAGTTTGATCTCGACAAAGTGCAATTAGTGTCAAAACAGCTCAGGGTGGAGGGGAGATGGTTCCTGCTGATCTGAGGGTGATGACAGGGTGGAGGCGGGGGGACTGGGGTGTACCTGCATGATGAAATGAGCTCACTGGATTGAAATACAGCAATCCAAGGTGTTTGTGTCTTTGCACAGGTAAGTATAGGGAGGTAATGGAAATCATCTGATCTTTCCCCATCTCTCTGTGGCAATACAGGCTTTTTCTCCGTCTGAGCTGTTGGTTGAAACTGGAATTTAAGGTGCATCATTCCCCGGCAAACATCCACTATATCTATCACTCAGATTGATGACTGCCTCAGTGGAAGATCTGCAGCCTCTCAGTTCCTAACCTCATTATCTATGCAGTGATCTGAGTGGGCGGGATGTTTCAGTAATGAGGCACTGCTCTGATTGGCTGAGACGGGGCTGCAGTCCAGTGCAGATAAATGCAAAGGTGTCTGCAGAGAAGTATGACAGTCAAGGTGGTACCGCATTAGGAACAGGCACGACTCTGGAGTGGAAATCACCACATGGGCTCGAAAGCACCTTTATAAATAATAGGTGTAGGAGCCATAATGTTGCTTAGCTTATCGGTTATCCTGTGTTGAATTACTTAAGTCTGGTTGTCATTGGTTTCGCTGAAATTTTTGTTGACCATGCTTTATGTTCTTTGTTTTGCAGTGATTCATGTCGCAAAGTGAACACATATTACATCGGATGTGCGCGTCACTGTGGAAGCGTTTGTTGTGTTATTAAAGCTCTGAAAACTGGGTGCTTCTTTGAGACAGCAGCGGCGCGTCACACAGATATACAGGACCTAGTCTCTGCCTCAGTTGACTTTTTTAAAGGTTTTAGGAAAGCCGCAATATCCCACCCTCGTTGTACAACTGGAGCGCAGCATAAGCTCCGCCTGCTGTTCCGGAGTGGATCTGCATGCGGTGGAATCCCTGGGTGACAGTCAAGGTGGCACCGAATTAGGAACAGGCATGACTCTGGAGTGGAAATCACCACATGGAAAGGACAAATGGACTTACTTGAGATGTTTCGCCTGAGTCGAAATGTCTCAAGTAAGTCCATTTGTCCTTTCAGCAAAGAATTGGAAATCATAGACACTGCATCCTCTAATGCCTTGATTGTTTTACAGTTAAAGGTTTAGACTTTTCTTTTCCGCGTCTTTCTGACCATATTTTTTTTGCTACAAAGGTGTCATCCTCTTCTCAAAAAGAGGTTAGCCTAATGTACATTATATATATATATGTCTTATTGAACAACCTGTGCAGGATGACAAACCTACATTTTCATAAATCTTGCACCACAAGAGTCTGAAGTGTTCCCAGTAAATCCACTAACGGCTCCGGGCTTTAATTATAAATGAGATTTTTTTTCCCTCCTCCTTTTCTTTGAACTCCTTCGTTTTCTTTTCTTTTTCCCCGCAGTTATTAGTGAAACCATGACGAGCAGCGAGTCTGACTTTCATGTTCAATAATGTCAACTGGGATGAGTCACGGAGTCGTCTTCACAACGCGCTCAGACACAGAGCGCTGCTCCCTATCCCATCATACACCAGGGCTGAGGCGGGATGAGGTCATCACTGAAGGGATCCGGGACCCCGAGGGATCAGCTTGGAAAAATATCTCCATGCTGCAGTAAAAAAAAGGAACATAACTTAAGATAAAATCACATAAACACTGTTGTGCAGAAATGTCACCAGCATAAAAGTGGCGTTTCTGAGAAATCATGTATTAGAGCCTGAATTTCATTCACAGTGCATCAGCAGGAAAGCTCGCACAGCTGGAAGGGTTATAAAGCTATAATTCTTAAGCAGCACCGCCTGTTACATAAATCTCCACTTGTATGCATGGAAATTTCATAGGTGTGCTTACATTTCGCCATGGCAGGTGGTTTAATTCAGCGCAATTTGCATGCCTGCGTGCAAAGAATATTTCACCTTCCCACGCACACATATATTCACACCGAGCTCACGCTCAGAGGCAGCACGCGCTCCTGAAGTGAAGCTGCAGCGAAGTGCCGAACGTGGGGTGTGATTGAGTGCTCACACACGAGTCTCTGTGTGTGTGTGAGAACGTCTGTTGATGTATCACGCACTGTGTTTGGACCTGATGGAGACAATACAGCCGGATTGGAAAAAGGATGATTCACCTGTAATGATGTTTGTGTTGCACAAACAAACACAGACTTTGTGTTGGTCCAAAGTCTCAGTTCTGAGTTTACAAATGTCTTTTCAAGTCACTTTCTGGAGAATCAGGTTAAAGCACAAACTACAAGATTTTTAAAAGCCTTAAATATGCTGGTTTGCAAATACAATAATAGGGCCAACACACAATAACAGAAAAAAACAGGTCTCACTCTCGCTGTGACTTCACTTGTTTAAGTTAAATCAAATTTTAAAACACAGTGTAAGAGGACAGGTCAACTGGAAACAGCTGACTGAAGCTCCTAAGGGCCTGTGTCCACTGACTGCGTTCTCTATGCGAGCTGCGTCTGCTGTCCGCACAAGCCGGTGCAGTTTAGCATTTGTAGCGCTCAGACCTCTCATGTTTGTCTTTGTTTGCAAATGTTCCGACAACATTCTTACTTCCACTTTTGAGACACCGTTGAGCTCATCAGTGTCACTTTCCAGGGCTCGACAGTGCGACCGTTTCACCCGCATTTGTGTGCAAGTTGTAAAATGTATTTAGGTTCATATGTACGTATGAAACAAAATCGTCCGAGGCAACAAATGTTTTTTCTTGTAAATACCGCGGTGAAGTTAGTTTTAGGTTGGATATTTGACAGACATTCATTGAGGATCTACTGGTGTCGTCTCAGTCTCCATAACCGGGAATAATAACAGCAGTGCGGTTAAATCTACTCGGCATCCTCACTGTCAACATCGGGTGTTGAATAAGGGACCGTCAATAAATTACCTGTTGATGTTCTCAGAAAAGGCTGTTTTCCTTCAATAGCTTCCATGTCATGTGACCAATTGACCTAAGATTGATTTCAAATAATGATGAGACACACCTCTTTATTTCCCTAATTTGTCCTCCCCCCAATTTTTTTTTTGTTAAATTTAAAGGCAAATTTTTCAACATTTTCTTCTACCTAAAATTGATTTCAAGTAATCATACTTATGTCGACCAATAAGACAAACACTGTTTGATCAATTTTTATTGTGCCCCAAAGTTCTTGGTGTGCTCCTTACTTTTTCAAATTCAAGAAAGTTAGTGTCAAGCCCTGCTTTCTATCATCAACCAATCAGAATCAAGAAGGGAATGGGCGGGACCTCTGGAATCAAATTAGTCAGACCATTAAATGACAGCAAATATGAAGCATCCAGAGCATTTTAAAACAGACTTCACCATCATTTTACGATATCTTTAGCTACATAAGTGCCGATGAGAAGCGCTCTGAAATTAAGGTTTTGGGTGCTGCCAAGAAAACGTTGCTTTGAGTGGAAACGGGCCCTTACTCCCCTATGCTGAAGGACAGTGAGAATCAGAGGGCCATTCAAAACCTCTATTGTTGGGGCTTTTTTGATTTGTTTTGGAAAGTTAGAAATGTAATAACAAAGTAACACCAATAATTAACAGATAAGTGTGTCTGCTTAGCTCTCTATAGGCCTCCAAAAATACTCAAAAAGAACAAACTTGAAAGGTAAAATCAACCTTTTTTTCATCTTATTTCTGCAAAACTGTCCTCTCTCCCCGTGATAAGAGTGCTGACACATGGCGGGGTCTGAGTTTATAGGGGTCACAAGGCTAAAGGGTCAGGACAGCACAAGAGGAAGTGGAGTTTCTCACATAAAGCTCAGACTGGACTCTGATAATAAAGTCAGCAGGTCTGTAGAGGGAGGCTTTGTTCTGTGGGGAGTTGGGATCACTCATGTGACTTCACGGTGTCCGGAGCCGCAGAGCTGCATAAATGAGGTCAGCCTCCAGGTAAAAGCTTGAACAGCAGGCAGCGCCTCAGGACAACTGCTCCACACACACACAGGCACACATGCATGTACTAAAAACACACTCACACACACACAAGAGGAGGAAGAAGAGCAGCATGTCTGGTCCCAGCGGAGATGAAGTGATGCAGAATGACATCAGTCGGTCCTGTTTCTACATGTGACTCATTACAGCGGACGATAAGGACGCTCCATTATCACCGCTGGGACGGAGCCAACAGGCCAGGCTATCGCTGCACACATCACCTGGACTGGACACAGACCTATTGATCAGGGCGCTGATGTGAGGAGGAGGATGGTCACCGCACAGGAAATGAATGTCGTACAAGAGGAGGAGAGGGAGTGTTTTTCTGTGTCACTCACATGGAGGTGCAGCTTCATTCAGAGATCTATATTTAGTCGATGGAAGCACAAAATCAACCGAAACTATCACTTGTTTCTTGATGTTTACGTTGGCTCACCTGTTTGCAAAAGCTGGGAGACAAAACATCCTCTCTCAGGGTTATATGAGAGTATGTAGGAACTTTTTTTTGCACATCTATTACAGAAGAGTGCCAGGACCAGGGATGAGGAAAAAATTACTGGAGAAGCAAGTATCTAAAACAAACTGTAGGAGCCAGATTAAGTATTAGTTTTGATGTTTGCTTGTTTGAGTTGTTTAATTGTTTAGTTTGGTAACTTCCGTTATAAGGGGAAGTGACACCAGGGGAGCTTACAGTTATATGAGGGGAGGAAACCAGAGACAGGTATCGCTGACTGGGGAAAAGCACATTTTCTTTGACCGTGGTGTGGCGGAAAAATGGTGATATGCTTTGATTTGGATTTGATTTAATAAATACTTTTTTGGTACACGAGTTTTCCCGTTTTGGACATTTGTTTTTAGAGCACCCATGCACGTATCAGCAAACGTCCGTCAAATCAGCACCAGTGTTAACCTTTTTCACTTTATATGGCAAGAGAGAGAAGAGTCAGCACACAAATGAAGGAGCATTTTAAACGAAAAATTGATACGAGTAGTTAATTCTGTTTTCTGGTCAAAAGTCTTGTTCTCAAAGTTCAAAAGTCCTTTCTGGTCTGTGTTTTATAATTCAGAGCTGCATTACCGTATTTACACAAATATGGGCCCTTTTTTTTTCTTAAACTACACCTCAAAAAATGGGATGGTCACATAATTATTCAAGGTTAGTAATTAGACACAGTGTACAATGTAGAGACTTACAGTAAAATCCACTCACTTCGTTAGACCGCCAGCTTTCCGGAGGACCCCGTCAAGCTTGATCTGAAGTATTATCCTGAGAAACTGGAGGGTCGCCTTACAATCAGGGTAATATTACACATTAAGTACCTCAAGATATGCTAATATGAGGCTAACATGCATACTTAATAGTCAACAATCATCACATCCTCACACAAACAAAGGTTCGAGGTTCTGCTCTGTGTAACATGGAGCTTAGGTTTTTATTTATCATTTTTAACCCACTGTTTGTTCCCATTTATGTCAATAAACTGGAGGCTCCATCTCATCACTTTACCTGCTTTCCTGACTGTTATCATGCAAACACACACACACACACACCTGTAAGAGTGGTGTGTGTGTGTTCGTGCAGACTTTGTCCTGTCAAACAACACTCTTATCTCAGGTAACAGAGAGAAAATAAAAATCTGAAGCTCGGCTCCGACTGTCTCAATCAATCGGTGATCAATAAAACCGAACTCTGCAGGAAAATAAACCTCATTTACAGGTTTTTTTGGAAACACTCATAGATTAATGAGGCGGTTATTTCCAGGTCAGAGTACGCAGACATTTTTACGCCGGGTTTAAACTGAGCCGGAGCTCTGAGTCTGACCCTCGTCACACAGTAAACATCTCCCTGTAGATAGTTCCCTTTATTCCAGGTTCATGCCCTCTCTTTTATTCATAATAGCAGGCAGCTACAGTCTTTACAGCGTATCATTAATGGAGAGAGAGAGAGAGAGAGAGAGAGAGAGAGAGAGAGGATGATGTATCTCTTCTCCTCCTGCCTGATAAAACGTGAGAACTCACCATTATTAACTCCCCAGCCACTCATCCAGACAAGTGATCTGCGCCCACATTACTCATCCTGACACAAAATTACATTATTCATCTGTTCGCCACCCCTGCATCTTTATGGTACTGGAATAGAGGACAGTACAGATGAAGTTAATTGATTTATTAGGAGGAAATGCTACATTTAGGATGATTATCATAAAGAGAGAGAGAGAGACAAACCCTGATGTACCTCTGTAAAATATATATAACACATAGTTTTGTGACCGCCCACCACTTAAATCATAGAGGAATAATAAGGAGGGAGACATTGACATGCTGCAAAATCAAATATAATGTAACAGTAGGGTAGAGTAGGACGGTATCTGAATTGATGAAGCGCATTATGATTTGATTTTGTATTAATGGGACAGGATATGAAGTAGTCAGACACAAGAGGATAAAAAAATTAAAATATGATACTATAATACATTAGACTACAATGAAAATATGCATTATGTATGCAGGATAAAACAAAACAAAACAGTCCGAAACAAAATAATACACTGCAACATCAAACTAAACAATAAATATAAGATGTGATAAGATGTGAAACGATACAATATGAAATGATGCCATACAATTGATTCTTAAAGATAGATATATTATATTGTATTGTATTACATTGTATCATATCATATAATATATCTTATCGTATTGTGTCGTATCATGTCGCAAAATTTTATAACTTGTATTGTATCTAATGTGTCATATTGCATGGTCTAATATTGTTTCATATCATTTATCATGTTATTTAGTATCATTTCATATTTCATCATATCATTTTGTATCATGTTGATCATATTGTATCAATATTGTATCTATCAAATTATTGATAATACATTGAATTTCCCTTCAGATATAAAATAACTTATTCTCTTTCTTATTATGATGTAATACAATGTATAACATGATATGATACAAGATGAGATGAGACGATGCAAATCAATACAATCTGATATGATACAATACGTTACAATTATATATATTACAATATAATATGAAACACTATAATATGAAGCAATAGGATGTGTTACTAAACTATACATGATATGATACAATACAGTATGAAATGATACTGAATGATATGACATGATATATGTTACAACGTAATACAAAACGATACAATATGATTGGATATGATAGACATGAGACAATATGATATGATGAAATATGAAAATGATACTAAATAACATGATAAATGATACAAAACAATATGAAACTATATGATATGACACAATAGATGCAATAGAATACAAGTTATAAAAGGTTACTATGACACAATACAACACAATATATGATAAGATACATGATATAATATAATACAATATATGACATTAAAGTTACTAATTATTATGTTTTTATATATGAAATTATATTACATGATACAATAGATACATACATCACGATATAATATAGAAGGTTACTTAATATGATATGATATATAATACAAAACAAGACAATAGGATATACGATACAATGTAAAATTATGCAATATGATATATTGCAAAATAATATTACAAGAGCTTACAAAATAAAACTGTTCATTATTTAAATTGAAATAAAACAAAATAAACTAAAGGTCTGATAAAGCTCAATACAGTTAAATAATATACATTAAAAAAGTTACGTTGTAGCACAATAGACTGTGGAGTAATGTGGCAGGATATCATATGTCATATACACAGAAAACTATCAAATGTGCTGAGTATATAGAAAAGTAATGCATATGTTAAGATTAAGGTTTAGATGCAGAGAATAAAGGGTAGGAAGAAGTACTGAGACTCTCGGGTTTAAGGGTTAAATTTCCTGTATATGTCAAACAGATCAATAGCTCCAGCCTACAGCCAGACCTCCTACCTGACGCATGATAAAAGAAAGTGCTGAGGGAGGAATAAAAAAGCCTCCAGCCTGAGGGTTTACCTCTCCTTCAAGAACAATCCTCACTGTATATTGGTTGAATCCTCAATGAGAGGGATTTTACAGCAGAAACACAAATGAACTCTGAGGAAAAGGGGAAAACCTAAAGCCCTCTGAGCCCTATAGTCATGTCAGGACCAAATTAGCACTGAATAATGGCGTCCATTTCCCCTCTCATCACAGCCGGCAGTCGCCTGTAGAGACATTGTGATGTAGCAGGACAGGAATCCCCAGACAGACAAGGACTCTTCAGCCCCTCATGGCCTACCAGAGGGAGATTCAATTAAAGCCTCGCAGATGTTGTGGTGGAGAAGAGGTTTGGCTGTGGTTGAAGACGGTACAGTACAATGCAATAAGACACTTCCACTCCTTCATTTTGTTTCTTTCACTTCTTTATTCTTCTTCTGTCTCTGCGTTGTTAGGGCTCATTCTCATCACTTGAACGCAGTCTTCTAATATGAAAACACTTCTGGAAAAATGATGATAATCTCATGGTTTCTGTCCTCTGTGTTAATCCTCTGCGGTTTGATTTGAACTCCTCCTCCTTTGTCCTGTCGACAGCAGCACCTGGCGTGTCTGAACTGGAAACCTGATCATCGGCAGGTACAAGAATAGCTCGACGGGACAGTGAACGCCGCTCCCCTGACCTGCTGTGAACTGTCATTGAACTTATGACCCTGCTGAGGACGAAATAACGCTCAGTCTGAGAAAATATGAATATTCATTCCTGTTTTAAGGCGCTACACGGAGCTACATTAACTTTCTACAAGGAAGAAGGAGGACAGGTCTTATTTTGAAAAAGAGAAGGTTTAGGGTTACCTGGTGAATCTGTGTCAGTTTAGTCAAAATATATGTTTTATAAAGTCTAAACAGGTTGTAAAACACGTATCGAACCACAAATTTCTAGGGCTGGGGCGATTTGTCAATGCAATCGACTACAAAAATGTGTCAATGCAAAAAACATGCGTCGAATGATGACGTAAACAATGCCTACTTTAGGTGACGGTGGAGGCATGGACGGCAAACGAGCTCCACCGAATGGGGTTGATTTAAAACAACAAATGTCGTTTAGGTCGTTATCTTTGTAATGTTTGTGTCTTTTATCAAAAATCACTCTGTTCTCCGACATGTAAACAATCAGCTGGTCGGCCATGTTGGATATACCAGTGAATCAGACGTAATACGATTGGTCAGAAGTGAGTCAGTGTGCGAAACTTTAGAAAATTCGACCGTGATACGAAAAAATCAATGCCGCAATATCACAAGACAGGAAAACGTCGCTGATGTGAACGTTTGTATTGACATAATGTGCCTTTTTGGTTGGTTGTGTGGCACTGACTTTCTCACTATTAAATGAAAGATGGTATGAATGTTATTTATTGTTACTTGACAGTCATTGTCACTATGAGTTAGGTGAGCATGCACCTGATAAGGGAGGCTGCTAAGCAACAAAAACAGGCTGGCTATCCGAATATGGTATACTACTGTTCAGAGTATGTCGTCCAGCTCTAGGTGAAGGCTTTTGTCTGAGTGTTACTGATAGTTGACTTTAGATTAGCTAAAAAGCAATGTGTAGTGCTTTGTGAATGTAAAAAAGCATTGATATTAATACTGTTTTTTGTTTTGTTTGATTTCAATAGAATCTTGAATAAATAATAGGACAAGATTTTAATTTTTATTTTGGTTAAATTCATTGTTATATTAATCGGTTAATAAAGAAATAATAAGAATAATCGATAGATTAGTCGACTAATTGAAAAAATAAGCTGTATAATTACCTTGGGAAAAAGTACAACTGGATTTAAAATACAAAAGGTTTTACATTTACCAAAGCACACAAACAGATTGATCGTTTTATAAATGTTTAATCTTCTAAACTTTTACTTCTTCCACTCTTTATCTTGACTAACATACATATTTTCCTCCTTTCTGCACTTTAAAAGCTTCTACCTGAGGAGTCCACCTCCCTGTTTGTCCCTGTTTCTCTCTCAGGCCGTCCCTCACGGGGCGGTCGGACCACCCTTTGGAAACCACTCTGAGAGAACACCCAATAGGAGGGGCCACGTGCTGAGGTGTTTGAGAAGGTGATGCCGTAAAAGCGGCGAGCATGTCGCAAACCAGGTGTGGAAGGTGATGTCGTAAAGCGGACAGGGGAAAGGGAGAGGGGAGGGGTGAGGAGGGGGGAGACAGGAGGGAGGAGGGAGGAGGAGGGAGGTGACTCGCGAGCGGCTGCGCTTCAGACTCAGCGAGAGGATCATGGCGGATGGCCCCAGGTGTAAGCGCAGAAAACAGGCGAACCCGAAGAGGAGCAGCGGTAAGTCGAAAGTCGTCCGTAACCGCTTCTGGGTGATCGAGCCGGGCTGCCGAGGAGCTTTCCACTCGGTAAAGTCCTCCTGAAGACTTGTGGGAGTTAGTTGGAGCTCGTTTGGCGGAGTTTGACGGAGTATTGGTGTGTTCATGTCCCAGGGTGGTGGTGGTGGTGGTGTACCGTTATACCTGGTTGGCTTGTCTCTCCGCCTAGCGGTGCTCGGGGCCGCCCGGCTGAGGAGCGCACCGTTATCCGTCACTTATAATAACCCGAGGAGCGCTTCACCTCTGCGTGTATTTTTAAGTTTTTCTCCACTTTTCCTCTCCTTGTTTCGGCACTTTTCAGCCACTTTCCCACCCTCGGCAACACTTGGCGGCAGGTTGCGGGGCTTTCACACAACAACGTGGCCCGTTGAACGCAGTTTGCAGTTGAAGTCTATGGCTTTTTTAGGGCGAGGTTGGTGCGGGGTTTCTTTCGTGTTTACTTGCAGCTCATTCACTCCCGGATGGAGCAGTTTTTCTCCCCAGTGCGTGAAAATTCAACTTTATCCAGTTGTGTCCACCGGACGTTGAATTGTGCTGTTGTTGTGATTCTATGGGATGTTTTGAATGGGGTTTGGTCTGCTTCGCTGCAAGCTCCGGTGATGGCAAAGACATGGGATGTTTATTTTATCTCCAGTACACCCCTCCCTGCTACAACTGCAACACCACATGTTTCCTTAGTTAAGGTAAGAGAGGAAATCACATTATTTACTCTTGTGAAGTACATTAAGTGATTTTTCTTCATGCATGCATGCGTTTCCTCATATATCGCACCAGATTGCGTTTATTATTTTATCAATTTTAGCTATTCAGCGTGGATTTTTAGTCGATTGGGATTTAAATTGCTCCTGTTGATATTTTTTTAACCATTTCTCTTTGCACCTGTGCATTCGGGATTGTTGTGCAAAAAATAATAGCTGTTCCATAGCTTTATTGCCTTTTGTATCACACTTTTATATACTTCTATCAAATCAATTTGATCAACAAATGACTAAAAACACCTGAATACAGTCTGATAAATGATAAAAATGTCCTCTAAAACATGTAATGTATCAAACGAGATGAATAAATATATTTGTTAAATTTTAAGGACATTTTTATTTATTTTTTTGGTTTTCAGTAGTAAGTGAAATAAACGTTTCAGCACTAAAAATGTGGATTTTCAGACCATAATTTGTGGTGTCAGGCATTATAAAGGGCTACTGGCAGTTGTAAGACTTTTATTTTGAAGGTTTTGTGCAAAGGTTTCTACTTGATTGAAAAATATGGACTCAAAGCAAATCACATAGCGACTTAATCTGCTGTGATAGTCACTTTATACTACCAGTGTCTTATTTGAATATGTTTTATATTGTAGATTACGGTGTTAAGGTAATGTTGAGCACACCTGTGTTAAATTAAAGGATATAGAAATAGGACTCAAACGCAGGTTGTTGTATTAACTCAAACGCAGCCCCCTCATTGGCTGCTTTCTTACCTGTACTCCCCCCCTCTAACATCGAATCAGCCAATAACAAAGTAAAAGCTTAAATTTATATATTTTTAGACACCGTTATGAGGCATGATCTGTGGGGCTGGAAAGCACCTTTCTTTCCTCCTCCCGCTGACGACACGACGGTGACTCTGCGCGTCCGTACAGGAGCCATCATCCTCATCATCCTCATCCTCATCATCATCATGTTTACCTGAACGCGGATAACGGGGGGCTTTGCAAATGGCCTAGAAATATACAGAAATAACACCTGCAGCAGCTCTCGTCCGTTACCGGAAAACAGGACCTGCTCGTCGTTGCATAAAGCCTCTGAAGGTGTCTGTGGAAAAATCGCTCCAAATGTCAACTTGTGCAGGTAGAGATGGTTTTTTTGTGTGTAGTTTGACCGTGTGTGCCGTGCATGGATGCTCTCCTGCCTTTCATTCTCGCGGGATTTATCTCCTGGACACGCATTTCTGACCCACTTGTGCATGTTTTATCCCCGCTTTTGTGCGTGTTTTTTATGCAGGCTGGTTGTTTGATCGAGTGCGATGTGCAGCAGTGTGCGTGTGTGTGCGTATGTGTGTGTGCGTGCACGGAAAACGAGCGGTGCATAAGGTGGTTATCCCTCTGTTATTCCTAACCCTGGACAATAACAGTGCTTATAGGGCTCCCCGTCAAACCTCTCGTTTCCATCTATTGTGTTGCGGTGATTCGTTATACAATTTCCTGAGCGGTGAGCGGAAGGGAATGGCGGTCAGTACCATTACTGCAGTGAAGGCGGGGTTGCTGCCTTTTTTTTTTCCTGGACCGGAGACAGCCAGGTACGCAAGGTGATGCAACACCTATAAAGGTGTATTTTCACCGATTTAAGCGCCTCAGTTTTGCAGCTTCGGGCTCCAATTCTCAACCTAAGTGTCCCCTAAGCGTCTGTTTTGACTACATTTCCACACATTTACAGTTAAATGAGGTTATAACGTGGAAGGAGCGCACATCAAGATGGTAAAAGGTGGTGAGAATCAGTGCGCACTCCTCTCATCTCATCTCTGCTGGTCCTTTTACCTGCTTTATCTTTTATCTGTCATCTCTTATCTCTTTTACCTCTTAACTTATTTCTGCTACACTGTCTTTTTAGCTTTTGTTTTAATTATCCTCTTTTATAATCAACCTTTTAGGCTTTTTATTGTTTTATTTCTTGCTAATTTCTGTTGCTCTATTTTGGGGCCGATGCCTATACTGATTATTAAGGTCTTTTCACACCGAGAGTGTTTTTTTCGTGATTATTTTGGACGTCAATATTTTATTCGAACAAGTATCCTGTCAATACAAGCGTTCACATCAGTGACGTTTTCCCATCCTGCGATACTGCGGTATTTATTTTTTCGTATCACGGTCGATTTTTCTAAAGTTGCGCATACTGTGTGTCCACTGCTAACCAATCAGATTTCAAGTTGTTACGTACATCATAAAAAATGAGGAACACTAGATATACTGTAGGCTACTGCTCTTCACATTGGTGTTACAAGTGCAGACAAAAAAAATCGAGAAAATCGACGATACCGTAGAATCGCAATTTAAATCGAATCGGCATCCAAAAAATCGTGGAAGAATCGAATCAGGAGAAAAGCATATCGTCCCAGCCCCACTTCATAAGCTTCAAACTACTGTAGAGTTGTGATTTTCAGTTTCCTAATATCTTTTAAAATGAGGAAAAAGTGAGTTTTTGCTCCACCATCAGAGTGAAATCTGAAATATTCCTTTTACTTTTGTATCTTTGTGAAGTAAAGCAGCATTTTCTTACATTAAATAAGCAGAGACCAACAGATATTTGATTTTTTTTTACTTGAAATTTGCTTTAAACAAGTTTTTAGTTATAAAAAAAGTCCATTTGTTGGAGTAGATCGATAAAAAGCCCTGATTGATTATCGATATCGGCTGATTAAAGTCATTAAAAAGTGTGCTGTGTGATCTCCACTGCTCATTTGACCCCCTCTGGGTCCATGTTCTCGCACTGCTTGTCTGAAGTCCCGCCCACAATCTTACCTGATTGGTCAGACGTCACATGACAGCGTTACATAACTGTGCTCTAAGTGTTACAGGTTAACTTTGAACACCTGTGTGTTGGGTGTTTCAGGTTTAATTCAACATAAGATAAAAGCATTGAGTTTGTAATCCCCTAAAATTATAATTTTGACTGATAATGCATAATCAGTTTGAAATATCGGTCCCAGTATCGGCCCTGAAAAATCAATATTGGTCGACCTCTTAATAAGAACACAATGAGCTCTTTTTGTAGATTATAATCTGATTAAATTACTCATATTTTTTATTTTTAACCATAATTACAGCACAATAAAAACACTGTCATAAAAGAAAGGCACTCATGTGTTGTCTGCTTCGAATAAAACACCATCTTAATTTTCAACCCTCAACTTTTGCAGGTTTCTACTGTCCAAACTACATCTTTTGTTTTTAAATTGCATGATGAGTGAGTTAGATCAGTTCAGGGGGCTGGTATTAATCCCTGATCGGTTAAAAAAGAACCAGAAAGGCTCTACAGTTCCTCTATTTTCACTCACAAAGTTACATTTTTGTTGTAATTTCCCTTTATTTATGAGCACATCCATAATACCCACAGTGCATTTCACCTGAGAGGCCCCAGAGACTTATTTCCAGGTTTCACTTCAGCTAAAACGCTGCTGTCGTCCCCTGCATTATAAACTACCCTTACCTATCCAGCCTAATTGATAGATGTCGTGCAGTTGGCCTTGGCTCCCGTCTTTATAGCGATGATTTCCCAGCATGCAGCAGCTGTAAACATGCTGGTATTAAAGCAGGGTAAATGATGAGTGTCATCTCGCTATCGGCCTGCAGAGACCCCTAACAGCCTCCTCCAGTCACTTACTCCACTTGTTTTAGCTTAATTTAAACCCTTAGCAGGCTCCACGCCGTACATCAGAGCGAGCTGCAGCAGCATGCACAGCACATTAACGCTCACTCTGTTGTTTTTAAATCAGAATATATGGACGGACGCCGAAGCTAGTTCGCTTGCAGCTCCGCCTCGGGTCTGATCTTCTGCAGCTCTCCTGTAAATGTCAGGTGTCGGCCCGAACCCTGCCCTACTGCCACTTTGGTCACAGCTTCGTCATCCATCGCCTTTCCTCTCGCTTCACGTGTGTGTGTGTGTACAAGCACGCTCTCAGCTGGGCTGTAATCTAACACTGCAATTTAGGGACTACAGGAATGCAGCCTGGTGTTAACATACCTTGACAGGATAAACACGGCGGCCCACTCCCAGGCTTGTGCAGCTCGTACGTCGAGGCCTGGCCTTCACCGTCCTGCAGAGGTATCTGAGGAATTAAGAGAACATGACCTGAGTGGGTTTGAAACAGAAACTATATTCAACAAGAAGCATGTAGTGTGTGTGATTGGAGTCTAACGTGTTCAATGCATGCTTGATTGGGACTGAAAAACCAGGATTGACACCTTTGCAGGAAAAATTTCGGGAAGTCAGCAGACAGGGGTCATGTTTATCTATAACAGACAGGTCATGAGGAAGGCTAATGCAATTCTGGTTTGTCTTAACCACCCTCTGCACTATGAATTCAAGCTTTTGCCATCAGGCCGCCGTTATCGGGCTCCTTCAAGGACGACTAAGAGATTTCAGATCTCATTTATCCATGGTGCGATTCATTTACAGAATGGTAATTAGACCTTAAGTTGTCCATGTTTTTCTTTGCATTTTTGCACATCAGCATTTCGCACTTTTTCACAGTTTACTAAGGCAGTTATCATTTCCAGTTTTGATATTGGCTCTGGACTGAGCAGTATGTTTTAGTCATCCTGCAGGGTTTCTCCTACATGCAATTGATCGCTAAATAAAAGCCGCCACACCGTAAAGAAAAATTCATTTTTATCTCACATAGTTCTACCAAGGACTCATATGTATCAGCAGTGTTTCCCCTACAATCATTCAGCAGTGACGCAGGCAAGAGTGCGGTGTGCAGACGGCTGTCTTCTGCATCAGGTCATGGAAAAAGTTGTTGATCTGAAAGCGCTTTGAATCAGGGTTTCAAAGGCGTTTGTTTTACTCTGTGCTGATTGGTTCTTTGATCAGCTCGCTCTTGAGTGACACGTAGACAGGCAGTATTTTCTCATAGTCTGGTGTTTGCGCACGTTGATGCTGTAACGCTCCATCAACGTATGGTACGATGCACCAAACAAGCTCGGTAACACCTTGTAAGAACCTCCCAGTTCTTCAGACCCTGATCCAACCAAAACCACATGCAGCAGCAGTCACACTCTCTCAGAGGAAAAATATCGACCCTGCAGCTTGTTTTGCCATCCTCTTTGTATAAATGAACCATTTTTAAGGTCACCCTGAGGTGTTTCAGTTACAGCTTTTCCACAGAGCGGAGGAGTCATGTGAGAGTCTGACTGTTAGATAACAGGCCTTGCCATTGGCCGGGTTCATCCTGGTGCACTCATGTTCTGCGGCCCCACTTCCAAAATAAACGAAGATGCTGGAAAAATGTGGATAAAAACAGACTTTGATGGTTTGCAGATCATTTAGTCTGATTGAGAAAAAGCATAAAAATGTTACTATCCTATAAATAATTCAGTATACACTCATGTTAAAGTAAAAAAAGTGAGTTGGGGGCAGGTTTACCGTCATGATGCATCACCCCTCTTACAGGATTCAGCTGCTCAACAGTTCAGGGTCTCTGTTTCAAGACGTGCCAAATGGGACAGGTGATCAGTCAGGGCTGCAGGTGGGACAGTTTGTGGTTTGGTGTCTATTATGTTAAGTCTACTCTGAATCAGTCGTTGTCTGGATGTTAGCATGTGTCGCTTTGAAACCTGTAGTTATAATTCAGTATTAATGATGTGGTTGTATGAGTACTTCTCAGTGTGGTACAGTTTTACAGAGAAATAGACGGATTAAAGGTCCTTTCAAACCAATAGCATTTTTTTCCTGCAATTATTATAAGTGTTATTTAATTGTGTTTTGTCTAATGCAAAATAAAAAGAAAGGAAAAATTTAAAGTGTGATTTCAGGTAATCTGCATTGTGATTTCCTCTACTACTAGTTTTAATTTTTTGTCATTTTTGGGTGCAGCCACCAAGTGTGTAAACAATACTGGTTTTTTGGAAGTGATTTCCAGCCAATGCAGTGACTCCCACTGCAGAGTCATGTCTGTTTTTGATGCTGTGCTCTCAAGGGTCTAAAGATCTGGTTTTACAGCGTTGTTTTTCAGCTTTTTTGTATCTGTTTGGATTTTTTATAAAGATGTTTTATTCTGTATATGATGTTAAATTTACACTAAAGGGACATTAATCTGAAACTGTTGATGACTGCTCACACAGTCTCTCACAGAGTGGTAAACTCTCAACATCTTTATATAGAGACTTTTTTTATTTGCTACCCAGTCATAACACTTATGACTTAGTTGGTAGATGCTCCTTTAGGTGATTATATTCAACAATACCAAACTTTTTTTTAGTGTTTTGATGTTTTTGTAACTTTTTCTAAATATTTTGTCGAGATCGAATTAAAAATGAAAAAAATGTTTTTCAAGTCCAACATAAGATTTGTTATCGAAATAAAGATCAAAATCTGATTTTTAAAAACATTTTATACAGCGTCTGAACTTTTTTTTGGAATTGTGGTTCATTTACGCTGGAAAAAATCGTGATTAACCACTAATTTGACTTAATTTACTGGAATTTTGGGGGTTATTTTTGTTCAATTATGTATACCTCAGGTGTGTTGTGGGTATATTCGCACCCGTCTGCCTCTGTGGTGTGTTCATAGGAAGTCTCAGGAAGCATTAGCTGAGGGAAATGATCCTGAGTGGGTTAAGAAGTGGTTGTGGTCAACAGTAGCTGTTAATTGATCCATGACCATCGGCCATTCATGTTACTTTCTCTCAGTGCTAAAGAGCCTGGAGCTGTGCGTGTGTGTGTGTGTGTGTGTGTGTGTGTGTGTGTGTTGTTCTCCTTGCACAAATGGGCCTGCGGAATGACAAAGCACTACAGGACGCCTTCAGCGAGTCAGCATTAACCCCTCCCATCGCCTTTTACGGTCCTGAGGGGGAGGTGCGCGGAGCTACCGATGCTGCTGCTGTGACTAATTGAGCAGTGTGTGTGTTTGTGTGTGTGTGAGTGTGTGTTTGCATGAATAAGTGCGCATGTGTTTGTTAGCATCAAGGTGGGAAACTGCTACTTTCCTCTGGGCTTTGCATAACAACACAGGGCCGCTTGTTTGGATTTACATGCATTAACATGGCGGCTGCCTGAGAGGGAAAGTCGGAGGTTTCTTCTGATGCTCTTGAGTTTAAATTAGAGAGAGGCACCTTGACAGATCAGGTGTGAAAAGATGACTCAATAACGCTGCCGTCACAATCAGGAGCACCGGCTTTACAGCAGTCAAGACTCTGGTTTGTCTGTGCAGCAGGTTTGGAGTTAAAGCAGGTCAAATTTGATAGTGTGTAGTTACATTCAGCATTGCTATAACACAAATAAACGAGTGCATTTAAGCTTTATTTTATGGTAGAAATCCTCTGTTTTTTTCCTCACATCTAAATAAGCACCCGTTAATCTGAGAGGGGCTTACAGCTGGTGTGAAAGGATGGCCGTTAAACCCAGGCCTCCATCCAGCGGGTACAGTGTAACTACGCTGGGTGAGAAATCATTGCGTATTTACATAATGCAGATTTTCTAATTTATGGCGATGCATTTAGACTTTTTGTGATCATTACAAATGCTCACATCATGATGATGTTATTGTGGTTAATTGTACAGCTCAATAAAACAGCAGTATGTCTTTTTTGATTCGTTGCAAACGACTCTGGTTAATAAAAGTATCAGGGCTGCAAAGATTGGTCGGTTTAAGCTTTTGGGACTTTCTCATGAGAGTTTCTTGGAGGTTTTAACACTATTGACAAAATGATTAACCTTCGGAATAATCTCAATAACTGTAAATAAATAATCCCTCAGTTTGCTCAGAGTTTAAGGTGGTGAGAATAAATAAAAATAGTTAATAATAGGGCTGGGCGATATGGCCTCAAATCAATATCAGGATATATTGAGCCGTTCACCTTAATAACGATAAATGGACGATAACTACTCAACAAGCTGCTCACCCCCTCCCACATTAACTTCCGCTCCAACTTTTGAACCGTCCTCCATCTCCTCACCTGTCTTCCCCTCTTTGTTACAGACTGGATGGGGTGGAGTCACGTCTCTGACATAAGACCATTGCCTACCTACACACATCCAAAACCAACTTTCATTTATTCTTTTAACACTGAATATACCGCTATGGGAAAAATGACGTCAATTATTGTTGTAAATTTTGGTATCGGTACATTTCCGGTTTATCGCCCAGCCCTAAGTTAACACTTTGGCTTTGATTGGCCACACCGAGCTGCTAGATTCTAGATTTAGATGCTCACTTGCTCACCCTTCTCTTATGCAAAGTGACGGCGGCCCTCGAGGATAAGAAGCTCCTGTCATGCATGAGTATATGATCCTAAATTTGTCGAGTTTTTACCCTCAAAAACATCTATAACTGAAATGACTTCATTCAGTCATAATCACAAACACCTCTAGAGCTGAGCTGCATGTTGAAAAGGTAATTTTGATCGATCAGTAAATAACAGGCAGAGACACAGAGGTGTGATTTACTTCACTCAACATGAGATCTATTTTAGTCGGAGGAGGAGGAAGAGAAACGGCGAGCTGCCCTTTAGGCTTCTCTGAAACTGACAGACACTTATGATGTCATTGTGGCGTTTTGGCCGTTTAAAGTCAGTGTTATGAGTCGTCTGTTACCACTGCTGACAACCGGGACATTGAGAGGAGAGCCCCTCCTCCTCCTCCTCCTCCTCCTCCTCCTCCTCTCAGCCCTCCACGGAGAGGTCAGAGGTCAGTGGAGCAGCCCTGGAGCTGTGGTACAACAAAAAAAGCACATGAGCCACATGTGCAGAGAGTTTAACTGCACCAATGCCCCAACAGCGCGCTCTTGTTTTGGCGTGTATTTTCATGATATGTCACCCACATTTAAAACTGAAGACAATCTAAAATTTACCAAGAAATTAGACACCAGATTGGTATCACCCCTCGGGCTTCTAGAGGACATGAAAAGCAAAGACTGCTCTGTCCACAGGGGGCGCCAGAATCAACATAAAACTAAAAGTTTTTTACAGGAGTTTTAGATAATTTGACTTTTACGAAGGTCATCTGCTGATGCACTTGGAGCTTGACTGTGCGGCCTGCCTGGACTAGCACTATATTACCAGTTTTTGCAAGAACGAATGAAAATCAGCAATCTAACCACAGGGGGCGACAAAAACGACACAGGAAGCACACGTTACCTATAAATACGTTGATTATTTGTATGTATATTAGCTCTTAATGCCTCATTGTAAAGCTCTCATTAACACCTTAATCTGTATTAAAATATTCTACTAACTGCTGAGTCATTAACCAAGAGTTTTCCTTATTAACCTTTTGAGAAATATGAAGACTTACTGCCTGTTTTAGGAGAATTAAAAGAGGAAGTCCTCGCTGATTTGAAGCTGCTCTGCTCTCACAAACATGTGAATGAACGGCTCGATAAAAGCCGAGAAAAGATCTGTTTCATATTAAATCTGCGCCGTTAAATCCAAAATGAGATTGTACTAAAGCCAATTCCTCAGAACTTTCAACGCTGCTTCATAAATTCGGAGTTACTCGCTGCCACCTACGCTCCGGAGAGCGCCAAAAACCCAGAACCAGAGCTGAAGTTTACCTTCAGCCCCGCAGGAGCCTGAAATCTCCACAGACCTGCCAAAGTCGCATTAGCTCTTTCTTCTTTAAGGTGGCCTAACCCATTTCCACGAGTAACCTGCTTTGCCGTCGCCTTTCATGGCGCGCATTAAAGCACCTGAATATTCATGTATTCGAGAGGCTCCCCGCGCAGCTAACAGCTCAAACTTTAATCTGCGCTGCGGTGCTAACGCTAACTGAGGCTGAGCTGTGAGAGCCTGTGGAGAGGAAACCTGCTTTATCCTGCCGGACCCTCCTAAACTTTACTCCGGGTGCATTTTGTTCAAGTATGTTTGCGTTGATCCGTTTGTGCGATTGTGTGCGCGTAGGCCAGGTTGAGCGAAAAGAAAGAGTCCTTTTCAAAAGTCCTGTGTGTGGGAGAGAGGGGGAGCGCTCTTTCACACTCAGCCGGTGGGAAACTCCTCTCCTTCTCCTTTGGTGGTGCTAAAAATTAGCATATCCTGCCGTCCTCCATTCTCTTTTTTCTCCGCTGCCGCCTGAGAGGCAGAACAGAGGGCTGCGAGCTCCAGGAGCTCAGAGGAAATCAGTGAAAGCTGCAGCCCAAAGCTGCTGCCTGCCTGCCTCCAGGCTCAACACCCAGCCACGGCCACGTGTGCCGCCGTACATGCAGAGTATAAGTACAGAAGTAATCCCGGGCAGACCGGTCACTGAGGTGGAATGGCGCCCGTCTGTGATAGGCTGCCGGCTTTGATTCGTTTCCATCAGAATTAGGACACATCTCAAAGGTAGAGGCAGAAGAAACAGGTGTATGGAAGGCAATGAAAAGAACCGTGGAGCTCAGAGGAGAGCGGCGGCAGAACAATGAGACGGATAAATAAAGCAGAAAACTGGAAACATTTCAGAGTTGAAACTAAATTTAGATTTTCACGGCTGTTCCTCAGTGAAAATACGGTGAAAAAAACACTCCTGTTATTCAGCCGTACAGACAGAGATCTAATAATACAGTATTCACATCTCAAACCCCAGACTGTTTGTACATTTTCACCAATTTGAGGTTCAAGATGAACAGAATTTTAGAAGAAATAAGCATCAGATTCACCATTTTTGAGAGAAGTCAGTATTAGTTATTGTCTGGATTTTTGCAGAATATGGTCGAAGAGTAGAGAAGTAGAAATACTACGGAGGCTAACGTGCCCTTTGTGGGATTTTAAGAGGAAAAAAAATCCTATTAGAAAGATAAAGTTTTATTTTTTAGGAATAGAGTTGTAAAAGAAAAAGTCCAAAATTTTTGACAATTTAGTCATAAATTTTTTTAGAGAATTTTTATTTATTTATTTAAAAAAAAATTTTTCACAAGTGAGAATCCTAAGGTGGAGAAGTCCCAAATTTATTAGAATTAAATGAAAAAATATCTGAGAAAAAATTTAAGAGGAAAAAATTTGAACTTTTTCGAAATGAAAGTCGTACATCTGCAGGGATAGATTATTACCACAATAATCATGACAGTATTTTGAGAATTAAGGTGCATGTTTATGAGAAAGATGTTGTAGATTTGGTAGATAAAGTAGTTAGAATAGTAGTCTCAAATCTATGGGAATAGATTGTTAATTTCTGAGAATGTAGTAAAGGGATTCCCGCACACTGTCCAACTTGCAATCAGTCATTTATTTGCAACGTTTCGGTACGAGACCTTCATCAGGCAAAACCAATCATCCTTTAATTTCTGAGAATAAAACTGTAATTTTACAGGAAAAAGAGTTTTTATTTAAGGAGATAAAGTCCGAGGAGGATTGAGCTCAGGTGTTATTGTAGTTAATTATTTCAGGAGTTTATTCTCGTACACTAAGGTGGCCCTAATACTCTGCAGACTCAATGTTAATAATGTGTCGAAAATAAACACAATGCATGAATGTGAGTGTTGATTTCATGAGCATTAAGCCTTTAAGACTTTATTAAATCAGGGTTTTGTTGAAAATAGCTCCTCATGCCTGAGTCATGGATATGCATCTTCAGCCATGTACCATGGCGTGTTATCATTTCTGAGCTTTACACGCGCTCACATGTCCTCTCTCTCGTGAAGCAGATTATTTCATTGGGGACAGAATGTTTTAACAAACCACTCTCAGAGGTTCGTTTCTTCTTCTTCTTCTCTCTTTATGTCATTTAACTTCACAGAGCTGACCGACCGCAGACTTCTCTGGTGTATTTGAGATTGAATGAAGCTTTAAAAACGTTAAAATGAGAGAGCAGCCTCCTCCCAGCAGAGTCTCAGGGGACATAAATCATGAGCGGTGGACAGGTGGGTTAGGAGGGGCCTGGACTCACTAAAGACCCCCCTGAGACTGGAGTGGGTGCAGCAGTAGGAGCAGCAGCAGCAGGACAGGTGGAGTGGAATAGAGAATTAGATTAGAAGCAGAGCGGATTGATTTATTCTCCTCTCTGAGACTGAAGCTGCATTTCCAGGATCTCAGGATCCTTGAGTAAAACTTTCTCTCAGCTGTGGACCCGTCTGCCTTCAATAATCCATGTTATGTGTGCGTGTCAGATGTTAAAGCTGTTTTCTGTCTCTGACTATGCAGAGTGGGAGGTGTGCGCTGGAGTCTTCAATTGAAGGAGAGGATTTGATTAGACGCTAAATTTGATTTGTGGAGTTGGGCTTCTCTCTTTGCGTCCTGTGGGCTCGCTCTGCGCAGTGCACGGAGCTGCAGGGATGATGATATACGGCGCGTCTGGATGTGACAGAGAGGAAAGCATCTCCTGCTTGCAAACAAAATATGCATGTCTATTGAAATCCCTTAATAAAGTGTCAGTGTCGATTTAGATTTGCGGGTTGACGAATCGTAGGGGAGCGTCGGCAGTCTCCTTTTGAGAGCCTGCAGCAGAATCAGTGCTGTGTGAAGGAGAGCGCTGCAGAGGCTGAGAGAAAGGGAGCGTTGTTATTGAATTACAGGTGATGGCTGCTAATTGGGCCCTCCAGAGGTTGTGTGTTTGTGTCTGTGTGCGTTGTGTGCGAGCGTGTGTGTCTGGCTCTGGGGATGCGGCGTTGATGAAGCTGTTAGGGTAAAGTGCAGGGCCCCGGCGCGCTCCCTGAGTGCTGCGCTTTAGAGGCTGTACTGTCCCTGCGGACGAGCGCTAATGGAGGCCACCGGGCCCTGATGTATTATACCCAGACTGGATGGATGGAGGGATGGATGGATGGATGGAGGGCTGACTGACTGAGCCCTCGGTGGTGATGCTGTAATTGAGGTGGCCGACGAGCGAGACGAGCAGGCAGGTTTTTTGATGAGCTGCAGGCATGAAGCAACACGTTTGCACCAAAGCTGTGATCCTAACAGCATCACCCCCCTCACTGTCGCCCTCAGCAGGGGGTCAACAAGGCCTGAAAGTCAACCTGCTTCACTTTCTGTTCTTAAACGCCTTATTCTGCTGTCATTTAATCATGTTACATTACGGGGACAGTTTGTGAAAATGGTCTTTTTGGTCTATTCTCGTCTAGTTTTTTGTGCACTGCTTGATTTATAATGTTGGAGTAAGCAGCTTTAGTTTACATGCGGTACACTTACTCTGTCAAGGTTGTTAAAATTCACAATACTGTCATTACTTTCAGTGCCTGGACTCTCTAAGGCCTTGGATAAGCACCGCAGGACCAGAGGTCGTCTGCTTTATCAGCATCACTAGGCCTTTTTTTTTAAAACCAACTTTACCTGTAAAACTTTATCTCTAAACTCTACAGAGGCTGTGCTCCTCCACAGCCTCAGAGGGACACACATCACTGCTGTACATAGAGGTACAACCGAAAAAGCCTGCTGTGACTCCCCCCATCAATCTAAATTTCCTGTGATATTTGAGAATTTAATTCAGATTCAGTGTTGATAACGATTTATCTGAAGGGATTTTTGGTGCGACATTTGTCACAGATTGAATCAAACAAATCCAGACTTCGGCATTCCACATCTGCAGGTGGAAGGGAGGGGAGCTCTCGAAACTGTATCCATTCTATTCTATTCTGTCCTTTGATGTCTAATTCTAGAACTGTGGAGATTTGTGTTCTTTAGAATAGAGTAAGAGTGCCTGCTGTGTTCTGTACCTTGAGGGGTCTTTGCTGATGCCCTCCCTCCCCTTACCCCCATTTTCCACTGCATCCGGAACGGCTACCAAAAGGCTGTATCCGCCAATCGTAGCTGATCGTAACCATTCAAGTTAATGTGTTGATTTCCAACGGCTTCTTTCCATTCCACTGCGGATCGCCGAACTCTGCAGCTGATTGCAAGAGTTATATTTTTTCTGGACGCGGGAGCATGCTGAATAAATTCAGCAAAGATTAGATTCAAAATAAAACACTCCTTGTTTTCGGCGGATCGTATTTCAAAAAGTCTGGAAGTAGATTTCCTCCTCTGGAAGGACACAATCTACTGCTTATATGGTTAGCCCATGTGGCCAAAGACAACTTGTTATCCCGTGATTGCACGTGAACATAGGGTTCTTGTGAGTTCTTGCGATTCCTGCTGTCCATTATCCGTCACAAAATTTGCCTCACAAACAGATCAGGTAGGAACTGGCGAACGGCGAAAATTGCTGCCATTCAGGATGCGGTGGAAATCCCGGGTTAGACTTAGGCATTTCACACCTGCAGGTGGAAGGACAGGGAGCTCTCAGAACAGTATCCATTCTATTCCATTCCATTCTGTCCTTTTATGTCCCTTGATGTCTAATTCTAGAATGTTGGGAATCTGGCGTTCTTTGCTGCTGCTCTGCCTGTCTTGGCTTTTCTAATACATTCTATTCTGTTGTTCTGATTCTAGAACCTCACAGACTTGTTGTTCTTCATAGTAATATAAAGTTGTGTTTGTATCAGTTTGAACTCCAGTATTAGTTAAAAATATCTTTAAATATCCAGTACCTATGTCCCTTTTTTCGCTCTGAGAAGATCTATTGTTAAACTCGTCAATATTCTTTGTTGTTTGATATAGATGTGCATTGAATTTCTTCCGTTGCAGATCGCTCAATGACTTAATTGCGTTGTTAAATAAGTCATGTGTTGCAGTTTGAGCCCCAAACCTGAAGGTGGTTTTAGAGTTCCCCCTGCCCTCTCCTCCTTTCTTACTGTAACTGTTCCTCTGTGTTTCTGCTGAGCGCTCAGGATCTCGGCTGTCACCGCCACCCTGCTTATCCACTTTGGTGGATTTTTGTTGATCAAAGCAGTTTGGGCATCGGCGCTGGCGCTGCGGCGTGACTGCTGAGGTGTCAGCTGCTCGGTCTACATGAGATGCGGACGGACGACCCTGCAGGCTCCCTCTTTGGTTTGTTTCTGTGTTTGTACTGCTGTCGCTCTGTGGGATTCTGGCTCCCTCTACCTTCACTGTGGGGGAACCTGTGGGGCAAAACCTACTCCCCATCCTCTCTCTCTTTTCCTCTGCCCTCCTCTTTGTATGTCTGTGCTGGGTTTAAAGGCTAAAGTTACAAAAACAGCTGTGTGTGTGTGTGTGTGTGTGGTTTATTTACTTTGTAGGGGGCGTGTCTGTTATGGCAGGATACGAATGACGAGGTCTGCTGTGTGTTTTGCGCTCTAAAGGAAGCTGGGTTTCCTATGTTGTGTTGTTGTAGGGGTCATTGTGTTGTGTTGTGTGGCCTTGTTTTGACCCTAACCCTTTCGGTCCACTTTACTTCATCTGTATCTCTGAGTTGATATCAGCTGCTGCAGTGTTTGCTTTCTGCATCGGTGCAGAGGGAACGCTGCGCTCTCTTCACACCTGCAGAGGTAAACTGCCGTTTTCACTCTGCAGTGGAAAGATCACAGATTAAAACCACACGCCAGGGCAGGTTATGGCAGCGAGAACATTTCAATGACAATTATGTTCATTTTCATCTATAAAATGTTTTTCTTTAAAGCTCGGGCTGCAGTGATTGAATATTTTAGTCATTAACGGGGGGGCACACAGCAGGCGGCACCATAATCAATCAGCCTCATATTTTCATAAGACGAAATCATAATCCAAATTGAAGAGCTGACGTCTAGTTGGTTCTTATGTGGCAGGAATCCCAAACTCAGCACATGAAGCACCGAATAGTCTGGATTTAAATGGAAACTGGAGGAAAATTGATGTTTTATAATGAAGTTATTCAATTTGTTCGACAGATTGATTCAACCTTGTTGTCTGCAAACTACTTCTTTGGCACTTGAAGATGAAGTTATGAAGATTTTGACCCTGGTCAAAATTATTGGCATCTTCCATGTCTCTGCAAATTAGCTGTTGACTTTAGGAAACCATCAGCCAATACGGCCTACAGGCAAAAAGTTTAATTTCCTGCACTCATCAAGTATGTAACCCGGAGCAGGAGTTTGGCAGAGCTGCACTTTTCCTTTTTGGGTTATCGGCCAGAGTTGGCGCAGGTGCAGCTCAGCGGCTGCAGCTTTTTTTTTTTACGTTTCGACTGGGTTTCATCAACACTGTTTGTTTTCCCCTCTGGTCTCATGCAGCAGGCATCCTAATGTGAGCTCACAGATACTTGGAAGTTAACTCGACCTGTGGTGAGCTCGCAGAGAGCTTCATTACTCACAGGTCGCTCTGCCAGCGAAACGGCGGATGTATAAAACTTTACAGCAAAACACCAAAAATTCAAGAACTTTATGGAAGTTTGGGCAAATTAATTTAAGCTTTTAGTCAGTGTTTATACAAAATGGGTTTATATGCAGTAATAGATGCAGTATATTTGCAAATATTGTGCAGAAGGAAGAGCACGCCTATCATCATTTCTATAAAATGCCAAAGGGAGGTCATCAGGGCTGGGGTTAGGATTAGCTGTGGGCTAAGTAGGGCTGGGTAATATGGCCTCAAATCAATATCATGGTATATCGATCAGTTCACCTCGACAACGATAAATGGACGATAACTACTCCACAAGCTGCTCACCCCCTCCCACATAAACTTCGTCTACTTCAGCCGCTACAACCTTTGAACTGTCCTCCATCTCCTCACCTGTCTTTCCCTCTTTGTTACGGACTGGATAGGGTGGAGTCACGTCTCTGATGTAGGACAGCATCTTAAAGGGACATGAGACCATAGCCTACCTACACACATCCAAAAACACAGAATATACCAACATTGGCAAGATGACTTTGGTTATTGTTGTAGATTTGGATATCAGTAAATTTTCGGTTTATCGCCCAGCCCTAGGGCTAAGCTTGACTCTTGCGACCTGCCCGAACTAGCCCCATACACATAGTCTACTAACACATCCAAAACCAACTTTGATCTTCTCATTTTTTTGACACTGAATATACCAATATTGGCAAAATGACGTTGGTTATTGTCATAAATTTCGGTATCTGTAAATTTTCGATTTATCGCCCAGCCCTAGGGCTAAGCTCGACTCTTGCGACCTGCCCGAACTAGCACCGTACACTCAGTATCTTGAAATAAGTCATTTTTCTAGACTTAAATGAAAAACACTTGCAAAGATGACACAGTAAGAGGTTAAATCACCAGCCCTGATATTTGTCCAACATTCCTCGTTTTAATCGACCAAAGGATGATCTGACACTCGCTCTTATTGGCGTAATAAACCGTCTTCTCTGCCCTAATTTGATTTATCTTCCCCGTCGTTAAAAAACGCTTCTTCATCCAGAATAAGACGAGTGTATGGAAACATGTTAATGAGGTGCAGCTCGTTTGTCCCGTTAGGATTTATGTCTTTTCTCAGAACATGTGCCAGGTTCTTTCCTCTCAGTGTTTATTTATGTACACAGCGCTGTCTTCACATTTGTCTAGCAACACTGCAAATAAATTAAGCTCCAACAACAGATGAAAACAGTCAGAAACAAGCAAAGTGGAGGGTTTCGTTTCTGCCAGTGTGCTAACATGTGTGTGTTAAAGTGTGTGTGTACTCTTCCCAGCATAGCAGGTGTGCCTGGGCTTCAGCCCCATTACAGGTCTCATAAATACCACCTGACACGGTTACAGCAGGCAGCCTTCGAATATAAAACTCTCCTCCTGTGGCGTGAGCATGCAGCCCTTCAGCGCAATTATATTATAGCACACTTCAGGAGAGGAGGGCTGCACCCTGCCCGGCTCCTCTTAACGGATCGAGCTGCTCCGAGCACACACTGTATCTCAAGCTGCGTCTTATAACTTCAACATGAGCAGTTTTATTTGTGTTTTTAATGCACTGCACGGTGACTTGACTCTGAATGAGTTCGCTCCCTGTATTAGTTATGTCTACTCGAATATGCACGAAGAAAAGGGTTCATTTGGGACTCAAACCCGGACTAAAACACGCTCTTTTAAAGGTCTAAAAAAACAGTCTAAAGGTCAAAGTGTTTTAAAGTTTAATCCCTCTCAATCCTCTCACATTAAAAGTCTAATGTGTTGTAAATCTCAGTATTTGTCTCAGTCTCTCTCTTTCCACGGTTTCACCTGTGTTGTGCTTTTCTGTTTAGCCTCTCCGCCGCTCTCCCCGGATGACATTTCAGCCCGATTCGGCGATCTGAACGTGCTTGACATTTCGCTAAACTGCGCACGGAAGGTTCTGTCTGCCCGTGCGTTTCCCTTCCCGCCCTGCCTGCATTGTGCGACTGGGTAAACACATACGCATACACGCGCACCAACACACACCGAGACATGCGTGCATCCTCGCAGGCTCGCCTTTACATCTGGGGCGTTTTGCTTCGTCTGCCTGCAGGTTCAGGATTATCCCTTTGTCTTTACTGCCTGTCTGCCTGCTGCGCGGAGGAAAGCCTCCAGGTGTTTATTTTTGATGTTTTCCCTAAACACACCTGTAAAGCTAAAGTAGGCTAGCATCTCATTATGGGCTCTCTAAACAGGTCAGAGTTGTTGCAGTGTGTGTATACGGGAGGTTTAGCAGCTTCCTACGCCTGAAAATAAAGAGGGAGCACTCTATAAACGACCGAACACGACTTTTTGATGTGTTTGCGTGTTAAAAGAGTAAAGGCGATCAAAGTCTGCGTGAGAAACGTTCCTCGATTGCGTCCCGAAGACCAAAGCTTTTGATTTCCTACCAAACAATGTTGTTGTGCAGCGAGGTGGAGGTCTTTGAAAGCGCTTCGCCTGTGGCTGTGCCTCCTCCCAACACCCCCAGAGGTTCACTTTGACTTTGAATCTAACGGCTGGCAGCATATGGAGATATTCTTTGTTTCTGTGCCACTCAGACACGAAGCCTCCCTCTGCTAACCCGGGCACAGGCCTCATCTCCCAGCTTGACTCTGTCCCTCGCTGACAGCCGCTCAGGTCGGCGTACAGACGGCGGCGGCATGGTCTTCATTTAGCGCGGACAGGATCGCCGTGCCAGCCGAGGTTACGTGCCAAAGAGCGGCCCGCAGAGCTCGCCGCGGTCGCTGCCAGCTCCTGACATACAGTAGACGGGCGCTGCCAAGAATACAGTGGTCTGATTAAGTAATATGATGTTAGATGGAGGGATGCTGTGAGGTCGCCTGCTGGATTTGGAGATGGAGAGACTGCTGGTGTGGATCGCTTCGTATATTCTCCATCTGTGATGAAACGACGCCGCTGACAGATCACACGCTCTTTCAGAAAGGCTTAAACTGGTGACCCAGGAGGACCGGAGCAGTTCATCATCACGGTTTTATCAGATTTCAGGTTCACGAGCCAAGTCTGGTTTCTTCAAGTTGACTATCAACTTAAATAAACAATCTCAGAACTTTTACCTTTCTAATTAAGAGTATTTCTGAAAGAGATTCAAACATTTGGATTGGCGGTGTCCTGATATGATATTGATATTGGATATCGGTCCGATATCAGCCAAAAAAACGGCTATTAGATTATATCAGCCTGCATCTAAAATCTCCGATATCAGCACTCTGAAACAAGCCGTCCATTCCAGACTCCGCTCCAGCACCTCTATCTAACAGCGCCCTGATCCAGCATGTAGAGCCCATCACAACAACAGAGTGTACTAAGGTACGAACAAAGTAACGAGGAGTAGGAGTGATGTTAGAGTTGTGGCAGTATGTTTGGTTTAAGTCCGCAAAAGACGTTGCAGCTGAGTGAAAAACTTGTTCGGCACAATTTTGTGTCAATATCGGTCAATATTGAAGCAGTGTTGTTTTCGTTGACGATGACGTTGACGAGACGAATGTGCGTTTACGTTGACGAGACAAGACTGGACGAAAACGTTAGTGGTGGACGACGAACAGAGTTGCAAAATTCCTGAGCATTTTGTCAGTCAAGCGCTAAACATATATTCTGCATTGTTGTTTTCGTTGACTATGATGTTGACGAAATATCATCGTCAACGAAAACAACACTGTATTGAAGGCTACAATATCGGTATCGGACACCCCTTATTTGGATACAGAGGTGGACTGAAAGTCAACTTCGGCTGATTATCGGCTTTTTTATTTTACAGATGGCCAATAAAATCAAACCATTAAAATCCCATCAACTTTTCCCAATATTGGTTCCAATATTGATTGTTTGTCTCATGAACTACTAATAATCGTATCAATATCGGTATCAGAATCGGCTCTGAAAAACCAATATCAGTCAGTTCCTGTTGGGTTACAAATACTAGATCAAAATTGCCTTGATAGTTTTGGAGGTAAAACTTTCATTTTAGATTTTTTTTCGCCCTTTTTGACCAGAAGAAATTTGTTTCTTTAGGAGCATCGTGGCCGAGACAGCAGCACAGCAAGCAGCTCAAGTTGTAGTTAAACACTACACTACACTAAGGGCGTGCATGTGCAGTCGATTGAACCATAAAAAGTCACTTTTAAAACATCAGGTGTGTCTTTTATCTCTTGGTCTGAGTTTTAGCTCTTGCACAGAGTCCAGGATCGGTTTTCTCTTGCACTCTGATCCAGACTGGCCCGGGTTTTTGGCTCATGCTCTGAAATTTGCACACTAACATCTGACCTGTAAGAAGTCAGTGTTATAGTCCACCTTCAGGTTTATGTTGTTGATTGTTTTGGCGTGCGGCTTAAAGATCAGACGGTTATTACTTCTTAGGTGGATCTCAACTTTCATCTTCATTTGAAAATGTTTGTGTGTGGACCGGACCGTACTCGTGAAGTTGTTTTCATCCTTCTGACGCGGCTGGAAAACCGCTCTGTGTGTAAACTGGCATGAACTCTGTGTCTGAGCTCATTCCCCATTGAGGGACATGCAGTTCTGCATTTAAGTAAACATCATGACTGACGGGAGCGCACGCTTGACCTCAGTTTGCCCAGAACTCTCAGGTCAGCGGTTAGCGGCTATCCCGGAGAATTCCTGTCAGGACAGCAATAGCCCGTGTTTACCCAAAGCTCAGAACAGACCCTCATGAGGCCTTTCTGGTCCCGCCGCCGCAAAGCTTGGCGCTTAGTTTAGCGTAGCGTAGCCAATTGAAGCGCAGAAACTCGCTCAGGGCGGTACACGCTTCCCCCACAGGCTAGCTCGTGTTGCAGAGGCAGAAAACTCCAGCAGAGACGCAGCTCAAACACACAGATGTCATGTTTTGCACATCACAGCGCCGGGCTTTTACTGATGCTAAGCAGGCCTTTGTAAGCGGCGGAAAGTCTTCAGTTCTCCGACCTATTTCCCAAGGAGGTTTCAGCCGGAGAGGGAGTGCGTGTGATATGAATACTGAGCAGGCGAGAGGAGGGGGAGTGCTGGATCATGACCGCAGCGGTGCAGGGGTACCTGCTGGGGCATAAATCAGAGCTCACAGAGATTATTATTGATAAGGTGGAAGTGTTTTTTCCTGTTGGAGCTCACTGAGACCAACGTGAGGGGCGGGAGAGATTAATTCTGTCTGCAGGACGAGAAAACAGAGTTTGTTATCAAAGCGAGGAAGCCGCAGCAAACGTGCAAACCTAAATTTAAGTTAAAGAGGTATTTTCTGATCTTTTTAGGGGTGCAGAACTCAAACAGCTCGTCTTATCAAGTTTGCTGTGGTTATTGATCAGATGTGTGATTAACTAAACGCTCTTACATTACCTGATTGCCTAAAGGAGGACGTCTCCTGAACAACAGCATTAAAAGCCTCGTAGATATCAAATTAGTCCAAATTAGAAAAACATCTCCAAGCTGGAGTGTCTGGGGATCGAAACCCAAGATGTGCCAGAGGTGGAAAAGCTCTCCTCACTCTCACTCCTTCTCTCCTCCTGTCATATTTTATGATAATTATTATATCATAAACGTGTTTTAAGGCTGGAGAGGCTGAGGGAGTCGACAGAGCGGTGCGTGTGATTAAAGACTTATTAGGTGAGTCTAAGCGACATTTAAACTGCGATAACCTCGACAGTCTTTAAAGGAAAGGTCAGCAGAGATGGCGTGAACACTTAGATGAGAAATCAAGCTAAAGTGATGTTATTTCCTTCAGAGGAGGAGCCAGCTCAGCAATAACGCACATTTTCATTGACATTATTTGACAATCAGGACTTTGTTTCTTGGATTTCTCACACAGAAAGGTCAAATATTTGCTGCATGAGCTGAAAATAGCTTCCAAAATGCAAAACTACATCCTGCCTGCAGGTCTGACAAAGAAAATCCTGAACTATTAAGCCACTTAAATCCTTTATCAGGCAAGAATGGGACCACATCTCACTTTCCAAACTAGGGCTGGGCGATAAACCAAAAATTTACAGATATCAAAATTTACGACCATAGCCAACGTCATTTTGCCCTTGTTAATGTATTCTGTATCGAAAAATTAAATGAATAAAAGTTGGTTTTGGACGTGTGTAGGTAGGCTATGGTCTCATGTCCCTTTAAGATGCTGTCCTACGTCAGAGACGTGACTCCACCCCATCCAGTCCGTAACAAAGAGGGAAAGACAGGTGAGGAGATGGAGGACGGTTCAAAAGTTGGAGCAGCTGAAGTAGACGAAGTTAATGTGGGAGGGGGTGAGCAGCTTGTGGAGTAGTTATCGTCCATTTATCGTTATCGAGGTGAACTGATCAATATATCGTGATATTAATTTGAGGCCATATCGCCCAGCCCTACCGAGAGTTTCAGTCAGACTGCAGTTTGAGGCCAAATTAGGCAGCTCATAAAAGCACAAAAGGTTCGATTCTGTGAATCACGACATTCTGAAGGACTGATAGATCCACAATATTTACTCAGTCCTTGACCAAACCAGTGCATCCTAAAGCTGCTCAGGGGAGAGGATCAGGGAAAGAGGAGGGAAACCAGAATCATGAAGCAGCAACTTATGAATAATCAAAGTGTTTCAGAGACGTCTTAAAAGTGTTTGTTTATAAAACACAGAATTCACAATCAATGCAAACGCAGATAATTAGTGACGGCATGTTTGTCTGATAGAAAAGGTCAAAATGGTTTCAAGCAAGGATCTAAAAGAAGATCCAAAGAAAAGTCGACTCGTGTCTCTCGTCCTCGTTTCTTCTTTCCTTCTCTTCATGGATCTCTAAGGATGCATGAATTCATCTGCAGCTTAAAAGAATAAACCCTCAGACTGTCACTTGCTGCTCTTCCTTCTTCTGGTTTGATCCAGAGTTCTCCCTCTGAGTCACAGCTAATGAAAAGAGCCTCGCCTGGGCGGATATTAACCTTCCTCCACCCTCCAAACCCATCCCCCCACCCTCCGCACCGACTGTCAGAGGAGATGGAAAACAGAGAAAGGGGGCTGCGCCTCGTGTTAAAGGTCACGCAGCAGCGCCGCACACGGCACATGCCCCGCCTTCAGGTCCTTTTTGTAGCCGCGTGTTGTGACAGTGTCCAATCTTGCGGCTGATTGATGACCGTTAGAAAATTCTGCCTCTTCACCGAGAGGTCAGAGGTCATGATCAGACGCATAACAGCCTCTCTGGTACAGGAAGGATTTACAGTGAAGGACGGATCCTTGTCTCGGTCAAAGCAGCTGTTTGGGTTCAAGGGAAGTCTCCTCAGCTGCATATGGAGGTCTTGGGGGTCCACATCCACACGTCCCAGCAGTGTACGTACATGAAAGTGATCAGCACCTCCACAGATGACGGTATTGGATGATCAGAACAGGATACTCGTCCCCTGATTACACCTCTGCTTTCATTTTCTCTCCAAGGTATTGTTCCACTTTGCTAAACTCTTTTATTTTCAATCGAAGGAGAGTTTACTCTACCCTCGACATTCACACACACGGACTCATTCAGAAACTGGAGAGCAGCCAGTGTAATCACAGGCTCCCGAGAACTTGAGAGAGCTTCGAAGTTTATAACCCGCTTAAGAAAGACGTGAAGAAGTTTCGAGTTTTTCTGAAAAGAGCTGTCAGAAGGAGGGAAATCTCAAAGTGCATCAGCTGTGGTCTCCTCTGGAGGTCGAGGTTTTATAAATCCAGCTCGTTTCACAGCTTCTCACCAGTTTTTCGATGATTTATCACAAACAGATGTGAAGGGCCAGATGCTTGATAACTTCATTCCCTCAAAGCTCCTGTGAGGAGCTCTCAGCTGGTTATGAAACACTGTGATTGGTGTTGATGTGTCTTTAGGAGCAAAACAAGAGCAACCAGAGTGAGCTCGCACTTTCAGACGGTCATTATAAACTCCGATCGATGTGGAATAGAAGTTTAGGAGTGTGAGGTACTGATGTATCTTCAACATGTCGTGCTATAGCAGTACAAACGAATGTGAAGCTGCAGAGGAGAGGGGAGAGGAAGTAGGTGTGTGCGTCTGAAAAGCAAAGGGGCGGAGCATGAGGGTCATCACATTTAACTATCGTAATCTATCATCATTCATATGAAAGACCATGAAGGCCTTTAGGGACTTTATCTCAGTAGGAGGTAGTTAGACGGATGAATTTGTTCAAATAAACCAGAACCAACTCAGACAGCTTCAGGATGTGTACTAACTCTAACCCCCAATTTACACCGCATCCAGAATGGCCAATCATAGCTGATCGTAACCATTCAAGTTGATGTGTCAATTTCCACCGGCGTCCTTCCATTCCGCTGCGGATCCGATATTTGATATCGGTAACGTACCCGATACTGAAGAAAATTCTGGATCAGGTATCGTGACAATGGGCCCGATGCTTAGGGGCCAGTCTATTCAGTCTAACTTTATGCTATGCGCAGTGAGTATCATCCACAAGTAAACACGCTGAGTGGATGCCCACAATGTTTTCAAAATGGAGCGAGTAAAAGGGGTCTGCTGTCTTGAACTTTATCACAATACCTTAACCTACAAGCTCAACAGCCACTTGCAATACCAACGCAGTAAACGTTCTGAGGGGCGGTGGTAAAACTTCAAGTTACAACTGAAGGTAATCCAGCGCAGCTTTTCTACATCTGAATTTGATCGGTATCGGCCGATACTAAACTGTAGATATCTGTATCGGTACTGGAGGTGAAAAAAGCAGATCGGTGCATCCCTACTAACTCTAGTTCTGATTTGTCTCGGGTACCGTTTAGAGTTCAAGCACTGAGGTAGATTTTCCGCCCAGTCTGGCAGACGCTCAGGTTTTTAGGGTGGAGAAAATCTCCTGTCCCTCCAGAGAGGATCCTTCTGCTTCTGTTTAAAGTGATTCACTTTAAATGAGAGGATTCAGGTGCAGCATGACCGCCTTATAAACACAACAGAGCTGCTCTCCTCTGTTCCCTCTGTGTGTCATGTGGTCTGGTGCCATGTGCTCTGAGTTTCTCCCCCTCCCCCCTCAGCACAGTGACCTGTCCTCCTCCTCCTCTCCTCTTCCTCCTCCTCCTCCTCCTCTCATGAGGTGGCCTCTCTCCTTCACAGTCAGTGGGCGCCCGTGGCCGTGTAGCGACCTTTACGTCCTCTTTAGCACTGATTGGTAAAGGCTGCCCTCTTTCTCCTCTCCGGCCTTACACTGAAACATGGGTGCTCAGTGGGGGGTGACAGATGCCGTTAGTCACCATCAGCAGCGTGATGGTCAGCAGCTTCACTGTGTCTTCTCTCGACTGTACAGAAACCGCCCTGATTTTTAGATCACTTTTAGAGCAGCTAGCTAACGGTTTCTAGTTACAACAAAAGCTCGTATGGATTCAAGCGACTTAAAATACTCTTCATACTCTTCCCCAGTAAACAACACGAGTTAACTACCTATAATAAGGGAAAGACATCAGGGCAGAAAGAGGCTTTGCTGGCTTTGTTCTGCTGATTTGCTAAAAATTACTCGAGTCTCTTAATATGATCAGACCGGTACGTCCTGTGCCGACATGGTGCGGTTTGGTTTCGCTCCAAGGCTGCTAAGAGTCCCTGACCCTGTCCTGCAGCAGGTGGTACATCTCATCCTCGACTAAAACTTATTTAAGCACAAATAAAGTTGCAGATTCAGGATCTCAGGGTGAGTCTGGAGCAGCAGAGATGTGAGGACTCAGAGCTCTCAGGGGAACAGAAAGTGAAAGTTCGACCTGGCATTGTTAACAGTTTTAGCACCACCTGTTCGCTACTTCCTCCAGTAACTCGACGTTTTATTCCAAATTAAGTCTCATTGTAAGTCGGTCCAAGGAAATGTCATCATACTTCATAGTTGAGACGAGGGAAACACGCCGCAGTACAGGCCTGCTTTGAGTACGCCGTTATAAGAGTATGACTGTTGCATGTGAAAGAAACTTACACTAAAACATGGGCGCTCAGTGGGGGGTGACAGATGCTGTTAGTCACCATCAGCAGCGTGATGGTCAGCAGCTTCACTGTGTCTTCTCTCGACTGTACAGAAACCGCCCTGATTTTTAGATCACTTTTAGAGCAGCTAGCTAACGGTTTCTAGTTACAACAAAAGCTCGTATGGATTCAAGCGACTTAAAATACTCTTCATACTCTTCCCCAGTAAACAACACGAGTTAACTACCTATTATAAGGGAAAGACATCAGGGCAGAAAGAGGCTTTGCTGGCTTTGTTCTGCTGATTTGCTAAAAATTACTCGAGTCTCTTAATATGATCAGACCGGTACGTCCTGTGCCGACATGGTGCGGTTTGGTTTCGCTCCAAGGCTGCTAAGAGTCCCCGACCCTGTCCTGCAGCAGGTGGTACATCTCATCCTCGACTAAAACGTATTTAAGCACAAATAAAGTTGCAGATTCAGGATCTCAGGGTGAGTCTGGAGCAGCAGAGATGTGAGGACTCGGAGCTCTTAGGGGAACAGAAAGTGAAAGTTTGACCTGGCATTGTTGAGAGTTTTAGCACCACCTGTTTGCTACTTCCTCCAGTAACTTGATGTTTTATTCCAAATAAAGTCTCATTGTAAGTCAGTCCAAGGAAATGTCATCATACTTCATACTTGAGATGAAGGAAACACGCCGCAGTACAGGCCTGCTTTGAGTACGCCGTTATAAGAGTATGACTGTTGCATGTGAAAGAAACTTACACTAAAACATGGGCGCTCAGTGGGGGGTGACAGATGCTGTTAGTCACCATCAGCGTGATGGTCAGCAGCTTCATTGTGTCTTCTCTTCACTGTTCAGAAACCGCCCTGATTTTTTAAGATCACTTTCAGATGAAGGCAGAGGATTTCAGAGGATGACCCGATGTTTATTCAAGTTAGATTTCTCGCTTGCTCACATTTCCTCTTCAGATCCACCCTTTTTTCTGTCGGCTTGCGTTTTCTTCCCACTTTTGGCGGTGGGGCGAGCAGAAGTGGGTTTTTTTGCGTCCTTCTCCATCACAGCTCCTGTAGCTAAGCTGCTACGCTACTTTTAGCCGCTCAGAGCTTCGAGGAGGGCCGGGAGAGTGGGAGGGGACGAGTCGGAACTACGGGAGAGGGGTGTGTCCAATACAGAGAGGTGATTGGATGGAGAGGCGGAGCAGGAGATGGACCAATAGGAGCTGTCCAGGATGGATGGCTCCCATTGGTCGATGTTTTTGCAGCCCTGCACCTGCTAGAGTGAACAGATTTTTTCCGTTCTTTTTTCTCTTTACTTTGTGGAGATCACACTATAGGACCATGATCGCCATAGAAACGAGGTTCATAGTAATTACCAGTCTCTCCGATCGTCAACCATGCCTTTAAGATAGGATGCTCAACCCATGCAGCGACTTCTACTACAGAGTCATCTCTGTTTCTGAAGCACAGTAGTCTGATCAGGCATTTGCAAGAGGTTCTGCAGGAAGTGCAGGGGTGCTCGGTTAGCAAAAATATCCGTGAAATTGTGGTTTACACAGAAGTCATAGAGGTCGTGGGTTCCTCTTATTGGGTGTCTTCACATTCAACCCAATAAAAATCCGGTTAGGCAGCACCAGAGGAGCAGAGTGAACCATGAACCTCACACGCTGTAGAGTCAGATGCAGGAAAAAGACGCTGAACGTCTTTCTGTTTACCGCGGGTCATGCTGTGTGTGCACTGCAGCGTATTCGTGCCCGTAATGAAATCAAAGAGTCACATGCAGGTGATGTATGGATAATATATGGCCTGTCACGGGTCCAAGCCGGGTGCACACACACGCGCACACACACATCCACAAGGCCATTTAGCAAGGCAACAAGATTTAACGTCCGAGTCTTCACTTGCATGCCTGCCAAAGCGGAGAACTACATAAAAATGAAATTACCAAAAGAAAGAGAAGAAAGAAAAGTGCCAGAGCAGCAGATTCTCCTGGCATGCACACACACACACATATCCTCTCTCTCTCTCTCTCTCTTTCTCTGTCCGTCTTCTGAGTAACAGCTGGGCTTCTTAGGTAAATTGAATCAGCAGCTCCCCGCTCGGTCGGGCTCTTGTGTGGCCCCTGGCGTGGAAACTCAAGCTATCGGATTGATTTTTGACTCTCTGGCAGGCCTCCTTATTCAGCCCGGGATTGTCTGACTAGCCGACTGGATCGAGCAGCTGAGAGCGGACTGGGAGGTGCTAACTGGCCCCCCAGTCTGATTTAGCTCCGCTTATGCGTGAACTCTGCCCCCTGCAGTGCGTGCGGTGAGTCTGCGCTGTCACTCGCTGTCTGTCTGTGTGTTTAAAACTCTATATGTGAGCGTCATCTGGGAGTTCGGCTTATGTAACCTCCATCGTCTCTTATCCCCGCGGGTCTGCTTCGGAGACGAGTAGAAATCGAGGTCAGTCCAGCTCCTCTTAATCGCTTCTACCAGCGCACACACACACACACACACACACACACTTCCCCAGTTGTGCTCACACACATCCTCGTGGATCTTTCTTGAGCTATTTTCTGCCTGACTTCAGGTCCTGCCCTCGACCCTGCCCTCCATCTAAGCCTTCAGACTCAGAGGACTATTTCACCAAAATCCAGCCTCTGGTTCAGAGACTGTTTGTCAGCCTGCGGGGAAGCAGGTCAGACACCCGGGCAGACTGCATCGCTGTGATTAGCCTGCCAGCCTCTTACTCACGGGTGACTGATGTTACACCAGCAGAGAGTCTGACATCTCCTCTGTTTGTCCTAAATACTTTTTAGAGGGAGCGCACAGACTTAAATAAACTTCCAGAGGTGGGCGGGGCTAAGAGTTATACACCTGTGCCTTCCTGACCGGGACTTCACCTGTCTTACATCAGAGCGGCTAATGCTCTCTAAGCTGCACAGAGCCTCAATAGACAACCTTTGTAGTTTGATTGATTATTGAATGTGGTTCAAAAGAAGCTGAATATTTTATAGTTTTAATTGATTAAATTGGAATTGATTGAATACGTCATTAAATAAATGCGATATATTTGACAGGTTTGAATAATTTTCTCTGAAAAATGCAAAAACTTTCCATTTGACCTCTCTATTTAACGTTTACTTCTGTATCTGTGTGATGATTCAACTTTATCTTGTTTTTGAAATATTAATAGATATTTTTCCAAACTCTCTCACTGTAACCATTAAATGAAACTATGTGTTTAAGGAAATGATAATCAAATTGAATAATTATAATGTAGGACTGTCACTATACCTGATTTTCACCTCAGGGTTATTTTCATATTGATGGAAAACTTGCTACACATGAGTTATATTTCATCATCAGTTTTTGTTAAATATTCAAATTTATAGTTTATCATGACCCAAACTACTTTAGAGAGGATGTTTTATCATTTTACATGTATCAATCATACTTTTATTTTGATAGTTTTTCTGTCTTGGCGTTATATCCTGCATTGTCAAACTATTGGGATTTTTCTGTGGGACTAATAAAGGAATATCTTACCTTATGCTTTTATTTTGAAGTATACTACTTCCTGTAGACTCTTGCTAGCAGTCTGCTAATTCCTTCTTCGTCTATCCCGTTTTTTTAACATGACTACAAGCGTAAAGGAAAAAGATGGTTATCGTCGATAACAAGGAACTGCACAAACCCCGAAACTTCCAACCAGTTAAATAACTAATGGCTAATGATAGCAGAGCTAGCACCACCAGCCTTTGTTTGTTCTCGCAGGTAATATTTTCTACAGATCTTATTTGTCATCTGTTCTTCCTTACATCCAGATAGTAGATATGTAATGACAGTGTAATGATATATGCTGGTCTGAAAACAACCGTGGGCTTACACAGGTAAAGCAAATCCAAAGTGTAGACCAGACGCATCTGCATCACATGGAGTGAATCCACTACGTTGGAAAGCTGCACATGCTCAGTTAAAGAGCTGAAAGATATTTCGTTATCGTATCTATATTGGTATATGAACATTCAAGATATAAACATCATAAAATTGACGATATCAATGATATAGATTTCCCCTGAGCTCTAATCAATGCACTTTCTACATCCTTTTGTATTATGAGGTTTTTATTTTCCTTAAAAATGCGTTATTTTCACTGAACCCAGAGTTATATCATATCGTATCGGTATTGAAAGAGATATGAAACTTTGTTCATATTGTTCAGTCTAACTCAGTTTGACAATAGTAGCCTTGCATTTCAAAATTTTGAGTTCACAGTGTTTTATAAGCGGCATATCAGTGGACTATTAGTTTCAGGTTTAATACACCCAGCGCGCTGCAAAGATGGTAAACACAAAGACAGTGCTCTCTTTCTTTTGTTGGTCGTTTGAGACAAATTCAAGTTGACCTAATTTCAAACTGAGTTAGATTGTGTTAAAATGCTCTCTATCTAGTCACAGCTTTAACTTTAAGAGAGAAAGTCCTGACTCCTCCCTTTTTTGTCTTTTTATTATGCATTTTAAATTAAATATCAACGGTATTCAACAAACTTTATATAACCTAAACTGTGGACCAAAGCTGCCTGCTGGTGTCCCATTACTGATGATGACCTTGTGAGCCTTTTGGTTGCGGCCTGACCCCGCTCTGCTCTGACTGACACGTATGAGGTAAAGCCCTGTAATGTCAGTGTACAAACAGCGGCGGCACACAGTAAATCATCCATGATAGATTAGTGTTTAAAGCCCTTTAATCCAGGTGTGAGCTGGTATGGATGGCCTTTTGACAGGAGATTAGAGCGTCTACAGTAAATGTATGTATATATGTGTGTGTACTGATGCGTCAGATTAATGCATGTACTTTAGTATTAAATTAAATTAAGCTGAGCCACACAGCGTGCGCTCGTCTCTGCAGAGAAGACGAGGAAACGCCCTGACAGAGTGGTTGTACGAGTGTTTCAGAGAGTGTGTAGGAAAAGTGTGTGTGAGTGGGAGGGAGTTTATTAGTGAGTATGACAGTGCAGGTTATATGATTGACTGCATGGCGGGCTCATCCCTCACACACTCACTCGTACATGCTCTCTCTCTCTCTTGCTATGACAGGCAGCAGGCTTTTAGCTACTTGTTGTGTTGAAGTGAGTACTTGTGTTTCTCCTCCCCTGCATGTTACAAAAAAAAAACTGGACTGGCAGCAGCAGCCTGGTGCTGTTAGTGATGTTCTTGTTTCCTCAACATGGATCAGAACTGAGCGAGTGACAAACAAGACAGGAGTCGGACCATTAAGGCAGAAACATTTACACTTAGAGCCGCAGCGCTGTGACTCAGCCTGTATTTGTCCCTGTCAGACTCCATCAGTTTCAGGTGGTTTACCTGTGCAGCACAAAGTGACATGATAAATCCACACTAGAGAGAGTGAGGCGATAGTTTCCATTAATACTTGGAGAATCAAAAGCTTTGGATATGGAGACACTCAGTTTGTTTATCCCCATAGTTAAAGCTTGAATAGGCAATTTATCTTGACTACAAACTACTGAGTGAACTTCAGACACGCTCACTTGCATCTCAAGTGTAAAAAGAATTAGTCTGTAAGTGATTGTCATATCATAACAACACGTGTATAAAGGCAACGGCTGAAGTTCCGTGTGATGTTCTCCATGATACTGTTGCTAGGATACAGACTCAACATCCTGAGGCACTAACACCTAACACTTTAGTGGACCAAAAATCCAACAGTGGTGGTCGACTGTTCCTCTCTCCTTGCTAAGTTCTTCTATCGTACTGTGTTGTGTTGCTCGATTCTGATTGGTCGAATCCCCATAACAGCGATGATTAATGCTTATTTTCTCGCTTCCTTGTACGAATATATCAGCTCTGACTTCTGAGGTAACTCAAACGCAGCATAATTCACAACAGCAGGGGCGTTGCCGGGGACAACCTGTCCACATATGACAGAAACGAGCCCAAATCATCTAATCTCAGCCTGTTGACACTGTGGCAAAAATATCGGCGTGCGCTAGGATGTGTTTAGTGACGGAAAACAGGAAGTGAGCGCGCTGTCATTTTGAACCCCCCTATTTTCTCTCTATGTCACTTCCTTCTGATACTGAGCCAAAAGATCGCTGTGTGTGTTTGTGTGTGTGTGTGTGTGTGTGTGTGTGTGTGTGTGTGTGTGTGTGTGTGTGTGTGTGTGTTAGTGAAGAGAGATCTGGCTTGTTTCATTGCACACATGACAGCGTCAGATTACTGATTAGCCTGTGTTATGAGTATATGTGGGTCAGAGTTGTGTTTATGCTGTACGTCTGTGTATACATGAGTGTGTGTGTGTGTGTGTGTGTGAGAGAGAGAGAGAGAGTAAATTCCACACAGCAGCGTGTGACCCAGTTGTTGTCAGGGAGATTTAAATCCTGCTGATCTCACATTTGTCACACATACACACAGATGCAGATGTAGGTGTGTGTGTGTGTGTGTGTGTGTGTGTGTGTGTGTGTGTGTGTGTGCGCTCGCGCAGTGCGAGTCAGGTAGTGATAAGTCAGAGTGGCAGGTGAACACCAAAGATGTTCCCGGTGTGTGGATGACTTCTGACAAGCTCTCAGGCTGCAAAACCCCAACTGTGCTTTTCAGTATAGAGCTTCATACAAAAGCACGCTCTCTTTTGTTTTGCAAAGAGGGGGTCAGAGGTCAAAGGGCAAGTCTCAGGCAGAGAAATCCCCCACAATTGTAGCAGCAAACACAAAAGTCACCTAAGTAAATATGGAAGATTTTAGGTCGAAGGCGTGCTAACTAAATAGACACTTGTTGAACATGTAAGGGTTCGATTACATAATTCAGTCCTGTTCTTACCCTGTAGGGCTTTTAATAAGAGGATTGTAATAGTAGCAGGATGTAGCTTTAGATATTTACTTAAAGCTCCTGTGAGGAGTTTTAAGTTTGTTATGAAACAGATTGTAATTAATATTGATGCTTCAGTACCACCTACAAAAGCAAACAAAACCCTCAGTGAAATGCTGCCGACCTCTGTAGGGTCATTTTTGTTGTTTAAAACTGTAGGTGTCACACTGATCAGCCTGTTTTAATGGTAGATACTTGAGAAGAAATACATTCAGTCATTGAGGGGAAACAGGATATCATCAAAGTCATGATACTTGATGTTGAGGTTTGTTTATGGCTCCTCAGACCGCTGTGTATTGCTATCCTGCAGTCGTTACTAAAGTTGGTATAACTAGAGAAGCAAGCGGTCGACAACATTCATCTCTGGAGGGGGTGCCTAACTCGGTGTTATGGTGTGTTTGACCCTAAATTAATTTTACGCCGGTATACCCTTTTAAAATCTTGATGGGTGGAAACCGCAGTTCCTTGAATGTCCACTTGAGGCTGGCTCTAAAACTAGGGAACCACAAACACACCCATTCAAAACCGCCTATCTTCACTGCAGGTATAAACACATTTACAGCCTGTTAGAAAACCCCGCTTTAGCTCATTTCACTATCGGCACACCTGGGCTTTGGGTGAATTTTGAAATGACTATGAATACAGTTACGAGTTTAGCCTGATTAGACATAGAACCGGGCGATTAATTGAATTTCTATCATGATTTCTATCGTACGGTTATAAAAACATGATAATTGAGACTTAACGATACTGTGTTGCCTGGTTATGTCCTGTTGGCCCTGCCCCTCAAACAGATCTCACTTGAACCCTATCGTAGGTAGCTATGATCGATGCGGAACAAAGAAAGTTGCGTATCAAGGGACACATCCTGTCCCTTGAAAAGCCAAGGGACAGGATGTGTGTGCATGAGCCTATAGGAGCTGTCGACTGCCTGCAGTTTCCAAGTTGGCCTCCAAAACAGATTGTAAACTATAACAGGTGACATTACTGAGACTTTGTACGTACGACCACAAAAGCAAATTGCAATATTGTTGGTGAATGACATCTGTCTGTTTGTGTTCTGTGTTGGTCAGACTTAAAAACTTGATCTTGATATCTAAATCAGCAGCTCTGGGATCTGTAGATTCTTTGTGACTAACCGAGCTTTCTTACAGTCATTTACGCTGCAGATACCTGCTATGTTTACCTGTTTCATTTACGAGAAGTAGCACTTTGTACTGTTTCCTCTCTCTACCTGAAATGTAGAGCTGTTTCACTTTTACTCGCTGTTACGATGAAGTGAAACTGAAAACTGCAGGGCAACACAAACCTCCTCTTTATCCTCCTCTTTCACATAGAAACACTTGAACCCGACACCAGAATTCAACTCTTAATTAGAGTTACCTTTTCAACTCCAGACTTAATGAGACTGGAGGATCTTCTCTCAAAGTCTTAATCCATACCTCCTCACTCATTAGTGTTTCTGACTCACTGATGAACTCCACTCGGTTTAACACATGACGATGTAGAGCTGAGGTGCACATCATTGGTTTTTCCAGGCAGCTGTAGCAGGACTGAGATCAGAGCCGAGAAGGTTATGCAATACCCCGGTGTACCGCCACCCCCCCTGTAGATCCTGACTCATTACGCACTCTCGCACACAAACACAAACACACACACACGTACTCAGAAAGATTCAGCATGCCAGAATAGTCATAAATCTGATGTTTGTTATCAGTCTTTAAATAGACGGATCTTCGCCTGAATATGTCAGTGAATCATTGTTCGAGTTAGAAGGCGAAGAGACAGCCAGAACCTCTGTTATGAAAATTCAATCAATAGAAAGTTTTAAATCTCTATAGTACGATAAAACTCTGAAAAATCAGCTCATCGTGAATTTCACCAGAAAATCGACCTGTTTGAACTTTCTGGAAACAGATGCTGGAGAGCTCTCAGGACTCGTTATGAAACCAAAATTATTACAGATGCTTCTCAATGAGAAAGAAAAGGTGGTCATCTTGATTCACTGTTTGTGTAGGTTTGACTGTTGGAGTTCTATATATTTTAGCAGAAGCCGACCAAGGTTCAGTTTAGGAAATTTTGTCATGTTAACAAAATTTATATTCTGACTAAAAAACTGGTTCAAAGGTGAAAAAAATCCCCAAACAGTCAAAAATGAGTCCAAATTAACATGACTGTTGGTGCCGCTTATGAATTGGTTGGATGTTTGGTTGGATTTGAGCGCCTCTTTCTCAACTTCATGTCCTGGATTTAAGATTCAAATGTGATCACAGTTCTTGGTTTTGTATTTGACTGACTCAGCAGCACCTAAATAAGTCCCTCTCTTGTTTGACACGCTTGCTCGCGGTGATGTCAGTGGTTTCACAGGTGTAGCGTCGCCGCGTTAGTCACACAGGCTATAGTCGGCGGTACTTGCAGTAAACGGGAGCTTTGGGGGAATTACATCAGCCGCGGTGTTTTACCTCCTCCTGTCACCTGTAAGCGACCTCATGATGTCTGAGAAGTTCAGAGTTAGACCTTCGCAGCCCCTGAATTCATCTCTGGAGGTTATTTTTGGAAGTACGAAAACACAACCTGAGAAACGAACGTCTTTTATGGTCACTGTTAGAGTTTTAGGTCTCATTAAAAGTGGCCGTGCTGTATGTTTTTCCTGCATGAGTTTCTACCTCTTGAATGTTTAATGAAGTCATGAAATTTTTATTTTGTTTGAGTGGTGAAGAGTTATTGCTGTTCCAAATATTACATGAATTTTAAAGTAAGTCTCCAAGTCTGACGGTAGAAACTGGTGCAGACGACTTACATCATCTGAGAGCTGGTTTACTGGGGCAGAAAAAGACTTTTTTTATTATTACTGTTAATGGGATATTTTACAATCAGTGTTTGCTCTCCAAAACACAGAGCAGGAGCTGTGTCTGCAGGTAAATGTGGGATTGAAACAGAGATACTTTAAAGCTCAGAATTGGACAAAGTTTTTGTTTGAAGATGCTTAGAGATTAGTTGGTAGATTTTTGATTTTCAAGACATTAATCAAGCAGATCATTTTTGATTATCTGTCGTCTATTTCATGACAAAAAGTCAACCACAAGATGAGCCAACAAGGGCCTAAAGTCCAAAGCGGAAAGCAGAAAATCTAAAGCTGAAAAGATCAGGCAGAAAACAAGTTACAGATTTGAGGTTTTTTGAGTCGCAGACGACAGAAGGACAGAGACGAGACAGCAAATAAAAAACAGAAGTATGGCAGCAGAGTCGGAGTGGAAATGAAGCCGTACTTGCAGCGCTGGGCTGATTTAAGGAAATGTGAAGCAGGTGAGTGAGCGGAAAGGTCAGGGGGGCTGAGCCTGAAGGGAGCGAGGTTACATCAGGGCAGGAGGATCGGCTTCAGGAAGTGGAAATGTGATGAAGGAAGCGATCAAAAAAAACGAACAATTCGTTCACAAATGAAGCTCAAACTGGCTAAAATTGACAAAGAGTAGGGACAAAGTAACAGCGACTGAGAAACAGCTAGAAAAAAACTATTTTATTTTAAAGCCCATCAGTTAACACGTTATAGAAAATTAAAGCTCCAGTCAGAAATTTTTAAATTATTACGAAAAAGACTGAATTTAACGCTGATCGTCAGTTTAAGTGATTAAAACTTTAATTCAGTTTTATGTCGCAGAGTTTTGAGTGTTAGAAGAAGGCAGGATGAGCTGTTTTATAAACTAAAGAAAGGGGGCGGAGTCTACTGATTAGGTCACTATGCATAGAGGCGGGGCTAGAGTCCCCAACCTGCGAGTCTCTTATCCTCCCTGAGGAAAAAAAACAAAAATATAAACTATTCGCTAGAGGTGGGAGAAAAAAATCGATTCACACAAGTATCACTATTGATGAGATGTACCGCTTGGTCTCCACAGGAGGGCGCCAGAATCAACACAAAGATTCCTCAGAGGAGCTTTAACCCGATATTAAAAGCCATATCCAGGTCCGAACACTAAATGTTTTTTCTTTTAAACTGAATGACAGACTCGTTAGACACTAGTCGCCACCAGCATCCAATTAAATCTCGGCGCTTTCACTCACCGTGGATCGTAGTCCAGCCTGAGAATGTCAGGATCGGAGGCCCTTCAGGTTTTCAATAGTTCCTGCTATTGTGCGCCGAGGGCCCTGACCCTGCAATCAGAGAGAGAGAGAGAAAGAGAGAGGTCTGATTGAGCACCTGGGCTGCACAGGAAGCAGCTGGAGAGTCCTGATTACTCCAAACACACACACACAAATACACACACTTGTATATATACAGTGTACACACACACACAATCCCTGAAACATGCAAAGCTTCAGCGACGAACAAAGGAGAGTTTTAAAGATTCACAGTTGTTATTAATGAGACATGCTCACTGAAGTATTATCTTCCTTTGTTAACACACACACACACACACACACACACACAGCAGATGCTCTGTCTCTCTCCAGGGAGGAGGAAGAGGAGGGGGAGTCCCTGCTCTCTGACTTACATTACTGGCTGCAACTGGAGGGGCTTTCCTGCATGTTTGTGTGTTTGTGCGTTTGTGTGTGTGTGTGTTGTTTGTGTGTGTGTGTAGCGGGTGCATTTATAGCCCTGCAGTGCAGTGCATGTCCAGAGTGTTTTCTTTTTTCTGTTTGGCTGGATGGAGCAGAGGTGTGCATGGAAAGCCAGAGAACTGAGCGACCACAGCCCTCCTCGCCTCCTGTCTGCGCGGATGACGCAGCCTCGCTCTTACCTCATGATGTCGACTTCTAACAGACACCTCAGCAACATGAGTCAGACCTTTCAGACTTAACAGTTTCCAGTCCTGCAACCAGGGCGGGTTTTACACGCATGTAGCCGTTTTATAACCTGGTAGGGCGCTCAGACGCAGTGGCACGTTAACTGCTGTAATTTACCGTACAACCAAATAACACAATAGAAACGGTGGCGTTATGTAAAAGGCTTTTATTACTACGGTTATTTGTGGTGCGTTTTATACCTGGTGATCAAATTTGATGGCTGATTTATTTTATGCACAAAAATGAAGTCGTTGTTCTTCTCCCGCTGTTAATCACGACTAAAGGGATGGTTGGTTGAGGGCGGGGTTTAAAATCAGCTGACTTTGCAGAATAAAAGGACCAGTAACCCAGAAACTAGAATCTATGTGATCATGGCTCCTTGAGGTAAAAAGTTGGAAAAGACCAGTTTTTTTTTTAAAGAAAAGATGGTTTTTGAGAAGTACAAGTTAGCTTTTATTTAAAAGTAAAATTTTATCAAGGTTGCTCTAAACTTTGAGAAAAATTTTATTGAGGATTTTGGACTTTTGACTGAAAAGCAGAATATTTATTGGGTTTAAAGACCCACTGTGATGAAAATCATGTTTTTTACATATGACACTTTTCTGATGCTACAGGACATATCATGAAAAAACTAAGTGTGAAGTTTCATTTCTGAGTATTTCTGTGAATCTCTGGCAGACCCAAACGGCAGGTTCAGATTCAGTGAGATTTCTTACATCACAAATCCAAGCTCCGCCCCCAGAGCCCCACTATGCAGGCTACACTCGGAAAAGTAGAGAGGACGATCACAGAACAAGCATATGCGTTAGCGGATTCCAATTCCCGTAAGAAAGCTGATTATGATATTAACTTTAATCATGTCCCTTAAGACGTTAGTGTCCGAAAGCTGAATTGCTCCTATGTTACCTGCTACTTCTACAACACCGGCAATGTTAGGCTACAAGCTAGCGTGAAGAGGAGTGTGCAGAGCAGCGCTGTCTCCGCCTACGATTCAGAGGCGAATTACTCATGAGCTACTGGAGCAATTACTCATGAGCTACCAAAAGCAAAGTAGTAAAAAGGTAGTAATTGGGTGTATAAACTCTGACTGACAAAATTGAATGCAACATACTCAACATTTTCTTTATGTGACTAACACCAGCAGAGCTAGCACCACCAGACTCCTGTCCTCCTTGTCTTTGCTTGTTATGCGTGGCTCAGCCTACATACATCAACAAACCTCATCAGTCTGTAAGAGGCCGTCTGTCACATGTGCATGTTTACAAATGTGTGCCTGTCCCTTTAAGGGGGCGGACCCTCTCTGCAGCTGCTCACCGCGTTAAAGTCTAGTCACATCTCGTAGCAGACAGACAGCTATGGTGATGTACGCTCTTGTGTTTGGTGTGCCGCTCACATAAACACACACAAACACACACACAAACACACACACAGTGGGGTAATTGTCTGTTAGGGGCTTGGCAGACGTCCCATGCTGCACAGCTGCACCGGGTCAATATACACACACACCGACACACACTTCTACACACTGGAGTTGAGGTGTTGTCAGGCTGTCTGATGTTTTGCTCACTCGTCTTTCTTCAGTCAGGACTTTTCCATGATGCACCGTCAACAGCAGAGTTTCATTCACGTCCATTATGATAAATGTTGACTCAGCTGGTGCGGGTCGTCATCGAGTCCTTAGTTAATGATCAGCGGTGATGATGCAGTCACTTTTATTATTAGTTAGTGGTGCAAAGCAGAGCTGATTGAAAGTCTGCCAATGCCGAGTTAGACATTAAGATGGCGGAGTTAGTTTGTCAGGAAGTCTGAACTGAAATGTTCCGACAACGAGACATTCAGGTTACCCAATCACTGAATAATCATCTGACCTGAGTCCAGCATGACACATTTTTACACAACAATTAACAAATATGGAGCTTTTATTACTGGTCAGATCCACATTTACCTCCTATGACCACTTAGCTATGTTGTTTCGGGTTAAAGGTCAAGCTAGGGCTGCAGGAGGGCCAGTTTAGTACCTGGACTCTACTACTACTGAGCCAGGCTGTTGTCGAACCTGCATAAGGTGGTTTGTATGAGGTACCAAAAATGAAATAATTGAACACAAATAAATAAATGCAGAAATAAATATCTAAATTAATGAATAAATATCAAAGTCTATAAACAAATGTAGAAATTAATATCTAAATTGATTATTAAACCTAAACAAATAAACAAAGCAAAAGTAAATATAAAAATTAATAAACATATATCTACATAACTAAAAAGTACAGGAATGACTATCTAGATTAATAAATAAATACCCAAATAAATAGATAGTGGGAATAAATATAAAAATTAATTAATAAATTCCTAGATAAAGAAATAAATGCAGAAATAAATATATAAATTAATAAACAAATATCTACATAAATAAATAAATGCAGGAATAAATATAAAAATTAATGAATTAATACCTAAATAAATAAACAAATGCAGGAATAAATATTTTAACAAATATTAATATATCTCTTAAATATCTCTTAATTATTTTTGTATTGTATAACTTTTTCAGTGTTTTGTTGCCTTAGTTCAAACTTTTCTGAAATTTTCACCAAACAATTCATGTTTTAAACATGTAAATAATAACATGTGACTCTGCTGCACCTCTAATGTAATGTAATGTAATGTAAAGCAAACATGCTGCTCATGCATTATACATGTCTATGTGATTTTACTCTCCTAAACAGAATATTAGACCTTAAAAACCGATAGCTTGACTTTATTCTCTCTCTAGCTTCCTCTCCACCTTTCCTCCTGATGCACAGCCTCTCACCTTTGACCTGGTTAGCGGCCCATGTGGTAAAGTCATGGCTGTGTTGTGGTTTGTCAGATGCACACGATTTCCCCTCCTGCAGGGTCACGTGTCCCAATGCGGACACAGGAGGAGTCAGATGCTCTGCTGCTCGCTCTGAACCGTCTGCAGCCTCTGTTATTAACCCCGTTCAGAGGTATTATTCGTGGTAAATGCTCATATTTAATTTTCTGTGACCGTAAACGAGATGAAGAGGCGTGCATTCAATCCAGATACACATTTACAGAGATGATTCCTGCAGCAGTGACTAAACGAATTATGATTTTGACCCAATTTTTAGTCTCTTAGTCTCTCTTCACTGAGTCTATTGTTGGTCTCTGGTTTTGCTTCTCTGTTAAAGTCGTACTGCAGGTCCCGCTTCAGTTTCAGATTCGGCGTTTCTGATTAAATAAAGTCAGAGTTCAGATGATAATAGCAGACAGGATATTATGAACTCTGACTTTTGCTCCCACACGCTCTGCTGTGTGTCCTTTGATTCAACAAAGAGGGAATTTCAGCCTGCTATTAAAAATGTTGGTGGTGGTTTCAATGTGTATTTTACTTAGCTTTAAAATCGAACGTCTCTTTTTCACACCAAAAATGCTCAGACTTCATATAGTTGATGGTTTTTGTTCTCCTGGCGTAAGTTTGATGCTCTGTTAAAGATTCAAATACGAGGCCGAGGAGTTTGTTTCACTTCGTTTACATCCACAAACAGAAAAAGACAAAAAGACGTAACACTCTCTGACAGTTTCCAGATTCAAAGTGGAGGTAATCCTTTTTTTTAAGTGAAGTGATTCTGAAGTTTGGTCCTGAAGCAGATGGAGGGTGGGAAAGGTGGAGAGGGAGGAATGCTGAAGTCTAGACTTCCCTCCTCCTCCTCCTCCTCCTCCTCCTCACAGACATCCAGATGGAGGATTAACAGTTGACTTCACACATTGTCAGGACGATGTGGACAGATCTTTTACTCTTTTTGTCTAATGACCCCCACCCCTCACACTTACACAATCAGACACACACGAACACACATGAAAAGTTATGGCACACATGTTTACATACTGTTGATTCGAAGGTGCCTTTTCTCTCTCCTAGTCTGCTCAGTGCTGCCACCTGTCTGTCGTCACGGTAACTGCACTCTGGCCAAGTCAGAAAAGACAGCAGTGATTATTAACCCTGATTTCAGATGCTTTTAACTCTCTTAAATGATGACCACCTTCTGGAAACTGTACTTACTACTAGGAGTTAAATTCCTGACTCCATTACCCAGAATTCCTCTGATCTAATGTCAGCACAGCACCTGCTGCACTCTCTGCTGTCTGCTAACCTGATCAGTCGGTAACTGAATCTACAGTAAGAGGAGAGGACTGAGGTCGGATGTTGCTGCAGTCAGCTCTCTCTCTCTCTCTCTCTCTCTCTCTCTCTCTCTCTCTCTCTCTCTCTCTCTCTCTCTCTCTCTCTCTCTCTCTCTCTCTCTCTCTCTCTCTCTCAGAGTTACAGGTTTGACTTTAAAGAAAGAGGAGGATGACGAAAACACCTGAAAAGAGCCTAAATCAGGCAGACAGTGTGAATTTGCATCATGAGTCTTCAGTTTAAGACAATCAAACCCTCTTTGATTACTACGGTTTTCCTCATGTACTGCATATTGATACCACGGTTTCCTCATCTGCTCAAACAATTATGTTTTTAAATATAAAGGGAAGCTGACTGGATTAGAGATAGACTGATAATGGGATAAAATCATCATTTCAAGGTCGATATCAGCATTATCTTCTCTTCGCATTTAAGACGCATTACCCAATCCTAAATAACGGCACATCAAGTTTGAAACCATCACTGGTTGGTAGGGCTGGGCGATGAACCGCAAATTTACCCATACAGAAATTTACGACAATACCTGACGCCATTTTGCCCATATCGGTATATTCAGTGTCAAAATAAATAAATAAATAAATAAAAGTTGGTTTTGGATGTGTGTAGGTAGGCTATGGTCTCATGTCCCTTTGGACAGGTGAGGAGATTCAAAAGTTGGAGCAGCTGGAGCGGCGGCTGAAGTAGACGAAGTTAATGTGGGAGGGGGTGAGCAGCTTGTGGAGTAGCTATCGTCTGTTTATCATTATCGAGGTGAACTGCTCAATATATCGTGATATTGAATTAAGGCTGTATCGCCCAGCTCTACTGGACAGTGTTTAATATTAACTCTGTTATAATGTGTGGAATAATGCAGTGATAAAAGGTTTTATTTTGGTAATAAACCCACCAATAACAATGTGATATCAGCTTATATATTGGCTCTCTCATTTATTCCCCCTTTAAAACACCAGACTTCATGTTTTCACCATCACCATCATCATCATCTTCATCATCGTCATCCTCTGTCCGACATGAGAAAACAAATCAGAGCCTCTCCATGCAAACACATTACACTCCTCTTTTTCTTCTCCTGCCTCTCACATCGATCCAGACGGGCATCGATCTCGGCCTCACACACACACACACACACACACACACACACACACACACACAAACACAAACACACACAGAGTTTAGCATTCCAAGCTCCGCCTGTCTGTCTGGAGCGGTGACAAGACCGTCTCAGGAAACCACTGCATCACTCCTGGAGGGTGACGTCAGAGTCTGTGTGTGTGTGTGTGTCTGTGTGTGTTCATGCATGTGTGTATTCATGTATGCAGTGCTCAGGGTGTGTCTTCAGTGTAGGTGGATTACCAAGGATGTGTGTGTGTGTCATTTGGTCTGCAGGGTGTGTGAACGCTGCGAGAGTGTATGAGAGCGAGTGCTGCTTGACATTACTTCAGATTTGTAATAAGAGAGGCTGAAGTGCACTTAGCAAACACACACACACAAACACACACACATATGCAGAGAGTGTGTATTGTGGTTTGGGACCTGCATATGTGTGTGTGTTCTGTGTGTGCAGCTGTCACCTGTGAACAAACAACCTGAGTTTTCTTCCTCATTAGGCGTCTTCAGCACCTTCACAAAGACGCACAGCTCCCTGCAGGGACCGAGCGCACACACACACACAGACACACAGACACACACACACACAGACAGACACACACACACACACACACACGCTGACAGTGAGAAAGTAATTAAATATCTGAAGCATCATCATCACCTAAATCCCTGAACACACACACATCTTGATTATCTAAAACTTTTGTTTTAAACACACACACTCACACACACACACACACACAGACACACACTTCCAGCTCAATGCATTCAGACTTGTGCGGTGTTGTCGGTCCATTTTTCACCCTGAGCTCCCATTACGAGGCCGTACCCCTCAGACAAACTCTCTAACGGCAGCAGCGTGTGAAATAGATTTGCTTTCTCGCGCTGATATACAGGTGATTATTCGGCCCCGCGGCTGCAGTTTGTCCTCTTTTATGTCTTCTCTGTGTACAAGCGGACGGGAAAATGTGTGTTCCTCGACTCACTGGGCTGATCGATGCGATGAAGATTATGTTTTGTAAAGAGACGAGGGCAGAAATGTGAAAACATGAGTTTGGAGTAGTTGGGCTAGTTAACCTGAACGTGTAGAGGCAAGATTAACCCTTTTAATCTAGATTAAATCAATTCAAGAGATGTCGATGTTATCAGCAGATTAAAAGGTCCTTACACACAGGGAACGATGCAAATATATGACGTGAAATTACGAAATATCCAGAGGCGAATTTGACGCACCTGATCATACACATCGCTATGACTCTCCACAAGTTGTCCTTCAGGTCGTTATCTTTGTAATATTTGTGTCTATAATCAAAAATCACTTTGTTCTCCAACACGTAAACAATCAGCCGGTCGGCCATGTTGGATATACCGGTGAATCTGACGTCACAACAACGTGCAATCTGTTTGGTCAGAAGTGGACACACAGTATGCGAAACTTTAGAAAAATCAACCATGATGCGAAAAAATAAATGCCGCAATATCGCAGGACAGGAAAACGTCGCTGATGTGAACGCTTAAGGGATTAACAGAAATAATCGCACAAAAAAAACGCTACCGGTGCTAAAGTGCCTGTTGTTTGCTACTTGGTTCTAATTCAACACATGATTGGTGACCCGGAGCAACTCTGCTTTTCATTGGCTATTAGTAAAGTCTACCAAAACATGGCAGAATGCTGACTATTAAAAAGCATATTGACCATGTTTTTTTTATTTTATTGATATTGACGAAATTTAATTTGATATCGTCATAGTTTTATCGCTCAGCCCTAGTCCCGAGTGAATGTAATCTGCAATCATCTTTTTAAATCTGCTTTTAGTCACTTATTTAGCAACTCTGACTTTAGATATAAAGGTGCAAAGCTACAGTATATGTGTGAGCACTAGGCAGGGACCTGAGGGACTACAGCGCTGCTCAAAAAGGAGGTTATGATGATTCATATTTTGCAGCTAATTCTCTGTTTCTCATCCCAGATGTTAATCAGCGCTGATTACAGCAGCAGGCTGTCGAATGAACCCAAAATGATTCAAGTGCCGCATATTTGATAACTCGTGTGTCTCCTCTCTGCAGTGACAGAATTCAACAATGGCTTGGAGGCCAGTTCAGACTCAGACGATGAGGACAAGCTGCACATCGTGGAAGATGAAAGTCTGCAGGACCCCGAGGTCGCCAACGCCGAGGGGACCGCGCTGCAGGACGGCCATGACGCTATCGCATCAGTATTACCCCACAACGGCTCCCTGAACGGAGGTGAGATGAACCAGATTTTAAATGTCAGATATCAGATTTCACAAAAGTACTTCCTGTTTTTTTTTGGAAAAGTTAATGAAGGTCAGACTGCAAATTGGAATCCCAAGAGTTTTCTTTATTTGATCAGCTAATCTTGGGAAGTTTTGGGTCTGATCTGCACAGCGGAGCAAATGTTTGTTCGCTTTCACCAGGAAGTCGCAAAAAAAATTTATTTCATATTTAGCACAATAAACCGGTGAGGAGTTTCCCTTTAAGCGCCGTCAGGATAATAGTGTGCAGCGCAGAGCCGTGCAGCAAAACTGATGCAAACTTTGAGGGTGTTTTTGTGCATGAATATCATCAGTGTAATACGCTCTGTGATGAGATTTTGAGATGGCAAACAATGCACGATTCTTGGCACAATTAGTGGCCATTATTCCTTCTTCCTCTGTCCTACGTCAGAGACGTGACTCCACCCCATCCAGTCCGTAACTGTCTCTACCTGATCTGTCCCGGGAACCTGGTTTGTACTGCGCATGTGAAAACTGTATGTAACTTCTTCTACTAACCATCTTTGAGAAAGCTCAGCAACTCTTTGCCTCTCGCGGTTTGCAACAGCTTCGACACTTGTACAACAGCATTAGCATTAGCGAGCCTGCTACAGTCAGAATGGATTCTTCAGTTTATCACCAGCCACACGCTCTTTTCTCCTGAACGGAGTGCTTCCCCCGACTGAAGCAGAGCGCCAGAAAGTCAAGAGAATGGCGCCCAGTTTTACGATTAAAGGTTCCTACTACAGCTAAATTTTAAAATTGCAACGTAGTTCTAAAAGCCTCTAATGAATGTGAATATTTCAGGAGTTGAACGGTTCAAAAGTTGTAGCAGCTGGAGCGGTGGCTAATGTGGGAGGTAGTGAGCAGCTTGTGGAGTAGTTATCGTCCATTTATCGTTACCAAGGTGAACTGATCAATATATCATGACATTGATTTGAGGACATATCGCCCAGCCCTAATGTGTTATCTTACACCTATAGGAGATATCACATGAACATTGATTTTTCCTGCAAATTGAAGTCAGAGGCGGCGGTCTCAGCCTAACTCTCGCACCTCCTGGACAGGAGAAGACTTAGAGAATTTGAAACCATGTCAGGTTGACCTGATAAATCTCCGCTGTGTGTTGGAAATATCAACAAGAACGTCAACTGTTGCTTTGTGTTTTTTTGCGGTGAATTCAAACAGGTGGTGAGATTATCCAAACCAGCAGCCTCCCGATCACTCAGGTGTTTGTACATCTCTCTGTAACAGGCTAAAGTATATACAGCGCAGTCTTTGAAGTGCTCGCCTCCTAATTGAATAATGTGACAGAGAAAGCAAACGAAGCATCCTGCTGCCAGCGTTACTGTGTGTAAAAGCGGAAAGCCTGAGTAAGCCGAACATGATCACAGCTCAGTGCGCCGCCACGCTTTCAGATCAACAGAGAGAAAGAAATAGAGACAGAGGAAGAGAAAGTGAGAGTGTGAGAGAAGTAGACACGCTTCAATAACGACTTAAATAATGTGTAATCCTGAAACCATGCAGAGGTTTTATGTGTAATCTTCAGCTCTCACATCCGGACTAACCAGGTAAATCCCAAACATTCACTAAAAGACTAACACACCTCTCAATAATACAGCGCTCTGCCCGGGGTCAGCTCTCTATCCCCCCACCCTCCACACTAGCAGAATGATAAGTGGATTTTTGCGAGTCTGAGCTTTACAAACACGAATCTGCACAAAGCAACTTTAACACCCCGCTGGAAAATAATGGCGCCGAAAGACCCAAACACAGCGGAGATGTTGTGCTATCTGGGTCAAGCGTCTGTGTGTGATAGAGCGCTTTCTCCCGGTTTTTATTGTTGCGGTGTGACAGCAGCAGAGGCGACCATTTGTACCGCTCTGCTTTACACAGAGCGCAGCACAATGCAAATAAAAAGAGATGCTCGGATGAGATTACTGAGCCGGAGCTGGCATCAAAGAGTCGACGAGTGAAGTGAAAATCAGAGTGAAACTGTAATCGAGTCAGGCAAAGAAGATGCGCTTATATAAGACGTCTACGGAAATAAACGCTTTTTGTATTTGCTCCAATTTTCTACTTGAACCTCAGACGCACAAAAAATGGTTTACAGATTTAAGTTGAGGATGTGCCAACATGATCCAGCCACCTAATTAACAAAAATAATGCAGATTTTTCAAGACAAACAAGAATCTACACAAACAGCAGCTTTGGCTACGGTAGCCCAGAAGGTGATTTAAAGGGATATTCCAGTGTAAAATTAAGTTAGGGTCAAAAACACCATAAAACCGACTTAGAAAGAGAGCAAAGAGACTAAAAACAACTTGCTTGTTTGTATGGAGACCTCCAGGCCAGTCCATTGACTACAGCGGGGTGACGCAGCTCAAGGAAGAACATTTATGATCATTTCTTTATCATTTCCTTGAATTAATAATCATCATATTAATCATTTTTTGCACTGCGGATGCGGTAGTTCTTCTGCCTTAGTGTCTCGGTCTGATTGTATTTTGAAGAAATGATCATAAATGTTCTTCCTTGAGCTGTGTCACCCCGCTGTAGTCGATGGGGGTCTCGCTACAAACAAGCCGGAAGAGAGTAGGTGAGTTGTGTTAAGTCTCTTTGCTTAAGAAATTAGGCAAAGTTAAAAAGATGTTTGGTGTCTAGTACTATGGCTGGGACCCTATATGTACTGTTGATGAAGTTAGGTGCTGTTCTGAGCATTATTTGTGTCGTTTTGGTTGAGGTTTGTTTATGGCTCCTCAGTCCGCTGTGTATTGCTATCATGTGGTCGTTCCTAAAGTTGGTATAACTAGAGAAGCAAGCGGTCAACAACATACCCTAACTTCATCTTATGCCGGAATATCCCTTTAATGAATTGCCAAGAGACACTGTAAAATGGAGGGGACAGTAAGGAGTACTGGCAGCTGGTAAGAAGTCCCCGTATGCCAAGAAAGAGTCCCAAAGGGTTGAATTTAGTGGCGGTACTGGAGTGTCCCAGCTCACTTAAACGCACCGATCCTGACAGTCGCAGTATATCAAGATGTTGGATGTTGGATGGTGGATGCTGGACCAGTGAGATTGTAAAGTGGTCTCAGTGAGAAATACAGTTATCCTAGAAAAAAAGGATAATTCCGCTGTTTTAGGAGGGACAGCACATCAGTGAGGAAGTCTAAACTAAGTGATCCAGAAACCCTTCCTGCAGACCTGGAATAAGTTTTTGAAGTTGGGACCACTTTGGTTATGAAGTACTGAATATAACACAAGTTTTCAGTTTTGCTTGATTGCACTTTGATGCATGTGCAACCACAGACAAACACGATATTAAAGGATGGTGAACCAGATTTACAAGCATAGTTAGTTTTATGTTTCATGTGCCGTGCAACAAACCTGCAACATCCCTGCTTCGACAGAGCATACAGGGGTGTGGTGATTCCCCTGCTCTCCCTTTGATCAGATTAGTTCAGCCCTCCTCTCAGCCTCGGGAACGCCTGCTCTCCAACAACCAGATGTTTTTTCCCTCTCATCTCCTCTCTGATTTTCGGTGATATTACCACATACCGAAGGCTAATCTGCCCACGATCCTCTGATCTCCTCCTCTTTTTCTCTCTCTCTCTGATAAGAACACAGGAATAAGCTTCATCATCATGATCTTCAGTCTCTGTCATCTCTGTCCTCAGTTTGGAGTCAAACTTCTCCGCTCAACATGGATGACTCAGATCTTTCCTGTCTTTCTGTCAAATTTCAAGGATTTAAGTCAGAGGATGTGATAAAAAGATACAAAGGAAACCAGAGGGCAGGCTTTTGATTGGCCCTTTGTCTTGCGCTGTTACCTAACAGGAGCAACACCTCATCCCTAAAATTACGACGAAAATCATCACAGATTACCTGAGAAATGATTGGAAAGTTGCCGGTCTCACAGAGCGAGTGGATTTTACTGTAAATGGTAGCGACATACAACTCCACTGTTACCCCCGATTTCCACTGCATCTGGAACGGCTCCACTGCAGAATGGCGGCAATTTTACTGTTCGACAGCTGGAATCTTGAGAACTCACAAGAACCTGCAGATTCACATGCAATCGCGCGATAACGAGTTCTCCTTCTAGGGGAGGGAATCTACTTCTAGACTTCTAGAATCAGCATCTCTGTATCCATGGTATCGTCAGGGTGAAATGAAGTCTGAAAACCTTTGACTTGGTCATCCCCGCCCACGGTTGCATGGTGTGAAATACGATCCACCTGAAACACGTAGTTGTTTATTTTGAAAAGAATCTGGATGTTTTATCTTGTGTCTGTGCCCGACTTCCTCAACAGAATTTATGTGGCATGCTGCGTCATCTGGAAAAAATAGAGCCCTGGCGACGGACCGCAGGGGGGCGGAAAGAAGCCGGTGAAAATTGACACATTAACTTGAATGGAAACGATCATCGCCGATCGGACTTTTCAATGCCATTCCGGATGCGGTGGAAATTGGGGGTTAGAGGTGATATTGGATGTACAACAACATTATGTCATGTCAGCAGTTGGACTGTTCCTGTCCTTCGTAGATCATGATAACTTCCTCGACTTCTTGCCGACCACTTCTAGTGAGACACATGAAACAAAGATCTAATATTAATAGATGCCAAATCTGATGTGTTGACTGCGATATTAGAGCTGTGATGTTTCATCAGTTTGCTCATTAACACTGCTGAGGTTGTGTTTGACTGTAGGGAGTTGAGTCAGCTAAAGCGCTCTTTGTTTTTTTTCAGGTCCACCTGTAGATTAACACCAAACAGGTTTAGTCATGCAGGAAGCATCACGTCTGCTTTGTTGATCACAGCCAGACCTCGGCTCTCTCATCAATCCTCTTACTCTGCTCCTTTATAGCTTCACAAGTTTCATGAGCTGCTGAACAGAAACTTTTGTAAGTTTGTTGTTGTTTTTGTTTTTAAGCCGCTTCTCCAAACTCTCTTTAAAAAACAGAAAAAACACTTTCTTCTTTTATTTGAACCTCCTGATATGTTACAGTAAGACAGTTTGCAGGATCAGCGCCAAAGCAGGAAAACTTGGGGAAAACATAACACACCTCAGCGCCGAACAGCAGAAGTAGAGCGAGATTTAACAAGCGGCGGTAAAAGCGAGCCTTGATCCAACAGCACAGATTGATTGGCTCGTGTTTACGCCGCTTTTCAATGCCCTTTTTAATCCACGATTCCCCACAAACAGCTCAGCCTACGCAAGCATCTGCCTTCATCTCAACAGCAGTCGGTTTCAGCCAAGCAGGAAGTACTAAAACCATGGAGACGGCGAGAATGTGACACTCAGAGATATTGCTCTCAAGGCTTGTTGCTTTGTTTCTGAATAAAGCCTTACATGGTGTGAGCAGTGCTCATGAGTGCCGCTCGCTCTCTCTCCCTCTCACAGCTCGCTCTGTTTCTCTGCAGTCAATGATCCCTCTTTATCTCTTTTTGTGCTTTACCTTACTTTCCTCTTACCTCCTCTGCCTTTGTGTCTTTTGTGTCTCTTTTCTCTCTTATTCTGCTCAAACCCAGCTAAAGACACCATGTGAACGAGGCCTCGGCGTTTGAGGTGATACCTGGTGTTTTGGATATTATGAGCTCTTAATTATTCACAGTAAATCCTCACATTAGCGTCACGTCTTTGACTCTTTTTGACAGTCCAACTCGAACTTTTCAAGCTTCACAGTAGCAGAAAAGCCAATTAGGGGCCGTATTCAAAATCTCAAGTGGTCTGAACTGAACCGACGCTTCATACTGACCTGATGTATCTTTTAGTCGAGTCAAGCCTCCATCTTTATCAAGTTTAGATTTACAAGGGCATGTTTTTATGATATTGCTTGTTAGTGCACATTACAACTAGGGCTGCAACTAATGATTACTTTTGTTGCAAACTGATCTATTAATGGTTTTGTCAATTAATCGATAAATCACAATTATCTTCGTTAGCACCTATTTTGGACTTATGTTTTCCTAAAGTTGCTTGAATCTTCACACCTTTAGAAGAAGAAGTAGAAGAAGAAGAACTTTATTGATTCTCGAAGGGTAAGGTGACCAGACGTCCCAGTTTTGGGTGACCTGTCCCCGGCTAAGGCTGTCCCCAATTTAAGCGTCTCATGAAAAAAAATGTTGCTAGTAGACTACAACAACAATTATTACGGTAGCCGAGTAGGTAGGAAGCGCAAGTAAGCATGGATTACTTGCACCCCTGGATGTCCTCGGATTTCATTTTCAAGTTCTGGTCTCCTTACCGAAGGGAAATTCAATTACCCTGTTGTAGAGTTCTGCTGTAAAGTATGCACTAACGCAAGTGAACTAGCGTTTGCCAAGCTAGCTTCTTCTATGATTTTCCGACTGATAGACGTACGACATAAAGGTATGACGTACTTGCATTATAGGCTGATGCTTAATTAACGAATGAGCATGTGATTAAAAAATAGCAGCCGGTGCGTCGACGCTTAAATGTTCGAGTTGGCATTCGGTTAGCTTTAGCGCCATCTGCAGCATCCTAGCATTCCTGGACTCTGTTGCACATTGAGTTCAAGTGACAGCAGTCTGAAGGGAGGGGGTCATGATCCAATGGTCCTTGTCCCTCATCTTCCCACTTCCTGCTTCATCCTCTTGCCTGTCTTGTCACAATAAAAGCCTGACAATAAGAATGGCACAATGTACCAACTTTCTGTAAAATCCACTCTCTTTGTGAGTCCGACACTAAACATCATGTGTTCTGAGGCTTTTCAATCTCTCAGAGAAGATCTGGATATTTTGCCAACCCTCAAAATCGAACTTTTTCAGGCGCATCTCTAACAAGGAAACAATAACTCTGCTAACAAAGGGAGTAAAAGAACTCAAAGCAAGCAAAGCTAAAGCAGACAGAGACTTACCATTAATAAAACCTCTTTATCTGCGAAAACTGGAGTCCAGGTACCAGAATTAGAAAAAAACAAAACAGATATTGAGTCATCTCAAACAGCTCTTAGGGTCAGGCCCAAAAACTGGCAGCACTAAGTCAACATCATCCAGTTTATCTGACAGGTTTTGGAGCGCAGGCTAAAGAAAAGACCCACTTTCAGATGTTAGAGGCGGAGAGGTGTAATACAAAGATTTATTGTTCATAAACTGGCTTCATGCAGGTATTGGCAGGTGAGCCGAGAAGGCAGAGTAGTGAGAGAAAACGGGCAGAGTGCTTTTCATAAATAAGCAGTTCTTTGTGGATCCGAAGCTCTTTTGGGTGAAGTTTGCAGCAGAAAGCAGTTTGTGTTTTCAACTCTTGACATTTTATCTGTTGATTCTTGTGTAGATGATCTATGATGATCATAAATTCACACCTGAGCAGGTAAATATATGTAAGATGTCCACTAAAGCATATTTGACACACTTTTAGAGATTACAAAGAGGGGAAAGCGTGGCGTGTTACAGCCTTTCTAGCTTCTTTAGTCAAATATTAACCAATAAGGAAAGAGTGATGTCTAAAGCTGGTGGAAGATCTCCTCATGTGTTGGAGGAGAGTAACGGAAAAGTCATAAAAAGTTGCCGCCGCAGTGAAAATCCTTCGAAGGCTCGGCATGATATGTTTGGATTGTCTGACTCCTTTCTTTCCTCGCCGTCTGGGAGCAGCTGGTGTTGAATCGCTCCTCTGCTGAGAGATTAGAGTGCGTTACTCCCCCTGCAGTCTGGGCCGCACTGCAGCTCCAATCCATCCTGCCTTGTAAATTCACCCCGGACTCACTGTGACAGGTTCTGGCAAGGTCCACAAGTGCAGCGCTCTGTGCACGAGTGTGTTCAGAGTCTTACGTGAGGCCTCGAGTGTGTGTATGTGCGCCACATGATTTCCTGTTTTCATTCCAGCCTGATATTCCACATGTGTGTGTGTGAGTCCGGGTCGTCATTACTGCGCAGCATTAAGTGTAATTGTAGAGTGTGGTGGGAAAGTATGCAGAGAGGTGTATCAGCGAGGAGGGAGGAGGAGGAGGAGGAGAAAGAGGAGGAATGATGGAGGAAAAACACAGGCGGGAGGTAAAGGGGCAGGAGGAAAGAAAGGTGAGGGAGGGAGTTTAAAGAGAGGTTTAATGTGGAAAGAAAAATGGTGGTAAAAAAAGGAGCGAGAGAAAATGGAGAAACAGTGAGAAGGAGGGGGTTGGAAACTGATGGAGGGAGCAGAAATAAAGAAACAGAAAGAGAGATAAGAAAAAAAAAAGGAAGACAAAACACAAAACCGAAGCTTCAAAGTGATAGAAACTTCTCTTTTTTCTCTCTTTCTCTTTCAGGGTTATTTTCTGCAGTTAACTACAGCAACATTTGACAGCCGAGCATCTAAAGAACCTCAGGAAAACTTTTCTCAGTTTCATGACATTTGATAAAACGAACACTTTGTTCTCGAAGGCTGAATCTGAAGTCACATCTTAAATCAAACTAGAGCATGACGCGGGAGCAGATTTTCACTCCCACTCCTATCCCGCTCCCACTCAAAATTACTCCCACTCCTGTACCGCTCCTGTTTGATTAAAACCAAACATGTTGAAAAAACGTTGCATTTGCTTATTTTAGGTAAAAATGCAGTGCATAGTATGCATAAATAAATAAAAAATTTTAGGTAAAAGTGGCAGCCAAGTCGCTCCCGGCGACTCCGGCAGCCACTCTGAATCGCTTTTCACTTCCGGTGGTGACAGGAAGTCAAACCACTGTTATAGTTCTTTCGTGTTGCTAGCGCGGTCAAGAGTGTTGGCTCTCACTAAGAGATGACTACAAAAATGGACGCAACTGTTCATCTGGTTGTTTAACACGGCTGAAAATGATCATCTATTAATGTTGTTCCTGCTCCCGTCGCTTTTTTTTCCCGTCCCGATCACGGGATTAATTAAAAAATGACTCCGATTCCGTAGGATTCCCGCTGGAAACACGTGACCCACGGGACTTCCCGAAAAATGTCATCCTCTAAATCAAACTCTGAGCTTTTAGCTTTTATTTCAACTTACTATGACGGGATTTGTCATTTTGATGATAACCTGAGATAGGGCTGGGCGATAAACTGAAAATTTACAGATACCGAAATTTACGACTATAACCGACGTCATTTTGCCCATATTGGTATATTGGGTGTTAAAAAGATAAATAAATAAAAGTTGGTTTTGGATGTGTGTAGGTAGGCTATGGTCTCATGTCCCTTTAAGACGCTGTCCTACATCAGAGACGTGACTCCACCCCTTTCAGTTCATAACAAAGAGGGAAAGACAGGTGAGGAGATGGAGGACGGTTCAAAAGTTGTAGCGGCTGAAGTAGACGAAGTTAATGTGGGAGGAGGTGAGCAGCTTGTGGAGGAGTTATCGTCCATTTATCGTTATCGAGGTGAACTGATCAATATATCGTGATATTGATTTGAGGCCATATCGCCCAGCCCTAACCTGACAGATAAGCTTCATGTCAATAATCACTGAATAACAACAGATCATGACAGTAATCCTTTCTTTCTTCTCTCTACTATTGTCTGTTTGAGCACTCAACTACCAGTATTGAGCGTGTAAATTAAGGACCGTTTTTAACATTAATTAGATTGTTTTCTGAAAGTTAAATAGCAGAAAATGCTCCAGGATAGATTTGGCAAACAGCCCGGAAAGTGAAGACTGATTTAGTCTTTTCACTCGCCTTAAATGTGACATAAGTTGGTGAAAACTTTAGTCAAAATGACACAGTGATTTGTTTGATCACTACTCTGTCCAGCAAAGACATCCCAGAGTAAATAAGGGGGATTATACAGAAGGGTAAGTGGACAGGTGGTTGTTCTTTTCATTTTTTAGACTGGATTAAAATTCCGTTTGAGTTTTTGTTGGTTTTCTTTTGTTGCAGCTGATCTTCGAGGCCAAAAACAGGGAGAAAAGTAGCTGCACTTCTTAGATATATCAGGATTTAACATGTCTGTTTTTCTGGTCTATTTTAATCTCTCCATCTGTTCACTTCTTACTTTTTACATTTAGCACCTATACTTTGTTTCACGTCTATTTTTTTCCTTCTTTTTCACACATTTACCCGTCGCAGCAGTTGTGTGTTTTGGGCTGCCAAAACATGTCAGTGTCGCACTTCAGCTGAGCTCGTAAAAGAGAGAAGGAAAGAGGAGAGGGAGAAAAGATAGAGAGGTAGAGGACCGAAGAAAGACTTGTTAAAGGGAGAGTGGAGAACGGAAAGAGGGATGAAAGGTGGAGAGAGGAGGAGAGAGTCTCTGAGGAGAAAAGAGAGAGATTTGGAGAGCTTTGAGATGAGATCATGGGAAGCAGAGATCTCTGTGTTTAAATTGAGGCTTAACAGGGCTCGGCCTGGTCCTGCCTCGACTTTATGAACACACACACACACACACACACACACACACACACACACACACACACACAGCTGCACCTGTCCCTGACACGGCTCAGCAGGAAGAGGCGTGGCCTTTGGCACCAGTCCTGCGTGCACTCAAAATGCTTGGTCTCCATGGTAACGCTGGCCACAGTTTCACCTCAGTGCTTGTTCTTATCAACATTATTACACACACAAAGTGAGGTTATGGCTCCGCCTCAGCGCTAGACTACACTTTTAATGAAGATTGGTGCACACTGGAGCGTGTAGAGAGGAAGCTGTCCTCTGCGGTGAGAAACAGACACCAGAGACCAGTAAAGTTAGGAGGAGTCTGCTTGTGTTCAAGCACCTGAAGAGGTCTGAGAACCACCTGTGGCATCAGTGAGACGTCTTATTTTTGGGGGTTTAAAGCTCCGTTTTGTTGCCAGGTGGTTTCGTCCTGTTTAAGTTGTATTTTCAGACTAATTATGCCTTTAAACAGTAAGATGTGACACTGTGAAATCTGGTCAATAATGAGGCTCTTCTTGTTTGTTGTTTTTTTTTACCTTTTTTGAATGAATTTATTAAACACTGCCATGTTGGATATACCGGTGAATCAGGCGCTGCAACAACACGCAATCTGATTGGTCAGAAGTGGACACACAGTATGCGAAACTTTAGAAAATTCATCTAAATTCATCTAAATCTTATTCTCTTTTGCTTGTTTAAAAAAAAACACTTCATAAATAAGATGAAGAAAGAAAAGTGAAAAGACAAAAAAAGAAAAACAGAAATTATCTGAGGGATAACAAGAAAACGTAATCCATCAGAGAGGAGAGCTGAACTCATTTTCATTCATGGTACTCCATATGTAAACAAATACACCTTCAATTCTTGGTTAAAGCAACTTTTGTTAATGTCTGAAATTAAAAAGTTGGGTAATTCCATGCTATTGTTGCATTTGATTTCTTGGCGAACAACTAACAGTTAAATCGACATATTTTTGCTGTTTTGTTTTAACTTCATCCATATTTTCACTCATTTTTAATTAAAGACATGAAATGAGCCCTATAACTAAACATAATCAATTAAAAGGCAGATTTTTTGTGTTAAAAAAAGCTGGAATTGGGTCTCCAAATGTTTTTAAGTCATTTGAATATTTATGTAAATATTTTTAAAAATATTTTCTTCAACCATTTCCTGCATTTGAGATCTGCAGGGTTTGATTTCAGAGAGCCAAACAGCAGAAAGAGTTTATAAGCATGGTCACACACAGACTCAAAAAGCTCTCTGCTGCTCTCTAGTGGTGATGGAGCGAAACAGAACCTCAGCGTGCTGATTCAGACAGTCTATTAAAAATGTTATCCTTAACATGTGTGTGTTTTTGTGTGTTTTAGTGAAGGAGGAGTGTGTGTCAGAGGAGGAGGAGGAGGTGAAGGACGCTCTGGTGGAGGAGATTCTCCAGCAAGGAGACACGGCTGTCATCTACCCTGAAGCCCCCGAGGACGAGCACAGTCCAGCAGAGACGGGAGGCGCTGATGAAAATGGTAACATAATACTCTTTAAAACACGCCTCTATTATAATTTCCAGTTTACTCCATCCTCCTCTTAATGTGTTTCTCTGTTCCCTCCATCACAGGTACACCAGACACCTTCCCCCAGCTTCACATTTGCCCCTACTGCTCCCGGGGCTACAAGCGCAACGCCTCGCTGAAGGAGCACATCAAGTACCGCCATGAGACCAGTGACGACAACTACAGCTGCTCGCACTGCAGCTACACCTTCACCTACCGCTCGCAGCTGGAGAGGCACATGACCCACCACAGGAACAACAGGGAGCCGGTAAACTCACCGCCGAACGCATCAACTCTGTTAATGTTTAACTTGAAACAGCAGGCCACAGTCTTATGATGGCCTAAAAATCACAAACTTCAAAATAAGACTGCTTAAATTTATCCAGGACCAAACTTACAGAACAGTTGTGTCACATGTAGCCAATCAGAAAGTGTTGTGGGTGGGACATTAGATGAGACAAAGTGGTGCAAGAAAACAAATCCAAAGACCAGACACACCAGCAGCAGAAACATTTAAAAGCAGTGACTGTTTGTGTTTTAAACTTTAAAAATGGTTTGTTAATAAATGCACTTCGATATATTATTCAGGAACAATATAAAAAACGACTATAGCAAAGAAAATAGCCAGGTTTCAGTGTTGTGTCGTTCGCAAACGATTCGTTCAAAAGAACCAAATCTTTTAAGTGAACGTACTGAACCAAATCACTTCCCCGAGTGATTCGTTCGTTTCTCACTTCAGTTGAGCTGACGTGAGAAACAGCATTGCCAGTCGAGCAGCCGGCGAATGAGGGACCACATGCACCAACGCCTGAATAACTTGGTGAAAGAATCACGCATTGAACTACACTCTGGAATCATTTTTGTCGGACAAAACTAGCTTATTTCTGCTAAATTGCCACCACAACAACTACATATAATAGGACAGAGCATGTAACAAGTAGTGCATTAGACCCCCAGCATCCTATCATTGCAGCGGTTTGCGAGGGAACGGTTTATGTTCAGCGTGAATTCTTTTAAACGTTCAGTAAACGGATCACTCACTGAGCACAATTCACCGAGCAGACCAGATAAACAGGATACCATAGGACAGTACACCTAAAACATCATGACATATAAACAAGTTCATTTTTACAAACTTGTTTGCCAAAGCAACACAGCCAAACACTCTCGTCTCACGGTCCCAGAAGCTATGAATTGACCTAAACCCTAAAACTGTTCAGCTGTGAATCAGTTCGGGAGGTCGGCTCCCGCCAAGCGCTAAATGATTCGGTGATTTGAAGAACGAATCTTTTGAACGAATCTTTGCCGTGCCCATCACTAGAAAACTGCCAGGTTTAAACGTGCTTTTTAACGGTCTCCTGCGACGTCATCGTGAGTGTTGCAACGTGATTGGTCAGTTTCCTCAGCTTTCCTCCAATAGCGCAAGAACAATCAGCAAAAGTAGGAAGCGTAAACTAGATGTAACCACAGACACGAAACATCCAACGGAATATTAAGGATTAACTCTAAACAAATTACTAAAAATACGTAGTTTTGGTTTAATAACTACATGTTTCTCGATATTTTCGAGCCACAAGGTTTCTCTCTTCAAACTTATACGAGTAGAAAACCGTTATTTTCATCCTCCAGTGGAGCAAACACGAAAGTTTAGCAAAATCAAACACAGACAAATCCTCAATACAAGGTCAACCGACAGAAATCCGCCTTAAAGGAGCGAATTTAAACTTTTACTGACCTGTTATGGAGAGTTTAATGAGTCCCATCCTCGAGTCTCCTCCGTGTGTGGGCTCAGGTAATCCATCCATCTATCCATGCACGCGCGCCGCAAACTTTCGCGCGTTAACGGTAAAGGTAGCCGTGACGTCACGCCGTACTGCATGTTGGGAGAGAGGGGGGCGTCATCCGAGGAAGCGCGCGCGCTCACCTCATGGCTGACCTGCCTCCGTGGTTACCTGTCCGCTCACCTTTTGTTTAGATCCGCTCGAGGAAAAAAAAGCGAATCTGGAAAATCCTGCAGGCTGCAGAAACGGAGAACAGCTGTTTGTCTGAACCTCTCAGACACTAATTCATGCAATAAACCTGTGCGTTACACCTGGACAGGTTTAGGACCGCGTGCAATGGGAAAAATGCCACGTTTTTAGGTAGAAAAAAACAGCTCGCGGACTAAACCGGACAAATCTGCACGGTTTTTCTCTCTAAGGTAAGGTTATATCACTCTTTCTGCACAAAATATTAGGTGGAAAATCTTAATTTAATACCCAAATAAGCGTTTCAGTCTGTCATAGTTATTAACTTATTCAACTAGAAGAAGTGGGAGTTGTTTATGTGCTGTATTTATCATAAAAACTTTGATTTTTTCGTTTTTTTTTTCTCATTTCAATGTTAAATACTTGGTTATATAGAGTAGGTTTGCACCACATTATTTACACCTTTTATTCTACTATGTAAAAGTAGACCCTCTATCTTCCACAAAGAGTTCCTCCTCCTCCTTTCTGACCCACCCACAGACAGGCAGACAGGTGAGTTATTTATTCACCAGCCAATTTGAGATTAAACCGCGCCCACTCTCCAGAGACTGAGGCCTCTGTGCATGTGTACCTAAGGGACACCTGGCTGAAGTGGATTAGATGACATCAGCATTTAAAGTTCAGTGAACACAACTATATAATTTGATTCCCTAATATTTGTGAAACTGGATTTTATTATCAAGTAAAAAAATATATTAAGGTTATAAAAAAGATTTGCCAATCTTCTGATCCCTCGTCCACGTCTAAATTAGCAAACATCATCATTACAGGGACAAATGTTGCACTTATTCAAACTTTAACAGTAAGGAAAGATGGATCGTTTAGATGCACTGAAATAGGACTCCCATAGTTATGAGAAAATTTTGTACTTTCATATGATAAGTCTTTTTTTGTCATAAAATTCGTGCATTGCAAGGAGAAAAGTATCCATGAGGACACCAATCAAAAGAATGAGTTAAAATTATATTAAATTTGATGTTTCAAACTTTGCTTTTCTATCTAAAAGATCGGCAGAGTGTTGCACCATCTCTGCGTAAACTGTGTCTTAAGTTAGAGTATAAAGTCCACACTTAACTGCTGTTTTTTTTTTCTTAACTTAAGTTGTTCCATCGTTCGGTTGCACCACATGGACATAAGGCTCATCTGAACTAGTTGAGCGTTGCACCAAAATCATGTCTTTACTCCATTAGGCCAATCAGTGATCAGCTCTTTTATCTATTAGGTGTTTGTTAGGGTGCTGACTCGTGCTTGGTTGTCTTTTAAACAGGCTAATTGCTTAAATAACTGTCATTTACTCTTATTATTTAATGAACAGCAACATTAAAGTATGTAAATTATGGCAAAGCGATATAATGAGTTGATAATCTGTAGTGTAACAGTGACATCAAGTGGGAAAATTATTAACTACATCATACCTTCATCTGGTGGTTTGCCTTTATTATAATAATAATAATAATAATAGTGCTTTTATTCAAAATTATTTTAAATGTTTAAAATAAAAGTAATTGCATATTTTTAATTAACAGTCTATCGTGGAGAACAGCTGATTAAACCCCCATATTACCCCATCTCTTGAAATAATGCAGGGATGATGAAATTATCTTAGCTAATGCTGATGGTCAAACTAGACTATGGTGGTCTTTACACGAGTATGAATGTGTAAGACACCAGTAAAATAAACTACTGATCTGGTGATATTGACACAGAGACGCGTATTTGTCCATGACTCTGCATCTTTTTTGAAAACGGGTCTGCAGGTGGATATCTGGGTATTCGTCTTCATGCCGTAGTTGGTATAAATAGATAAGTCCGGAAAAGACGGTGACCTCATAGCACCCCTCCTCCTCCCCGCCCCCCAAACCCACGTTGTCACACACACAGCAACAACAACAATGGCGGTAGCTGGGGTGATTTTGTTCTTGTTCCAGCAACTACAAATATTGCTACGACTTTTATACCAACATTTAGAACAGCAACAACACCAGCTACGGCAACAACAGCAACAACTGCTCATGTGTAAACAGCGATACTTGTTTTGGTGGCGACGCCAAGACAATACGGGGCCGTCCTCGTGTGAGGAGGGTCTATGTTTAATCTTGTGTGTTGCTGGTGCAGTGTTTTATTTGTACTACCAGTCCATCCCTTAGAAAAGAAAACTAAAAGACATCACTACCATCTCATGTCTAAACGATTGTTATTTTCCGTCACAGCGTCACGTGTCCCAGGCGTCAGGAGGAGCACCCGGTTCCCGTAAATTCAAGTGTAACGAATGTGCCAAGGCCTTCAAGTACAAGCATCACCTGAAGGAGCATCTGCGCATACACAGCGGTGAGTTGTTACCACTTGTTGCTTCATCACTAATTTATGATATTTTCTCAAGATTTAAATTTCTTTTTCTTGTTTTTGAGAGTGTATTTTTTTCTTCTGTGTTCCCCCATAAAGGTGAGAAACCTTACGAATGCTCAAACTGCAAGAAGCGATTCTCCCACTCAGGCTCCTACAGCTCCCACATCAGCAGTAAGAAGTGTGTGGGTGCCGCGCTCCCAAATGGCGTCCCTCGGACTCTGATCAAATCCCCTCCACTCCCCAATCAGACCAATCCGGTCACGATCGCTCCGGCCCGCATGATCCTTAAAGAGAAGACTGACAGCAAACCTCTCCAGGAGCAGCTTCCCGTCACCCAGATCAAATCCGAACCTGTGGAACTAGCGTGCAAGCCCGTGATGGCGGCGACGACAACTTCAACGAGTACCAACGGCGTGGTGAACGGCGGGACGACGCAGCCGACCGTGGTTCAAGCTGCGACTCTGCCTCAGGGTGTGGCCATGGTGGTACCCACAGTTGGCCTGATGTCGCCGATCAGCATCAACCTGAATGACCTGCAGAATGTGCTGAAGGTGGCGATGGACGGAAACGTGCTCAGGCAGGTGCTGGGAACAGCCAATGGTGTGGTGGCGCAGGGGAAGCAAGGGATTGTGGTCCAGCAGCCTCAGCAGCAGATCATCAGCCTGCCTGCCTTCGTGGATCATGACGGCACCACAAAGATTATCGTCAACTACAGCATCAACCCCGCAACCGCCACCGCCGCCACAACCCAGCCTACACCGCTTGTTGCCAAAACCAATCCTCCGTCTCTTCCTGTTACCATCACCGCGCCCGCAGCCCCCACCCCCAGCAGAACAGACAAACCCCCGACCCCCGAGGCGACTGACCTCTCCATCGTGAAAGCAGAGCCTGAATCAGTGCCCATCATGGAGGCGGAGGCGTGCACTCAAACACAACCGAAAACTGTCCCGACCACGGACGCCCAAACAGCTCAGATGCCAAAAGTGAACAGCTCCAGTACGTGTTTACTCTGCGACGACTGTCCTGACCACCTGGAGGCGCTGCACCTTCTCCAGCACCGCAAAGCGGCCAATGGGGAGGCTGTTGACTCGGCCGCTTTGGATCCATCGTTCGCTGATCTGCTGAGTGAGGCGGGGGTGACGTTGGAGGAGCCGCCTGTAGATGACCCCCTCACACTCCTCAAGGCCTCCTTCACCTCCAACGCCAAACCCAATGAGGAGGAGCTGGTGAAGATCTCCGAGTCGGTCAGTATTCCCATTGATGTAGTCAGGAAGTGGTTCGGCAAGATGAACTCTGGGAAAAACGTGCAGAAACGCTGCAATAATGCTAAAGCAACCACAAAGTCCCGTTCCTTAAATCAGAGTGAAGCGAATAAGGAAGACAACGCCCAAAAAACCTCCAACAGAGCCTCACCTGAACCCGGCAGCACTTCTTCATCAGACTGTTCACCTCTAAACCTCAACGGAGACCTCGTCATCGTGAAGACGGAGCCAGAAGACCCAGAGGCCTCAGACTCCCAGGCAGAGCCACTCGATCTCTCGGTTCCCAAACATCTCGCGGCATCATCGGAAACGACCACGCCCCCTGCCAAACAGCAGGAGCAGCCCCTCAACCTGACCTGTCTGCGGAAGGAGCAGGTGGAGGGTCGAACCATCTACGTCACTGCGCCTCAGACCGGGAGACCTGTCAACATCGTCTCTGCCGCACAGCTCCCGACGCTCGTGGCCATCGCCGGTCAGGGCACGGTGGGCTGTCTCAGCGCCATCAACACCACCACCAAGCGCACCATCCTCATCCCCCAGCTCACGTACACTTACGCCACTACAGCCAGCAACGCCACTGGAGCGAAGACTGTTGTACTAAACGGCCACAAGGTTGGTAGTTTGGAACATTTTGTCTCCCAAACTGTTTTAGATTTACACTTTCTGATCTAATAACCTTTCTACCGGTCTACAGCAGAATTGATGATCATTTTCTGTATTTTTCAGAAGGAGAAGAGGCCAGATAGTAGCTCTGATGGTGCAGCTCCAGGGGAGGAGAGTCTGGACCCAGACTCAGCTCTTCAAGCTAAAAGGCCTCGGATGGGAAAGGGCGTTTACGCCTGTGATCTGTGCCACAAAGTCTTCCACAAGACTAGCTCCCTGATCAGGCACAAATACGAACACACAGGTATCACTGACACTGACCGACATTTTAATTCTACTAATATTGCTCTATAATGTGGGATGTCAGCTGACTTTTAGAGGGAAATGTCGTCAAAAGCCTGTCTTTAATTGTAAATGAGTATATTTATAATTTGACAAAGTGTCAGTTAGCTTTAACGTTGACCAAAGTTTGGAAAACTGAGGGGGGCACACTTCCTTAATGGGAAAAGCTAAGGCAGGGAGAGCAGCAGCAAAGACTCTAGAAGACAATATAAGTGGCACTGGTGAAATCAGACCCAGCATTTTGAGCAAGGTGGAGGAGCAGTTTGCAGAATTAGGGGAAGGCAGGCTATACCAGTTTTAGACAGACCCTGATTCTGATATTTTCCACTTAGATGCATAGAAGAAAATCCACTTGGAAATAGGAGCTTGTGTCCCCTTCTTACTCTCTGTCCTGTAATCTGCAGGTAAACGGCCTCATGAGTGTCCCATCTGCAAGAAGGCCTTCAAACACAAACACCACCTGATCGAACACACGAGGCTGCACTCCGGGGAGAAACCATACCAGTGTGACAAGTGTGGGAAGCGTTTCTCTCACTCTGGCTCGTACTCCCAGCACATGAACCACCGCTACTCCTACTGCAAAAAGGACGGGCCAAGACCTGACTCCAGTTTAGGCCCACGCAGGATTCGGGTGGAAATCATCCGACCCGGACAACACCCTGACAGCGGAACGACCACTCCACCCTCTCAGCCGGACTCAGACGAGCGGGAGAGTGAAGAGGAGGACGATGAGGCGATGTGCATGGACGACATCCGTGTCATTCAGGTGGACGATGGCGAGTGCGAGATCTACGAGGGGAACTTTGAGGACGATGAGGAGGAGGACGAAGAGGAGGAGGAAGAGGACATGGATGAAGAGGCGCAAAGAAGAGCGGCGGAAATGGAGTTGGGGTATGACGTTGTCGAGGTCGAGCTGCCAGAAGATCACATGACGGTGGAAGAGATGGAGGAAACAAGTGAAGGAAAGGAGGACGCGTCGAGTGCAGGTACAGAAAAAGTTACAGACTGTGAAGCAGAAACTGACAAAGGTGCGAGAGAGGGGTCACATGGTGTGGAAACATCGGAGGAAGACACGACAAACATCGTGAAAAATGTAAATGAAGAGACTACAAACATGGACAAAACAACAGAGGAAGAGACGGCAAAGATTGACGAACCGATGGAGGAAGAGGTGGCAAACATCAACGAACTTACAGAGGAAGCGACAACAAACATCGACAAAACTACGGCAGAGGAGATAACAAACATCCTCGAACCTACGAAGGAAGAGACAGAAATCGTTGCCGAATCTATCGAGAAAGAGACGGAAAACATCCTCGAACCGACAGGGGAAGAGATGGCGGATAACGTCGAATCTACGAAGAAGGATACAGCAAACACCGATGAAGCCACAACAGAAGAGACAACGGATAACGCCAAATCTTCTGAGAAAGAACTGATAAACATCCTCGAACCTACAGAGGAAGAAACGACAAACGTCGTAGAGCCTGCAGAGGAAGAGACCTCAAGCACGGCCAAACCCACGGAGGAAGAATCGACTGACAAGACTGATCCTCCAGATGAAGTGTCGACAAACGCGACTGAAGAGACAACAGAAATCACTGATCCTACAGACGAAATGACGACAAACGCCAAATAACAGTTCCAAGCTGTGACTCGATGAGGTTGAGTTCACTGAGACAAAACCGCAGAGAAGTCCTAGAGTTGCGGCGGTTGCCTGAATTTATCGGTCCACTACTGTGTACAAACTCCAGGTGTGCCTGAACTTGAAAACAGAAAAAAAACAAAAAGACGTTTTTTTTTTTTTCTTGTGGAAATGAAAATATCAGTGTTAAGAATTGTTTATAGAAGTACAGATTTTAAAGCTGAACTCACCCTTCAACTTGTTAGACTTGTTACTGAGACATCCCAGGTTGTTTTTATTGTTTGTTTTCATTTGGTCAGTGTTACTAATCTTGTTCTCCTTTGAAAACATTTTAACCTGTAAAAACGAGAAAGATTTCTATACCTTTTTATTGCCAATGAAGTTTCCTAAATCAGTATTTTATTGAGTTCTACGAACAAAAACCTCTGCACTACAGTATTCCTGGTTTACCTACGGATACATGCCTCATGCATCGTATGCCCTTCAGTGTTATAAACGTACACTAGCTAGCGAGATGTCGTATGTGTTAGTGTTAGTCTTTGCTAGCTAGCATTACCTTTGTTTTCAGTTTGACTGTTAGCCTTAAAGAAAACAAAGGATTCTTGGGGAGGGTTGTGGGGGGGGCGGGGATGGGGAGTCAGGGACGGGAACGTGGCTTCTGAACGCCATAACCAAATTTGTCCAATCAGGGAAGGTAGAGTCACAACCTCAAAGCCAGCATCAGGCGCCTGTGTTTTGAAACCTGATGTAGCCGGGGATGGGTGGAGTCCCCACCTCTCCTGGCTCAGCCGTGTCGCAAAACACACGCAGCCCTTCTTACCGAGCTCCTTGTTATTTTGGTTGACCTCTGTTCTCAGTGTTTCAGTGTTATTAGCTTATCTATCTCTATATATGAAGTCATACTGTACGTGAAGGAGCAGGGCTGTTTCCTGCTCCACCCCGATGCCTCCAGCCTTATGCAAGACCTGTGTGCTGTTTAAAGTGCCATTGAACAGTGTTATTTCTTCTTCTCACATGTAGCCAGTATTATGTTCCTCTGTTACTTAAAAGAGACCCATATTGACTGATGTTTGTCCACTTGCACAGAACAGCTGATTTTTGCCACAATGACTAAAGAAACTTACTGTGAAATCATTTTGAAACATGTCTATGGCCTTTAAAAGTTTCTGACTGCATACAGACTGTGGAAAACCATCATATGAGCTCCGAGTAAGCATTAGTTTCATTATTAAATCAGCGCATTAAAGCTCCAGTGAGGAGCTTGTTGTTGTCGTTGATGATTTTGGCGCCTCCTGTGGACAAAGTAACACCTCTTATCTTTTCTGAGTTTGTTCTGTTTATATGTAAATAGTGTGTATTGACAAAAAACTCATCATGCTCTTATTAAAAGTGAAATGTATTATAATGTTTATATTTGCAGTAAAAAGTCAAACAAAAGGTTGTTTTTCAGCGTGCTGTGAATCGTCACTTCTGACACTTACCCCCTCACACTCGTAACAGACTTCTGAAACAACTTTGAAAATAGTTTTCAGACCTTAGTTTTCAGAAGTCGTCTTGTTTTCTGTTGTGGGTCACAAAGAGGCTTCATTAGGAATTTTAATCGTTGTCAAACAGTCCTGAAGTCTTCAGAGACTTAAAACGAAATTTAAAGATTTCAAAACAACAGTGGAGCCAATACTACAAAATTACTGTTTTGAATGTCTGACGTAAAACCAAAAATCCTGGTTCTGAGCTCTAGGACAGGATTCTAATTTAGAAGTCGGAATAAAAAGGTTTTAAAAAAGGGACATTTCAAATTTTAATGAATATTCTGAGTTCAAAGAAAAAAATTCTGATTTAATAGTCAAAATCAATTAGGGTTAGCTATTTAAACTTTTCTCAGAATTCTAAGTATGAAATAAAAATCCAGACTTTGACCCAGAATTATCCTGATTTAAACTTAGAATTCAGATTCTTTCTAGAATTCTGACTAAATACAATTTAAATTTGAGTAAAAAAAAAAAAGTTTAAAGCCTAAATTGAGATTTTAAAGACAATTGCTAAGTTTGAAGTCAGAATCTTGATTAAATTAGTCAAATTAGTCAGAGTTTAAAATGAAATCTAAAGTGTAAAGTCGGACCATTAATGATATTAAACTCGGAATTCCAACTTTTTTCTCACAATTTTAACATTTTTTTTTTTACTGTTGTCAGATTTAAGCCCTAATCCCAAAACTTTACACAGAACTTGAAATTTTCCCGAGAATTAGAATTTTTAATTTAAAGAAAGAATTTTGGTTTTATAGTCTGTATTTCTCTGAATTCTTAACCATCTGTCTAAAAAAATTTAAGTTTAATATTGATAATCCTAATTTTCAAAAGAGTTTTAATCTTGAAGATAAAAATAATTTTATATTCAGAATTTTGACTTTCGGTTCAGAAATTCGACCCATTCAACCAAATTAATTTAAGCCTGATTAACCCTGGATGTTGAAATGGATACCCAAACAGTGCTTAATTAAGTCTGTTAGTGAAGTCTTTAAAACTCTTGGGTGTGAGGAGTTTTTAAAGTGTCAGGAGAGATGATTTACAGCACGCTGAGGAAACTGCCTTTTTTCCAAAGTAAATAATCACAATGACTGGTAACATCTCACTACTTAAAAAAAGCTGGATGTGGTTTTTGTCACTAACAATACGTACACATTTACAAGACAAAAATTCATTAAGATCTAAGAGTTGTGTTTTCTACAGGGAGCGCTCAAATCAACACAAAAGTTCATTATAGGCGCTTTAAATCCTTGACTGATCAATTCAAATGTATTTTTCTTCATCTTTAAAATAATGTGCTTTTAGTCCTGAAGCATGTTCAGTCATTTTAACTTTACTTTATTATCTAATTGGTCCTAAAAGTTTTATTTTCTAATGTCTAATTTCACAAAAACATCCTGAAATTTTTATGTTACCCTTTTTTTTTGTTTGTTTGTTTTTTGAATATTGAACAGATGAAGTTGTTCAACAATATCTTAAACATTTGAACCTTTGAGCCACAATCTGAAAGACTAAAAAGTACAAAAACGAATTAAGTCGAACCTGTGGAGATGAGATGCCTTTTAAACTTGAGATAATCAGCCTCCTGCTTTTGTTAAAACCATGTGAGAGCATATGTCGGTTTTGAAATGTTTACATAAGTGCTCAGAAACAGAAAACTTTGAGGCAGGTGAGAATATTTTAAAGCAGAATAATCCGGATAATCTGGCAGATTAAGGATTTAGCAGTAAAAAATTGAAATTCTTCAGACTTCTGCACTTGTTTCAGAAAGTTTTTGAAACGTGAATTTGTGGCGAGCTGTCCCGCACTTCAGGTAACAAACGTGAGTGAATGTGGTCTCTGTTGTTTTCAGTTCCTCTTCCTGAACAGTGTTTGAACTATTAGTCTGTTTAAAGTTGTTTTTATGTGTCCTCTGTATGTTTTTTTTTTTTCAACAATGGCAGTATTAGAACCCTTTTCACAGATTAAAAATGTACCTGTTTAGTTTCTAGAAGACTTTTTTATATTTATGTGTCTTATTTTTATATTTTCTTTTATGGTTATTTATTACACATTGTAGTGTACATTAATGTAGTTTGAATTGATACAATAATATATTTTAGTATGAAAAATAATCTCAAGACAAACAGAAAAAGCCCAAAATGTGGTTCTGGGAGCTGAAGTTTGTTTTAACAAAAAAAAAAAATTTGAGAAAAAGATGAAACATGTATTCTGTAAACATGACTTCTGTTTAAGCTAAAAAGAAGAAAAAAAGCCAGGAATGGAATGAGAATTAGAAACTGTTACATGTGCATCCGCTCTTTGCGTCGTTATGAAGCTACTGAATCTAAAACTCTGTGATTTTAAAAGCATGAGTCGTCGCCGTTTTACTGAAGGATCTTGTTATGAAGCCGTTACTCCTCCCTTTCTTTGATTTCCAAGCCAAATTTAGATCATCCCTCCACCCTGTTTTTCTGTTCTGTGCCAACTCGTTCATTGTACTGTCGAAGGCTGCATATCGGTCGTTCTGTCCTCACCCTTTGTAAATCCACTGTCTTTTGTATTGTTTTTATTTTAGTTTTGCTCCATTTTTATGACTCCCCATCACAATAAAATATAAAGAAAACATCTCTGAGTCACTTATTTTTACACTACAGCCTCTTCCTTTATCAGCCTGGATCGGTCTCCGTGTGTTTGTGTTTGAGTCGACCACTACACTGATTGACGAATACTTAATTTATCGATGTGCAAATGTTTTCAGGTAAGATTAGAAGACAAAAACTCACTGACATGAAAATGAAATCAAGTTTCAGTGTGTAGAAATGGAACTATTTAAGCAACATGGTGTGGTCAATCACCCCTCCTGCTGGTGAAATGATGGTAGCACTAAAGGCCAAGAAGCACCTGTTTCATTATAAGTATGATCCTCCATTTCTCAAGTTTCAACTAATTATTTTGTGCACGGTTGAATCGCTTCACCAAGATATAACCTTGGCTTAACTTAACTGTGCATGTAAAGGTCATGATATATTCTGTTTATTTAGTTTTGTCCAGTCCAGTCTTGTGAGTTTTCAGTTTGTGTCTGACCCTGTTTCCCTCCTGTTCTCTGTGTCTTATTCTTTAGATCAGTTTTCAATGTTTATTTCCTATTTTATTTTGTAGTAGCTGATTCCTTGTGTTTCTAGTCTGGTTTTACTTCCCTAGTTTTCTCTCTGTCACCCATGAGTTTCACCTGTGGCTCGTTTGCCAGGCAGGCACAACGCACAATGAACCAACAAGGATAGAGGGGAAATCAGGGACCTAAGGGGACTATATGCACGCTGGGAGACGAGCAACAGGTGAGGCAGACAAGACACAGGTGAAACTCATGGCTGAGGGAAAACTCGTGAAGTAAAACCAGACTAGAAACACAAGGAATCAACTACAACGAAATCAAATAGGAAACACTGAAAACTGATATAAAGAATAAAACAGAGAACAAGAGTGAAACAGGGTCAAACACAAACTGAAAACTCACAAGACTGGACTACAGGGGAACTGGAAAAATATAGGGGAAAAAATATAAAATGCACTCGAATAAAACCAGGAGAAAAGTAAATAAACTGAACAAATGAAGAGTAAATTTTACCCACCTTCAGTTACAGGGATAATCATTAGTTCAATCTTTCTTTTACGTCTTATATAACACATTCAATTCACATTTTGGGGAGACAAAGTTTAAGGACTTTGGACCCTCTATCTCAAATGAAAAGCTGCTGATGTATAATAATAAGCTATAGAGGGTGGTTTAAAAGCAGAGTTTTAAGGTTGTTTTTAATTGAATTGATTTTATGCCATCAGGGATTGCTAGTATTCTTATGAGTCCCCTATTTAAAACTGTTTGCCCTAGCTAACTCAACACTCTGTCTGTTTAAACTATCTATTTTGAATGAGAGCTGTCACAATATGCCAGTATTTACACTAATAACCGTCGTTTTATTAACATAAATACTGATATTGTGCTTTAAAATAAGAAAATATCGTGTGTTATTAGCCTCTTTTATGCTGGCTGCCACAGTAAACAGGATTAAGTAGAAGTAGTAACCTGCTAGCAAGACAAGCTAGTTAAAGGCAGCCACCCTTAGGATGATGTAGCACTTTTTAAACTCATTTTTAAGATATTGGAGTTACATATAAATGTAAGGTTTATACTTTGAACAAATCTTTTAACTGTTTTCATTCAATTCTGTAATTCATAGTCGACTAAAAGTAGTACACTTCAAAATAAAAGCACCGATTGACGACGTGGGGTGTAAAGCGTTTCCTGCTAGCAAGACAAGCTAGCCAAAGGCAACAGCCACTTGAAGGATGATTCAGCTCTTTTTAAACTCATTTTTAAGAAATTCGAGTTACTTATAAATTAAAGGTTTATACTCTAACCGTTCTTTTAACTGTTTTTATTCAATTCTGTAACTTATGGTCGACAGAAAGTAGTACACTTCAAAATAAAAGCAGCGATGCGTGGTGTAAAGCCACTGAAACTCGAGACAGAAAAGACATCAAAATAAAAGCAGGACAAAAATATTGTTCATGAGGCAACCTTTTATCTAAAGTTTGGGTCTGGGGGGTGGTGATAAATCTTAATATTTCACCCAGCTAGGGATTTAAGGTCATGTCGACTTAGTGCTTAAGTGATTTTTGCTGGTGTGTGTATTCGTTTGCTTTATTTTACCAGAATCTAATATGATAAATATTGAAATTAATAAGTTGAGATGCTTTAAAAAGACAAAAATCAGAAGCAGAAAAATGACGCTGGTTTGAAGTTGAGCATTATTGTGATTTAATTCACTATGTCTTATATCACAAAGAAAGTCTTTAAAAATGCAGACTAGAATTTCTGTATATAAACTGTACACAAAAAGCAAGGCACTATACATTCAGGTTCATCAAAGCTGCTGTTCGTCTGTCTCGTAAAAGTCAAACTCTTACGTCTCAGGAGCTCAGTGAGTCCGAGTCGCTTCAGCAGTTTGACAAAGTCGAGTCACCTGACAGCGTCGAGACAAAAAAAACAACTTTCCTCACAACATCTGACGTGACAGGGTTTTTTTTTTTTTACATAGATACAAAGTCACAAACGCACCTACACGTACATGTACACATATAAACATTACACACAAACATTATATACAACCGCGCACACATACATACACACCCATAGCATGGCACTCTGTCACAAAGCGTCCTAGTGTGCACATTTTTGTTAGCAAAGTCCATGATTTTAGTGTTTGGAGGTGACTCCAAAAACACAGAAACACCTTGTTTAAACCAAAAGAAGGTGTTGTTTTTTTACTTCTCTTGAACAGTTTGAATCTTATTTTGTAACGACAACGATGAAAGGTAAAACATGACTATAAGCAAGGCGAGGGCACCTCCAGTCTCATCCTTCGTGTTTCTTCTTCTTCTGAATGTCCACCAAGACATTTTTCCATTTGTCCATCTTCAAAGTTCACTTTTAATAATTCACTTCGCAAACCATCATTGATTGAAAACTTGCTTAAAACAGTCCTTTGGCCTTCTTTAAGTTCACTTGCTTCCACCCTGGTAAACGTTCGTACTCCTCCCTCTTCATGTCCAACGCTTTCTGTGGGTACAAAGATAAACAAACACATGCAGGGTTTATTATTCTAGGAGGAATATTTGCTGTCTCATGCTCAGGTGTGAATGTTAAAGTTGCTACGCCCTTGTCATTAGAAAGGGGGAACCAGAAACCTGCATTTCAACTCATGACCAGCAGGAGGCGACTCCGCTGATCGCAGTCAGTTGCCCAATCCCAAATTGAGCACACAGGAATTTAGGGACTTAATTTTCACGCATATCATAAAATTCACGCTCAAGATCCTTTAATCTCACGCCTAACGCCATGTGTGCGTCTCGATCATCTCTCAGGGACTCACTACCAGGGGCGTGTTCAAAGCGTTGGACAGGGGTGTCACAGCCCCTCTTAAAAATGAATTGGCCACCCTGAATTTCAACACTAAAACTGTAAAAATCAACTTTTCAAATGATTTTCTTTTACAATTTAAGTTTGTTTCATTTGAAGATCACCTTCACAGTAAAACAAGCTCACGCTACGTCCCATACTGTTCAATATTTAGGCTTTTAGGCGGGCAAATGAAATCATGATAATACTTCTCTCTTAAAGTAAATATTTGCATTGTTAATTTAAAGTCTGTTCATTTTATAAACTACTGTCTCATTTAGAGAGTAACAGAAAATTATGTAGAATAAACATTTTGAGTTTATCAGACACATATTATTGAATCTTAAATGTTAACACTCCAGTTCTCACACTTGTTATGAGGTTACTGTCGGGCAATACAAGTACCAACACACTGATAACATGTTAATAATTATCCCCAAAACCCCAGTTAACTGTTTTAATCTTTGACGGACAGTTTAGTTGTTTCAGTGTTTTCATGCCTCCATTTTGTGCTCCTCAGGCAGACAGTGAGTCAGACTGCAGTGTGGCTGACGGTGAATCAGAGGAGCTGAGAGGAGAGAGTCTCAGGTGGAAGGTGTGTGTGAGTGAGTGAGTGTGTGTGTGTGTGCGGTGGAGAGCAGCAGCGGCAGAGACGTGAACAGGAGTGTGTTTTTTGCAGAAGGTGTTGAGTGAACGCCTTTAAAAGAGGAGGAAAGGAGGAACAACAGCTGCACAATTTAGCATTTTCATTATTGCCGAGGTGTCAGTTTGTGACGAGACGCTCATTTACAACCTCAGCTGTTAATCTGGGGCAGGTGTGCTGAAAGCTGTTGAAATTTAGATTATCACTGAGGGGCTGAGACTGAATCTGTTCCTGCTGGGAAAAAAATAAACGAGTGTAAGATAGCATTAAAAAAATTATGCTAGCTTCTCAAATGAGAGCCTTAAAGACCCAGAGCTGCAATTTTAATGATTTTTGAATGGATTATGCTGCCATCTTTTCTTCTGTATATCCCTTATTTTGTTTTAAACTGTTTAAATTTAGAATAAATTCAGTAAAATTAAGCATTTAAGTTTTCTTTGGGAGTTTACAGAAAGCAAAAGATTCAAACTGTGTTTCTTTATTAAAACTTCCACTGTGTTCAGCAATGTGAAGTTTTTGTACAGACGTGAAGCTCTTTCTAGTTTTATTTTCAACCTCCACACAGACAGCTGCTGAGCATGGTAGAGCTGATCCTGATAGACCAACTTCCCCTGACTAGTCTGCTGAGACCCCCACCGTGAGTCAGCTGTGGTCTTAAATTATTAACTCATTAAGTCAGTTAAGTTATTAAGTAATTTCTGCTAACAGACTGACTGTGACTCGGTTTTTACTCCCAATGACGAGCTCATTTATCTCAAGAAGAACAAGCATGAAGGAAACTGTACACTGCCAGTTAGGGGTAATTTTACACTTTTTTGTTCAGTGTTCGTGTTTCATCATTTCCACATTTAGTCATTTTAGCCCCATTTTGTATGACTGTATTGTATTTAATGAGTCTGCTCAGGCTTCGACACCTTTTTTCACCGATTACTGTCAGAAATAACACACTGGCAAAATTTTTGATCTAAAGTCGGCTGTTTTTCCTTATAGATTTCCCTAATAATGCTTTTATGATGAATACTTCTCTATTTTTAGTAACTATAGTTTCCGTCTCAGTCTTTTTTCCCAGCAGGTAAAGGATCCTGGTCTAAATGTGTCCTGTCAGATCTGTCATCAGCTGTGTGAAAACGCTTCTCTGACTGCAGCTGATTCACTGGACTTGACTTTAAAGTCCAAACAGAGTGATCAGGACGAGCTTTTCTGACATGATTGTGCAGCCGAGCAAGAAAACCTTCTCCATCAACCAGCAGCACAGTGAGGAGGAGGAGGAGGAGGAGGCAGGAGGAAGGAGAGTTTTTAGATCCACAGAGAGGGAATCAGAGTGTTGACGTGCCGGAGAGGAGGGCAGGCTCTGAATGCTGATGGGAACCATGAGTAGCTCTTCTTACCTGAGTCCACCTACAACTTCGTCTGTGAAGTGAGAGTTGGATGGAGTTAGGATGGAGGACATGAAAAAGTTTCACAAACACATATTTTTTTTGGTTTTTCTTGGAGGGAAACCTGCTTCCCCAAGTTCTTCTAAAACCAAACAAGACTCTCATGCAGCTTTCATGTCTGTACTCTCCCTGACCTCAAAGTCCTGGTCTGACAGGTAGATCTCCAGGCGCAGCGGGTCCACTCCTTCTGGGAGCGGCCGGGCCTGCAGCTGATCCAGAGGGAAGGTGTTCTGACAGAGCCGAGCCAGCACATCCTCCACCAGGATGATCTGGTTACACACCTCCGCCTCCTGCAGGGAGAACAGAGTGTACTGCATCAGGAGCTTCACAGAGACAGCAGGAGTTTCACACTTCCTTTACACGCGTGTGAACGAGAATATATGCAAGAAATTAGAGGAGAGGGAGGAAGAAGCTGTGGGCGTCTACGGGAGAAATTCAATGTGCGTGTTTCTGACCCTCTCAGTGATCTCAGCCACGTCCTCTCTGTGCTCCCAGCTGGGGAACATGTTGGTGAAGGTGAGCGGCTCCAGTCCAGCGTGGATCAGATACGACTTCAGAGGCTTCTTCTCGTTCTTTTCTGCAGGAGGAAAAATCATTTGGACCTCAAGGAAAGAAAAACGTGAATCTGAGGAGGATGTATCAGGATCTCTGGACTGGACCAGAACGCAGCAGCTCGATCCTGTTTATGTTCTGAGTGTCTAAACCTTTTCACCAGATCACAGTCAAAAAATGAGGAATTTAAGTATTTTTTTAAAACTAGCTTTGGTTTTGTTGCACAAAGTTGTATCAACAACATATTTGAGAGACTACCTCCTGATCTGAAATACGTCTACAGTTTTCATCTTCTAACCTTTGCAGTACTGCAGCACCGTCTCCATCGCACACTTCCTGTCTGCATCCCAGCGCATTCGAGCCGAGCCGGTGCTCTCGCTGTCCTGAGGCCACCAGCCCTGCCACAGGTACACCTCATGGAAGTTATCCACCAGGAACAACGCTGACAGGGAGAGAGAGAGAGAGAGAGACGACCACAACACTGACTGTTATTGTTGGATATGTGGGTGAGCTGTAATGCTGCAGAGCCCGTCTTGAAGGGATATTTCGGCATAACATTAATTTAGGGTCAAATACACCGTAACACCGAGTTAAACACCCCCAAGAGAGATGAATGTTGCCGACCGCTTGCTTCTCTAGTTATACCGACTTTAGTAACGACCGCAGGATAGCAAAACGCCACTCTATAGCCACAAATAATGCTCAGAACAGCACCTAACTTCATCAACAGGACATATAGGGTCCCAGTCCGTACCAGCCACCAAACATCTTTTTAACTTTGCCTAATTTCTTTAGCAAAGATACTAAACACAACTTACTTACACTCTTCCAGCAGCCACTTGTTTGTACGGAGACCTCGGGCGAGTCCATCGACTACAGCGGGGTGACGCAGCTCAAGGAAGAACATTTATGATCATTTCTTCATGGAAATGCAATCAGACCGAGACGCTAAGGCAGAAGAACTACCTGAAGTTTGACCCCAAATTAATTTTACGCCGGAATATCCCTTTAAAAGAAGTCGTATTGTCGTGTCCGGGTCTCACCAGGTTGTGCGGCGTTGTACAGATCCTCCTGCAGGAAGGGTAGCGAGCTGACCACGTCAGGAGCTCTGGACGGGTGGAAGAACTCGTTGGCGACAAAGTCTCCTGATGTGCTGCTCAGCTGGAAGAGCCGCGGGGTGAAGTTGAACTTGCCTGGATCTGAAGAAGACAATCAGGGTGAGAGGGAAATCAATACTTCAAGTTTGACCGATATTCACATGACAACACGACAGAGCGTAAACAGTCTGTACCTTGCAGCATACAGTCGTAGGCCTTCCTGTCTTTCCTCCCTAGAGCCTCCCAGAAACCTGGAGGCTCCATTCCTTCATCACACTCATGGATGGTCACCTTACTGCTGCTGTGGAGACCCGCCTCCAGAGGACATCTGCAAGAAATGAACAGAAACCGAGTATGAAGTCAAAAACCCTGATCTGGAGAGTCCTTCTCCTCCAGTTTCTTCATCATCAGCACTCACTGCTCTTTGATTTTGAGCGCCGCCGTGTTTCCCACGCTGCGTGTGTTCAGCTGCGTCTTGCAGCCGTGCCACAGGTACATGACGGCCTTGTTGATGTTGAGCAGGATCATGGAGGCTCGGGAGCGCAGGCTGCTGCAGTGACAAGCAACCTCCAGTAGGTGGCCCTCCACCGGCACCTCGCCTCTTACAATGTACTGACGCCACTCACCTGGAGAGGAGTGAGAAAGAGACAGAGGGGATTCAATGATGGATCAAACATGAGAGACATCATTTCTTTAAAATCAGAATCAAAACAAGATCTTTTTGTTTACTCTGAGTGTTCTCCTCCTCCTCCTCCCTCTTGCCCGCGTGGAGGATCATCCCTCCGTTAAAACATTGCAGGAAACATGGAGGCTCTTTTCCCTGCTGCACCTGAACCTATTGTGACACAAAAACACAGAAAGGTGTTTACTAAAAGGGATATTCCGGTGTAAAATCAATTTTGGGTCAAACACACTGTAACACCGAGTTAGACACCCCCATCAAGAGATGAATGTTGCCGACTGCTTGCTTCTCTAGTTATACCAACTCGATCCTCAAACATCAGCCAAGTTTCATCATTTAAATCCAGAATTGTCTGTTTTTCTCCATCTTCAGATCTTAACACCTTTTCTGTCATTTTCACACAAGAAACCCACCAATCACCACCTTTTATACGCTGTTTATTCCATCTTTAGTATTAAGCTCCTCTGTCTTACTTGAGCTCCTCTTTCCTCGTCCAGCTCCACCGTCATCAGCGCTGACGTCCCTTTCTCGCTGACGGTGGAGTGTCGCCCCTGCCAGAAGAAGTAGCAGCACTTCTCCTTCCCCGGCCCGGTGCTCCTCGCCTCGGGGTTGAGCCTACGACCAACTGAGACACAGACGACACGGACTGTCAAAAGTTGCACCTTAAAACGCTCTAATACCTCAACTAGTGACATGCCTCACCGCCGTTATATTACAGCGTGAAGTTTTTCTAAATTTAAATCTAGATTAAAGCAGGTAGAGACTTCATTATCCATAGAGGGCGCCAGAACACACAAAATCCAAACAATACACATAATGTTAGTCCTCTCAGAGTAACTGACCTGAGGTGCTGACCATGTACTTCCACTTGACCACGTAGGCGTCTCCTTCATGGAACTGTCCGATGCTCTGGCGTGGCAGGCGGCTGTACGAACTCCAGGATGTGCCAGACGTCCACTGAGACCGTGCTGATCTCCTGAAGCCTCATGTGATCTTCGGTTTCCACGGGGCCGTAGCCACGACCGACATTCGTGCCGTCCAGGATGGTGGAGATGGTCGACTGGAGGACGGGCAGCATCAGGGTGGCGTCGTAAGGCCGGCATTCTCTCCCAGGGGCCTCCTGAGGGGAGAAAATGGGCAAAGATCATAGATTGAGTCGGCTCCTTTGGCTTCATCCAGCTTCTACACACGAACATATGCTCTCCTTTTCTTGTTCAAGTCCCAGTGTGTAACCAACTGTTACTGGCAGCATGAACTGGGACTGAGCATAAACAAACAGACGGAGGAAACATATGACGACTCTCTGACGAGTTAAACTTTTAAAACGAGCTTTAAATCCGCACCTTCTGCTCAGGTATGATCTCGCAGACTTCCTTTGGCGAGGGCAGCTTCGCTTCAGTCCAGTCCATGAACTTCTCTTTGAATAAGATGGTCTCGTTGTGCTCTGTCAGCCTGCCGAAGATCGCCCAATCAGGACGGCCCTGGCCCTTCCTGGTAGTAAACACAAACACAGAGAAAAAGAGGTTAAAAATGAAGATGGATCTTAAAAGTACCTGAACATGCACGTGAAATCTCAAATATCAGTGCTGTCAGTATCTTAGATACAAAACATGCACTGTGGCTAAAAATACACAGCAGCAGCAGCAGCAGCAGCAGTGGGCTGTTGAAAAGGAAAGAAACAGTTAAAGGGAAAGGAACCAAGATGGTGAGCAGTTTCAGTTTGACACCATAAAGTTCGGGACCTCTCCCTTTTTTTGGCATCTTGGCTGTCTGACATTTTGGTCTTGGTATGCTTGAGGCCTGTTAGGTAAGGGTTCATCCTTGTTTAGACTTATACTGCACTGTAATAGCCTGTACCATCTGCACACTGGCACCAAAACTGAGACAAAGTGGGTCTTTATTTTCCCCACCTGGGTATGAGCGTGTTGCAGCCTCCAGGGTCCAGCGGGTTGACGTCACAGCAGGTGTAGTCAAACAGCCCGTTCCAGAGGTGTTTGGCGAGCTGGAAGGCGACTTTCCTCTGAGCCAGGGTCACCTCTTTACCGTGCCACACGTACACCTCGCTGCCGAAGTCGAACACCAGCACCTGCAGCACAGAGCACAAGTGTACATTGATTATCTGTCTATAATCAATAACACCCAGCTGTTTTATTGGCGATAAATGCCTCTTTTACCTGACAGGTATCATTTAAACCTGAAATACAGAGAGAAAATGTGTAAAATCAGCTCTAAACCCACACCTCTTTTTGAGCTTTGGTGTCCTGAACTCATTTAATTTTGTCAGCAGCAGCAGCTCTGTGCAGATGGATGTAGGAGGTTTTTGCCGTGGCACCTGCTGTTGCTAAGCGACAAATTAAAAGCAGCTTGAAGCACAGAGCTTTGTGTAAACTGGAGTACAGCAAATATCAATATGCAGAGCTGGGCTCCTTGGAAGATACTCTGAAGGTTTATTAACACATGATTAGGATTAGTACTTTTACTCAGCAGTCAGGTCTGAACGCAGTGGCAGCTGTACACAATAGTTATCTTATTTTAGGTATAAAACCACAATATCATGAAGGTTATATTCAATTATTCATATAACAACAACACTTCCTCCTTTCTTTCTATTTTTTTTGGTGTATTCAGGGTTTAACTTGAGCCGGATCCTCCCGGAACAAGATGCGGCACCTCTTAATTGTGGCCGCCCTATGTTCCAGTACTTATTTGGCTAGATCCAGTAGCAGGATTTTTCTGTAGGATAGTAGGGCAAGGTCCCGCCCTCCTTCGCCTCTGATTGGCTGTAAGTGCTAGGCTCTGATTGGTTATTCCTTATGGCTGTGAAACGTCATCATCTGTCGGGTTAGGCTTAGGTTTAGGGTTAGGTTCAGGGTTAGGATTAGGAGATTCAGAATTGCGATAATGTTCTGTTCGATGTACAGAGCTGACAGCCCGCGCTCAGCGTTTCACAGCCAATCAGAGGCAAAGGAGGCGGAACCTTCCCCTACCATCCTACAAAAACTATCGCAATCCGGAACCACTCATACAAAAAAAAGAAAAAAAATTGTACATAAAAAAACTAAAATAAAATAACAATATGCATATATTAATTTACAGAACAAATTCCAATAATTTCAGGTTGTTTATTAAGATTTAACGTAATTTGAAAGAGTCGGCGATCTGTTGACACACTAATGCTGTGGTCGAGTTACCTCGGAAGTCAGATGTCGGAGGTGAAAATTGCATCACACCCGAGTTCCCGGCGTTTCAGTTAGCAAGTCGGAAAAAAGTAAAATCAAAGGCCTGAAACAAGAAGGGCTACATCTTCTAAAGTTTTTTTAGCTCCTGCCTTTTATTCGGACAAGGTTTTACTAAAAAAAAACTTCCATTGATGTCGCCATCTTGTTTCTGCCTCCGTCGGATATCTAACTTCCAAGGTAATGCGAACGCACCATAAAAAGCCGGGCTAACAAACCACGCCCCCCTAATAGGAAAAAAATATTTGAAATTCACTGCACGTGAGGGGCAAGCAGAGAGAAAATAACGGTTACCATTTCAGCGCAAACATGTCGAAAAGTCAGTGAAATTTACTGACTTTTTTTCAAAAAAGAAGTAAGAGTTGAATGACACTTCAAAACGAGTCAGAAAAGCCTCCTCAAGCGTCGATGAGGGCAGCTGCAACGGTCATGTTAACGGTCAAAACCGGCTGAAGCAGGAGGCTAGCTAGCTAGCGCCTCAACAGCTAGACAAGCCGGGACAGGAGGCTGGCACCGCGGCAGAAGCAGGTCAGGTTCCCCGCCGGCCGGAGCAGGAGGCAGCTACAGCGCTAACCGTCAGCCAGGTGGACCGCCAACGGCCGGAGTAACAGGCGGGTACCGCGACATCTGCTAGCCCGGTACAACAGCCGGAGCAAGAGGCTGGAACCGCGACATCAGCTGGATTTAGGACCGTGGGACGTGAGTGGTGAAAGGACACGGAACTGCCGCAGGCACACGCAGTAAAGCCCGAAAAAAAGAGGAGGAGGAGAATCCGGACATGATCGTGATGTTGGGTGTTTTGGACTAAATATGGTGAGCATATTGTCTATTAACAGGCCGCCGTGCCAATCTTTAAATAATAATGATAAAGGAGGATTTGTGTGGTTTATTAAAAGCTCTTCTTTTTAATGTCAGACCTGTTGAGACATTAATTGCTGACTGTTTACTGTAAGTCCCACCTGAAGTGATGTGGGCATTTGTCTGTTCTTTGTGGAATATAACCTAAAAATATTTGTAAATTATCATCATAACATTTATACCATGGATATTATTTGAAATTGAGACTTGTAAGTCCCACAGTGTGGAAAGTGGGCATGTCGTTGTTTTCAGCACATTTTCTGTGTATGTTCTGGGACCTGTGCCTGTCTCATCATCCCTGAGCTCTCATATATGTACTTTATGATTTACAAATTAAGCACTGGGTGTATTCGACATGAAAACAAAGAGACAGGTTGACTCATCCACTGTAGAGACACACACACACACATACAGAAAAAGAGTTCAGAATCGGGCTGCACGATATTGGGAAAAACTAACATTGCAATTTTTTTCAACCCTGCCATTTATACCTCTTTGGATGCCAGCAGGGAGCAGCGAGGGATCTTCCCCCACTCGTCATCGTCAGGAACTAGTTTGTCATCCAGCAGCCTGAAGATACAGTTTGTCTCCACAATGGCGTTCTCAAACTGCTCGTCCTCCTCCGGTGGACCTGCCGCTGTAGCACAATAACACAGAGGAATGATGTTAGTGTATCAACAAAGACAGGTGGAGGGAGTCTTATGAAGAATCACTTCAAAAATTCACTAAATTTAAGAGCAGAAATCTTAAAAAAAACAGAAACTCATGACTCACGTTGGTAGGCAGCCTGTCCTCCAAGGATTGTCCAGAACTGCTGGGCCTCTGGGCCCTGTGGGTTCACCCCTTCCTCGATTGTGATCAGCTGTGGCGCCTTGCAGCCCATGTCCTTCTTGGTCTGGATAAAAGTGGCCAAATCTACTGCCTGCAGATGCAAAGTAAACAGAAGCAGTTAGACTTTTAAAAAATGGACATGTAAGAGTCACATTTTCATAGATTTCATCTCTTTGTTTACTTTAAATTTCTTTGGATCAGAACCAAAGAGAAACTGAACAGAGAAAGGGGAGTGTGAAGAGACTTAGATTGAATAAAACCCTTGGGAAAAAAACGAGTAAACAGCTCTGACAGAGGAGAGAGCGCAGAAAGATGAATATCAGAAAAAGTCTAGACAGATGTCCTTTGGGGAAATATCAGAGCTGCAGAAGATGAGGAGTGCAGATGTTAGTGTTATGTTTGTGTCGTCTTTATAGTGCAAATCTCATCATGGTTCAGGCGGAAAGCTCACCTTGGCCTTCTCGATGACGTTAGAAAACTCTCCTATCCAGACCATGCAGTGCTCAGGAGTGACCAACAGGAAGCAGTCTCCACTGTTCAGAGAGGACGCTCTGGGTTCGACTAATCTGGTCTGAATATGACGACGACCTGGAGAATAATTTATTTTGTTAAACTTCAAAGTTTTAAACTTTATACAACAAATTTTAGTTTATTCAAGTTGATGTAATTTGATTTAAAGAACTGGAAAGATTAGTTTTGAAGTTTGTGTAAAAAACAAACAAAAAAACATTAAAGCAGACATGAAACATAAAGAAGAGTTTGAGACAAGAACTGACTGTATTATTAACCAAGATGAACGAAATGGTCAGCCCTGCCTCCAAAAGTTCCTGGGCCATGATAAAGTCCAACCCCCTGAGCAGGGGCTCTTAAAGGGGTAGATCTTTTACCCCAGAATTTAACTTAGACCCTAGTTCCTGTGGTCAAAATGCACCCTAAGTGTAACCACAACCTCATATCGCGCTGATGGAAGTGGTAATTTCCCGAAATGTCTTGCAACTGCTTCAAATCTGGTAAAAGCACCACTGCAGTGGAAGAGTTAACTACTTACATGCAAAAAGTTCTGGGTATCTGGTTTTCGGGCTCTGATTTGATGTGAGGGAGAGCAGCAGCAAAGACAGAAGAAAGCGAGTGGAGGACGGTTGCAAATCCACGTCAAAATCTTCTCTCCTGACTCTTACCTTTAATCTGCATCAGCATGAGGTTCTTGAACGGCACGGCGCTGTTGTTGGACATCTGCTCAGAGGCGTTGACGCTGCGCAGACTCACGCTGCTGAAGTTTTCTTTGCTGGCCAGACCTGCCAGAGCGGCCTCAGAGTATTCGGAGGTCTTATTCACTGGAGAGGAGAGTTGGTAAAATTATAGCTTTACAGGCGGTGGAGAAAAACTGCCTCATTAAAATTTAACACAACTAAGTCCCTGATGTAAACACTGCTACAAAAATGGGTCAAAAGAGGCCTCCGTCTAATTAAAGCTGTTTACACAATAACATACACAGTAATGGAGATTCATGTAGATCTGTAAGCTGTAAATAATGATAACATTTCTAAGTTTGCCCCTGGGAGTGTTGACTACAAACACACAAAGCTGTCAGCTTCACACTCACACTTCTCAGCCTTCATCCTCTTGCTCTCCAGCTGGGCCACATTCAGTCTCTGCTCCGTGTACTCGTGTCTGATGTCCTCTCTGGCTGCCAGCATCTTCAGAGGGTTTCTGGACGACTGGACGTTCCTAGAAGGACGCACCATCCTCTTGTGCTGCACCATGGCAGACGCCAACCTGGTAAGGATTAAAAAAAAACAAACACCCAGTGTGTGAGGATGCAGAGATTGAGAGTTAAGAAGCTGTCAGTCAAAGCTTGAGGATTTCCTTACTTGGGAGCCTGAGAACCGAAGATAGAGTCAAAGTCCTCACTGATCTCGATCCTGGTGGGCATGCGAGGGAACTCGGCAACATGACGATAGAACTTGGAGAAGATTTCATCATCCAGTTTCATCACTTCCTTCACGGCCTTTTCTGTCACTGTTAAAGTGGTTTCCTGCAGACCGGCGACTGATCAAGACAAAGAAAATGACAGAAAAGCTGTAAAAACCTTAAAGAAAATGACTCAAAACAACAAATACTGGAAAAATAAAGGTACTAATGGACACCGCACACATGATTAAGACAGTTTGATGCGTGTTATACCTTTGCTGTTGAGACGTCCTAAGAAGCTCTCCAGCTTGTCCAGTTTCTTGTCTGACTCCATATTTGGTTTGGCCTCAATTTCTACGAAGGAATAAATTGATATCAGTGAATATATGACATTTTTTTTCAACATTCAGGGTTTTATCTTGTGGGTTTTAATAGTTGTTTTCCTGCAGGAGGCAGTGATGACAGAGGACTATAAATCTCTCTCACCCTCTTGTGGTTTGTTGACAGCAGGCGTGTTGCTCTTGAGTTTGGTGGAGACTGGTGACAGGATGGGACTGATAACTGAAGAGGCTGCCAGGCCTGCAGACACACACAGACACACACACAGACAGGATTCACACCAGATAGAACAAAATGTCGAACAGTGCGATGAAATAAGAAGAAATAACCTTTGAACAAGCTGCTACATTTTCATCATCACCATTATTATTTACACCAACAATCCATGTTGACATTAGTATAAAAACACCATCAAGCATTAGAGTTTTACACAACCTGAAATGTTTTTGGAAAGTCATTAAAAAAAAGACACAACCAGGCTTGGTATCAGATTATTTTAGATCTTTAACAAGTTATTCCAGAGATATAAAATTGGGTAACACCAGGCTCTTGTAACACTAGATGGCAGCATCAATCTACAGAAAGCTCAGTACATGGTGAACATTGGCACCGATAAGCTGTTTGGAAAGAAATGAAGGAAAAGTTTGCTGAAGATTTTTCAAACTGCTTTGCAACCCTCCACAGCTCCTCCTTTTTAACGTGAAGTCTGATTTTACCTCTGGCTTTTTTGCATCATCGCTGATGCATGCTCTGTTCTTCCTCTTAGGAGTCTTTGCTGCTGCTCCGCCTGCCTTTGTTTTTTATAATTCCTCTTAAAGACTGCTTTGCAACCTTCCCCACCTCAGCTCCTTATTTTTTAATCTGGGTCCTATTTTGTCTTGGATCCTTTGGTTGTTATAATGCCTGCTCTGTTCTGTACTTGAGTAGTCTTTGCTGCTGCCCTACCTGCCTTTGTTTTCATGGTTCCTCTGCAAACTGCTTTGAAACAAACCCCTACCCCAGCTCCTCCTCTTATACTGTGTCTAAGTTCACCATTGTATTTTGTACTATCCCTGATGCCTGCTATGTTCTTTACCTGAGGAGTCTTTGCTTCTACTCTACCTGCCTTGGCATTTTACGATACCTCTGCAAACTGCTTTGAAACAAACCCCTAACCCCAGCTCCTCCTCTTATACCGTGTCTGATTTCACCATCGTCTTTTGTACAATCCTTGATGTCTGTTGTGCTTAAGAAGTCTTTGCTGCTGCTCTCCCTTCCTTTGTTCTTCCTACTCTTTGTCAGATTAGAGCCATACAGCCTAATAAAACTCACTGCATCCAAATAGCAGTTTTTGACTGAATCGACAATACTGAAACTCAAACAAACACGTCGTAAGTGTGTTTGTGTTCTGAGGTTAGAGTCAGTTTCTTGAAACGGCTAATGGTATTTTTAAGTATTGCATGACTGAGTGAAGACAGCTGGATAAAGACAGGTTCTTGAACTGACCTTTCTTGACCATACGTCCCGCCACGGTGTACTGTGTGGAGTCGTTGGCCGCTCCATGGCCCTTTGTCTTCCAGGCATCCTCACGAACGGAAATCATCTGTTTTCTCTCCTCGATGGTCATCTGGGCCTCGTTTTCCTCTCCTGTTTTCTGCACAGACAAGAGGAAATCGTAGAAACTATTAGATAATCAAAGATTACCAGGTTAGAGCTGAGGCTTACATGCCAAGCAGTTAAACTTGCATAGGCGGGCTGACTGACAGCTGGAGTTTAATTTATGAACCTTAGAGCTCCAGGATAATAGAGATACATCACCTCTCATAAAACTTCACTATAACTTTACTTGATGCATTACAACCCTGAGGAGCATCTAAGAAAGAAACAACAGCACCAAACAGAGCAGATATAACACATTTGAAGCACCTCCTGCGAACAGCATGTCCGTTCTAATCTTTGGATATAGACTCATGCAGTAGGAACATATCAAAATCAACAAAAGCTGCAAACAAAGCTGAAAAAAAACCCACATCTCTGGCACCTACAGCGCTCTCAACCCAGGTGCATCTCCTTACCTGACTATGATGCTCTATATACTGACACTTTTGGCCGAGGGGAATAGGTGGAGAATAGGTGGAAGAGAAGACAGGCTCCTGAGGATGAAGAGTTTAATGGAAAAGTGAAAGACAGAGAACAAAATGAGGAGATGGATGAAAAGTGACGAGTATACATAAAGGGGAAGCACAGGAAGGGATGCAAAGGAGAGAAGAAGTGGGGATGCAACATGATCGCTGTTCAGATTTTTGACAGTACTGGACTTCCTCATGCTTTTGAAACACATAACACATGCTTAATGTGAATGCAAAATTTGTGAAAGACTTTTGGTCATGGAGTCCTGAATGTTGTCATAGTCCTGTATTAAGTTTTTAAAGTAACGACAAAGTTATTTTTAAAAAAGGACCAGTATCTGTGTAAAATACTGTAAAAGGCAGTCACAGGGAAACAGTAAAACCCAAAGTCCCAGAATCTTAGCAAATGGATCGACACAGTCATAGAGATCTCTGGCTAATGTAAAGGATGACTTCCTCAGCTTCTTATCAGTGCTGTGTTTACTAAGAAGTGTGGGAAATTAACAATTTTTGGCACAAAGCAGAGGGACGTTCTCATTTCTCTGGGCTGAAGTGGACTCTAGAGTGATACATGTTCATTAAGTTAAAGTGCTATCACATGTTCATGTACATTTATGTAGACTTTGTCTCTGTTTTAAATATATTTATAACTAAATAAAGATCTAGAAAAGCAGAACCACATGTCAACGCTTGTATAAAAATGCATTTTTTTCTGTTAAAGTAAAAATAAACATTGTGTTTACTGCTTGCCCTGGCTACAGATATAAGGGCCTATGTCCACCCCTTATCTCATTTCCAAAATGCTTCATGGTGTCAGGTAACAAAAGTCATCCTTAAATATTCTCTCCTCTTAGTAATAACTATCAGGTTTGTTTTAAATTGCTCTGTATGCTTCTATCTGGCCACATATAGAAATCTTCTTTCAGAGTAAGGGCCTATGTCCACCAACATCAATTTTTTTATGCTGACTGCGCCCCCTATCTAAATGTCAGAATGCTTCCTGGTGTTGGTTACTGTTGCTAGGTTACAAAAGTCATCCTTAAATATTCTCTTCCCTTGGTAATAACTATCATGTTTGTTTTAAATTGCTCTGTGCCCTTCATATTTACTTTTATTCAATGACAGTTCGCAAAGAAACACTGAAAATAAACAACGGTGATCGTTTCGCATCATTAGCAGAATCTCTAGACCTGAAAATTTTACTCTAGTTCTCCAGTCCAAAGGGCATTTTTTGTGCTAATGCTCATGCATCATCAATTTAAGTAAAAGATGGGGACTGCCAGCAGAAAAAAAACAAACTGCTCTTAGTAGACACAGGCCCTCAAGGTTGGCCTCAATTTTCTTAATACTAAGAGGAAGTATAATCTCTGTTATTTGACAACTGTGCCAGCTGATATCTTTATAAAAGGCAAAGCAAACCTGACAAATTTACAGATAAAACTTCCTAACAGATCATCATAAAAGCTCCTATCTGAATCAGCAACATGTTGAGTATCCCACCATTTCAGTAGGATTAAAGACAGCAAGTGTAGAGCGACCAAACACCCACAAACTCAAAGCAGCAATCACTCAAAATCCACACAGAGCTCTGATTGGACAACACAGGTCCCACACACATGCTTATTGGCTTAGAGATGCCCACAGATCTTACCCATAGCTGCTCAGACACAGACACAGTAGAGTAGTCCTGAGCGACTACCCCTTCCTCCTGAGGGGTTAAACACAGGGAAGTACTCAGTCAGAGGGAGGGGAGAGAGGGGACACCATTGTTGGTTTAATGGGTTTTAGGGGTGAGGCTGCCTGGAGGGTTACCATCCAGGGTTTAAGCAGGCGGTTTCACCCCGAGAATACTAATGTGAAGGAGATGAGAGGCAGGGTAATGTGAAAATGTGGAAATTAGAGGTTCGTAGAGCTCCTCAGCTGAATTAAAGATGATTTTTAAACTGGCACAGATGCAAATAAATGCATTTCACAGATCCTTCAAATGTTACTGTATGTTAGATAAACCTTTCTAAATCTCAAATAGTACTCAGACTGGAGCCAAATCTGATCGAGTTAAAAAAGAGGGAATCTATTCCCAGACCCCCCAGACTGTTAATTCTACAAGCAGACGGTCCCATATGCTTCCTGGTTTACAGCATTTTAGAGGCTGGATGCTGTTCTGATCTGGACCACTGGGCTCAAACAACAGATGGACCAAAGGAGGAAATGAAAGGGCCACTTAGCTTAAAGAGCAGAGACAGGAGCTGTCATGGTAACCAAATGGGCTCTGGTGTTTCAGTACGGCTGATGTAGTCGCGTTGTTTTAACATTTATGGTCCAAAATACAGGGTAAAAAGAAGGCAGTCAAGCCGAGTTTCAGGACTATTAAAATATAAAATATAATCAGCTGTGTTGCAGAAATGTAAACAAATAGAGCCTTAAGAAATAGCGTCAAACTGATATTTCTGCAAACACAATACTGTAGAAACAAAAGCTCTTTTTTGCCATTGCCAGCAGAATGTGACTTTGCGAATTTTACTAATAAGTCAAGATGTTTGTTAAGTCTACAATGACCCTAATCCTCACTTGATTAATTACTTTCTCATTAATATTTTCTCATTTCCACCAAAGCATGAACTAACTTCATTTTTCATTGCGTTATCATTCAGAGAAAAAGGAGATTTTAAAAGCAGGCTGTGCCGCTAACTCACTTTTTTCTGTGCGCTCTGCTCGTTCTCCTGCGGCTGAGGCTGCTCCTCCGTGGACGCCGCCTTCACCACTTCCTGTTTCTTGTTGATCCTGTTCCTCCAGTCTTCCTCACCGCTCTTCTTCAGCAGTGCCACTCTGGAAACAAACCCAAAAAACATCTCAGTAAGACTCATATGAACTCACTTTCGATCATGATAACAGACCAAGTGTGACCCTTAAATTTTATGTTGAATAGAGAGCGAAGTCTAGTTCCTTGTGTGTGAACACATACTTGTCCAGTAAAGCTTCGTGTTATTTCTGGACGGAATTTTTATATTAATTCTTGAAATACAGCCATTTTTAAAGCCTGAATCAGCTTGACCACTGAGCTTTGACCGCTAAAATCTATTAAGTTTACCCTCCAGTCCCGGTTTACCTTTGCGCATTACTTGAAAATATTGCAATCAGGCGAACAGGACGCACAGACACATGACCTAAAAACATAATTCCTCCGTCCTGACTGTCGAAGGCGCGTAGTATGAAACTCCTTCAAGGGTGAAAAACCAGGTCAGATTTTTCTGCACCACAGCAAACGAACATGACTGTATAAAAAAAAAAAAAAAATAGCTATATACACGACGGCTGAGGGGTAAGAGAAAGTATGTCATCCCTGCTGCTGCCGGAGTGTGGACAGGGCAGAAATGAGGGCATTATGAGGAATCGACCAAACCTCCGAGGATTCATACAGAGCTCTCTGCAGACGGGGAGGAGAAACACTCAGATACTAAAATTAAACCTCTGGAACCAACCAACCTATATTATCCTATAACATAAGACAGACAGGGACTCCTAGAGACTAATCTTTGCTGACATCCTAGTTGTCACCTTGTGAAAAAGCCAAGCTCTGATCAGGTCCTGAATCTGCGAATGGGATTAAAGCTGACTTGCGCCTGCAGCTTCACTCTGAATCAGGATTTCAGGAGCAGACTGACCTCCGATTTTTCATGTGAGGTCAGCCTTTATTATTTTGACTTACAAGCTACTGGAGCTCCTCACTATAACTTTCAGTGCAGCTGATATTAAGATGAATCGGTGCCAGTTTGAGGGTGAAAAAAATTGGGGATTCAGTTGAATTCACCAAAATGCAGTCCAAGAATAGACTTTATTTTACAATTTATGCTATAACCTTCTTTTTGAAGTGTGTAAAGCACTTCAAATTGCTCTATGAATTAGTTTTTTAATATATGTAAACAAATCGTCTTCCCTTCACAGAGCCTAGATCAAAATAAATCATTGATTTTTTGCCAAATGATCCCGTTTCCCTGCAGATCTAGCACTGGTCCACATGCACATGGTGGAAAAATACTATTACACCAACAGCATTAGATTAATCACCCTGCAGGATAAACAAATTTCGTGCGTTGCAAGCCTTAAGTAAGAAGCTTTTCTTGCAGAGAACCGGAACTGGCTGGGGTTTTGGGAACTTTTGCACTTTTTTTGCAATCTTGGAATATTTTAGTTTTCTTAAAAATAGCAACGGTGAACGCGGGTGGTGTTTTGTTTTGGATTCAAACACTTCTAAACCTCCGGTGTCACTCACCTCTCCTTGATAGACATCTGTTTGCTGGACATGCTGTCAGACAGCTGGTCTCCAGACTCTGTGGGGGACAGCAGATCTCCAGAATGGACACTATGCCTGCTGAAATCCTCGATGTGATCCAGCGGCATGGACTGGGACTTGACCAGTGACTGAGGGAAGGACTGCGGTTTGGGTGGGGTCTGTGGAGGCACCTGGGGTTTTGGTGGAGTTGGGGGTGCTGTGTGTGGGAAAGGCTTCGGCAGCGGTTGGACGAATCCCTGAGGCTTGGGCTGAGTTTGAGGGGACTGGGTGAACGGTTTGGGGTATGTGGGCGGTGGCTGAGGTTGGAGGTCAGATGACAGTTTGGGTGGTGTTGGAGGAGGCTGCTGTAAGAAGGTTTTAGGAAGAGTTGGAGGAGGCTGGGGGTGTGTTGGCTGCTGACTGCTGGAGACGTGGGACACTGCTCTGGATGAAACTTTGGCCACCAGTGGTCTCAGTGGAGCGGGATGATCCGGCAGGTCTGAAAGAAAAGTGCGTAATGAGTACAAACGTGGTATTTCGGACAACAGCAAGTCACAACATTCAAAGTCCTTTGTTTACTTCAACTGCTCATGGTGCCTGGCCTTTATTTGAGGCAGGCTTGTAATATTATGAGCCCATGTGGGGACTTCCACTACAGAGTCATTCCTTTTTTCAATGCAGTGCTGACTGAGGCCTTTTTATTCTGTTATTGTTAAACTCTTTGCTCATGCATTCTCTTACAAAGTGCTGAACCCCTTTGGATATTTATGATATTCTCAAGCAAACAAAACCATTTTCAACATGATTAATGATTTCTATATTGAAATTTTAATGGTTGAAACCAGTAAAAGGGGGAAGGTGCATAGACTGTATATACTATGGACGACTTGTTTCCACCTTCCGCCAGTATACGGATTTGAAGACCAAAAGTTCTCTGCAATTCCGTGTTTTTTCTCCATTTTCTGAAACCAACGTTGCGCAGTAGCGTTATACGCACTCCACCACTTGTGCTGTACTCACTGGGGGCACAAGGATTTCAGTTTTCAACAACCACGCCAACGTTCTACAACGTGACATTCTATCAAAAACTCGCAACATTCTAGATGGACACACTCAACATTCTAAAACTGCAACTTTAATGAAATGTTTCCAATTTCTAAACATTCTAGAACTGTAATTTGACAGTCTTTCAAAACCATAAACATTCTAGGACTACAGCACAACAAACTTTCAAAACCTTCAAAATTCTGGAACTGCAAAATCACATTCTCTTAGGAACCCTCAACATTCAGCTAAATATACGGTTGAAATTGTTTGTTTTGGAGCGACTCCCCTTTTATAAAACTGCAAGGACAAAAATCCGCTCATTTGGCCTCACTGTGGGGCCCCGTGTGAGGCAAAGAACTGGTCTCCACTATCTTAGCTTTAATGAGTGTCTTTTGTTAAGGTCAGGGAATAGGTTGGTGTGAGGCATGTAGTGGTTAAGTCCCCGAGGGAATTAGTGTAAGTCAATGCAAGTCCTCCCAGCCTCATGATACCAAGATATAATGGGCCATACTTTTGTGCAGATTAACCCATGCAGGACTAAATAAGAGTACAGCCTGCAGACAAGGCTCCCATTGTCCCTTCAGTCCTCTACCTGCTTCATTTAAGTGACAGCCAATTGTTCTGCGCCCACACTGTCACTGAGTGCTTTCATGTCTCTGTGTGCAGTTTGCATGGGAAAAGACCACCCTTGGACACAGTCTGCATTAGCACATAAAAACAGGTCAGGTCCATTATTCTGTAGCATGAGCAGGGCTGAACCCCACAGGCGTAATGTGGCGCAAGAAGACCACAGCCCCCTTTTTTAAGGGCGATGGTGGCAAGCGCACACTGAAAACATTTGACGCCTGTTAGGTGACAAACCGCCCGTCAGGGAAGGGCTTCCTGGTCCTAAACAAAGAGAGCCATGAGGCAAATGAATGGAGAAATATGCTAATGAGATGCAGCCTCAGACGTCTGCCTCTCCGACACACACACACACACACACACACACACACACACACACACACACACACACAGGCGCTCTGTATGAGCCAAATCAAATACCCCCAGCTGGGACAAGTGTGTGTGCAGCCAGCAGAAGGCGTTCATGCGTGGGAGCATGCTGCATAAGACAATGAGGATAATGAGACCAGGTCCTTCACTGGACTTGGCTTCCTCTATCATTTTGTCACTCCCTTTTTTAAACCCCCAGTCCTCTCCGTCGCTTTTTCTGAGTAAGCCTCCTACCTGTGATGCCAGACTGGCTCCTGCCTCCACCGCTCCTCTCCGGCTCCTGTGTGGGGGCGATGTGAGCTGTCTCTCTCAGGTAGCCTCCTCTTCCTCTTCCTCCGCCCTCTGCTCTGTCCCTATTCTCCTGGGAGTCTCCGTCTGCGGCTCTCCAGCTGGGCAAAGGCTCTGACTCGCCCCTCCAGTGCTGAAGCTGGGGATGCTGCTGCTGCCGCTGCCTGCCTTCGCGGTCCCTGTCGGGGGAGTGGAGCTTTCCCTTAATAGTACCGTCTTGACTGTCCTCTCTGGCTCCTCCCTGCTGTCTCCCCCGAACCTCCTCCTCCTGGCGCTCTCTCCAGCCCTCCTCCGCCTTCTCCCCTTGCTGCCTGTGACTTGGAGAGGAGGTGGGAGCGAGAGGAGCCCCCACTCTCTCCTGGCTATCGAGGAGAAGAGGGGAGGAGTTAAGCTCAGACTCTGGGTGGCCCGGGTCCCCGCTCTGGTTCACAGAGAAATACCTCAACGCCCTCTCCTGGTGGCTCGGGATGTTGGACGCCTGTTGTTGGGCAGGGATGTAAGGGGTGGCAGTGGACTTCCCAGGATGGAGACTGTCATCATCAGGAACACCGCTGCTTCCTGGCGGGATGGTTACTGTGGAGACGGAGGCTTGGGAGGTGACGGCTGCCACAGAGCGGACTAGAGAGGCTGACAGGGGCTCCAGTTTGATCTCATCTCCGTTTTTGAGCTGAACAAACAGCAGAAATCATGTTAGGGTCATTAGCACAAACTTGATGTTATGAACTTTTACTGAGTCTGTGGTGGTTACTTTCCGCCCACAGTTGTTGGTAGGATCCCAAGGTTTAATCTGTGTGACTGATTTACTTTGAAGATATTTCTATTTCCACATTTTAGTTCAGATCCACCAGACTTTGACCCAGGCTGGTTGGAGGCAACTCATTTCCCAATCAAGGATCGAAGCCTACCTAACTTGAGTTGTAAGTTTTGTGTTGAAGGGAATCTCTTAAGTTGGGTAATCATCATCAAAATTTAATAAGAGACACCATAGCAACAGCATGGCTCCTTCTCAGTATCTTTGTTTGTTTGTGTCCTTTAACATAAAAATACAACATTATTTACGTGTTTGAAGCTTTGACCGAGTATGTGGGTCTGTCTTCTTTTCTTTGTTGCTATTTCTTGATTCCCCTGTGCCCATACATGATATAACAGCCCTACTTCAGACAGTCACACAGATTCAGGCAGCAAATAAAACAGTCCAGGATACACTGTTTTTTTATTTTTTTTAATCTATAATGAGGCCTGAAAACACAACATAGAGGTAGTACAACGACTAAACTAATGGTCCCATATAGTAGCTTTTTACAATACGTCCTAGTTTGTTTTTAAAGACGCGCAAATTCAGACAATCTGCAGTTCCATGCAGTGGTCCAAGCAGGGATTGCCATGATAATGAGGCACTGACTGGCTGCTTGAACGTTGACTGAGTGGGAGCAGATGGATACAGAGGCGGAAAAACACCAAAACAAATTTGGCGAGCCCTCCAGAAGAGCCGGTGTAGGTACCAGATGTGTTTGAGCTGCCAGATCGGCTTGGGGTGCCTGTTGATGACGTCACGCTATATGATTGACTGGAAGTTGGTTCGGATGATGTAGAAGATTGTGGTTGGTCCAGACATTATGGAAGCGGTTTTCCCTAGATTAGGTTTTGAGGTCAACTGAACAAACAAAGAGATATAAAAAAAACACAAGGGGATTTTAACCGAGCACATTGACTTATTATGGAGCGTAATGTAGCTTGTCTGACTAGACTTGCCATAGTGTGATGTCCTCAACAGGCGCTGGGCTCCGAGCCGATCTGGTACCTACACCAGCATCAGTACTTATGATCCAGACCATGAACAATAGTGTTACAGTATAACTGAATATTTTACATAATTTCTTGCTTTTTGTGACTAACTTGACTCAACAACACTGAAGCAAACCCCCTGATAGCGTAGAAGCTGGTGAAATCGCTGGAGGCGTGGTTATGAACGTGTGAATCACCCCTGACATCATCACTGGACTCTCTCCAAGTCTCCTCGTACAAGCTGGGTTTTCCCAGTAGGTGGGCTACAGAAACAAGGCAGACACTTTCTTTGCTTCCACATTCTCAGGGTTGCTAGGCTGTAGGATGGCTTAAGTATATATGCACAGGCAAGGGGAAACATGCTTTCCTTTATATTTGACTTTTACAGTCTCTCAGGCTCTCGAACCCTGATTTTTTTTCATTCATTCACAGTCCCTATCAAAGATATACAAACGCACGTACATTTCCCCTACATACAGTTTTTGCTAGTTTATTCAGGTTCTGGAGAAAGCCTGAAGAAACCAGCATGCAACGCTTGCACTCGAATGATCCCATGCTTGTTATGCAACGAGCAAGCATGTAACAGAAGCAGCCTACATCCAAAAATAAGGAGCTACAAAAACACATACAAGGCAGCCTGACTTTGGTAGCAGTATATCTCCCACTCAGTGATTTCCAAGAACAACACATACTGAACTGCACTGAGGGAGACTATCAAGCTCAGCACAGCTACGTCCATGACAAGACGACACTGATCGCAGGAAATACACAATCAGTCTGTAGCAGGTGGTTCTGCACAGGCAGTAGGAGTCTTACATGATCAGCCTCTAAGTCGCCGTTACACACCTCAGAGGTAACCGGCAGCTCGGCTTCCTGTGTGGACAGCAGTGTTTACAATAACTATGACTCACTGTTTAGGACATACAGCATGGATGAGAGGATAACCTAAAACAATACATCTGACACTTGTATGTCTGAATTTATAGTGGAAAGTATCTTTAATAGAAACTGAATTTCTGACGGGGGAAAAAGGACAACCTTTCCGGCTCCTAAACATCCAAATTTTAATTTTATTATCTATGAATGTTACAAAGCTAAACGCAGAGCAGACTCTGTGACCTCTGCTCTGTTTGCAAACTCTGAGAGTCATCCAGCTGCAAAGGGAACAATGCCGCTCATCCCTCACGCTCCAAGAAAACTGGTGCACCGCAGATCCTCGCTGCAGTGTAACTGACCTGGAAGTGACTCGTCTGTAGCTTCAGGCCTTTTTCATGTCAAAAAACTAACATCCTGATCATTTCTACATGCACTAATTTTAATACATCTGCAGCGTGGTCAGGGATTTGTAATTGTGATAACATGTTAAATGAAGATGTCTGTATAACAACACACCCAGTCTGAAATCTTCTTTACCTGCTCCACCTCTTCCAGGGTGATGGGTTGAGTCTGAAACCGGTTCTGAGCTCTGCGCTGGCGGGTGTCTCCTCGAGCCCCCTCTGCGGTCTTGCCTGTCGTCTGAGAGAGGCGGTTGAAGAGAGCCATCTTCTCGGTCAAGCTGAGGGTGGAGAGGTCAGGCTCGTCAGAAATGGGTTCCTGCCCGTCACCCTCCGCCACGGCACTGGACATCTGAGCTGGTTTCTCCGGCTCTTGGGTGTCTTTCTCCTGATCCTGGACGCCTGGGCTCAGTTGGGAGGAGGCCTGAATGCTGGGAAGTAATATCAAGAGGTAAGTCATCAAATCAGCATGTCAGTTAAAAAGAACTCGGACTTATTTGTGTCCTGGACAAACATGACAATAAATCATACTCCGGTATAATTTTCCCTTATCAATGCCTTTCTTTGATTTTAAAAAAAGTAGACTATAGGTTTTCACTGTTTACTCTAAATTTGATGGAGTCTCTTATAACAGAAAAAGATGTACGCCACCTTCAGTGAGAGTCTAAAAATAATCTAACGCCAAACTATTTGTTCAGCATTTACCGTATTAATACCGTATTGACCAGAATATAGACATCTTTTCTTGGAGTTTATCTGTTTACATGGGATTGTCCTTGAGTGCCTAAATAAAATCTATAATTATGATCATTATTATTATTTTATGTACTTGTTTAATTGTGGTTCCGACAGCATCAGGGTCTTCAAATAAAGCTCCTACCATACATGGAGCCTCAAACAGCATATAAAGAGTTGTGCACACATGCTCGCAGGTTAATAATAGAGACAACTCTGTCAGATTACAGGCGCAGCTACAGAGATAATCATATAATGCACTTGGATGTTTGCAGGGGAAATCGAGATCATCGGGCTGTGTGCTAAGCTAAACCAGGGTTGGTAAACAGACTGCAGGGCACGTGAGCACAGACATGCAGAGGGCTTTAACCGGCTCGACCTCTGACCTTTACATGAGATATGACACCTATTTCTTCCCTGACACTTTGTGACCTGCCTGTGACACACAGTTCTGGCAGGAATGCTGGGAAACTGGACGTGGAAAGTAGTCGATGAATTACTGTGTTAACACCGCGACTCCTCTCCCCTATAAGGTGCACACGAGGGGGCAGAAATAACAAGGTAACATGAGCTGGATGAGCAGATCAGTGCAGCAGCCAGCAGAGGGAGACAGAGAGTGAATTATCTCTGAGGCTCAGGATTATTACAAGGGTCACTGAGAGAACAAGTGCACAAGAAACAATATTCAAGATCTGTAGGGAAAGCGAAAAAGCTAAAACCAGGTGACTTCTAAACCACTTTAACTGTTTGAATATCACCCACAGACACAGACAAACACATTAACACGGGTAAGCAAAGCCCGGCCCAGCTGTACCTTAAACCGGTGCTGACACCAGTGGGGCTTGGGACACGAGTTGCGTTAGTGTTGATGCCCAAAGGTTGTGAGGATGAGTCAGGATCACTTTGAGGTGAAGAAAATGAGGTAGAGACGAGGAAAAGTGACAAAATGTTATAAAAGTAAAAGTGTGATGAAGATTGAGATGAGGAAGAGGAAGGCTCCAGAAAAACAAAGATCTAGGAGAAATGCTGCATGAGCTACCTCGCAGCGTTAACCACTTCCTTGTTGGTGACGGGTTGTGTGTGTGAGCGGTCCTGAACTCTCCTCAGACGCCTTTCTACCGCAGCGTTTCGAGACCGCGGTTTGGGAACACCTCCATCTGATGTCCTCTCAAGCTCCTGCAGGAAGACACCAGAAAGAAATACATTTTACATGAGCAGAAATTCAGACTATACTGGTCTAGTTGTGTTAATACAGATATTGATCATCTGAAGCCAATATTAGGACCGATGTAAACTCGGTAAAAATGACAAACTCGCTGTCAAAATTCAGAATTTGGAAAGTTACAGTCAGAGGCATAAACGTCCTCGCCAATCAGAGAGTGTTTGGAGCTGGACATGAGGTGAGACAGAGTTCAGATGAAAGACAAGCTCAGGTGTTATTTCATCTATTAGGTGTTTATTCGACTGAATGTTTAAGGTCAGCTTCAGCCCGACTTTCTGTCCCAGTCCAGTCATGGCATGTTTGAAATAAAGACAAATAAGATCTCTAAAATAAGTAAATAGTTGTCATTATTAAAAACACTCATATTAATTAAAAACATTTGAGATTATCAACTCATTTTAGGATTTAAATGTCAATAAAGTCGAACATTTACCCTGAAGAGAGACCTCTTAGCCGCCACACTCATCTTGGCTCTGTCGTCCAGTTTTTCTTCATCTAATAAGAAAAAGACAAAGAGATTTGTCTGAAGGCGTCATTTCTCCTCTTCTGAACTTCATCTTAAACTTTTTATTTCTGCAAAAAAAAAGTTGCAAATGCATCATAGCAATGTTGTGAACTTACCTTCAACGTCCTGCAGCTGTGTTGGGCTTAAACGGGACCTGCAAAGACCATCAATACATAATATTCAATCATGATCTTGATATAAGCCTAAAAACTAAAGACCGCTGTTAAACCCAGATGACTGAAGAGACTCCATCCTTCACCTATCTGACTCCAGTCGCTCTGCAGACGTGATCGGCTGAGTCCTAAACCTCTCCGACATGCGGTTGTCTCCTGGGGTGATGTAGCGTCGAGGCCTCCGAGCGTTCTTGTCCCGATCGCTGCCGGCGGCTGGGTCGACCTCCATGGCTGAGAGATCCACCTTCGTAGGCTCACTTTATGAGGCGTAAACAGATTAGGAAGAAAGGGAGAATGGAGAGTAGGAGTTAGAAAACAGTTAAGAGATGGTTTTGAGATCAGAAGAACGTGTTACGGCTGCACACACTGACTGCAATCCAGCTGTGAGTCGCTTTTTTTATTTTTAACATGCAGCAGAAAACTTTCGGATTAGAGGTTTACACGTAAGGAAAAAACAAAACTGCACACACTGAGGAAAACATGTCGACAGCAGATAGATAAAAATACACAATGCAACATTTCATGCCTCAAAATGAGAGTCAAGCAACATTTCAGTGCACGTGATGGTTCACAGGACTTGATATGTTTTATTAGCAGTCTGTGTTATTTTGAGAATTAGTTACAGGCTAGTTAAGTTCATGTTAAAACCTATGATCACAATATAGATTTAGATATAGTTATTCGAGTAATTGTGTGTCTTTGCATGTAAATAAATAAGAAAGTGGAAATAAAAATCATCTTCAAACTTAATCTCAGGAGATTAAAAGAACAAAACTGTAACGACAATGACGACAATAATACAATATATGAAATCATTTAATGCGTAGTTGTAGGAAGTCTAATTACACTCCAAGTCAAAGCTCTCTGTAGGTTAAAGTAACGTACAGGGAAATACCGGACAGGCAGTTAGTTGCATAGACACTTAAAAGTTGTTGCAAACATGCACAGGCTGCTTTTCTTCAGAACAGACTCAAAACCTGATTTTTGTGACAGCGTGGTTCTGCTTTTCTAAAAGATTGAGTTTTCATTCATGTTTGAAACCTAAACTAGAGTTAAACTTCACAAAAAGTTATATTTTATTTTATTTTAAAACAGCTGACTGATCCTCCCCGTTCAAAATAACATCAACAGCCCACAGTCCTGACGAGTCCTCATGTGTTGATGTTAGGAGAGTGTTTATCGGACTGTCAGGTTACAGCGGCACATGCTGCTGGTCTGCACATGCTCAGTCTAACACTTATTTAGTCGTTCCACACAGACACAGACAGAGCTCATGCCAGTGGACCTACAACTCTGGTTTCCGGTTTGCGTTCTCCAGATAAGAGTGTCTCAGCTGAGCAACAGAGACTCTGGTGTCCAGGGTGCCCATCTCTCCGTTAGCAGCCCCTGATGGGGGCGCCGCCCTGGATGCCTCTCTGCCGGCTGCTGCCCTGTCCATGCGGTACATGGCAGAATGCTGACTCAGACCTATATCCGACATGGAGCGGATGCGTATCTTGGGTTTGAGGCCCGTGCTCGTCTCCACACTTCTTTGTCTGGTCTGAGGCAGGGACGAGCCTTTCTGGAGGTAGATGGCCGAATCAATTCTGCGGTGCGCTGATGGATCCTGCTGCTGCTGCCTGTGAGGGACTAAGTCGGAGTCTCTCTGAAGCTCATGGAGTGCACTCTGGGGGTCTTGCGGCTGAATTGGATGCTCTTGTCTTGGCTGTCTCAACTGTTGGTACTGATTCAGATTTTGAGGTTCTTGCTGCTGAATCTGAGGATCGTGTAGTCTCTTCCTTGGCTCGTAGTGTGGTTGGGTTTGGGGTTCTTGCTGCTGCTGCTGAATCTGAGCATCATGTAGTCTCTTTCTGGGTTCGTACTGTGGTTGGGTTTGAGGCTCTTGCTGAATCTGAGCATCATGTAGTCTCTTCCTGGGTTCATACTGCGGTTGGGTTTGAAGCTCCTGCTGAATCTGAACATCAGGTAGTCTCTTCCTGGGCTCGTACTGCTGTAGACTTTGGGGCTCCTGCTGCTGCTGAATTTGAGGCTCTTGATGGTAAACAGGCTCTGTTGGTTGATGCTGCCTTGGCTGCTGGTGTGCAGAAGAGGACTGGGAAGGCTGCAAGGATCTGAACACTCTCTCATCAGGACTGTGGTGGCTTGGGGGATGTTCTCTCCCTCTGTTCCTGATCCGCTCCACGTTCCTCTCCCGCCCTCTCTCCCTCGGCCTCTCCCGATCCCAGTCCTCCTCTCCTCGGCTCATCCTCCTCCTCTCTGGGCTGTAGTTCTGCCAGTCCATGTCTTCATGGTGGCCTCTTTGGGTGTCATCCACGCTCTTCTCTCTCCGGCGGATCTCCGAGGGCAGCACGGCTTTCCTGCTCTTGAGCAAACCCTCTGTATGAGCCTCCTCTTTAAGGACCTGCCTCGCCTCCACTCTCGCCTCCTTGTGGGCGGCGTAGACTTGGTCAGCGCTCACTCTTCTTCGCGGTAGTACCTCAGGAGGTCCTGATAATCTGGCTGATGCTGCTGGAGCAGGGACGGCCATGTAGGGCTGAGCGTCAACAGCAGGGCCAGGATGTTTGTACTCAGGAGTGAAGGGCGCAGAGGCTGTTTGACCGTGGGCCGGATGGTGTCCTGGACTTGGCTGAGGCTGGGGAACAGTCCTCTGTTGGCTGGGCTCTGGGCGCTGTGGTGCATACTGAGCAGTGTTTCCTTGAGGACGCTGTCTGTTAGCCTGGTGCCTGTCTGGACTCCAGTCAGGAGGCCTTGGGGCAGTTTCATCCTTTGACAATCGCTCCCTTACACGGATTCTTGGGAAGAGGAATGAATAAGGGTCACTGAGATTCAAGTGAAGCAACACTCCTTGAACTCTTCATTTAACCCAGACAAGAGAAAGAACTTTTATTCCCACAGAAGAAAAGTAGACCTGACAGATTCTTACAGCTTTACCAGACACTTTAATCAGTGTTTCGCTGAATTTTCACTTGAGCTGGTCTGTTTAAGAAGTGTTTGAGTGGAATAAGTGGAATGCCGTCAACTCAGGTAAATGTCATTTTCCAGCTCGGACATCTGAGTTCCGAGGTAACTGGAACACAGCATGTCTGTCGAAGGGCTGCTTTAGCTAGCTCTCTAACAGTCTGCTACTTCTTCTTCGTCTCTTCTCCATTTCATGACGTGATGTTAATAGCATAACAAACAAGTCAGGTTGCGTCAGTATTTTCAATAAATCATCAATCAGTAAAACTTTGTTATGAAACACGACTGAAAAGCAGCAACCTGCCTGCACTCAAGACCTCATCCATATTTACTCCGTAGCCTTTCATTTCTGTTGACATCCAGCTGTTCAGAGTGTCTCTTTACGCTTTGTGTGTTTTTGTTTTTTGATGATTTACACTTTTATTGCCTCTTACGTATTCATACATTTATGACAGAGAAACAACAAAAACATGAGGCGGCTGCTTCTCTGAATAACAGAAAACAAAAATAAATCATTTTAACATCGGAAAGATAAACAAAAGTAGAAAAATCACATTATGGACACAACCAATTCAGGCTGAATATGACTACCAGGTGTGTATGATGTAAAAAACAGTGTAGTTACTGAGGTAGTTACTCTTCTGCATGTGCTGATATCAAGGTGGGGGCATCACATGTGGTATTTAAATAACTTTTTCTATCATCTTTCTGCCTTTTTCAATATGCCTCTGCTCAACATTGGCATACTGCCCCTTGCATCACATTTGTTTTTAAGGACGTGCTTCAAATCATCGCCGAGGACGCTGCCGTCTCACACTCTCAGTCGTAGTTTTTGTTGACCTAGCTTTATGTTCTTTTCTTTGCTATGATGCACGTCCCAAAGTGTACACATACGACATTGGATGTGCGCATGTAATCATTTTTCCGTTATAAAGCTCTGAAAACTTTGACGAACTGTGTGCTTCTTTGGAACAGCAGCAGTGTGTCACAGGAATATACAGGACCTATGCTTCGCCTCAAGCTACTTTTTTAAAGGTACTAGTAAAGCCGTAATAAGAAGTATTTGTCCTGGCATATTAAAAAAATAGTCGTCATAATCGCAGCAGTATATATTTCAAATCCATAATGTGAAACAGTTTACTGCAAAAAAAAATCTGAGATGTGAAAATATCACAGGGTCGTCTTAAAATGCCGGATCCAGCAGCAGTGAGATTGCAACAAGGTCAGGTGGCAGCATGTCCTCGGTTTAAATATGAGTCTTGGTTCACACAGCTCTCTCTCCTGCTCTCTCTCTCTGTCACTCTCTCTATCTCTCTCTCTCTCTCTGATGTCTACGTGCCAAAAACGTAACTGAAGCAGAACTATTTACATCTACAACCCTCTGACCTCTGGAAGCCAAAGGTCGCTCTAATCTCATTGTAGACCACTAAGCCAGACATAATTGACAAGTCTCTGCTCGATCTGACATGGCATCATGGACATGCAATGCATGTGGTATATTAGCACTGAACCAGCTACCATAAGCAGCAGATAGGGTTGCATTGACAGTCAGTGCATATTGCATACGTTTGGCACCGACTCCAGCAGAAGGGGATCAGAGTGTACTCTGTTCAGACGTGTAAAAACCACCTCACTCGTATTTTTGTCACAAATTAAGGATCTAAGAGGAGTTGGTTTCATGAGCGCTAGTAATTCAGACTTTGTGGAGAGATCTGTTTGACCAATCAGGACATAAATTCATGAATTCACCCATTCACAGGGTGTCAGTAGACACGCTATGTCACATGTGTGGGCCACGGTGAACCACAAAGGTATAAGTGCAGGATTACCCGAGGACCTGAGAGTGTGAGATCCTCCAGGACCACAGCGTCAAAGGTCAAAGATCTCTCTAGATCTGTCCCTCTTCAGTGCCGAATCATCAGAGAAAAAAGGGGAAACGCTCGTCTTACGCAACTTGGTCAGAGCCACTGACGGTTCAAAACTCAGATGTAATTTTACCGAGGAGGGGGATGTGAGTGAAGTCTCAGCTGCTGAGCTGGTGGGTCTAAGACTGACCGGGTCAGGGCATGGAGCTGACTAATGTTGTCAGCCCATCAGCTCTGGTTCACTAACACAAGCCCAGGCCACCCACCCACAGCCCTGCTACTGGACTTGTTTGGGGATCAAACCGCCTTTGCTTTCTGACTCCCTGGTGAGGGCTTGCCGTGAAATAAAGGAGTTTTAATTGTTAAAGAGTCCACACTGCATCTATCTGAATCCAAAGAGTCTTGGATGAGTTTCTTTTAACTGCTTGTGTGTTAACTCATCATTATCTAACTTACATGACAGATGAGACCTCACTGAGGTCAAGTATCACTATGTTTTGTTATATAAGTGCAGGGTCCTCTCAGGTCAAGTTTCAGAGTAAGTACAGACTCTTATTCTGATCTTCAAAGTATAACAAAATATTGGGCCACATTTTAGCTTGAAAAATAGAGATATCAAGAATAAAAGAGGAAAATTAAAGGAAAAAAGTTTCAAATTCATCAAAAAGTTTCAACTTTGTGGGAAAAAAATCATGATTTTAGGCCGTGGTTCGCCCGTGTGTGTGAAGAGATACTTCAAACAGAATAAGAGTTAGATTAATGTTTGTCAGTGTAAAGTAGTAGAAGAGTTTTATGATCTACTGTACAGGATATCAATAAATGAAAAAGAGAGTATACCAACTACTTTCTATCACTCTGAGGGCCTGATACAGACATGACTCTGTGGTGGAAATCTCTGCATGGACTCAAAATGACCTCCAAAATCCAGCATCTGTAATGGCCAATGGCACAGATAATTTGCACATTAATACTGAGCAACAAAAACAGGTTTGGAGGAACGTATGCTCCCATACAGACAATGTTTTTATCAGGTGCTAAACTGGGCTTTCGTTAAAAAAAAAAAAAAAAATTGACAAAGCTTGTCGTAAAAAACAGATTCAGTTTCAACGTGATTTTTTCTTTTTTTATCATTTCTTCAAAAATATATAGGATTTAAATGATTTTCTAACTCGTCATCTACCCAAGTACCTCATTCTCATTTTTTGTGATTATAAATTCAAGTCAATTATTGTCATGAACTTCTTTTCATGCACCAGGCTGCTGTTTAACTGGAGTTACAGGGACAAGATTTCAGCTCCAACCACTGACCTTGCAATCTACCCTGCTGCTTCTGCAACCTTTCCCTGATGAGCTCCCCAGAACCCCCTCTCCATGTGAAACTGGAGCAGGGCAAGCATGAAAGAGCTGGACTTAGAGTCTAGAAAGATCCTCAGGTTTGAACGCCTCTTAAAGCTGCAGGCTAGCGAGTTAAGCAGCAAACCATGACTGCGCTAAAACGTCATGAAACAAAACTCTGGCAGAAATTCAGGAATTGCAGGACCTCAAATGAAGGAAAACAGAGGTTTATGACAAAAATTAGTCTAAAAAGACATTTTCCAGTTTGTTCCAGACAGATCGACCAGGAGAGGAGTTTAGTATCTCGTGATAATGATCTGGGTTATTTTGGGACTTATGGGGGGGCTACTCTTACACTCATGTGATTGGCATCGATTCAAACCAAAACCAAATAAGAGGTTAGTTATGTAATGTATAAGTATGTCTATTTTTAACGTCTGATGCACAGACTTAACATGAAAATTACATACGGTCTATGGATCTGGAAAGTAAATAGAAACTGAGGTGTTTTTAAACCTGCAATCTTTTTGTGGCCAGCAGGGGGCACACTTGCGGCAACTTAAGTCTCACTGCAAAGACGGGCTGGGTGAGTTAGTTAAATTATAACTAGTGGGCGTACTGTGGAGTCTGACTTCAAAACTGCAGAGACATGGAAATGGCGCGATATCGGTTTCACTGAAAGACGCCTCTATTTTTTGTTGGAAGTCTGGGTTTGATGAGCACCCAAATCTGTCTCTGTTATTGAAAACTGCAAAGCTAATGCTAATTCGAGCTAAAGATTTAGGGTCTGCATACCACTCATACCTCTCTGGCTTACAAACCCTTATATTTTCGTATACAAATCAGATCTGAAGCTTTGAATAGGTAGTCCACTAACAACTGGCATCGCAGTTTCATGAGTTAATTTGGACATACTAGTACTAAGTTTATGGTCTGATGACCTAGGGCTGGGCAATATAGCCTCAAATCAATATCACAATATATTGAGCGGTTCACCTCGATAACGATAAATGGACGATAGCTACTCCACAAGCTGCTCACCCCCTCCCACATTAACTACGTCTACTTCAGCCGTCGCTCCAGCCGCTACAACGTTTGAACCGGATGGATGGGGTGGAGTCACGTCTCTGACGTAGGATGGCGTCTAAAAGGGACATGAGACCATAGCCTACCTACACATATATAAATATAAATAAATATCCCTTTCCAAAAACCACTGTCCTTAGTTTTATTGTGAAAAGCCCAATTTGAAGCATGAACAGTCATTCACAAACAAAGAGCTAGTGTACACTCTGCAGTCTGAAACCTCTTTCTTTGGTTGTACTTGACGTTGAACCCAAATTACTGCAGTACTGTCACACTTCTGGCGTTTGTGTATTCTGACTAAAGGCTGTGTTAAGACAGTTTTAGTAACTCACCCCTGTCTGTTGAGGATGCTCTGGGCCTGCTGCTCGATGAATAAATCCCCGGGTGAGATGCCATAGCGAGTGGAGGGCAGGGAGGCCCGGCGGGCGGTACGAGGGGAGCTAGGCACTGCCGCAATACTGTAATCCCTGGTGGAGGCTGGGCTTGGATCCTGGCGGGTGGCATCCTGGTGTGGGAGTCGCTGTTGTTGTTGCTGTTGCTGTTGCATTGGGACGGTGTGGTACTCCTGGGTTCTGGATCTAGCTGAGCGCTCCTGTGTCCCACCACGCCGGTAGTTCTCCATGTTTAGTGCTCTTTCTCTGTCTGAAAATCCTCTTGATCTTTCCTGTGTTGGGGGAGGGGCCTGTGTGGTGTGGGCGGGGCTAGAAGTGGAAACAGGTGCAGGATCTGGGTGAGTCCTCATGTAAACCCTGCCCACTCCAGACCGGTATGGCACTCTGGGCTCCTGTCCTTGCTCCTCGACTTGTTCCTGTTTGTCTTTTTCTCGCCTGGCAGCTGATTGCCGGTCAGACGTCTCTGGTTCACGCCGTGAACGGTAGCGCGGTTTGTAATCGATGTCCAGCTCCTGATCCAGTTGGATGCCATAACGCTCTGACAGTTGGCGGCGGCGCTCTGCTTTGTACCGGGCTATGCGTTCAGCCTTGGAACTGAGGCTGGTGGGGTCTGTGGGGCCTGTTGTGGTTGTAGAGGTGGTGGATAATGTCACTGGGTCGACATACACCAACACCGGCTCTGGACGGGCCCCACCAACACCACCTTTGACCTGCGCTGATTTGTCTTGAGGCTGCTTCTTTGGGGCCTCTAACTCCTCTCGACTGTAGCGCCTCACTGTGTTAAAAAGAGGAACAAAAAACAATTCTGAGATTTCATTTATCGGCTTATGGTTTGTAGATATCAAGCTCAGATTTATGGATCTCTCAGAATAAAATATAAAAATCATGGTGTGCCGTTAAAGCTGCAGTCGCAGCAATATCCATACATGTCTCCGAACTATTGCAAGTTAATTATACAAGTGGTAAGAAAAAGGGTTGTCCAGAGTAAAGAAGTACAGATGGGGGAGAGGTCTTCACTCTGCCTGTGCTGATGGTTCAGCAATATAAGAATAATGATCTGCAAAGTTAAAGTAAAGAATCTTGGAGATTTCATCGCTAACGGCACATAAAAGATTCAGAGATCGTGGAGAAATCAAGCTTAGAGACTGTAACACAAACAGGCTTGACTCTGCAGTGTGAACACTGCACAGGCTCAAAACCAATTCCAAACGCCAATGTCAGTGATTACATGTCATCACTGCATCTACAAATCCAGATGTGCCATGCAAAGAAGATCAAAATTTGACAGTCGTCTTGGAAATCTTGGACACTTCAGGGCCGCTTGGTTCAAAAGCCAGCACCTGAGACAGATCCATGACATGGGTAGCTTACGAATCTGGAAAGGTACCATTGGAGCAACATATGCAGCCATCCAGAAACAGACTTTTTCAGGAAAGGCCTAGCCCATTTCAGCAAGACAATGCCAAACCACATTCTGGAACAGCATGGCTCTGTAGCCGAAGAGTCCAGGTGCTTAAAGGGATACTCTCCCACTCTCCTCCGGCAGCCACTTGTTTGTGGGGGGAGCCCTGACGAGTCAATTACCGAGTGCAGCAGATAATATCCATGAAGTAATAATCATCATATTAATCATTTTGCACTGCAGACACTGTAGTTCTTCTGCCTTAACGTCTCGGTCTGATTGCATTCCATGAAGTAATAGACATAAATTTTCTTCCTTAAGCTGCAAAACTTTGCCGCACTCGGTGACTCGTCAGGGCTCCCCCAACAAACAAGCGGCTGCTGGAGGAGAGTGGGTGAGTTGTGTTTAGTCTCTTTGCTAAAGAAATCAGACAAAGCTAAAAAGATGTTTGATGGCTAGTACTAGGGTGGGGCCCTATATGTCCTGTTGATGAAGTAATTTGTAAGTAATTAATTTGTGGCTATAGAATGGCTTTTTGGTCGTGCAATCATTTCCAAAGTTGGCATAACTAGAGAAGCAATCAGTCGGCAACATTCATCTCTCGTGCTTGGCTTTACGATGTGTTTGACCCTTACTGAATTTTACGCCGGAACATCCCTTTAACTTGCCTGCCTGCAGTCCTGACAACATGAAACAAACAATAAATCAAGAGACCCTGAACTGCTGAGCATCTGAAATCCTGTATCAGAGGAAAATGAGACGACGTAGCTTTTAAAGACGTAACACAACAGTAGACGTGTCAAATCAATATCACGATATACTGAGCAATTCACCTCAATAATGATAAATGGACGATAACTACTCCGCAAGCTGCTCACCCCCTCCCACATTAACCCGTCTACTTTAGCTGCCGCTCTAGTCGCTCTAACTTTTGAACCGTCCTCCATCTCCTCACCTGTCTTTCCCTCTTTGTTACGGACTGGATGGGGCGGAGTCACATCTCCCACTTAGGACAGCGTCTTAATTAGACATGAGACCATAGCCTACCTACACTCTGAAACCTCTGACACTGAATATACGTTATGGGCAAAATGATGTTGGTCATTGTCGTAAAGTTCAGTACCGGTAAATTTTTGTTTTATCGCCCAGCCCTACATTGCATGGTATTGTAACCAACATAACCAACTTCATATCTCACAGTTAAATTGGTTATGTTTCCTACATTCAACCCCATAGGGCACAAACATGGAGCTATTTCATTGAAACACAAAGCAAACTTTCTGCAAAATGCAACAACATGCGACAGATTTTATCAGTTTTGATTTCAAACCAGCTGAGTATCTAAAAAACACAAACATCAACATTTCAGGAGTCTCAGTTAAAGCAGCATCATATACAGTGCATCATGCCATGCTTACCCATCACACATGGCTCACAGTTATCTGAGGCGCGGGTGTATCGCGGAGGATCCTCCTCCAGCATTCTGTTGGCGACCAAACCACCAGGAACCAGAGCGGGCGGGACGTCGCTTTCAATCCCCTCCAGGCGCCGAGCTATCCTCTCCTTCCTGTCAGGGACGACAAGGAAGAAGAAAAGTTACCAGCTGATCACAAAGAGTCAGACTGTTTAATAAAGACTAGGTAATAGCGCAAAATGCGTACCTGTTCATTCCTAAATCCTGTGTGACAGATCCCTCAAAGTATTTCTTCAACTCTGAAACTGAACATCAAAACAGAAAATATAAAAATAGCAGAATTAAATGAAATTTTTAAGGAGTTTATGATGGTTAAAAAACATGTTCACCCTTTGGTAGAACCGCTAGAAGTTTGGCATCTGGAGCAGAAACGCTCTTGACCAAGGCGGTCTTGTCACCCGAGGGAAAGTCGCTCTGAAAACTGAAACACATGGACAAGGTCACTCTTCATTTCCCACTTTCACAGTCCAAACAGAATGTTTATATTCCAACACAAGGCGAACAAGCATTTCAGCGTTGTCTTCGACTCCTGCAGATCAGCTCTAACAATAACTGTGCTTTGTTTGAGCCACGCCGGCGCCTCTGTCTCAAACGCCGTGTCTTAAAGAGGTGACGGCAGGTAAAGGTGATGCTCAGCCGGTGTCACCGCCAGCGGGATCCAGCTTAAGAACTCGGTCATCAAGTCCCGATTCTCCTCCAAGTGGAAACAGACAATCAGGCTCTTCCTTGAATGCCTTATGTCACAATCAACAGCTAATGCAAGGATAAATAAACTAACCTTTCCCTAATGTAAATCTTCCTCAAACATGTGCTCCAATTTAGCTGAAACTGATTTGTCTGAACTGAGTCAGCCACAAAAAGAAAACAGTCTTATCATCTTTAAATTCAAACCTTTACATTCCACCATTAAAATCTACAATTTAAAACTTTAAAACCTGAAAAATGTTCCTGATTTTATTGGTTTATTGTCCTGTAAGTGTGAGGTTCCTCTGTAAACTTGTACAAAAAAAAAAATCGGGGGCTTAGTTTGTGGTCCTCGAGGAAGTATTACAACCATAATGTCATGTGAACAACAAAAGTGTCTTAGGATAAGCCGTTCCTGGCATCTCCAGCTTTTAATGCTTGCTGTGCATGCTAAGCTAAAGCGCCATACTGTAGTGAACCTATAGCCTTTCAAATCCGCATCCTGATGACGCAGCAAAAACAGGGAGAGTGTAAAAGGTCTGAGCGAATAAAGCGTCCTGTTATTGGAGCTTTTTTGATGGCTAGTACTACGGTGAGCAGATTTTCTTTTGTCTTGCTGGAATGGTAACGGTCTTCCCTGAAAAAGGCATTAAAGGGACACTTCGGCGTAGGAATGGGCATTTTAATGACAGTCCATTGATCAATAAATCAATCATCGATTTGATCGTTGTTTGATGCAAATGGAATAACGGAATAATGGAATAATCCCCCGCGCGCTGCATGCTCACTCGCACTTCCTACCAGCCCTAACCGTTGTTTTTTTCTCATTCATGAAACCGGGGATAACTGGCCAGGGACAGGTCATCCAAAATGGGGACTGTCCCTCGAAATCGGGGACGTCTGGTCACCCTACAGTTCCTCCTTGCTAGCAAGGAGCTGATGGTAGGTCGAGATGAGAGCACTCAAAGAATTGATGAAGTTAGGTGCTGTTCTGAGTATTATTTGTAGCTATAGAGTGACGTGTTGGTTGAGGTTTGCGCATGGAGACGTAGACCGCTGTGTATTGCTATCTGCGGTCGTTACTAAAGTTGGTATAACTAGAGAAGCAAGCAGTCGGCAACATTCATTTCTCGAGGGGGTGTCTAACTCGGTGTTACGGTGTGTTTGACCCTGACTTAAATCTACGTTGGAATATCCCTTTAATGGTGCTTTTCTAGATGTGTAAGTTACCCACGCCATAGACGCTTACACACTAACGGTCTGCGGTCCGTCTGCTCTTTGGAGCCGAGGATGTGGCGTCCATGAGGACAGTGTACCACTTCACTTCAGTCTCTTGCTGACGTTGAAAAATGGTTTCCTCTTTGCGTTTTGAGCTCATGCAGTGATTACCACGACAGAGTCAGGGTCGTTTTTTTTCTCACGTCTAAGTGTGGAACAAACTCACCTTAAGGTTTCTGTTGGGAGTGAAATGGAGCTGCAGAGTTTTGTGGGAGCTTCAGATTCGAATCCTGAAAAGAGAAATGAGAATCAGTCTTGGGTCCACAGTCCACACAGACGTTTACACCCCTGTAAAGCTCCTGTCAGGGACTCTCAGAAACACCATTTTACACAATACAAACTGAGTGTCTTTTTTTCTTTTGTAGATCCTACGGTCACATCAGAGTTAATTTCAATCTGTTTCAGGTTTTGGAAGATGACTTTCTGGTCAAAGTTAGCACTATGTTTCTAAGCTCACTCTTCGCTGTTTGTCTCCTGGTTCATAACAAAGCTGATCACAAAGATGGGAGGCAGAGAGTGCCTGTTTATCAATTAAAAACCCCAATTTATTTTTCAGAGACAGCCCTGCAGAAGCACAAAAGAAGCTGCAAAGAAGAGTGTCTTAGTTCAGTATCAAAGTTGGCGTAAACATAAACTGTTTTCGATTGCTGTTTACTTTGCAAACTGCCAAAACGGAGGTTGAAATGAGAGACTTGTACAATCCTGTCTAATAGCATTATAAACTGCTGTGCGGTGTTTGGGTGTTGAATAAGCCTTTAAACTCATAGATGTGTTTCCCAAACTGGGCCTCTTTAATCTTATTTCAGTAATTTGTCATCACTGATTTAGCCTGTTGTGTTTTCCAACGCGGTTTTTTAAACCGGACAACCCCGTCATGATGGTGCAACAGTGCGGTGGTGGCGTCCAAACACATTAGTCCCGGAGAAGCTGATAATAAAGAACAGTTTGACGTGTTAAAAGTCATATTTATATCCACAATGGTTATCACTAACGTGCTGGTGCAGCCATGTCAACAAGAGTCAACTCCTTTTTTAGTTTTTCAACTAAGTCGATTATTAGAACAACTGACCAACTCCTCTTAAACCATCAGCTTAGATCTAAACAAGAGCGGTCACTGTTCCTCCATCAGGGTTCACATCATCAACAACCTCCGCCTCAGTTTGAGTCACTTGTCAAAAAAAACAAGCATCTGAGAAAGTTCACAAGCGGTTCCCGGCTGATAGCTGACTCTCTTGCGCTCACGTCACCACAGCAGCAGCAGCAGCTTGTTGTAAAGTTGTATCCCAGCAGAGGAGACAGATCTCGTTACTGCTCCAGACGCCTCCAGAACACCTCCTTCTTATTTTGGCCTCCAAAGACTGTGTGGCAACATGGCATGAATGTTTGGCAGGGTGGACGCAGAGGAAGTGAAAGGTGTGGTAGTAAAAACAAAGACTTCATGTTCTTTTAATGATACTCAAATTAAAGATTGATGTGTTTGACATAGACATATCTTCATTTAAAGGATTGTGTCATCCACTTTGTATTTAAAGGAAGAGTGAAAGAGACAAGCTGGCGACTCGGATTCTCTAGTCTCGTTATCTAAACCCATCAGTAAAGGTTTCCTGAAAGCGTCTGACCCCGTCCGGGATCAAGTGAGTGTGTATCTGTCTATTTTTCTTTCCGGAAAGCCCCGTGCACAGAAGTCAGTTCAGCTTTCCTTGGAAACGCCTGTAGGTTGTCAACAAAACAAGTAGCATACAAGGCAGGGCTGGCAGTGCCAGAGAGCAGCTTAGGCTGCTGACGGTCCCAAAGTGAGCGTGGTGAAGAGGAGAGGGATTTTCTATAAATATTCAGAGGTGCAAAATAGACTCTCTCCAGCCTTTGCTTGCACACAATCTGTTTAGAGCAGGAGATCATGGAAATAAGACAAAGCAAGACAGCACACCTGTTGGTCAGGTGGCGTCTGGGGAGCTCCGACATCATCCAACATTCAAGCAAACAGTTGAAGTTTTGAATCACCTCACACTGTCCCAAACACTTCTGACCAATCCTCTGTCATGAATCCTCATTTCATGGCAGAACCAGGACTCAGTATTCGAGTATTTTAATTCCTTTAACTCTCCAAACGCTCTCATTTGTCCCAGCGAGGAACTAAACCACATAAGCCGAGTCCACTTAGCGGTCTTTCGAGTAAAAGGTGCTCCGGTCATCCCTAAAACCCAGTCCAAACTTCCCCGTTTCGCAGGCCTTACCTTGGCCACAGGTCTGCACATGGTTCACATGGTAACTAGAGATCCATGGGTTTCGAAACATGTTTGGGAAGAAGAACAGAAGGATGCCCCGCTGCAAGACTCTCCTCCGGTCACAGCGGTGGTCGATTGTTGAAGGCGAAGGGTGCTATCGGCGAGGATGGACCTAGGTGGTGACACAACTGCCCCGGCTACGCAGCGAGCTCCAGCCTGCAAACACTGGTTGTCATACAGAAGACTGTATGTGTGTGTATGTATGAGTGTGTAGTTGTGTGTGTGTGTGTGCACGCAAAGGGAGCTGAGGGAGAGAGACAGCGCAGCAGGGCGCTAAAGCAGCTCAGAGCCCTAATCAGATTACAGGCAGAAATTAGCCTTGATGATAAAAACGCTGGGACAGGATTGGAGGAGGGTGCCAGCAGGGCTGTAGGGGGTGGTATAGGGTCCAGACCACGGCTACTGGAAGTCGGATGGATTTTCTGAACACAAACACACATCAGGAGCCAATCACACTTCCCAAAACGAACGCCACAAACTGCACGATACCCAAAAACCGTGACCGTGTTGCCGTGAAATCCCCTTCTTCTTCCGTTTTTCAGGCACAGCTGGAGTCCACTGGATCATAAAATTCTGAATACCAAGAGGCAAATGATTAATTACGGTTTGTCAAGGTGCCAGTCAGCCTGTGAGAAAAGCTTAATCAAGCTGCCAAACGCAACGCTGTGGATCAGAAATCCTAATTTCAAGCTATATCTTTATCTTTTCTCACAGCGTTGTGAAATGTTTCAAAACAGAACTGTAAAATTCATTCGATAATGCTTTTACTAGTTTGATCTTCTGCCCTCTTATTTCTCACCTACTTACACACACACACACGCGGACATAATTTACTGTCAGAACTTGGCCCAAACCCAGAGGTAAACACTGAACCCCACAGCGAGGGTGCAGACACACCGTGATCCAATTGAAGATAAATCCCACTTGTCCCAGTCATCACACGAGGTAGTGTGATTATAAGAGTCAGACAATAAGGCATTAGAGGTTACGCCGGCCAGCGCCCGGGCGGTCACATGATCAGCCATTACATCACAGTCACTCTGACCCTTGTAGTGTGATAAGTGAATACTGAAAAGCAGGCTGAGACAGAAGAAGACGAAGAAAGTATGTCATAGCAAATCTCCTGCACAGCATCGGAGTAAATAACAGGGCTTAGGCTAATTTTGCAGCGTGCTTACTCATCAGTTAAAGGCACAGTACATAGATTTTACGATACTTTTAACTTTGTTTAAATTATTAAAAAACATCTATGATTGAGTATTAAAAAAACATGATTTCGAGAATCAGGAATCAACAATTTGCATATGTGTCACAGCTGTTGTAAAGGGGGGATCAGCACCCAAAATGAGGAGGATGGTGCCTCCAGCAGTTCTATTTTGGTTGAACAAGACAGTCTATATATTCCTCATTTTAATGCAGCTTTTCTGATAATCAATCCCCTTAAAAACAGGCAAACTGTTCACCAAAACAACGACCTAAATACAATTTTATTCTGTAATATTTTGACTGATTCTTATTATATTAAAACCGCACTTAGACTTTACCCTCATGACATTATGACTATGAGTTGAACACTTTACTCTCACAACATGATGATTTTATTCTCATGATGTTGTGACTTCACTAAGACATGAAGAAAATGACTTTAATTCAACTTATGGTAACACTTAAGCATCAAATTAGTAAGTAATAACGTATGTTAGTTATTAAGCCTAATTAATGTTAATAAACAACCCATTAATGTTTATTATAGGAACATATCTATTCACAAGTTTCTAACAAGGGGCTTGAAGTTAATTAAAAGGAATAATGTGTTAATTATGTTTTTGTAAACACTAATTAACACCTATGAATGTTTACAAGCATCTTATAAGGTCTTAAAATAGCTTATTAACTGTCTTAAAATAGCTTATTAACTTATAAGGTCTTAGAATAGCTTAGTAACTGTTAATTATTAAGCCTAACTGTTAGCGGTTAACTAACAGTTAATTAATAACTAATGAACTGTTAGTTATTAAGCCTAATTAATGTTAATGAACAACCTATTAATGTTTATAACAGGTACATATCTATTTACAGGTTTCTAACGAGAGCCTTGAAGTTAAAAAGTCAAATTTAAGACTTTTTTAAGACTTTTTTTAAGATCATATAGTTTAAGATCCATTTTACATCCATACTGGCAAAAAATGTATAAAAGACATGAAGGGAAATCAGAACATTTTAAACTAACTTCAAATCAATCTTTATTTGTAAGTAACATCAATAAATTTTTAAGAGCTTTAAATTTGTATTGTAGACATTTTATGAGATTTTATTACAATTTTAGACATTTTAATGCCTTAAATTCAGATTATTGGATCTTAGATGTTTGTCTTTTTAAGACCCAGCAAAAACCTTGTTATAAGCATCTTATAAGGTCTTACAGTGGCTTATTAACTATTAATTAATGCTTATTATGAAGTGTTACCCACCTTAATACAAAAATTATGCATACTTTTAGAACTACATAAGGAGCAGTTCCTCTTCCACAGAAGCCTCTATCTTCCACCGCCTTGTTTCTACAGCAGCCCAGAGTGGACAAACTAGTGACACTCATGTTTTTGTATTTACTGAGTGATCGCACAAAATGCAAAAAATGAAGAAAGCGGTTGTCGTGTACAAAATCTGAATCTGGTAATGTTTTTGAAAACAAAAATACGATGAACGGAGGATCGTACTTATCATGAATTACAAGTGTTTATTGTTCTTAAAAAGTCGTGTTTGCCTCTCTGAAGGCAGGGGTGAGAAGGGGGCATCTCAGTCTAGAATCTGACTGATAGATATTGCGTAACTTGTGCATGCAAGACAATAGCTTTGAATTTTTTCCTGCGAGATATTTAGTTTGTGCAAAACTTGTTCACAACTTTTGCACACTATCTCTGTCTTGAGGAGAAGAAAAAACTGTTTCTTTGAGATTAAATGCAAGAAAAAGTTAAATTTGCTTTCTTAAGAATCCCGTTCAGATGGATGACACATTTATTGATAATAAATCATCAGCATGTAGAAGATTCAATGATTTAAGAAACTTGAGCTTGACTTGATAGATGAACCCACTCTTCTGAACTGTCTGTCTCACCCCCCCTCATCCGTCTGATGCTTTTCTCACCCTTTCACACACAAACTCCCCCCACCTTCCACAGCCTTCCTCTGCTCCCTGTAGACGCCCCTAATAAGGCAACATGTGTTGTGAGTGGCTGCCGCGGGGAGAGGTCACCCTGTCAGCCGGCCCGGCGTGTTTACCGGGGGGACTGACTCCACGCCTGCTCGCTGCTCTGCCTTGTTTTTTTTTTTCTCCTTCCTGCTCCTTTTCATTTTTTAGCTTTGTCATCCCCGCCATCCATCTCTCTCACTCCTCCAGCTCCCTCTCTTGCCTTCCCTCCTTCTGTCTCACTTTCACTTTGTTTACATCTCCTCTTAGTCTGCTGCTTTTTTCCTCTTCACCTTTATTTCTCTTTTTATGTCTCTGTTTACTCCTCTGTTCCTCACACTCACAAACATGATACATCCCGTCACGCTCTCTCTGTCTCGCTGGGTGCACACATTTTACAATATCAAAACAAGTCGCACGCGTCACAAGTCGAGCCAAACTAGTTTATTTATAAGTCGCATTTCGTACGAACTGCATAGACTCCATAGAGCTTTTCTCAGAAGGAAACCGCACTGGTATGAGACAAAACAGCAAACAAACTACAGTTACTACAGACTCCACGTGAATGAATGAGGGGGGCGGACATGACAGGTAACTGGTTGAGAAATCAGCTGACAGCAAAACAACACCAGAAGAAAGAAGAGAGGTGTTTCAGCTTGTTTTTGATAAAAGAGAGGAAGGATGGAGAAAACACTCCAGTCTGCAGAAAGAGTTACTGTATGGTTTAAACTTCAGTTAAATATTAGGGATGGGAGAAAAAATCGATACGGCACAGTATCGCAATATATTGTCTGGTGATATAACATATCGTCTCGTTTACCAAGTGTCGATTTTTCAAATTAATGGCTAATGTGAAGTCAAATCTATGATAATGAAAAAATAAAATCAACAAATATTGCAGCACCTTCGGAAAGAATTTGGGAATGCAGGGGCACAAATGAGATAGATCTGACACATAAGGTTTGCACGATGTGCTACATGAATGATGTATCCACTGCAAAGCGCTTTGAGGGTCTCTGATAAAACGCTAGATGAAAATCTTTTGCATTATTATAATCAACAATATTGTTATCACATATCATATCATATTCTGTTAAATTATGTTGTATATCCTATGGTATTGTATGGTACTGCATCATAAGTCATCCTGCGATTCCAAAAATATGTTAAGTCTACAGGTTCCCCGACCTTCTTCACTGGGTCTGTTTACATCTGGTGGATCCTTCCCCTAAGTCTTACTCACATGATAATAATCAATAATAATCTCTATTTTTGATAAATTCACTCTTAAAGCCTTTAACTGTCATGAGGACAGAAATAAAACAAGCTATGGAAAGTTTGAAGATCTGTTATTCAGCTGAAACACTCTAAACCTTATTCTGTTCTGTTACATAAAGGGTTAAACTGTGGTGCTGTCAGTCTAGTTTATCACTGTGTCCTGATATTCCCTCCCTGCCTGCCTGAGCGTGTCTGATCTATGTCCCCCTCTGAAATGGGGAATTGTTTTCAGATCAGACGCCTCCACGTATAAGACCACTCAGCTCTGACTTTAATCGTCCCTCAGGTCAAAGACCCAATTATAGTTTGAAACTGAGCTCAACAATTTCATCTTGCAACACAGGATGTCTTACACCTATGACATCACGTAAACACCACGAGGCAGCAGCAGCGCCGCCTTAACAAATCCCAGAGTGACTCAACATCAAAGCATCTCTTTGCTAATCAAACTTTAAGCTGTGAAGCTTAACAGCGTACCGGTCATACAAGGGTTTCAACTGAGGATGAACTTTTCCCTGTGGAAACCAGCACCACGTGACGCTTTG